AAGGTGAATTGAATTGAGTGGATTGAGTTTTGAATTGCAAGCATGAGTGAGAACTATCTAGAGGTGGGAAGAAGGGGGTTCATGTACCTAGATGGATGGCAAGCTGACAAATGGGAGCTGACAAATGGGAGCTGACAAATGGGGGCTGACAAATGGGAGCTGACAAATGAGAGCTGACAAATGGGTGCTGACAAATGGGTGCTGACAAATGGGTGCTGACAAATGGGTGCTGACAAATGGTGCTAACACAAGTATAAAGACTGGTAGGGTTGTTGTTGGCTGCAAGCCATGTCAGGATGACACTTTGTAACAAAACTGATGATCTCCTGATTCTGCACTGTAGTGTATTGGTAACGCATGTGGATCTTGATGGCACGCTTCAGACTGTTGAAGCGGTTGAGGAGGGTTGTATCAGTGATACATTCTTCCAAGAGGCCGGTACGTGTTTGAGTGAACCACTCAAGGAAGAGCTTGATCTGGTACATTGTAGGTGCTTTTGTAAAATGTTGCTCAGCCATTGGCTTTTCAAGGATGTTTTCTGAGAAGCTTCACATTTAGTCAGCAAACTCTTTGCTCATAGCGGTGCACTATGAGACTTACTACAACCATTGCTTCATTGTAAACCTGTAGGAGTCATGGCTAGATTTAATCTGGGCTCTCTTGATATCTTCAGAGCTGAGAGGTTGTGGCGCAATCTCTTGCTGAGCACGCTTCTTAAAATCTTCAAGATTAATAGGCCTGGCCGCTTTACGCATGTTTCTGTCAAGTCTTTGAAGGAAGAGGTGTGGCGTTTATATTTGCACGTTGATCATTGTGGAGAGGGTGCGGGGAGCAAGCAGGAGGGAACGTACAACTGCGGGAAGGTGAGCACCAGCGGAATATCATGGTCAACAACATGGTGTTGTTGGCGGTCAACGTGCCATCAAGGTCACAGACCAGAATCCTGTCTCCAGTTTGGTGTTCATGCGACAAAGAGAGAGAGCAAATAGATCTGGATTAAGCCTAGCCTGGTAGAAGGCGTGGTTACCAAAAACGGGAAGGCGCATAACGGCCTTCTGGAAATGGTGCCATGACAGACGGCGGATTGCATGGGAGAACTTGTTTTCAACATCCTATGGTTGTATGTGACGGATACATCATTCAATATAAATATATACCGACATGCATAGACGCTTTCCCAATCCAGGTACCCATGACTAAATCTCAGCAACAACCTTTGCGCATGATTCACAATAAGGAAAGCTTGAAGCCGACGGCCCACTTCCACGTGATAACGCTTAGATCTTACCAACTCCAGCAGTGTCTGCAATGGATGCGCTTGCCGTTGCAGCAGACGCAATCGACTTGCCATTAAAGTTGCTGAAGAAGGAGGTATCAGTTCCTCCAAGGGTTCCAGAGCTACCAAAAGCATTAAGTTGGCACGCATGGCCAAGATAATTGGTGCAAGCCGTATTAGCAGTAGTCGACGGAGAACCAAAGAGCTTGCCAGAGTTGCTGAGAAGTGGAGATACCACATTCTGGAATACTGAGCCCTCGACAACGACCTGGCCACCAGCAGCAATGTCAAAAGCGTGGCCAGAGTTGGCATACCAGTAGTTGTTGACTGCATGAAGAAGCGTGTTTCCACCAACCTTGGGGCTGCGGCCAGAGGTGTGGTGGATGTAGTTGCCTTTCATGGTAATGAGGTCTTGGGAGCCAGTCAGGTAGATGGCCCAGTAATGGTGGCCATCACAGGTGGCAGACCAGCTGGTGGAGCCGTCGAACTCGCTGTTGGAGAGAGTCACACGGTTGGAGGCTCCAGTACCGGCGACAAACATCTGGCGGCCGATGAGGGAGACCTTGACGTGATCTTCTCAAGTGTGAGTTATATTTCTAGAAGACAAGGGGTATGATTCAAACATACCAACCCAGATGAGATCAGCGCCGTCCACAGTGATGGCGTCTCCACCCCAGATGTACTGAGGGTTTAGCTGTTTGCACCTCTTAGTTTACCGTTCATTACGTCAACCTCTTAAAACATACCTCTGTGAGATGAATGTTCTGAACTATGATATTCTGAGCGAAGTCAGCGATGCAAAGAGCCTGTCCATCGATTTGAGACCCACTTTGACGCCATTCGCAAAACGTAGGCCCTTTCCGCGGATAACGCCCTTAGACCCAACACCAATGATACTCTTGTTAGAGCCAACATTGATTCCAGAAACACCAGCGGTGTCGTAGGTGACGCTGATAGACGTTGCGCCAGCACCTGCGTTACCGTTTGTGCACCATGAGGCCTTGTTGATGGCATCTTGACCACCATTACCGGGGCATGTATTGGACGCTGGTCGACAGCCAGTCTCGGTGGTGGTGCCTTCGGTGCCTTTGAAGTTGTATCTGGACATAGCTGTTAATGATTGCCTAGTTGGTAGACTGTAAGGCTCCTACTCCTTGTCGAGCACAATGCAACGAGCAGTGCTGTCGGTGAGCCAAGTCTTCAACTCCGCAACGCTGGATGGAATCGCGCAGGTAGCGCTTCCACCTCCAGTGGTTCCTGACGCGAAGCCCTCTGGCTTGCCTATGACAGCATAGGTGGCGCGCTCTTCGAACTGCGAACGGTCGCCAAGGACAACAGCCTTCGCGGTAGCAATAGCGCCTCCAATTGCAAGGACTGAGAACTTCATACTGTCGATAGTGTTTGAAATGGGGCCATGCTGGAGCAGCAGATCAGATATACATAGTTGGGAGAAAGACTAACGTGGATATGAGAGGTGGAGAAAATAGAGACGTGGAATGAGACATGCCGGTTCTCGTACTGTCACGCGGTATCTTTGCCGGTCTCCATCGCGATGTTTGACAATGTTCAGCACTCGACTTGCTGTAGTGCTGGAGTACAGGATGCAAAACGGTTAGCTCTAAGGTTGGGGATTGCCGGCTAACCGTGTTGTCAAACGCCGAACATGGGTTGCCAAATTGCTTGTGCGGAGATTATTGCTTGATTTCCGTCCTATCAAGATGTCAAGCTTCGTAGATCCTTGCGTAGAAGGGTGAGCGTTTTCCTGTCTGTATTTTGGTACGTGGAAGCATTCATCTCTGCGTTGTAAGAAATATACAAAGCTTCTTTAGAGAAGATATTTGGTTCGAAAGCTAGATCTCGCTGCCCGAAGTGAACATGTGATTGAGCGCATGACTTTGCTGTGAAGTCCAGTGCTGAAGCTGCTCTATCGACGATCCGGCTCCAGTCAAGCACGACACGGTCGCAAGAAGTGAGATCTCTCCGACAGTGTGGTGAGTATTGAGCCTGTGATGTGGAGTTGGTGTTGACGTTCATGGTGCCATGCTGGTAAGGAACAGTGCCCCTGTCGCTGTTAATTAATTAGTGCGCACGTGGGTAAGGTGGACGCGTACCCTATGAATTAGTCTCTTCTTGGCCCTTATTCTCTCTTGTTGTAGTCTCTTGATATGATCATTTTATTTATCATAAACTGTATCTCTTACCTTTGTCTAGTAACAAATGCTCTACCAAGTTAGTCGACTCGCAAGCCCACTGTGTCATATGACTCAGTAAGGCTGATGCATGTTGTCAGGCTGTCAAGCATTCCTCAATGACGTTGATGTATTCTTCCAGAATGACAATGTGACTATGGTCTGGCATTTCGACAACTCGACTCTCGAAATTTGAGTGTACCGTCATGGTAACGATATGGAACTATCCTAATTGCTCAACAGATGAATATCTTAGAGAATATCACACTGTACTTCGCTGACGAGTGCGCACCGGAGTAAGATGCAACGTTAGTCAAGACAATGGGTATCACTGTCTGGAGGAGCATTTCGTTTATTCGGTGGACCCTCTCTCTCGTGCTGCAGGACGTTCCTCCAGATAGTGTAACCGAAGATACTAGGCCGCCCTGTAACTGGCAACATCTTCTTGTATGGAGATCTGGCGACCTCGGACCCATCTTCATCGATAGTTGCCATACCTGAGGGAATCCTTGTGTACTACCGCACGTCTCGAAGGAAAAATCGTCGGAAGCGTATCCCTTGTCGATCAAGATAACAGGGCGCCGTGTAACTGGCACAGTCTTTCAAGCCAGGGCGTGGATGATATAGAGCCGCTTCATTGTGCCACCGCGATAAGGCACTTTCTACATTCCTAAACCTCACAGATGAGTACGACAGCATACCAGACCCTCGGACTGATGAATATCAACCTCACAACCTCAGAAATAGAGACTTGACGTTGCTATGAGCGTATTGTGAACGCTGGAGATCCTGTTATAGGGCATGGGGAGTGCCGACCACGTCGTGTTTGGGCATTCCGGGACAACAAGGTGAATTCCTTGAACTCAGGCCCTTCGCAAACCTGACCGTAGGTATCAACATGGGAGCGGATGAAGTGACGGTCAAGCGATGTCGTCTGGGAATTGTGCGGTATCGCCGCATTGTGCCGTGATTTGTGCACATACCGGCGGCGCCAGCATCCGTATCGAAAATTGCCACGTAGACACTGTCAAAACGGTCAGCTTGCGAATTTCACGATGCTTGGAAGCTGGGGCGAAAAGAAAATGGTCACGATGTCCTCAGTAGTATTGCGGCGTCTAGCGCTGAGCAGACGTGTCATACGTTCAGCCTCGTGACCATGCCATGGACCCAGGCCGGAGAAGAGAAAGGCGCGCTGGCGAGACGAGCACATCCTCGGACAAGTAGGCGATCCCCAAGGCTCTAACCCTAATGATTTTGGCAAGTGTGTGCGATAGCTTGGGTCTGAGCCTTACGCTTTGCAGGAGGCAAAAGTCAACCGTCAGGGGCCAAAGAACTTTACTTCAACATTTGCGGGGTAGCGTATTCCTTAGCTCAGAAGGCCCGGGGAAGCGATGTTGATCTCAAAATAACCCCGTTGCAGCTCCGTTCATCTTCATCCAAAGGATATGATGTGCAAAGCCGAGAGCCATGAAATGTCAGATCTGCACAGATCAACGCAAGGACAACAGTCTGCCCAGCCTTTCTGTTTGACCAGCAACAGAACCAGCCTCACATCTGGGCTGCAAGAAAAGTCTTTGCGGTGGGCTCGGTTGGCATTCCGAGCTAAAGTAGCTCCCGAACCGTCAACGATGCATGCGGAGATATGAGGGTCGCATGGCGGGGAAGGTTCGAAAACGTAATAGATTACCAAAGAAGCTGTTTCGAAGACAAAGCTGCAGCAGCTAAGCTCGTTTCCACGCAGACGCTGAAGACGCGTGTCTGCAGGTGGGTTTGCAGGCATCGTGAAAATTTGCGGTGGTGTCCACCTCAGGAGATGAAGGTTCAAAGGCAGAGACCATCGTGGCTCCGGTATCGTTCCCGAGATCGCAAGTTCTTTGATCGAAAGGTCGGCTTGCCGGATGTCATCATGGAACCCCAATGGATATGTTGCAAGTGCTGAGAACTTCAGTGCAGTTGGCGGTTACAATTGGAAGCATCTTGTTCATGTGGAAAAGATCGAAGGTCTCAGTAACCCGTCATGATGCACAAACAGATGCGTTGCGTGTGAGACACTATGGCGACAGTTGACGAAATCGAAGGTGTAAGACCTGATATCGATGGCGACACAGGCAGTTGCAGTCGCCAGGAGTCGCGGAAATATGCAGTCTTCTTGGAAGTTGTGCAACCGGGTGCGTGCAGGAAGGGTCGAGCAAGCCACCTTCTCTGCACATTCCTTTCCAAGCATCGTGATGTGAGGCGCGAGGCTTCGACAACGACCGAAGCGGCAGGCGGCATGCATCGGCAGCACCAGCGTCGTGCGTTGCAAACGTCCGACGCTGCAGGCCGGTCGCAAGAGACACCAGCTGTAGAGCGCTGAGCAGGCACGAGGAGGGCGAACGGTGGTCGGAAGGTCTTGCCAAAGGATTTCGATGTGTCAGAAACACCAATCTGTTACCCCCTCAAAATTGCGAGATGGCCTTGTGACCTGCTGCACGTGACGGCTGAGACGCTCATTTTGCTTTGCCCAGCCCGGGGAAAGCACCGCTTGGCAAACTCTTACATCACAGAAATCCATTCATGGCAGAGGCAACCAGGCTCTCCAACGCCTCTCCGTCGCGGAAGCATGCGCGTGCTACCGTATGGCCCCCAGGCTATTGGTCAATCCGTGTCTTTCACTGCTTGCGCCAGAATGATCTTTTTAGCTCTGCTCCACTCTTGTACCCGGCGTCCGAGCAGCTGGGGAAACTCTTGACTCTTGACTAACAACGTACCACGGTGCCCTCTCTCTAATAAAATTCTGCAGTTCCGATGAGCGAGGGTTGTTTCGACTATAAGAGACAACTTCCCACCTTCACTTGAGGCCTAGACCACTTGACCTGAACCAAACTATCTCAACTTACCTACGACTCATCGCACATCGCCACGAATATAGAAGTATTCGCCACCACTACCTCATATTGTCGACAACCCAGAACCACCACCTAACCATCACTGACAATTCAATGCAAATCAAGCAACTCCCGTACGAAATCCTTTCCAAGATCCTCGAGGAGGTTGCCGAAGCCAACATTCGAGATGGCCCAACGTACACCTTTGGTCTATCCCAGGCACCCCTGCCACTCCAGAAGTCAACTCTTCAACGCTATGTGAGAGGCCCTGTTCCACCTGAGATGCTCAAGTGGGATGCCATTTGTGCTATTCGGACCGTCTGCTGGCAATGGCACGAGTGGGCTCTGGAGTACGCTCTGAAGAATGTGTACATCCGCCGCTGGAAGGGAGGTGAGGTAAGCACGAGGCAGTCTCCGATAAGAGAACACGTTTTGACAACCTCTAGCGATGGGCAGAGCTGTCCAACCGACGATCAAGCTACCCCTTGTATGAGCTCATTGACCGTCCCACCGGCACTGCTGTTTACCGCGACCCCTTTGCTTCCTTGAAGCAGACCGTAAGGAACTTCAATGACTTCCCGGAGCTGGCCTCTAAGATCAAGCGCATGTGGTTCCACGGTTTCTACACTGCCGAGACGAACCGCATGATCTTCGACTCCCTTAAGAACTGCACCAACCTTACATCCTTATCTGTCCCTTGGACCACGATTAGGCATCTGGACGCAGCCTCGTGGAGGACCCTCTTGACCGGTAGCGGCAAGCCCCTTGGGTCGTTGGAGCTTCAGTGTATCGACCCCACCTCACAGCAAGCCACAGAGAAGGAGAACCAGATCGACCTTCAGGCGCTACAGTCAGTCAATTTCGGTCAGTTGAGGCGACTGAAGATTTTCGGCGATACCACTTTCATGCCGATCACCGACGACGACCTCTTCGCGATTGCTCGCACCGCTACCCAGCTTGAGGAGTTCCACATGACTTGCATCTCGACGATCACCATCGACGGTGTCATGGCTGTTGTCAAGGCATCTCGCAACACACTCCGGGTACTTGAGCACAGCCCGCGGTCGCAGGATGGCTTTTGGCACCCTCACCCGGGATCGCCGAGCGACAGTGAGCACCTCTGTGAAACTTTCCGAAGTTGCCCTAAGCTTGAGACTTTGTCCATCTCCCTTCCGTCTGTATGCGCGGATCTGTTCTCTCACGAGGATGCCAAATTCAGGGGCGATATGCAGGTGCGCGCTCTCCACTTGTGCGGCCACGAGCACGGGCGCTCGACCCAGGAAGCCACGGATGCATTGCAGAAGTTGCTGCAGCAGTCGCGTGCCTTGGTGCAGCGACGCGCTAAGAGCGCCATTCCTCAGGAGCTCTATGTAGAGCTTTTTTTTGCAGACTGCATCTTCGAGCCTGGATTCAGCTCCGTCCACGGCGACTTTGCTCTGGCTCAGGCCATCTCTGACGGACTCTGGCCCGCGAACGTCGAGTTCAGTGGCAAGGGTCCATACGGCAGCACTGGACTTTACGAGAAGGAGGAAGAGGGCCCATTCCAGCGCATTGAGGAGGACGAGTTCCTGGCTGGCGTTCGCAGGAGGCTCCACTCAATCTCGACTTGATCGCAGAGCGATCGGCGACGAACCACTTCACTTCTTCTGTAATTCTATGGCGATGTTTCAGCATTACGACTTTAACGACTTCTTATGCGAACAGGCAGCGAGCCTGGATGATACCAGGCCAGAGAGCCACCAGCACCCAAAACAAAAAGTTTCTGTACACCTCGAAAAATTTGTTCGGGCGGTCATTTGCATGGGGCGACGGGACGTTGTACCATTTCAGCATTTTAGCGTTCACTTTAGGCATATAAAAATGTATTATTTGCGAACTCTCACCGTCTTTCCAATCGTGGTGTCTAACACTGTAGGTTCGAAGGCTGACTGTATGAAACCTAGGTGAGGCTGCTCATCGTACGCTTCCGTTCGAGCTCACGCTGAACATTGGTATCTCAAGCATGCGCAATCAAGTGAATCGCTAGAGGTATTCAGTGACACCGGGTTGGATCAAGCAGACATGTCAAGGAAAGAAGAATGAGGTTGTCGATGTGCGTGCAAAGTCAAGCCGTTTCCTTAGTGATCGATGACCCCACAATCGTAAAGCGTTAGGCCACGTACCTAGCTACAATCAATCTTGCACGGTTACACAGAACGCTGTAAGCTGCATGCGGATCGGAAGCGCCTCTCTGCCGGAACGATGCAGCTTATCAAGGCACTCCTATCAACTGTTATCAAAGCAGCACATTGCGAAGAATACGGAAAGAGTCTCGCCCTCGCTATGCCTTCAGTAAGCAGCACTTCTCGAGTTGACAACCATTACATGAGCCTTTGATAATCCAAAATGTGGGGCTCTGAAGGCCGCTAATGCACTCCAGCTGCATAGTTCGAGCAAGCTTGACCGCGATCGAAAAATAGCTCTCTACATCGATGGCTTCATACCCGGACAAAGTGCGGCGTTGCTGTTGTCGAGTGTCTGCTCTCGGCCTCATTTGGCCGGCTTGGAATGCTCTTGCATGGGAACGTTTTGGTATATAATGGTGGGAGCTGCCCCTCTTGTCGAGACTGATACAAGCAATTGATTTTGTCCTTTTTGTACTTGATACCCCAGATCGTACACAATGGCTCCCAAGATCGCTATCGTCTACTACTCTATGTACGGCCATGTCAAGACATTGGTATGTTGCCCTTCCTACCCCTCCGGTGCCCTGGAGGTCTTCAACACACTGATCAGCCAGCCCTTCCAAACACCCACAATCGTGCCCACAGCTTGCTAACACCATCCTAGGCCGAAGCTGAGCTCAAGGGCATCCGCGAAGCCGGTGGAGATGCCACTCTCTTCCAGGTCGCTGAGACCCTCTCAGCCGAAGTCCTGCAGAAGATGCACGCGCCTCCCAAGCCAACCGACATCCCCGTCCTGAACGACCCCACCGAGCTGGAAGCCTTCGACGGCGTGCTCTTCGGCATCCCCACGCGCTACGGCAACTTCCCCGCCCAGTTCAAGACCTTCTGGGACAAGACGGGCAAGCAATGGCAACAAGGTTCCTTCTGGGGCAAGTACGCCGGTATGTTCATCAGCACCGGCACGTTGGGCGGCGGCCAGGAGAGCACTGCGATTGCGGCCATGTCGACGCTGACGCACCACGGCTTTATCTATGTGCCGCTCGGCTACAAGACGGTGTTTGCACAGCTGTCTAACCTCGAGGAGATCCACGGCGGCTCGCCTTGGGGCGCGGGAACCTTCTCCGGCGCTGATGGTTCCAGGCAGCCTACTGCTCTGGAGCTCAGCATCGCCACGGAGCAGGGCAAGGCCTTCTACGCGGCCGTTGCTAAGGCGCACCCGTGACTAGATGGCACTGAGGAGACGGGGGTCAAGCAGGAGCAGGCGGCTCCGCCGGCGGCGACGTACACAACCACGCCGAACACAACTACAGTACAAAAACAAGCAGAAAATGGAACATCGAACGGGGTGAAGGAGACACCGGCTACGGCGCCAACGACTCAGAGGGTACCTGAGCAGCCTACTGGTCCTCAGGAGAAGAATAAGGATAGCGAGGGCCCCTGTGGGTTGCCGTCCAAGTGCGACATCATGTAGTCTTCCCTTTCATACGAATGTAACTGTCAACAAGTCAAAATCGTACACTATCACAAACACCCCATGTGATCACAGCAAGCAGCACGAGACGTGAAGAGTAAGATTGATATGTCCAGATGCAATATATATATGTGAAAATGCTACATTAAAATACTCGTCAACACCAATCGCAATGCCGATGATGCTGTGGTATCTTCCAGTCCATCCAATCCAATTCATCAAGTCATGTATGAGCTCCCAAAAGAAGGGCCAGCCCACCTCTACAAACTCCGAAAAGCAAAGAGAAAAGAACCAAGATGCATCAATATTAATTCCTCCAAGAAGTGCCAAACACTTTCGCAAACATCTACAAAGCCGCCGTCATACGACAAGCTGGCTGAAATCGACACCTCTCTGCTGTCGTTCGATACTACCGGAGTGGCTCTTCTCGAACTCGTGGAGGAGGTGCTCGCTCGCCCAGTCGGTCACCAGCTCGTCGCGCTCGCTGTCGAAGGATCGCCGCCGTGCGGTCCGCTCAGCCCAGCCCGTGCGCTCGAGTTCAATTATGCCACCGAATCTGCGCTCGCCGTTGGCGACGAAGAGAGACTGGCCGTCGGGCGTGAATGTCACGCCGCCGAGCGGGCCGAAGAAGTCGAACACCTGTTTTGATTCGAAGGTCTGCGCGTTGATGACGTTGATGTAGTCGTCTGCTTCTGCGGCGATGAGGACTCGTGGACCTGAGCCGACAGGCGAGAAACGGAGAGCACGAGGGATGCTGAGCTCGCTTGTGAGGACTGTAAGGGGCTTGTCCCAGTATCGTGCGTCCCAGACGACTATGGTGGAGTCCTGGGCTGCGGTCGCAACGTGGATGCCGTCATCTGCCCAGGCGCACGCAAAGCTGTCGTCGGTGTGGGTTTTGAGGGTCTCAAATGGCCGTCCTGTTTCGGCATTCGTGATCAGTGTTTCTTGGAAGTCGCCGACTACGACGCGCATCCGACCGTTGGGGCTGGTGGCTGAACAATTGACCGCAGCTGAGTACTGGAAGTCGTGCGTAAAGGTGTTGGTCGCGCAGTCTAGTATGCGCAAACGATGGTCGTTCGAGCAGAGGACGCCTTGAGGGTGATGCGTAGTCCGTGATTCGAAAAGATGTAGATGATTGACGATCTTGGACTTAGTATCTGAAGCAAAGTCTGATGTGCGGCCAAATGTACAGGGGGTGCCTGTTGTTGACGACAGATCAGTAATGGCATACTCGCCCTCGAAGGCTCCGGCTATTAGTACGTCGTTGAGGGTCGCAATCGTTGTAATAGAGCCGTCGAGAGCCGTCTTCTTGCTCAAATCTATAACTGCTTCGGCAGGCGAGCCCTCGGCGTCTGTACGAAGCACTTTCTGGCCTGCTGCGTAGAAGACATCGTTCCTGGATGTAGCCGCTAGTACGTTCCGCAGCTGGAAGTGAGGAAAGTAAGCTCGATGTGAGGTGATATTTCTCCGAAAGGAGAAGAAATTGTCTGTGTTGTGTATTGGAGGCGTCCACTGCTGGCCTACGTCAGTTCATTGTCAACCTCAATACACCTGCTTGCCTACCGTGCGAGTCTCCTTTAAGCTGGGCGACAGCCTCTCCTCCTCACACTCTCTTCGTTTGCTTCGTACTGAAGACCTTGTGGTGTTGCGTATACTCCAATCAATACCCTGGTAGTCGTACTTGTCGCCCTGCAAATCTTCCCGCGTGATGACATCCGGTACCTGGACGAGGTCGAGTCCAGGAACGGTGGGCTTCTCTGGGGTGAGGTAGTGGAAGAACGAGGTGATAGGCACGAATTGGCTCTTGTCTTTGATGCTGAGGTGGGCCTCGTGGTGTATCGGTGGGGGTTCGAGCGAGGACTCAGAGCTCGACAGGTGCCCTAAGTATGGAGGGGATGGGGGCATGTGGACGTTGCCGATGTGGAAGGAGGTCATGTCGCTGGTCGGCGGCGGTATTGTGTCGTGCGCAAAGGACTGGAAGTGGGCCATGGCGGCCTGCATGTGGATGCCTGCTGAGCCCAGGGTGTTGACGAGCAGGGCAGGCGGTGCGGGTGGTTCGGTGAAGTCTGCTAGGGATATACCCCCGCCCTCGTCGTCGTCACTCACTGCATCTTCTCCGTGGCTGGTGGGCGGCCTGCTGTCCGACAGCGTGGCGAGCGTCGCGGTGGCAGCGAGCGTGCTGAAGGGTGTCGAGTAGCCTGTGCCTGCGTCTGCGTCTGCGTCGGCCGAGTAGCTCAGGGTGACGTTGTTCGGTGGCGCGACCGTGAGGTTGTGCTCGTCGTCGTCGTGTGGCAGCAAGTAGTGCGGGCTGGTCATCACAGCCCGCTGTTGGTAGTTCGGCCAGCCGGCGTTGGTCGCAGGGCCACTGGGGCAGAAGCAGAGAGGGTGGGCGCACTGTGTCTGCGACTGAGGTTCACTGACGTGCGAACTGCTGCAGTCAGTCGAGCTAGTTGGCGGCGCGGCGGCTCTCTATGGGCGGCGCAGCGTGGGGTGGAGGCTGCTGCTACTGGACGACTTGCATTCACCAGAGACACATGTGGACGCAGGCGCTATGTAGGGAACGTCGAACGACTCGTTGACTACGCTGACTACTCGCCTGCTCATCTGCTCGCCTGCACGGGAGCTGCAGGCAAAGGAGATGCCGTATTGAGCACTGTGGGGTGTCGACGTCGGGTGCACTCGTTGCTGCACTGCACTATTGGGCCTGCAGGCAGGATCAGCGCTGAGCAGCGACAGACCATGCACGCAAAGGGGCGGCTCACTCACTCCTCGCTGATGGAGTGCCAGTCATTCCAGTCTAGAAACCCTTGCAGATGCTATTCCAAACACTGTGGTTCGGAAGCACGCTATTGTGTTGAGCACCACGCTGATCGAGGCTAGTCACGCCTCCCCAGATCTCCAGCTAGGAAGCACCACGATTTCACAATGCTGTATTGCTGCCCAAGGAACCCTCGAGCACACAGATCTCGAGATCCTCACGCCGCAGATCTGTGTTCGTTGCTTGTGCAGAAGCCAGCTACAGCCTGTCGCCCACCGTCAGGGCTAAGCGGCCGCACAGCGTATCGACTGCCTCCCAGGCTTGCAGTTGCACAACGGTTTCTTCAACGAGCAAAGGCGGGGGGATGGGGTGTGCTACAGCTCACATGGCCTGCCAACACGACAACGTTCAACCCTCTGCGGATACTGCGTGCTGGCGACGTTGCACAGCTCATGCGTGGAGCGAATCACTCGTCACATACTCGCCAGGCCTCCCTGCCCTGTGGCTCGAGTGCCGTTTTTGTCTTCCTGCGCCCGTGTCAGGAAGCGAGACGAGATAATGTCAGTCCAGGTTAGGACACAGACATTGCACGAGAGCAGGAGTGGCCTTGTTGTCGGCCACTGTCCGTTGCTGTGTGTGACGGGGACCTCCAGCCAAGGTTCGCACGACTATGCCGTGCACACAGTCGCTGGCCCTCCACGGCAGCCGCCACACGGCGAGGAATGTCAGTGCATAGTGGAGACGGGAGTGTCAGGTAAAGGCATGACAAGCTGCCGAAACTTCAACAGAGGACGCGCCTTGTGTCACCAAGCCCTGGAGGCCTTCGTTGCTGGATGAGTGAATTAATGCTACAATTAGTCTAAATGGCCTCTGTACCGGCCCGTTCCAACATCTACAGTACCCATACAAGCGAGTAAAATGGCGTGAGAATACACCCGAGCATCCTAGCAATGCAGTAAGAAGAAACGTCGTACAATAGGCAGTCTTTTAGTCCGCCGCGCAAACGACAGGACGGCTTCCCTTCCTAAACGACGCCACAATGCGAAAATCAGTTATCATAGTACGGCTCATATCCTTGCTGCTGCTGCGGCCATCCCCCAGCCGATGTCGTCGTCTGTGACCACCCGCCGCCGGGTGTCTTAAGTCTCCGCTCTATTGGCGTCCAATGTTAGTGGCAGACACCTTCAGGGGAAAATTGTGTACCTTACCTGCTTCAAAGTCGTGCCATCTCCGCATCGTAATCTTGCTGCTGTCGAATTCACCCTCATACTCCAGGCCCGCCTTCTTCGTCTTCTCGCCTGATGTCTTCCGTGTATCGCCCCAGCTGAAGTCATCAAACTTCCAGAACGCGTACGTAGGGAGCACGAAGTTCCAGACGGGGAGTGACAGCAGGTAAACAAACATCCAGGCAACGTAAGACCAGCGGTGGGCCGTTACAACGATGAGAATCGCTGGCAGACCCAAGATGAGCGCAAGAAGAATAAGAGGGATGACAGGCGCCTCTGTGTGTAGGACAGCTGCTTTGATGGCGATGGCAACTAGAAAACGTCAGCGCTGGAAACGACTTAACTCTGGAGCACGAGGGCTTACTTAGGTAGAAGGTAAAAGCGATGGCGGCCGGTAAAACCAATGTTCCAATCAGCTCGATGAACACAACAAACTGCATGCTGAAGCAGAAGGTGCCACACAGATCTCGCACTAGTACCAGCTCCATCAGGTTGTGGACTGTACTATTAATCCATCGCCTACGTTGTGACAGTAGGACTTTGAACTCGTCTGGTACAGTGGTTTTGCAGACGGCTTGAGGGACGAAAACTTGCTTGCGCTTGGGGAACGTCTTGAGCATCAGTGTTGAGAGGTATCGATCCTCACCCAACAGTAGCAGATTCTTCTTGTGCAACGTGTCGACCACGTTCTCCGAATAGTGCTCGACAACGTCTGGGTTGGCCAGGATCGGGACCCAGTAGTTCTGGCCACCTTTAGGAGCCTTTATGCGGTACATGCAGAAACATCCAGGAAGACAAGTGACACCGCCGAATACCGATTCGAAAGACTTGGCCAAGTGATGCGAGATGAAGTATCTACCGCTGTCAGTGGCGCGATCGTCAAACGTCAGGAGAAACTTACTCAAATACCTGGATCATCGAAACCCACGAATCCCGCTTATTAGCAATCTTTGTCTCACCACAGAGACCCATAATCTCTGGATCTTTGACCATGGCGGAAATCATGTGAGTCAAACTGTCTGGGAACACCTTGGTGTCGGCGTCTACCATGAGTACTATCTCGTAGAAGTCTGGCGAAATACCAGTAATCTTCCAGATACCGTTGAACATCTCGAACTCAAGCTCCGTCATACGCTCGTCAAACATGACCTTCTGCAAGAACGACATCAGAATGATCTGACTGTCACGCTTTCCACGGTTACCAGCCTTTGATTTCGTGGCCTCATCAGGGGTACCGCACTTGACAACGACCATCATTGGAACACGTTGCTGCTTGTCCGAGGCAATACGAGAATCTTCACCGTAGTCGTAGAAACCTGAGTAGATCTTGGCCATGTTGTGTCGCTTCGAACCGCTGGCGACTGCAACATAAGAGAACGCTTGAACTTCGTGAGGCAGAACTGCGTGGTCCTTCATCATGCCCAAGCAGATCTCAGGTGTAGTCAGGTCTTCACCTTGACCTTTGATCATGCCGTCACAAATAACGAGAATCAGCTTGTGACTGTTCGGGTAGTCGGTAGTGGCAATGGAGTCCAGCGTAGTACGCAGGCCTTCCGCACCCTCAGAGTATGCGGTAACCAAACAGATGGAGTGAGCCAGAGGATAGCCGAAAGGCTGCCATTCGGGAGGAGGTTGAGGCACAACAGCTTCATGAATGAACCCAGACGGACCAGGTCCCTCTTCACCTATAACACTGGAGTAGCGGTTCTCAGTAGATCCCGAAAGAAGCAAGCTCGATCGTGACTGGCCCTGGTTCTTGCCCTCGAAGTATGTTGTCGGAAGAGTGCCTTGGCTGGCATTCAGTTGTCTGTACATGCCGTTGTTGGAAGAAAGCAGGCGGGATGCTGTACTCTGGCTTGTCATGGTCGTTGGCGGTGCTCGGGTCTTGGCTGATTTCTCCATGGCGTAGGGGCTGGTGAACCTAGATGTGGATGGCAAGAAGGTGCTACCACGCTTGCTCGAACGATCAGGTCCGGCAGCAGGGTCAGCAAGGCGTGGTGGTGGGCGGTAAATGTCGTCACTCCATTCCTCGATCTGCTGCTTCCTTTGCTTTGAGTCTGCTTTGCCGGTGGAGGTCTTGTCAGCACCAAACTTCCTGCTGAGAAACCATTGGAAGGCCAGAGCAAGAACGAACTTGGCCATGACGACAGCTAGAATGAAGACGAGCGAAACATAGAGGACGACCTTGGAAGCAATGCAGCCAATGCTCTCGGTATCGATGGAGCCGACCTTGATGATCTCAGTGAAGCAGCGTGCTACCTGCTTCTCGTAGCTGGAGGAGTACGCACGGGTAACATCGACACCTCGTACTGCCGGGTTGTTCTTGATCTCGTTGAAAATGCTTGGAACATCCACCTGGGTAGTATTGAACCAATCGAGCAGGTTCAGATCCAAGACATCTCCACCCCATACCATCAGGTTGCGGGAGCTGTTGTGAATATCGTCCCATGTGAAGTATACATCTCCGGCATTCCTAAGCCCGTAGAAGGCCTTGCGAGCGTTGTCCGAGGTATGACACTGGTAGCCATTGTACTCGAGGAAAGTTGTGTTGGGCTTGCTGGAGCCATCCTGGTTGAAAGTACGGCAGGGGAAGTACCATCCCAGATTTCCGTTTGTTTCGGGGATACCCGAGTTGGCCTTAGGTGTGATAAGCCCCTTACAAGCACCGTTGACGTTCTGAAAGAGGAAACTGCCGTCTTGTCCACCGTGCTTCTCGGGAAGATCGAAAAGAATGTTGGCGCCTGCAGGGACGCCTCGTGCAAGAGGGTGAGTAGAATGGGCCAGATCGTATGCTCTGCCGTGGAAAATCATGTATCCCCCACCGACCTTGTTGCTTTGAAGGCGAACATTGCCACTGGAAGGGCAGACGGTCTCAGTGAAACCGAACGTAAGGTAACCGACAAATGTACAGATCAGCAAGATGATGCTGACCAACCCAACCTTCTCTCTCCAAGCACGCTGCTGCGCCTTCTGCGGCTTGCCGAAACACTTCAGAACTGCATCCGGACACCAGAACGTAATGATGGCGCAGTAAACGTTCCATAGACTCGGAGGCCTCATCTTGTCCTTCTCTTTCTGACGCTGCTTCTCCAGATTCTCCATTGTCTTGCTCCTTGTCAATCTGCGCGCTGCACGCGGCGACTCATCATCCAATGGTGCCTGTTTGTCGTTGTAGCCGCCTCCAGAAGCATTGCGCATGTGTGGCGGCTTCAGGTCGGTGCTGTCAGAGCTGACTGTCTCGGCCTCCATGGCATCTTCCATGATAGGGTCGTTGCCAGTGGTCGAGGGCTGGACGTTCATCCTCTGCGCATGTTTGCGGTAGTGGTAGTTAGGGTCGTTGGGGTCGTTTCGCCGGCGCTCTGGGCGAATCAGACTGCGCTTCCTGCCCAGTTCATGCGCAGGCGTCGATTGCTGGCTGCGCATGATGGGATCTCGCTCCATGGGCACGGGTGTGCCTGGCGCAGGGAGCGATCGAGCGTGCGAGTGGGCGCCACTCTTGCTATGGCTGTGTGTACGATCGTGCGAGCGCGTGTTTTCGGTGTCAGAAGGCCGGCGACGACGGTGCTCCCTCCGAGAGCTGTCTGGTCGCTGCGGCAGAGACATTGTCGAGGAATGCAATCTCGCTCGCTGTGACACAGCTCAGGTGAGTTAGGCCAGCAAGGGCCGGAAAAAAGAATACGGCACAATAGGAGCCGCTCTCCCGTATAAGGGATATAAAGGCGCTGCTGTTGCTATGTGAGCGAGTGGGTGGAGACTGGCCGCTGTGGTGTTGATGCTGTTGCTGTGGGGGCGATAGGCACGGGGGTGGATGCGGGTGTCCGGCAGGCAGGTGCAAGGAGCCCAGGTGTTTCAGCGATTGTGTTCTGGGGCAACAGCGAACGAGCCACAGGAAGAACGATCGTGGAGGTGGGAACAGCGCAGCGCAACGAAAGACGGGGCAGCAAGGCTCGGTGCTGTAACAGCCCTGGAGTTGAAGCGGGAGGTTGACAGGCCAACTGAACGATGGGGCTTGGTGCCCCTTGCGAAAAGCAGCAGCGCGGGCAAATGGCATCAGCCAGAAGTGCTATTTTAACCACCACTAGCCATTACGGGTGTTCGGAGCTTGACCCGCGAGCATCGTGATTTCGAAAAAGTGGCAGATTTTTCTCGACGATGGCAACAGTTGTCTTCGCTGTGTCGTATCGAGTGGGGTTTATCACTGTGTAGTGTAGCAGTGACCTGTGCGTCTTGTGCTCGTTCTACCATGTTTGAAGAATACAGTAAGTGGCACACACACACTCAAGAACCCCACCCCCGCTGCAACGAAGAAGCGGACACCTAGGCATGCAACTAGACGCATTATCCTCACTGACTGTGGATCGAGGAGCTACAACATCTTTTATTTGGCTGTTCACGAATGCAGGAAAGGTTTCGCCTAATCAAACATCCTGGACCCTCGTCGTGACTAACAGCCGAGACCATCAACGCAGATAACCTGTGCCGAGGCTTGTAGCACAGTGGCAGACTGACGGTGAACATGTACTGTACATACATGCAACTTCATATTGGGAGCCTGACGGATACGAAGCTGCGCCTGAATCCTTCAACCCCTGTGTGCCTGCAGAAGCGCGTAAAGTCTGCTTCCGCGGGAAGCCACGCTGCTCTTATTGACAGGCGCTTGACTGACAGCCGAAACCCATCCGGTGAAGACTCAGGGTCCATCAGTGCCACGAGCTCGGTCCTCTAATCCTGCAGGGCTTCCCACATGAATCGGCATCGTCGGCGAGGACAAGCTTTCTGTGCCGTGCGATGGCATTGCCGGGAGGTTTTCACGTACTTTTCCGCCAGAAACGACTTACAGTCTGCCTTGCATGTCCTGAGATCTGGGCCTGATGCTGCGATGGCAGAGCGCATTGCATTCCTCAAAAGTGGCTGCCAACCTCCAGCCCAGCACTAGCCATGGCGAATGACGACTGCATCCTTACACCCACACGAGAACTCTACGCTACTGGGTGTTTTCTCTTCCACTTTAGGACACCTGTCTCACGCGGCGTGCCGTCCAGTACGCGACTCAATTGCCAGGGCGGCGCCATTCAACAGTAGCTGAACCTCCTGAAACCCTTCTTTTTTTTGCAATTTTACCAAATACACTTTCTGCTTTGCACTTTGTGTCTTCATTCTGCGACCCAGCACTCCGCGGAACGAACCGAGTCTGTAGACAGTAGCGGCTTGACTGCTTGTCTTTCAGGTCATTTGGGATATTTAGCAATTCGTATTAGTGTCCCTGGAGGTCTTTCGCAGCCCAAGCTCGTGCTTTGACTTTCTAGCGCGAACGAGAAAAGGGCTCTTGCGTGGGGCTCTTCAAGGATCACGTCTGCTTGCTCCATCGTGCTTGCCATCTGCAGCTGATAGTGGGGAAGCTTTGAACGGCCACGATTTCGGGACATCTACAGCAAGTCGCCCATCTTGAGGTTTCTTCAAACCACGGTACGATCGGCGTCGGCGGAATCTGGACGTTCCCGGTGCCGTGTTTTTTCAGCTGTAAGTGCTCCACCCGCCCCAATCCAGGGTTCAGGCTCATGCATGTCTTGCGACCTGCCAATACCCTGAACATTCCACGCCACAACTTGGGCGCTGACAGGCAACAGACAACGCAGACACCTTGAGCTGTTTTTCGGCCTTGCGACTTGATCGCTTGCAATTCCACATCGATCTTCGACCTGCTACTACCGAGTTAGTGGACACCGCCGAATCTACTTGAATGCAAGACTTGGGAGGGAGACGGCGCAACACATTGCCAATAATGGCCGAACCAGCACTAGCAGCACCTACAAGGGATTTACCACCAATTCCTCCTCCCCATACCACCGACACGCACACCGAATCCAACCCCACTCGCAGACCTCCAATCCCGTCCTTTAGCATCGACGAGCATGCCGACACAGTAGCAGGAGGCCGCGATTCGAGGCAATCTGGATCGTCTCTTACACCGAGCTCGATTGGCCACTCAAGAACACCGTCGAGAGAGACACCAGACATAGGAGGCAACAGAGACTCGGCAGCCTCGGCAGCTTCGGAAGCGGTGACAAGGGACATACCGATCCGGCAGCTACATATCAGCGATGGTTCCTACGGCAGCCGGTATTCCCATGCTGCAGAGCTAGAAATGGCGAGCATACAAGACGAGCCTGACTCTGTCTACGCTCCTCGAGATCAATATCAAGCTGGCCATAATTCGCAGCCGACGCCGCCACTGTCAACCTATCCAGCTCGCGACCCAATGCGCTCGCCGGTTCACTCCCCAGTCCAGTCTCCGGGCGCCGATTCAAATCATTCGAATGGTTTCGATTTTGGCACAGGTTCACCCTTACAAGTACCCCGCACCACACATGCACGACCCAGCTCAGCATATACCCTTGGCTCCGAGTTGAATGTGCGAGGCCGTACACATTCCACACACCTTTCGGTGGGTGGGCCTCCGTCGCCCAGTGGCTCTCCGGTCACCTATCAGCGACAGGTCTCGGCGAACCGCCGGTCCCCAGACATCAGGCCCGTATCATATGTGGACTTGCTCAACTTGCCCTATAACCAGCAGATCGCCCCAGCTGCAAACATAGGGAATTCGCAGTTGCGTGGCGCAGTTGGACAAAATGCTTCGCTACTCGATACCAAGAAGACGCTGGAGATGTACAGGGCAAATGTCAAGAAGACACAGGATAGTCCAGTCCAGTATGAGTTCGCACTTTTCATGGTACAGGTTGCCCGCGAGATCACAGCTGCGGGTCCAACAAACGACAACCATGGGCTGACTCCTGCGGAGATGTTGAAGGAAGCACGACAGATCTTACAGCGCTTAGCCGATCGCAGCTACCCGTTTGCGCAGTATTACCTTGCAGATGGTTATGCTTCGGGTTTGTTCAACAAGGACAAACCTGATTACGACCGAGCGTTCCCACTGTTCGTCGCTGCGAGCAAACACGGTCATGCGGAGTCAGGATACCGCGCCGCCCTTTGCTATGAATTTGGCTGGGGATGCCGTAAGGATTACGCCAAAGCTGTACAATTTTTTCGTGCTGCAGCGTCGAAGAATCATCCCGGAGCCGCTACGCGACTTGGTTCTGCATGTCTAAGAGGTGACATGGGTCTACAGGGCAAGTATAGGGAAGGTGTCAAGTGGCTGAAGCGCGCCTCCGAGTCCGCCGATTACCAGTACAACAATGCCCCATACGAGCTGGGTCTCTTGCACGAAACGGGATACGGGGATGACATCTTCAAAGACGAGATCTATGCAGTCCAGCTGTTCACTCAGGCCGCAGAACTGGGACATCCATCTGCCGCCCTGAAGCTGGGCGAGGCTTACGAGCATGGATTACTATGCTGCCCCAAAGATGCTGCTCTTTCGGTTCATTACTACAACTGTGCCGCTCAAGCCGACATACCCGAAGCAATGATGAACCTTTGTGCATGGTATATGGTTGGTGCCGAGCCAGTGTTGGAGAAGGACGAAAACGAGGCATATGAATGGGCCAAGAAAGCTGCAAGGCATGGTAAGCTTCTCATACATTTAGATCTTAGATCTCGATTGCTAACTCACATAGGTCTTCCCAAAGCTGAGTACGCCTGCGGCTACTTCACAGAGATGGGCATCGGTTGCAGACGTGATCCGCTAGAAGCGAACGTCTGGTACGTTAAGGCTGCAGATCACGGGGACGAAAGAGCAAAGCAGCGTCTTGCCATTATTCAGGCTGCTGCATCGGGGCAAACGCATACGCCAACAGGCAATGATAAAGGCAAACTCAAGAAAGGTGGGAAAGAAGGCAAAGACGAGAACTGCACAGTTATGTGAAGTTTCGGTCTTGAAGATATTAGGGTATGCGGCTCCTCCTTGAGCGCTACAAATCCATGGAAGAAGGAAATTGCCCGGAGAATTGGGTCACAACTATAGCGTGGCGGATTTGCATAGTATGGTTGCATAGAGTGCTTGGGTTTGAGCGTTAACATTTCTTCATGTTTTTGGCATTTGTGTTGCGTTTTATACCAAAATTCGAGAGGAGTAATGAACGCATGTAGACAGGTAGATAAGGGAAACGGATAATGTCTATGATGATTCTGTAAAGCCGGCACCGAGACTTCCACAACGTTACATTCAGCGGACTTCTCTCATTTCCCATCCTGGAGGTATTCGGAGCATTGTGTTTATATCCTTATGTGGCAGTCCCCTCCTCTCAAGTGCGGTTGACTACGGCTTTGTCCGTCTACGGCGTTTGGCGGGCGTGTGTGTGGGACAATGACCTCTCAAAACCACCGATTGGACCCCTCACGTCAAACGTCTTACGTATCTTGATCCCTTTCTTTATCCCGTCATCGCCACGAGTGCATAATTGGCAGCTGCTCTTTTCAAGATATGCGATGTACAGCCAGCTTCACAATCATCCTTATCGCAAGCGTAGCTCTGCAGGAGTGATCGGGAGTTGCTCGAAGTACACCACAGGGCGCGCATACACAAGGCGCGCATACACAGGGCGTGTATTAGCGCCTCGTCTTCGTAGTTCGCTTGACGTCGCTCGCTCGATCCGTACCTAGCCGGTACTAATCGAGCATGATCGATGCAGGGTTATGGGTCTCAAACGCATTTGCAGGGCGTGAGGATGGAAGAGAGATACATATGGTGCACATGACTACGCCGATACGGCAGGAATGATAAAGAGTTGTCTACTCCGAAATCATCCCTCGTACTATAAACTTCTCAACCAAATCAACAACAACTCGACATTGTAACATCCTTTGTATCGCAACTGCCTCACATATCGCTACCGATTGATACGATCTTGACGACCATAGACTGCACACAAACGAGGAAAATGGCACCGCCTTCGGCTATCGAGGTCTCAGCAGTGTCGGACACTACTGGAGTCACTCTACCAAACCCTCTCACTGCTCCGGTCCAAAGCAACGACATATACGGACGCCGAAAGAAGACAGACAGAGCTCAATGGGGCACCGCAGCTCCAGCCAACACAGCCAACTTCAGACTACGATCACACGACCACAAACCCAAGGCCAAGTCATGGCAACGTATGATCCACCAATTGATACTCCACAGGACACTTGAAGGTTGACTTTTGTTTCTCAGACTACTTCAGCCATGAAGCCCAAATACGAAAGGGCAACTCACTTAAGAATGCAGCAAAGTATCTTAGCACGCCAGGCATAATATCTCTCGGCGGCGGACTACCTTCTAGCGAATACTTCCCATTCGAAGAACTGTCACTGAAGGTCCCTACAGTTGGGAAATTCTCCGAAACTGAAACGAAAAAGTCGGGCGTCGTCGTGACAGCAGGCAAGCACGATCTCGCAGAAAACAAGTCCACATATGACATTTCTACCGCGTTCAATTACGGTCAGGGTGCTGGAGCTGCACAGATGCTGCGGTGGGTCACTGAGCATACTGAGATGGTACACGATCCGCCATACGAGGACTGGCGCTGTACAATGAGCATTGGAAGCACATCTGGACTCGACATGGCTTTGAGACTGCTAGCGAGACCTGGTGACATGATGCTGTCAGAAGAGTACACATTCTCAGCAGCTGTGGAGACAGCACGTCCAATGGGTGTTCGTGTGTGTGGTGTTCCTATCGACGCCGAAGGTCTGCTCCCGGAAGCCATGGACGACACTCTCTCGAACTGGGACGTCAACGCACGAGGCTCCCGCAAACCTCATCTCCTCTACACAGTACCCACAGGCCAGAACCCCACAGGTGCCACACAAGGGACAGAACGTCGACGAGCACTGTACAAGGTGTGTCAAAAGCACGACATCTACATCGTCGAAGACGAACCATACTACTTCCTCCAAATGCAACCGTACACTGGCCCCAACGCTCCAGATGTCCCACCACCCAAGTCCCACGCCGGCTTCCTGAAATCCCTCGTACCCAGTCTCCTTTCCATGGACACCGACGGCCGCGTGATGCGTCTCGACTCCTTCTCCAAAGTCATCGCCCCCGGCTCCCGCATCGGCTGGTTAACCGCCTCCGCCGAAGTCATCGACAAGTACCAGAAACACGCCGACGTATCCACACAAAACCCCTCGGGCATATCCCAACTCGTACTCTTCAAGCTGCTCGACGAGCACTGGGGGCACGCCGGCTACCTCGACTGGCTAATCTACATTCGCATGGAGTACACCAAGCGGCGCGACACAATCCTCGCGTCCTGCGCCAAACACCTCCCCCGCGAGGTCATGAGCTGGAACCCACCCATGGCAGGCATGTTCCATTGGATGCAGGTCGACTTCAGGAAGCATCCGGACTACCCGGCCAAGAGCATTGAGACGATCGAGGAGGAGATTTTCCTCAAGGTGATCGATCATGGAACACTGGTTATGCGGGGGAGCTGGTTCTACGCGGATGTTGAGGAGAGCCATGATACGCTGTTCTTTAGGGCGACGTATGCGGCGGCGCCGGCGGAGAAGATTGATGAAGGGATAAGGAGGTTGGGGGAGGCTGTGAGGGAGGAGTTTGGGTTGGTGAAGGCGAATGGGGGACTGGGTAGTAGCAGCTGATAGCACGAAAGGCTCGTAGTGAATACTCAAGGGTTGCACTATCAGGAGGAGCGTTTTGCCTACGCGGTGGACCCTCTCCCTTGAGTGGAAACTGCCGGATACAAGTCCAAAGTTTTGGGAGGTCTTCAGTGCCAATCTGCAGGTCATCTGCAACATGATAACGTCCCTTGAGATTACAAAGGTTCCTGTGCGTTAGGTCTGCCGAATAGGCGTCACGCTCCTCCAAATAGCAACGCCCATACTCAACTGTCGTAGGTTATATTCCTACAGTACGCAGTGTACATGCTCCCCATCTTCCCATTCCCATCCCCTTCTTCAAACCCGTGCGCTTCCCCTCTGGAACGCAGTACCAAACGTGTACAACCCAAACGTAGCCAAGATGCTCAAACCAATAGGCAGCGGCTTGCCAGACTTGATCGCGCGGGGAATTGAACTTCCAGCGAGGACAATCGAAGCAAGTAGGGCGAGCTCAACGCCGTAGGGGTTGCGATTCTGGATGCGCAGGCCGCCGAAGATGTACAGAAGGCCGACAGTGACGCCAGCGGCGATCGAGGGAACGGAGCCGGTGCGAATGTAGCCTGTGATACCTCCGCCGGCGGTGAGGGCACCAAGCAGAAGAGCAGTGTTTGCGAGGGACTGTGGTATTGTTAGAACTGAGTGCAACTGAGCCAGTGTGATTGGGTGGGGAGCCTGAGGGGAGCTCTTGGAGGTCCTCACCATGATTGTTGGAAATTTGCGACGAATCTGTTGGAAGAGTTTAGAGTTTAAAGTTTTGAGAGATTTGAAGCTTCAGCTATGTTTTGGTAACGTGTCTGAACAAGTAAGCTGAGGAATGGTGCAAGCAGCCGGATAGATGACGGTACCTAGCTTGGTGTTGCGGGGAGAAGCTTCGGACTGCCGATGAGGCCGACCAGGAACCCTGTCGCCCTGGGGCTTACGAATGTGGCCTCAACGTGCGTACGTAGCTCCCGCAAGCTCAACACCAAACAACACAACTCGATTCATTGTCGCCTCCTCCACGCACTGCGTCAGTCAGACTTTACAATGCCGCCCAAGCAACGCACAGCCGCCCCCCAGACCGTTCCTGGCACACCCTACTCGGCTGCGAAACCTAAGTCCGCGAACGACGCGCAAGACATCCTGCAAGGGGTATGGAACCGCTATGTTGAGAAGACAACACAGCGCACAAAGCTGCTTGACAGCTTCATGCTGTTTCTGGTTGTAGTTGGCGCTCTGCAATTCCTCTACGTCGTGCTTGTTGGCAACTTCGTACGTCCTACTTGAACACCTAGACATTGCATCTCGAAGTGCAATTGCAATTTTGGAACTGTACTAACATACAATTAGCCCTTCAACGCTTTCCTGTCTGGCTTCAGCGCTTGCGTCGGCCAATTTGTCCTCACAGCTTCCCTCCGTATCCAGACCAATCCCGAGAACAAGGCCGACTTCGAGAGCATTTCCCACGAGCGGGCGTTTGCTGACTTTGTGTTTGGAAGCTTGCTGTTGCACTTCTTCTGTGTTAACTTCATCAACTGAGCAGTGAGTTGTAAGAGAAGCATCAGCAAGAGGGTAGAGCATATCGAAATGGAAAAAGAGGCCCAACGCAGGCTAGGGAACATGATCGGTGTTATGGCGTAATGATGGCATTGGACAAAATGTTGCTAGCAAGAGATTTGACGGGAGGATTCCTTTACAAAGGAAATCACGCTGAGTAGAGCGAGGAGGTAGTCAGCACGCCTCGAGCGTGCAAAGCAGGTATAAGACTGGCGACTGCCGGATACCCATCAATGCAGCGCGATTTCCACTATCGGATAAGTACAAGATGTGCTGACATGTAGCTTCTTTTTTTACCGGCGCTGCAGTTGCTTCGAGGTGGGTGTGCTTGCCGCAAACCGCTCCTTCCCTCACTTCACCACACGTGATGGCGCGCTTTTCACAACGCGTCGCCGTTTTTGCTAGAGCAATCTCGCGCAGATCCACACTTCTCTTCCTTCACCACCGTCCCTCACCATGGTGGCTACACGCCGCAAGACTAGGAGGGCCTCTACCCCGCTCTCGAGTCCTCCTCCAAGCCCGTTTCCAAGTCAGCCTGCCAGTCGTGCTTCCAGTCCTGCCTACACCGATGAACAATCAGACAGCTGCTACGGTGGCGACCGTGGCTTCAATGCTGACTCTGACTTTGACAGTGAAACCGACTCTGACCACGAGTCTGAGTCCGACAGCAACCACGAGGAACGGTGCAACCTCCATAGCACCTCGCTGGCGACTCACTGCAATGGCCGTACATATGCCAATAAGCGCTGCAGCCGCAAAGCGCATGTCTTCGACGAGGGCAGGCTCCCTGTGTGTAGATCACACCGTTGGTGGGGACAATTTGGGAAAGCAGGCAGGTGCCAGGCCACTGCGGCATGCGGCTATGTTTGCAATCGACTCGCTCCGCACGTGGGCGGATACAATTTTTGTGACGAGCATCAGAAGGGCACCGAGTCGCTCCCCTGTTACATTACACGCCTACCAACGGAGCTCCGGCTGATGATCTTCCGTTACCTTCTCCCCGATACCATCAAGGCCTCACGAACCTATCGCCACAACGACGATCACGCCCACACTGCCGTATTGTTTGTCAACCGTCAGTTCTACGAGGAGGCTGCCTTGCTCATCTACAGCGATCCCAAGTTTGAGGTCAGGATCTGGCCAACCTATATTGAGCTTTTTGGGAGGCGATGGGATCGTGAGTCGATCTGCTACATCCCCAAGAAACCTAGCGAGAAACTTTGTCAAGCGGGTGCACGTCGTATCCGCCACTTGGACGTCCAGATCAACTTTGCCTTGCTGCAGCATAAGGTTAAAGGTGGGACGGGTCTATCCTACGAAGAGTTTGAGCTTTACCAGGTGCGAGACACTGTGCGGAAATTGGTCGAGATCTTATCGCCTTCGCCATCCAACTCCGGTTCTATGGCCTTGAAGCGACTCTCGGTTACACCAGCACCTTCGTGCAGGCAGCGTTGGCTCTCTGATGAGGCCACTGCGGCGATCTTCTTCGTTCTGGAGCCGTTCTTGAGCCTACGTCCTATCGGAAGAGTTGCACTGCAGGCTCCCCCTCGCCCCACGTTGTATACATGGCGCGAACGCAACTTCGTCTCGGTCATAGGCGATCTCCATAAGGACGACAATTACCGTGAATGCCGCAACCAGTGGACCGGCCTAATGACATTTGGTGCCGAACCACCAAAAAGCAATCGACAACTCAATGAAGCTGCAGCGCTTGCAGTAGCATACAAGAAGATCGAGGACTTTGTGCGACTTATCTACAAGCAGGATGCGGTGGAGTTTACTGGTAAGTCTGCCTCATGCTCATCCGATTATATCGTGACTGTTCATTAAAGTCTCGCAGGCTCACTTGTGAAACACGCCTGGACATCCTCGATCTTCCAGGGCATCGAACGGGTATTGCACATCGCTAGGGTAGCATATGAGGATGGTGATATCGAGTCCCTGAAGAAGATCCACGAAGCCATCCTGAAGAGATGGGTCACTGCGCATCAGCAGCAATTACAATCTCTTTCCGCTGTTGCAGGTTCGGTGTCTGCTATGTTCGACGGCGACAATGCTACCCATCACGGAGGACACCCGGAAGCTTTCGACTTCGGGAGTATCGACTCAGTCGAGCACAAGCAGGCGTCAGACGACAAATGGCCCGAACTCCAATTAAAGCCTACTATACCGAAGTTCAGAGCTCCCGGTGTTACATTTGAAGAGAAGAGGATGAAGATTATTATCATCAAAGATGGTGAGAGGAAGGAGTGGCCTAAGACACCAGCGGTGGTTCGTCAGTTGCGAGCATACAAGCAGAGTAACCCCTGAGTTAGGGGCAAGTCACGATACGATGACACTGATGGACCAGGAATCGATAGGATAGCATGATTTTAATGCAAACTCCGGAGCATCAACTAGTGGTACATATGATGTGTTAAAATGGACATGTATTCGTCAGATCATGCTAGTCAGGAACAACATATACAAGAAGAGTACCACGAGACCTACGAGGCTGCAGCCGCATTCAACCTTTGAACCACATCTTTACTTCTGCCTCCTGCGCATACCGACTTCGAGGCCCAGCGGTTTCCTCAAGAACCCCTCTCTTGTCTCCATCTCACCCTGCCTCAGCTCGAACTCGTATCGCTTGAACACAGTGCTGACAATGAGGGCCAACTCCATCTCCGCAACGTTCCTGCCAACACACGCCCTAGGTCCGTAGCTGAAAGGGATAAAAGCAGCCTTCTGCTTCTCGGTGACCTTCTCCCATCGCTCCGGCCTGAAGGTGTCCGCATCCGGACCCCAGATCTCCTTCGAGTGATGGATTGTGTACGCAGGGACAGAGAGCACAGTGCCCTGAGGGAAGTGGCGACCGTTGATTGTAAGACCGGGGCCTGGAGGAATCAAGCGGGGCAAACCAAGTGACGATGTACTGTGGATACGCATAGTCTCCTTGATAACATTGTCGAGGTATGGCAGATCCTTGACCGCGGCAAATGTCGGAACGTCGTCGCTCGGCAGCGCATCGTCGAGCTCCTGCTGCAGTTTGCGGATAACTTCAGGGTGCTGGAGGCAGTGAAAGAGCAGGGCGCAAGATGTGTTCGAGGTTGTGTCTGAGCCAGCAATGAGTTGGGTGAGAGCTTCGGCAGTGAGTTCCTCTCGACCAAGCTTGTTGCCGGTCTCGTCACGGCCTTCCATGAGACGTGCGAGCAGATCGACGCGGTCTGTGTCTGGTCTGGCAAGGCGTTCGTTCACACGGGCTACAGCGATACCGGCGAGGTTCTCGATGGCTTTCATACCCTGGCTGAAGAAGGGGTCGGGGAAGTACTTTGCGTAAGGTTTGATTTGAGGAAGAATACCGATCGTTCTGGACAAAAGATTAGCTGTGGTTTAATGGCGGTTGCAGTTTCCAACATACCCAGAAACCTCACCCCTACGGTTCAACACCTCAATAGCAGGTGCAAATGTAGGTTCAGCATCCGGTGTCTTCCTGACCTCTGCAAAATCCCTGCCTTTCTCAAGCATACCGAATGGCGCACCAAAAGCCAGATCGCCGATGACATCGAAAGCCAGGTAGTTGAACCAGTTCAGGGCATCCATTTGGTACCAATCGCCCTGCTTGGAGGCAGCTCGCTGATCCCATTGCTTCTGCAGTTCCTCGAGGTTGTGGTGCATGTACTGTTCGAATTGAAGGACCGACTTGGCTGAGAAGGTGTGCGAGACGGTCTTGCGCTTGCGTGTGTGTTCGGCGCGGTCGCGGGTATTGAAGAGGCCACGACGGATGGAAACGAAGGCGTCGTAGTATTCACTGGGAAAGGTCAGTATTATTATTACTTGGGGGTTGAAGTTATGCTTACCTTTTCAGCATTCCGTTGCCGTGGCCGTAGATGATTGGAATTGCGTTGGCGTCCGCAATACTGACATGGTGCGGCTGTATCCTGACCATCTGCCCAAGTTTCTTATGCGCATTGTCTACGGCCAGGTAGCGCTTTCCTTGACGGACTTGAAGGAGAAGCCAGAGGTTTGTGAAAGCCGCAGGGAAGGGCGCGGGAATATCCTTGATTTGCCAGTTACGGATGTATGGCAATATGTAGTAGAGGACTGGGAGGAGGATGAGAGTGTACGGCGTAAGGAAGGCCGTGAGAAACATGGTGAAGGTCGTGATGAGGGTTCAAGGGAGGGAAGGATCGAGGGCCGCAGTTATAAAAGAGGAGCTGTCGCGCAGACGGAAAGAGCACTACTTTGACGTAACCAGCTCAGCTCGGTTTCTCGATGATCACCTAGACCTGGCGATTCGTCTGTCTTATATCTTCAACCCTTCGCCACTCATCTTCTCCGAATTTGACGTCTCATGGCTCAACCTGGTCCAGCTTTTCCCAAACCATGCTGGTGACGAGCATCCTTCCGACAATCTCCAGGACCCGCACAAGACCCTTCAAACGTTGACCGGCCGTCCTAATCGTGGGGTGGAGGCGCATTGCCCAATCACAGCGCTCCTCAATCGACCTTACGAAGCCGTGTTTTGGAGCCGACTCCAGGATCGCTGAATTGCTGGACATAGCGTACCCCGCAATCCGAGTTTCCCCCGCCATTTGCATCAATGCTTCGGCTGCCGTCATCTTGTGCTGCTCCCGATTAGGACGTGCTCTTGTCCGAGACTTATGCGCTGCAGGGGCTGTGGATTGGCATTAAGTGCTGTGGGGTTGACGCAACTTTGTGGAGTATAAGAGTGCCGTTTTTGTGTTCCGTAAGCCTCAAAACGGGAGTACAGCATTAGATGTCGCGCATGTGTAAGCGTCTCGGGAGCTGTGTGGTTGGCTGGCGCGTGCGAAACACAAAAAGCTTGGGCAGATGAAGGAACAAGCCTCGTATAGAGCACACAAGAGAAAAAGCTACCAGTTGCGCGGAACACCCCAAGATGAGTATCTCCTTATCAATGAAAGCAACATCAGAAGCTAACTTTTCACCTTTGCTGGAGGTACTCGATGAAGCATCGAGGTGAGATGATTGCAGGCATGTAAGTATGGCGAGGGTTCAATCATAGCGTAAGGAGAATTGTATTAGGGAATAAGCTCATCTATAGCTAATCAAACGAAGCATCACTAGACTCACTAAACTAACAAAAGAGAAGTGAGCCAACATGCAATCATCAACTCGTATACTCGGCCGTAACGTCTCATGGTATCATGCCTTTGCTCCACTCCACCAAAATCATGTATCCGTCTACATATCATCATCTTCGAAGAAGTTCAAGATTGCCTTGATCGCCATAGGGCCCAGCCCGTGCGGCGGGTAGCAGATGTAACTCGGGTCGTCGACCGCACCCAGCTTCTCACGGAACTCGGTCTTGTTGGTAAGCTTGAGCTCGGTCGCGATAGCGTGGTATGCGCGGCTGAGTACCTTGACACGAGTGCCCTTGACATTGTGTCCTGGGGTGAACTTGGAGCTAGCTCCTCCACCGAAAGTAACAGACTCGGCACCAGCAGCGGCGACCTGCTTGAGCGCGTGGGTGACGATGTACTCAATGGAACCCGAGGGCGCATTGGGGAAATCGAGCGAGTACTTGACCTGCCAACCGTGGTCAGGAGACAGCTGTGCCATTGCGACGAAGGCAGCGATGGTGCCGTCGGGGGTTTGTGCAATGTGGTACTGTCGGTGCTCCTCATCCTGCCATGGGTGGATGTTGGTCAAGTGCACCTGGCGACCCTTACGGCCCTTCAGCCAGTCCTCGACACGAGCATCAACCTGCTTCTTGACCTCTGGTGGTGGCGGTGTGCCGATGGGGTAATCACTGATCTTAACACCTTCCTTCTCGGCGTGACGAATCTTGCGTTGAATATCCGCATCCTTATCTGCAGGGTTGTGGGCTGGGTCCACCCGCTGCTCGCCAGTGACTGAAAATGTTCGCCAGTTGAATTTCGTGGCAAGCACCTCCTCAACAGGCGCACCAACAAGGAGCCAAAGTGGCTTGAGGTTGCGCTCCTTCTTGATGTACTTCAGGTAACCAGTCATGGTCTTCAGGTACTGAGACTCGTGGCAAAGAGGGTCACCAACAGTGATGGCGAAACCATCCTGAGGCACGAAACCGACTGCTGCACCAGTGTGCTGGTCACGCCAGACTTCTGTGCGTGGCTCGAGCCACGATGTATTGGTCGCATCACCGTAATTGGCAATGAGCTTCTCAATGGGCTGCAAGTCAATGTTGGCCAGGACACGATCTTGTCCCTCCCACGGTGGGTGCATAGTGCTTGCGTCTGGATGGCGCAACTGCTTAATGACAGGCTTCTCAGGCAAACTCTTGGGATCGCGAGGGAACATCGATGCGTGACGAATGTTTCCAAGGTTCAGCAAGAGCATGAGAATACGCTCCAAACCAATACCACCACCGCCGTGAGGTGGTGCACCCCACTGGAAGCCTTGGATATACTCCTCCATAGTCGAAGGATCCATCTTAAGCTTAGCCATCTTGTCAAGCAGCAACCTAGAGTCGTGGATACGCTGACCACCACTGAGAATTTCCTGACCACGACAGAAGATATCGAATGAGTTGGTGAGTTCAGGGTTGTTAGGATCTTGCATGGCGTAGAAGGGTCGTGCGTTGGCTGGGAACTTGTCCAGTACATAGTAGTCGGTGCCGAGCTTCTCTTTGATGACACGGCCCAGTTGAACCTCGTCCCTGGTACCCAGATCCTCATTCTCGTCGAGCGGGTTGCCGTTGTCGTCTCTCCACCCTGATTCATTGAGCATGCGCACACCCTCAGCGAACGGAATAATGGGGGTCTGATCCAGCCAGACCAAGTCCTCGTGAGGGAAGTGCTTCTTGACAACCTCGATTTCGGGACGATAGCGTTCGTAGATGCCCTTAAAGATGGTCTTGAATGTGCGATCGAGAACGCGGAGCACCTCGTGGTAGTGCTCATCAATCTGCATCTCAAGATCCAGACCAGTGTACTCCGTCAAGTGGCGGTATGTGTTACTGTTCTCAGCACGGAACACGGGACCAATCTCGTATACCTTGCCGAAATCTGCGGAGATAGCCATCTGCTTCGCCAATTGAGGACTCTGGGCAAGGAAAGCACCACGGCTGAAGTACTCAACCTTAAAGACACTGGCGCCAGACTCGGTGGCGCCACCCTGCAACTTGGGTGTGTGAATCTCGATGAAGCCCTGCTCGTCGAGAGCTTGGCGGAAAAGATTGCAGATGCCGGACTGGATGCGGAAGATACCTTGCGATGCTGTTGATCGCAGGTCGATGATGCGGTTGTTCAAGCGTGTCCTGTCTGCAATCCTGACGCGGTTGTGTCCCTCCTTGTGGTCAGGCTGGGCGACCTCAGCATCAACGTCGGCCTGTGTGACTTCGGCCTCGTATACGTTGAAGGGAAGATGGTCGGCGATTTCCGCTTCGACGTGCAGCGCGTGCACTGAGATCTCGACGTCGTGGATGGTGGTACCAGTGACTTCGCCCTGCTTCGAGTTGGGCGCTTGCAAAATGCCTTTAACAAGGACGACACTCTCAACCTCAAGGTGCTCCGCCCAGTACAGCATGTACTTGGAGATATCTGAGTGCTCCATGAGGACACCCTGAATGGTGGCGAGCTGCTGACGGAAAACGAAGAAGACGAACTTGGAGCTCATCTTACGCAGGTGATGAATGCGGGCACGGAAGATAACCTCCTTGCCAACATCGTCCACTGTGAAGTCCTGGATGTTGGCGCGGTGTTGATGCTTCCACTCGCCAGCATAACTGTTTGGAGGAACGACACCATATTTTGCTTTCTGCTCTGGTGTCAATTCGGCGTTGGCTTGCTCCTCCATCTCCTTTCTTCTCCTCTCGATCTCTGCCTCCTTCTCCATGTTCTGCTTGTGACGCTCCTCCTGCTGTGCATGCTTCTCGTGCTTGCGCAACTGGTTGCGAGACATTGGCTCGCCATCGCGGTTAATAGGACCGCCCTCATCGCTGGAGGAGTCTCCAATGTGAAGTTTCTCCTTGACAACGCGCATAGGGCTGTGAGTGCCAAGTGAGCCGCTTCGTTCATGCTTGCGGTCCTTAGAGCCAGATCGATTAGGGCTCTGCGTGCCACGGTGGAAGACGCCAGTCATGGACTTGCGCGGGGCGCTGCCATGGTCGAGGCTTGACCGGCTCTCTGTGGGAGAAGCAATCTGGTCGCGCCTCATCTCACCGCTGGGCCTGTGAGCAAAGACGCCGGAAGAGCGCGGCGTGGCCGCGGGAGACTGGGCTCTGCCATTAGCAGACACGCCTACTGGCGACTTCACTCCACTCGGCGACTTGACACCGCTCTCGTCTTCGGAGCCGTGGCTGCTGTGGCCCGGCTTGAGCTTCTCAAGTGCTTTCTTGAGTGCGGCCGGCATTGTGGTGTTTGTGGTGTTTGTGGTGTCAGAGCTGTGCCCGGATTGCGTGTGGAGAGACTACCAGTTCGCAGGGTGGGGCAAGCCGACGGAATGGAGCGTAGGGATGTAGGGAGGAGGTTTGTTGAAGAAGAACACGATCTCTGTGGGGGGAATATGAAAAGTAAGACCCTGATGTATCAATGGGAGATAAGCCGGAACCACGGTGCCGCCGGACTCCTGATCGCGAACGTGCTGCTGGCTTTCTTGATGCACACGGTATGACGCAAGTGCCTTTGAATTCCGGAAGGTGTGGCGCGTGCGTACCGAAAGCGTTTCGAAAGCGTGTTTAGCGCTGGAAAGCTTGTTGGGTTTTGATGGGATTCACCAAAAAGAGACTGCGGATGCGTCGGTATGACGTTGGTACAATAATGCGTGGGAATCCTCGAATTCGAGATACGAAGGCGAGGGATGAGGTCGGGAATGGATTCAGTCAGCGGGGTGAGGACCCTTTAGGCTCTATCGCTTCATTCATACGCATGCATGCAGGCAGTTTCCGCGCCGTGGAGGCCTACAGGGCTTACTCAGTGGCCTTTGATATTGCTGACGCATCCGCTATCGCATTATCACATCTTTCTCTTTGCGGCAACGATTACCTACGCACATGCTGAAGCTCTCTGAAGCTTTCCCAGGCCGAGCTGACAACATTAGCCACCCCACTTCGCGCAGGCTGGACCAGCCCTTGAGACCACCATTTGTGCCTCTAATTGCCTCCAGCTGGCAAAAGCCTGTGCAAAATGGTTAGCCATGCATAAGCTTAAGGGCTCCAACCCGTGGACGAAATGCACAATACAACAAGTCTTCGATCCCCCTATTTGCCGGCCCTTGCATGACAGACATGTGGCTGTCAAAGCCAAGAGGCTTGTGTTGACTTTTCAAGTCTATCCCCATGCCGAAACATGGGATATTTCGATGCTTATCACAAGCCCATGCATTTACGGTGTAGGAATTCGTATCGATTTGCAAGTCTAGACTGAAGGATCTCCAACACCAAACACCCCCATGACCACTAGCTTTACGACACCGTCATAGCAATTTACCACCTAGTAATCCGTCGCTCATTGCCCCTTGTGTTGCGCAAAAGCCGGATATGTTGCGCTGGAATTGTTGTAGTCTTGTAACAGATCACCAAGTTGCTGGTAGCTTCCAATTTACACTGAATACCTTCCGTGATCTAGGGAATGCGCTGGTGTTCGGCTTCCCATGAAACTAAAGAACTCATTGCTTCTCAGGGTATGCCAAATTAGCAGCATCCTCCTCGGTACTGAAACCTCCCCAGTGCTCAAACTCGTCTGCAAACTTTACTGCCGCCTTCTTGAAGTACTGCGTGTCATCGCCCCATGTTTCTGAGATTGCCTTCATACATCGCAGTGCTGTGTGGGGTCAGTGGGGCATCTGGGGAAATAAATGCGTGCGTGGTCATACCTTTGACGTAGTGTGCGTCTGTGGATTCAGACGAGTCGAGCGCCTTGTGTACGACAAACTTCCAGTCTCGGCCATTCAGCTCATATCTTTCGATAATGGTAGGATCAATCTGGGGCCGTGTCTGCGCAATGTATACGGCTAATGTGAAGAGCCACCACTGTCGCACCAGGCTGATATGGAATTTGGCCGGGACCAGTGGGAGTAGTACACGGACTGCATGCGATGAGGTGAGGATGTGCACGAAGAAGAAGTCGAACTTGGTGTTCTCCGGCGCCTCGGTGCCCATCAGTATCGTGACCGCAAGTTCCTGCGACTGCCGGAACGCTGTTTGTGGATCTGATAGCTCCCACGCATTCCAGTATTCTAGGAACGCCTCCTCTTGCTCTTCCAGTACCTTCGAGATATCGCCACTCCGATGAGGGTATAGTTCGTCGAAACGCTTATCCTCTCGCACTTTGTTTAGGATCTCACCGAGATTGGTACTTCGGCGAGGGCTTGGTTTCGTATACGAGGTATCGTCGATGTAGTTGTGGAGGGGACTGTAAAAGCATGCGCCCAGAGCCAGAGCTTCGATCGCAACGGTCGTCGACCCGAGTTCGTAGGCGTAACCGAGGTGGATGAGAGGATGTGCGAGCCCAGAGATCATGCCATTGATCAGTGGCTTCTTCCCGCCCAGCAGATACTCCTCTAGCACCTGCTGCACATCGTACCTCCTAAATACAAGCTGATCCTCGAAGAAGTCCACGAAAGCGCGCTGGTACCTGCACATCGTTAGCACCTGCCCACTCCACCCACCAGAACACTCACTCTCTCTTCCCAAGGAAATCCCTCCAGTCATCACTCGTGATCTCTGCCGGCGCATCATGCCACGGCTCTAGCCCTTCAGCTTCCTTCTCATAGATGTCGTTCAGGTGCTCCGCTGTGCCTCCAAGGATATACGCGGACCCCAGGATCTACTCATCAAGCTTAGCAGCTACCTTCAGCCTTGGGTGGCATTGGAGCAGCATACATGCGGTGTGTGATTGTGGAAGCGTAGGTCATGGTATATGATTGAGTAGTTTGCGTGGTTCGCTTTGATCAAGTGCTTGAGGGTTCGCGAACGCTTTTCGGCTGCTGTTTCGATATCGTGGACTTGGACGGAGGGTATATCGATTGTTTGGTGGGTTCCGCTTCCTCCGGTCAGGAAGGACGGTAGAGAAATCTTGGGCAAGCTGAACATGGTGACGTTTTGTGAAGGTGTGTTCGTTTGCTCGAAGCTCGAAGCACGACAATTGCGGGGGGGGGGGGGGTTTCATCATAGCTCACTCATACTTCGCTCGATCCGGCATGACGTGATTTTTGTTTCGGTTCTTTCCCGTAGATCTCGCCGTACTCGCAACCATTGCCAGGATCAGTTGAGCCGCGCATCGAAAGGCGTGTGCACGGTCACGGGTTCACATTCGGGCTGCTGTTGGGGCTCGCAACTGTTTCTTGCTGCACTTCTCCCAACGCCGGTCTCTGCGAAATCCCGAGTGACCGAGACAGAGTACAAGAAAAAAAAGCCACACTGACGGACCGAAGTTGTGGTTGTTGTAATACCAAGATGCCTTGTGTTGATGTGTGGACATATTGTCTACTTGCCTTTCTATCTCAGAACACTACGACGGCGACAACTTGGCATATCGAACCCAACAAAACGTCCAAGCCCTCCCTTCGTGACAGTGGTATAACGCTTAGTATTCACCCTCCTCAACCTCGTCATCGAGAGAGTCGCTAGCAACCTCTTCGTAGTCCTTCTCCAAAGCAGCGAGATCCTCACGAGCCTCGGAGAACTCTCCTTCCTCCATACCCTCACCAACGTACCAGTGAACGAAAGCACGCTTGGAGTACATGAGGTCGAACTTGTGGTCAAGACGCGACCAGGCCTCAGCAATGGCGGTGGTGTTGCTAAGCATGGAAACACTTCGGTCGACAGCGGCAAGCTCGCTGCCGGGAACGCTGATGGGCTTAGTGTAGTTAATTCCGAGCTTGAAACCAGTAGGGCACCACTCGACCAAGTTGAAAGAGGACTTGGCCTTGAGCGCACCAGCGGCAGCAGTGCAGTCGCGGGGAACGATGTCACCACGGTACAGCAGAGCAACAGCCATGTACTTTCCGTTGCGCGGGTCGCAAACAACCATCTGGTTGTTGGGCTCGAAGCCTGGGTTGATCAGTAAACATTATGAATGGGCGAGCTGATGGATTACTTACACTGGAAAGTAAGGTCACTGACCTTAAAGCTCTCGTGGGAGCTCTTCTTGGCCGAGATGACGGGCGCGTAGCTGATAAGAGGGTAGTGGATACGCGGGTAGGGCACAAGGTTGGTCTGGAACTCGTTGAGATCAACGTTGAGCGCACCGTCGAATCGTAGGGAGGAGGTGATGGAGCTGACAACCTGGGCAATCAGACGGTTGAGGTGCTCGTAGTTGGGCCTAGGAATATCCAGGCTGCGACGGCAGATATCGTAGACCGCCTCGTTGTCGACGAGGAATGTGCAGTCGGAGTTCTCGATGGTGCTGTGGGTCGAGAGGACAGCGTTGTAGGGCTCGACGACGGAGGTAGAGACGCGAGGAGCAGGGTAGACGGCGAATTCCAGCTTGCACTTCTTGCCGTAGTCGGTGGAAAGGCGCTCGAGGAGGAGAGCACCGAAACCAGAACCTGTACCTCCACCAAAGGAGTGGAAGATAAGGAAACCTTGGAGCGAGGAGCAGTTGTCTGAAAGTCATCAGCATAAGTTGTAGCAGCGTATGTGCGTACTGCGTACCGGCGACACGGCGAATCTTCTCAATCACACTGTCGACCATCTCCTTGCCGATGGTGTAGTGACCACGAGCGTCTGTTCCTTGTCAGTATCTTATGTTCTTGAAGTGATTTTGGAATACACACAGTTGTTGGCAGCATCCTCCTTGCCGCTGATCAACAGCTCAGGGTGGAACAGCTGGCGGTAGGTACCAGTGCGGATCTCATCGATGGGCTATCCAATTAGCAATGAGCTGTGCTGTGCGCGCTCTGCAACGTACAGAGGGATCCAAGTCGACAAAGATGGAGCGAGGAACGTATTTGCCGCTGCCAGTCTCCGTGAAGAAGGTCTCGAACGAGCCGCCCTCGTTGAGCTCCTTCGCATCGGGGTCCGGGCGACCGTCAGCCTTGAGACCGTGCTCAAGAAGGTACCTGAGGAGGTAGAGTCAGCTATTGCGCTTCGTGGCGGGCGCGTAGGTTTGCGAGACGTACAGCTCCCAGGCGCTGTTACCGAGCTGGGTACCGGCCTGGCCGATGTGGAGGTGGCAGATCTGCAGTGCTCTCTGTCAGCATGTGGTCCCAACCTCTGCACATAGTCCGTGTCTGCGAAGGTATCAAAGCGATTGACGTTTAATGAAACTCTCTGATCCTCGGCTAGCACACAGCCGTTGCGCCGCGAGCCAGCGGAGCTCTCGTCTCGTCTCAGGCGCGTAGAAAGAGGGGTGTTGTTGTGGGCTAGGCGAGCGTGTCTGGGACGGGCATTGCAGGTAGACGTACCTCTCCTCGCATGGTGGATGGTTGACGCTGTATCAAACAGACTGCAGCAGTGGGTTCAAGGTCGGAGCCTGTGAGGTTGGTTGAGAATCTCTGAAGGTCGTTCGCTCCTCCTCCTCCTCACCGCCAGAAGCCCCACCCTGGCAGGGGCGTGTTGCCTAGCGTTGTTTACGCGACAGTAGCGCTGCCTTCTTTCGTGTTAGACCAAAACAATTCAGGGTACATCCGCATCGAGACAGCTGCCTAGGTCAATTTGGCGAGAGACAAACTGCACTTGACGGGACAAGAGCTACTGCAATTACGATTCATGCATCTCATGGCTGCAACGCCCCGCTGGTAGCTTTGTTGAACAACAATCGTGGTAGCTTGTCTGTCAGGGTCCCTCCCGCAAGTCGCTACCATGGTTCGGCGTTCTCTAGTAGTGATGTACAGGTACAGGTACACGGTCAGTCTCTCGTACCCGCAAAGAAGCCTGCAAGAAGGGTTCGGGCTGGTGTCTCTTGATTCGCGATGAAAACGTTTGTGAAATCCAAGAGTTCATCAGTGAGAGCAGTGTACGCTTTCGATGACTTGGAGGATGTCGCTCTATCGAGGGAATCAAAAGATACGCACAGAGTGCCTCCTGGAGGTCAACTGATGTTATTTGGGCGGGGTTCATCATGGATACAATACACGGTTGCGTGCGGCTTTGAAAGTATGCCTCAATCTATTTCATGGATCTATGGTCGCTTGCCTGCGCGTCGCAATGTAAAATCAAGGAAATGAAATATTGGACCATGGCGCACTGCCCTTGGTCTGCTTTGACGGATCAGCTCCAAGGCTGTCACTCTATACACACATCTTCAGTCCCTGCAACCTCACGATCAGACTGAAAAATGTAGACAAAGGAAATCATTGTGAGACTAGTGGAATCGTCTCATCTCAATGTTGTCGGTCTTTGACCGTGCAGGAGCAGCGAAGCTCCTCTCCGATGTGATGGAGTTGACCGGGTTCAAGCTCTGTGGGTGAAGAGCGCCAGAAGACGTGGGAGCACAAGAACTCTCGGAGCTCCTCACAGCTTTCGGGCTGACCAGTCCAGAACGTGGGTCGAGTTTCTCTGTGCCTGTTGGGGTGCTATCATAATTGCCCTCAGGAATATTGGCCATGCCAGTCTCTTCGTCACCGTGACGGCCACGGCTGAAGAACCTGTTCCTGTGAATGCGCTCCCGCGCTCCAAGGCTGCTGTTCGTGCCGACACGTTGGATGCCAGTCGAGTGACCGGTGTCTTGAGACGAGCGCGCTCGCTCCTGAGAGTGTCGTGACGGCGATGTTACCCTCACAACGGTAGCTCTTTGGCGGGCCGCAATGTCACGATCGTCCAACACATCACCGCTAGGATCGTCAATCATGTCCTTCATACCCAGCGAGAAGTCGACACGTTTGCCCATAGCAGCTATTGATTCTCCTCGATGTTGACCGGGTTGACGTAAGATGGAGCCACGGCGGGCAGGCCCACCGCTGCCATTGGCAGCATCATTGGAGCCATCGGTTGCCGCTGGTACAAAGGGCTCGTCTTGACTCTGGTTGTTAAGGTGTCCTCCCGGGTTGTCAGGGTGGCCATTGTGTCCAACACCAGGTGTAGGAGCATTCTGAAGGTTCTGAAGGTATACAGGGAACGATTCCTTCTGACCGGGGTAGCGCATGCGAGGTCCTTCAATACCGCACTCCTGGATGGACATAGTAAGTGCGCAGATGAACTTATTGCGACGTTGCAGACGCAACAGCTCGTTCTGCCAGTTCGACTTGTAGAAGAAGACTACGTTCATCTCGAGCCAATGAACCTCTTGGACTGCCCTCAGCTCGGTCAGAATGTTTGTCTGGTACTCGCGCTTTTCTGACGTGACGAACTCCAGCAATAGCTGACGGAGGCGGTCGATCTGCTCAAGCGTGGTACCAAATTTGATAATGATGGGTACAGCTTCAGCCAGGGCTCCGGAGCGTCGGTGATTGAGAATGAACAGCGTGTTGAGGTAGCTGTTTGGTGCCTGGACAACGTGACCTTGCATCTTCTTGAACTCGGTGTAGAAGAGAGCAATCTCCTTGACAAAGTAGTCATCGCCACGTCCTAGATCACCACTGTTGCCGTAGATTTGTACGCGGTCTCCCACATCATAAGGGTGCTTGATGAATACAAAGATGCACGACTGAAGGAACTCTTGTGCCGTCGCTGAGAACAGCCAAGAAAGAGCCAGAAGTGTCGAGCCAGCAGATGTAAGCACACCAGATGCCGAGGTTGAAATCAGGGAGATGAAGACGATGATCGTAATGACGAGAACGATGAACATGAAAACATCATCAAGTTTGCCGACTACGCTGTCAAGATCCTTGAGCGATGCAGTGATGGACTTGCGCTCACGGCCGATTTCGACGCACACGGCTTCCAATTCTTCCATTGAGATATCACCATTCATGTCTTTGTCGAACATAGAGAAAGCAGCGTCTGCCTCCTCATCACTCTCGAAGGCGTTCTTCAGATCGTCGGCGTGCACCGTCTCAGTCTCGGGTCGTGCGAAGGTTCGGTACAGACGACGAGCAAGGACCTGTCCACCACTATTCGTGCTAAGAAGCTGGATGACCACTTGGCTGGGGTGATTGCTAGACGTGACTTGACGGCCGGTGAAGTCACCAGCAACCTTTCCTGCAATGTCTCCGAATTTGTTGAATCCTTCCTTGATGTTCTTTTGAGCCTCGGTGACCAACTGACCAGGAGTGCGTGCACCAGATGGTCCTTGATCGTAGTGCTCAAATTCAGAGTCCTCCATCGCAATTTTCTGTTTCGAGTATGTGTAGAGCTTGACCAGACTGCCAATTTGAAACTTATTCAGTTCGATCCGGTCCTGGTATGTTCGGAGATGGAAACTGATGGCGATGAGTTGAATGATGATCTTTTCGACAAAATTCAGGACAAATCCGACGAAGAGCGAAACAAGAACCTTGTTCATGGTCTTCTGCCAAGACTGAGTCTGACCATTTTTTGACGGTTGGACGTTATGGTGCGTCATCGTAGGAAGGAAGGAGACTTCAATCGCCAACCACCAGAAGAACAATGTTGCTGGTAGCTCGAGCTGTTTTCCCATATCTCTCCACTTCTTGCTGTTGTTCGTGAAGAGACTGGAGACAAGACCAATAGGCCACGGGAGCATTTTGGCGAGGAGCTGGCTTATGTCAGATGTGCTCATGGGGCTAAGATGGAGAACTTACCCGACCAGCCCAAAGTGTCAACCAGACAATCATAAGCCATATTGAGAACCACACAAGTTTTACGCCGCCGACGTTCGCATTTGGGAAAGCGAGCGCTCCGACAAGAATCGGTATAAGGATAAGAAGGACCAAAGGTGTGATGTATGTGAAGTACCTAACAACCCAACTCGAGTTGTGCACCTTCTTGAAGAACTTCGAGAACTTTGTAGTCGGATTCTCCGGGGGTTTGTACCGAGCTGCCTGTTCGTGTAGAGGGTTCGTCGCCGCGTCGAAGTCGTCGATAGGCTCGTCGCGTCGAGATCGTACTTTTTGCATAGAGCGATTAGTTGACTGCCCTCTTTCAAGCGCTTCTGCGTCGATGATGCCCCGCTCGATCTGGAGTAGCGCGAGATCATCGTCAAGCCTGCTCGCCTGCTCACGTGTCTGGGAAGGTGACTGCATCTGGTGAGGGTATTCATATTGCGTTTCCACTGTCAAATGAGTTCCAGACCGCGGCCGGGTGCCAGTTGCAAGTCTTGGTGGATTTGCATTCGTCGACGTATTCGAATGCTGGTGGCTCAAATCTTCGCCGACATAAGTTCCATCATCGTCTGACGAGCGCTGGTGAGGCGCTGCAGGTGAGACATACGTGTTGCTGGCCATGTTGTACGTTGGCTCAGGCCGCTCGTTTACTGGGGTCATCGTGTTTGCTGGTTTGGAGGTCCAGCGACCTTACAAGACCTTCAGGCAAGCGATCGAATGTCAACGTCTTAGAATCGACGGGTTCTGTAGTTTTCGAACTAGCGATTGGTGACGTCGCGCTTCGAATTTTCGCCGGACGTAGGTTTGGACCTTTGGGCAGCGAGCGACAGCAAAGAAAAATGTTGTAAGTGAATGCAGAAATGAGGATGTTAGGAGAGGGCCTGGAGGAAGTCAGTGGATAGTGGAGAAGATGTGCGGTCCAGACGGGCGACCTCCATACAAAGACTCCTGATCTACGATGTTCATTTCGACAAGACGACGGCTCTTAGAAAACTGGGCCAACACTTACTCGAGGTTGTTGGGGCGGATTTGGTACGAAAACCTCTGCTTGTGCCAATGAACGCCTGATAACACAATTCTTATCCTCTCCGGAACAAATCAAAGTTGCACAAGACACCGTTGAACTCGCCGAGATTCTTGTCGAATACGTCACCGCTGCAGGTCCAAAGACTGGGACGCTAAGACCATGCCTCGCGCTTGATTTGGTCGTATGTGCACAACAATCGCAACGTAGTCAACAAGTTTACGATTCCCTCATTTCTTTCACATGCACAAATCCCAGAATTCCTCCTGGGTTGCCAACGGCGCACCGTTATCGCGGGAAAGCTTTATGTCGATCGTACTAGATACCCCTGCACCTGTTTGCTTCGTGTAGGGGACCTGGATCTCAAGCAGCTCCAGATTTCTCATTAGATCGATCAGATCATGTTGATGAGGGATGAGACTCCCTGTACTACATCTTTCTGTAGCATTGTCCGGGTACCCAAGGTCCCAACAGGCGCGTTCAGTGCAAACACGACCACGACTGCGCCAAATGGCTGCTCTCACGAACAGAGGCGTGGATCGGCATACGACGTGTACTCGCGTTAGGCGACGCCTCGAAGCAGTGAGTGGAGTCAAGCGTAGGCGGACCGCTCAATTACCGATTCCGAACATCTTGCTGTGGATCCTATGTTGTCATTACTCGTATCCAAAAGTTGTAAGTGTCGTCATGCTCGGTCCTCAATGCATTCAGAAGCCGCGGTTCGCATAAGCTCTGAGATGCAATCGCACTGCGAACCATTATTGCGTGGTTCTGTTGCAGAACCCAGATGCAAGCAGGCAATTCCCCCAAATTATAGGATGTAGTCAAGTCATGCCTGCCTCTCCGTTGTCAACAGGTAGATGAGAGACTACAGGTGATTTTACTCTCTCAAACTACAGTCAAAACCACTCCGAAGTCCTCCAGATTTGAACATTCAGGAAGTGAACAATAGCTGCTGCGCCCGGGCATTACTGCAGCATAAGAGCGTGGTTCTTTTCAGGGGTTGTGTGGAAGCTCGAAGTCCACAAACATCAATAGATTGGTATAGACGCCTTCAGCACCGACGCTGCAAACAGCAAACCTTTTACTGGTCGTAGAACTCCTTCCAATCGCCCCAAATAATCTCGTGCTCGTACTTCTTCATAAGCTGGCCGGTAGGATCGTCGCCCTTCACGTGTGCCCAAGCTCCAGCAAAGTGTATAACAAACGTGCCGTGTTCCCACACTTGGTTCGAGTCATCGAAGCATGCAATCTCCTGTGGGAATGCGTTTAGCTTCCACTGAGGCACCTGATGCACAGTCGCAGCCATAACTTTATCATCCTTGAGCAGCTGCACTGTAGCATCTTGCTCGCTCATTTGCTTGTCCTTCTTCTTCGCCTCGTCGTGAATCGCAAAGGAGTCGTGTATCAGCTTGAGTGACATCTCATGACCGCGGAGGAGGAAGGAGCCAGAGTTGAGGCCATTGCAATCATGCGTAGTGAGGTAATCGATCGCATCGGGGTTGGTGACATTCTTGAGTTCCTCCTCGATGATATCGGTGACCTTGATATCTGTGTTGGTGATTAGTGTATCGAAGTCGAGCCACCATATCCAGTCGTATTTGCCGGTCTTGATGAGACGCTCGGCCATGTTATATTTCCAAAAGATAACGGCGCGGTCGGTGTGATATTCATAGTCAACGATAAAGTCGTAGCCGTGGCGACGTGCGTAATCTATAGCCTTTAAATCAGCTACGTTGGAGAATACAATGTAGTTTGACTTACGATCCTTGCTTTTGAGCGCGAGATGATGGTACGAGCGCTCTTCGGTCACGAATGTCATGATTGCGATACGAGGCGTCTTCTTCTCGACGGTTGATTCAGCAGGTACAGGTGACATATTCACAGGGCCTTCCTCATGGGAGGGACCCTGGCTGAGCTGCCATCCGAAGAATGCGAGGAAGACGAGGAGGAACAGGAAGGCCGGTGGGATCTTCAGGGCGCGAACAAGCATCTTGACGGCTGGAGGCCCTCACGATGGAAGTCAAGAGGCAGCACAAGGACAGACCAGTGATACCGTGGTCTCAGCTACATATTTCGCAGCTGGTCGCAATAGAACGCCAAGTAGGTTTCGGTAAAGCGAGGGAGGTCAGCTCCGAGGCGCGTTCCTTGGGTCTTGCAGGACAGACGACCCTGCACTCCAGGATCGAGACCGCGGACCTGGCTCAGCACCCCGCGCGAGAAGAACTGCAGATCTTTTCGGAAGAACATGCAGGATCAGGGTGCACGGCAGCTAAAGAAGAGAACCGAGAGAACACTTGAAACGATCGTCAGGGCAGACGCTTGGTTACGAGACGGCCCGTCGTCAAACGCTCGCAGCTCGTTCCTGCCCAGTGGATCCTGACCCAGAGAGCTCCTGCCCAGCCCCACCACTCCATCCTGAGGTCATTCGCCAACCACCTCACAAGGCTGAACAACACCAATGCATGCGCCAGTTACCGTCGCGACAACAACATTATCGTGGTCGTAGACCCAGACTTGCAAATTTATCACGAGCATGTCCGACTCCACACGACGTCGCGGAGGTGGGGGAGTTGCACAAAGAGGTCTATTTGTGGACGGCGTCTGGCACTGTAAGGACAGTACATAGTACCGCTTACCCTATGCGACTGACGATCGCCAGGCGATTGCACTCCTCGACAGCCAGCGAACCATTTTGAAGTAAAGAAACAAGGCCCCAATCAGGGCAAATGGTGTAAGCTTCCAAACGCTACGAGTGCCTCCAGGGTACCGTGAGAATTGATACTTGCTAGTTCGCACATGTCAGAAGCAGCAGAACGACAAGTCTCGGTGCAAGTTCTTCCTATGGGACGGCGATGCTCACCCACGTGAGGCAGCCGCTCTTGCAAACAACACTCGTACCGAGCCGTCACATACAACCCCCAAAACACTGTCCAAGCGCCCAGTATCTCCACCACCCTACACAATTGAATCAGGGCGTGGTGAAACGAGTCGAAAACGAGGTCGAGCTACCAGCATCGACTTGGACGATGAGTACGGCTTCGAAGCCACCGACGAGGCATTCAAAAATGAGCTAGACCATGTTATGACTGCAGTCGAAACACCAAGAAAGGCAGCCAGAACAGGCGAGTTGGCGACACCTTCGACAAAACGCACGCTGCCTTGGAATCAGATTGCGGCCAACGCCAATGGATTACAGACACCGCAGACAACTCGTACTGTACAAGCGGACCCTTTCTCCTCGAGACTGAGCAGATCGCTACTCACTCCTTCTCGCCCAACTGACGCAGCGCATTGGACTGCAACGCCCTCTTCGTCGCCTTATGAGACGCCTACACCTAGTCGCTTCAAGGATGTGGGACAGGATGACCTCGTCCGTGATGTCTTTGCCTTATTGCACGACGCCAACATCAAGCTTAGTATAACGACAGAGAACGACCTTCACACTCTACTATCGAAGCATACAAAGGCTGCTGAAGCCCTTAAACGAGGACGCGACGTGACAAGATCCACCATCAAAGCTAGGGACGCAAAGATCACCGAACTCAGCTACCGCATCAGTACACTCGAAGCGGAACTAGAAGCAGCGGAAGCCACGGTCAAGCATCTACAATGGGAAGTTCAGAATAAAGCGCATACGAATCCTTGAGAACGCCGTCGCTTGAAGAAATTGCTTTCCCGCCCTTGCAAGGCTAGCTGTTCGACAGGCGCCAATTCATAACCTGGATCCAACTCATCCAGACCCTTGCCTGGCTTTCAGGAAAGTCAAGACGAGAAAAGCTCACATCCACTGGCCCACTCTCACGCTGCAAAGCCAATCTCGATGCTAATCCTGGAGGATTGCTTTCTGTGGTACGATGCGCGAACGCCATAAAACTCTTCTTCAGGAGGTAGCTGTGATTCTTCCCATGATTTGGTCGGTTCTGACAACCCGAAACTCCTCGAAAGCACGCAATGAAGCCTTGTAAGCACGAAATGCGAAAATCAGATAGCACCTCCCTCCTCATGGCTAACAGGCATGACGAAGGTTGAGACCACGACGCGACCAGGGCGGCGGAGGCCAAGATATGCCCAGGCTCGTCAAGTCGGAAATCGGCAGGTTCACTTGTTGGTGATTCGCCGGAAACGCTTTTGGCACGCCACACCTGACGTGCGCCGAACCTCCGCCCGTGTCCTGTTATGTACATCGTGCAGCGGAAACTTGGCAACAAACTGCACGCCATTTGCGAGGTCTGTGTTGTACCGTTGCGGTAGCTTGGAGGATATTCAATACTTTGAGGCAATAGCTACTGTGATGGAGACAAAGCTACAACGTGCAGGAGGAACTTGCGGTTGCTATAATTGTTCAGATCTTTGTAGCAGTCCATTGCATACTCCTCAACCCTCTGCAAATCAACCCATGTCTGGAGGATTCGCGCTGTGAACATTTGCAGGTGGATCATCGGCCCTGTCGAAAACACGGAACATCATGGTCGCATTGTGTCTACATTTCGCCTAGTCTACCTGAGAGAGAGGCCCTCAGCGTCCAGTGGTGTGAATGCCCACACCGTGTGGGCATGGGATGAACGTACCCAGGATCCCTGCATTGACTACCGTTCTTGGCGATTCTGACCCGACAAACAAGATACAAAATGTAGCCTTTGCTTACGTAGTTTGTTCATCCATTTGATCTCTTTTACTCCATCCTCTGTCCTCCAACACGGACTGCCTCCAGACAGCATGGATTTCCTACGAAAGATCGGTGGCTATCTTGCGCCTCCACCGCCGAAGTCTGACGACGGGCGTGACCAATGGCCCTCACGCACAGCCTTCCTTCTTGCCGCCATGGGCGGCTGCGCTGGACAAGGAAATCTTCTTCGATACCCCTCAGTCGTTTACAACAACTACGGACTTCAATGGTTCATTCCATACCTACTCTCCGTATTCCTCATTGCCATTCCCGCTCTAATCCTGGAGGTCTCTATAGGCCAGGCTTACCGCGGAGGCACTGTCATAGCCTTCAACAACATGAATGGACGACTGAAGGGAGTTGGCATGGGTTCAGTCATTGTATCCTTCATAGTGGTTCAATACTTTACCGTCAACCTGGCATGGATCATGAGTTACTTCCGCCACAGCTTTACAAGTCCCTTGCCATGGCAAAATCGGATCGACAACTTCTACTGGAACGATGTTCTTCGCATTGGCAATATTACCGAAGGAGGTTTGACCGAGGACGGCAATAGCGTGGCATCATACGTCGGCTACCCCAACGTTTCTCTTATCGGCGAAACCGTTGGCTGGAGTATCTTCGTCTGGTTTTTGATCTGGATCTCCATTTTCCGTGGAGTCGGCATGACCGGCAGAGTCGTTTACTTCACGATGGGCCTGCCTATCGTAACAACCATCATCTTCGTTGGACGCTCATTATCGCTTCCGAACGCCAGTGAAGGCGTCAAACTGCTATGGACCAACTTCAGAGGCGACCAGCTCGCGTCTGGTACCGTATGGCAGACAGCCGTTGGACAAGTCTTCTTCTCTACTGGTATCGGTTTTGGCTACTTTACGAGCTACGCGAGCTACAACCAGAAGCACGCGAACGCTGTGATGGACGCGATCCTCATATGTGGCAGTAACGTCCTCTTTGAGAACTTCGCCGCATTCGCCATCTTCGGAATCATTGGCTACCTCCAGAGATGGCCCCAGGATGGTGTCAGACTCGGAGCATTTGTCGTGGGCTTCTTGACTTTGCCAGAAGCCGTACTACAGATGCCAGGAGCTAACTTTTGGGCAGCCTTGCTCTTCTTCACGCTCATCGTATTGGGTTTCTCCTCCGCATTCGTCATGCTAGATGTAGTAGTAACCTTGATCTGCGATTCGGGTATGGTGAAGGCCTCCCGCCCGGTTGTTGTCACCGTACTTACTGTGGTCTCGTTTCTGATGTGCCTGCCGTACTGTACTGAGTTCGGCTACTACCTTCTTGACGGTGTTGATCGATGGATCAACAACATCGCCCTCATTTTCGTGGTCTGGACTGAGGTTACGAGCGCCACAACAGTGTACCGCTGGCGTGACATCGTCGGTCAGACTGGTATCGTAGCTTTTAGTTTGTACAACTTTGGGTTCTTTGGTGGTCAATTCTTCGGCGTCGTCCTAGCGCATGGCATCAACAATCCTGGAGCTGGCGCCGGAGCAGGTATTGGGTTCTACGTGGTATTTGCTGTTGTCTCTGCCATCATTGCACGAACACCAGACACCGCTGCACCATCGTTCTGGAACAGCAATGTCATCTTGCGCAAGTTCTGGTTCCTGGCATTCTACTCTGTAAGTTTATCACAGCGCCATGGAAAATCTGTACTAACTTTGAGAGGGCAACCAACTTCGACGCGATCTCAATGTCATCGTCGGACAAGGGAAGAACTGGAAGATCCCTGCTTTCCTGCCATTCCTGCTTCGCTACATCTCCGGACCAGTTCTCGCCATGATCTTCAGCTTCGCATATCCAGAGTTCCATACTCTGCGCTATGATCCTATGTACATCACAGGCTTCATTTTGGCGAACTTGACGATGGTGGTCATCATTCTCGGTTTCACCGTTCCAAGGTACTATGATGCCTTCATTCCGTACGAGCGCCGCAGCGAAGGGACTGAGCCTACAGTCGCAATGGAGACGAAAGGAGAGATTGCTGGTGCTCCAGTCAGTGACATCGTCAAGACTGAGGGCGGAGAGACTCCAGCATATGCATCGTCACAAGAGTACTTGGATAAGGAGGTTGCGCATGACAAAGACACAGCGCCGGCGTCAAGGTGAGATGTCGGTGATCTGGCTGCAGTTTTCTTCTTTTTCAGGTCGGGCAGGTGGCTGCCTCTTTTCCTTCTTTATGGTGTGATTCGTCTCTCGAGAAGCAACCTACCGAAATCCAGTACCTCCATGGTTTCTCTGTTGAAGCGGAACTGTGCTATGCCCTCAGGCGATTTTTTCGTCCACACCCCAGAGCAGCCTCCTTCATGGCCTATTGAGAAACTTTCTATACCGACAGATCAAATGATTACACAAACTCACGAATACATTTATAGGTCACTCGTAACTTTCAATATGTCGAGCGCCTCTAGGCTAAGCAATCTCAAAAGCGAGAAGCGACTCGACCCATCGTCCGACTCATCAACCGCGCATCTGACAAACATCCCTTCAAGGATCGTCAATTTGGGCTCATTGGAAGCCACAGCATTTAGGTTCGTTCGTCATTGCTAAACCTAACTTTGGAACACTCTCATTGGGCGAACTGTGAAGTTGCGCGCATTGTGCGAAGGCTGGACCTACGAAACATCAGGATGCGCGACATGTGCGAGAGGCGACTCATAGTTTGACAAAGAGTAGGTCACGCGTAAGTACTGCTAGAACTTTTCTTCTCAGATCTCTCAACTCTCCAGATATCATGATTATCGTCAACATCAGTTAATTTTTCAAAGTTCTGTTGCACCTTCTTCTGTGTCTGGTTCCACGATAGTACCTACCCCAATCACCTAGCGCAGTCACAAGCCAGGAAGCTCCAAGGCGACAACAGTACACATCGAATCACACTACGATTATCTGAAGACCACGTCACCAAAGAGCCCGACTACCAGAACACGAGATCCGTGGCGAGCGGTCGTCACCAAAACCTGCCTTATTGCTAACCTACACTGTCCATTATGCGTTGAGGCTATTCGCGACTGCTTGAGCGCGCTCCAACCTGCGCCTGAAGATATCGACGTCTCGATCGTCGCGCACTCGGTCGTTGTTCGCCACAGTACCTTCCTATCGATTGAGGAGACTGCCGGCTGGCTCGACGCTGCCGGGTTCGAGGTGCACAGCATTTTCCAGGACGACTAGGCAGTTCACGAATCACCGAACAACAGTAAACCCGACAACTACGCCCGGAGTTGGTCAACAAGGTTGGAGCGTGCAGTATCGCGGTGGGCCACACTGCAACCGGTCGAAGAGGAGGAGAATATGCGCAAGAAGACAGTCCATCTGGAACGATGCGAGCAGTGCAGGGTCGAGCAAGATGGCATTTGCCTGACTTCGAATCAAGGCTTTGCATCAGATCATAAGGCGACGCCTAATATTGCGACTTCTCTGGAGATCAGCCTGGAGAACGCGCTCTCTGCCCATTCCAAACACTCCATTCGACAGTCTCTTTGCAGTACTGAACCGACCAGCCCTCGCGCCATATACAGAGCGACCTTGGCCTTGTCAGGCATGACATGTAGCTCATGTGTCAGCGGTATGACCCACGCCCTGAAACAGCTGTCCGTGGTGCATACGGTCAACGTCAACCTGCTTACGAACAGCGGTGTGGTTGTGTTTGAGGGGAAGGACAACATCGAAGAAGTTACAAGCACGATCGAAGACTGCGGGTTTGAAGCCAGTGTTGAGAAGCTTGAGGAGGTCTCAGCCGCCGCCCCGGAACCTAAACCTGCAAAGCAGGAACCGTCAAACAGATGGCGAGCCATCTATGCGATCGGTGGGATGACGTGTGGCTCTTGTGTTGGTCATGTCACTAATACATTGAAGCCACACTCCTGGGTTCACCAGGTGGATGTCAATCTTCTCGGCAACAGCGCCACGGTCATCTTCGAAGGTAAAGAGCATCTAGCGAGTATCATGGAGAACATCGAAGATGCTGGCTACACGGCTACACTTGAAAGCGTCAGCGCGTCAGACACCGTAGCCGAAGATACTCCCATCCGGGCTGTATCGGTTCAGATTGATGGGATGTTCTGTGATCACTGTCCTGGTAACATCATAGGAAACATCAGAGACAGGTTCGCAGGAAGCGTCTCTATCAAAGAGCCACCGTTGTCGTTGGCGTCGCCGATTTTGCACATCGAATACCTTCCGAACCCCCTAAGCTTCACCATCAGGCAAATCTTCGACACGATCATAGGCACTAACCCGGCTTTCAAGCCATCGGTCTACCATCCACCTACAATCGAGGAACGAGCCAAGACCATGCATATGGCAGAGCGAAGGCGGACATTACGCCACTTGATCGTCTGCCTTTTGGTTGCCATCCCAACGTTCATACTTGGAATTGTCTTCATGAGCTTGGTACCAGTCAACAATCATGTCCGTCAATACATCATGGAACCTATGGTTGGCAATGCCACCCGACTCGGCTGGGCGCTCTTCATTCTTTCCATTCCGATCTACGTCTACTCAGCCAAGTCATTTCATATCCGCGCCTTCAAAGAAATGAGAGCAATGTGGCGACCAGGCAGTCGGACTCCCATATGGCAACGATTTACGCACTTTGGGAGCATGAACATGCTCATGTCGCTCGGCACAACGATAGCTTTCTTCGCTTCTATCGTGGAGCTAGCTTTGGCAGCGACGAAAAGATCATCCGGTTCTATGGACAACTCCTACTTCGATGCTGTGGTTTTTCTGACCATGTTCCTACTTATTGGGCGCTTCCTAGAGGCTCTCAGCAAGGCCAAGGCCGGAGATGCCGTAATCTCGTTGGGTGCATTAAGACCAGATGAGGCCGTCTTGGTCGATCCAACTACTGGCGATGTGAGGGTATCAACAGACCTCCTCGAAGTTGGTGACGTGGTTCGTGTCCACCAGGGCACCTCCCCACCATTCGACGGGATCATCCTAGACGGCAGCTCCAGCTTTGACGAGTCAAGTCTTACTGGCGAGTCACATCTCGTCAGAAAAGATGTTGGCGACTACATATATTCGGGCACTGTCAACAAAGCAGCTCCGGTCAGAATGAAGGTCACCACAGTCTCAGGCACTTCGATGCTAGACCAGATCGTCAACGCCGTCCGAGAAGGACAGACTCGTCGCGCTCCCGTCGAGAGGGTAGCTGATACTATCACCACTCATTTCGTGCCATTTGTCATCCTAGTTGCCATAGTGACTTGGACCATCTGGCTCATCCTTGGTACAACGGGCGCGATACCAAAAGATTGGAGAGACGAAGAGGCTGGAGGCTGGGCTCTCTGGTCATTGAGGTTTGCCATTGCTGTCTTCGTCATTGCATGTCCTTGTGGGATCGGACTCGCAGCCCCAACTGCGCTTTTCGTCGGTGGCGGATTGGCAGCAAAACATGGCATACTTGTAAGAGGTGGCGGTGAAGCGTTTCAGGAAGCCAGCTCGCTCGACTGCATCGTATTCGACAAGACGGGCACCCTGACTCAGGGCGGCAGTCCTGCAGTTACCGATCACAGATTTGTCAATGGGCAGGATGAATCGCTCACTCTCAGTGTTGTCAAAGTTCTGGAAGAGAACAGTGGTCATTCTATTGCTCAAGCACTAGTAACCTTTTGCAATAAGGGCGTTCTCAGCACACCGAACATGGTCTCCGTGGACGAGATCCCTGGGAAAGGGCTGAAAGGGACACTCAATGTCGACGAAAACAGTTTGGCCGCCATCATTGGCAACGAAGGCCTCATGGCCGACCACGATGTCCCGATATCTCCAGATACGATGACCACTTTAGATTCTTGGAAAGCTCGTGGAGAGTCTGTAGCGTTGGCGGCAATAATGTCAGCCTCCACGCAGAATACATGGCAGCTTGCTAGTGTGTTCTCCATCTCTGATCCACTTCGACCAGAGGCAACCGGTGTCATCAGTGCTCTGAAGCAGCGAGGCATTGATGTGTGGATGCTCTCAGGCGACAACCCTACCACAGCGAATGCCGTTGGAGCTCAAGTTGGAATTCCTGCTACCAACATCATCGCAGGTGTGCTCCCAGACGAGAAGGCCAAGAAGATTGAATACCTACAGCAGACACTCACAAAGTCACGAAAGTCGAGGCTGTTTCGCCTGCCGTCCCTATTTTGCAAGGAGGGAAAGGAGAAACGTGCCACCATCGCAATGGTAGGAGATGGCATCAATGACGCACCCGCACTCAGCACTGCAGATCTCAGCATCGCCATTGGAAGTGGTTCAGACATTGCGCTCTTGTCGTCCTCATTCATCCTCATCAACAGCCAGCTCACCACGATCCTCACTCTTCTCGACCTCTCACGCGTCGTGTTTCGGAGGGTCTACTTCAACTTCGGCTGGGCTACTGTATACAATCTCGTTGCTATGCCGATTGCTGCTGGTGTCTTATATCCTATCACCACGGGAGGGAAAAGGGATGGTCATGGTATGCAGAGCGGTGGGAAGCATGTCAGATTGGACCCTGTATGGGCATCGTTGGCCATGGCACTTAGCAGTTTGAGCGTGGTGTGTAGCAGTCTTGCTTTGCAGAGTCGGATTCCTTGGTTTGGCTTCAAGGCTAGGAAAGAGGAGGAGATGGTAGGCAACAAAGATGAAGGGGATGACGCCACACAGATTGTGTGATTAGTCGCACTTATCTGAAGAAGATGTTGCCCTTGGAAAGGTATCCAGCACCTGGGTGAAGCCCTCCTGAGTCGGTTGTCAAGCACTTCCATGTTCCGAAAGAAATGTTGTAGGCGTTAGGAGAGTGTGTAGTGCAACTGTATTTCAATCAACTTCTGCAATCAAGCCTTCTGCACTTGATTACACATCACCGAGCTTGCACTCTCGGGTTTATGCAATCTTTCGTCTTTGTGATGATACATTATTCCAAGCCGCATTGCATGATGTGACTTGGTCAAAAAGGATGTACGAAGGGCATCGTGCACTTCTCCACCTGGAGCACAGCTGCTCGACTGTACTCATAGAAAGGTAGTTGTAATCATGATCGAATGCGCCTCTCCATGCCCATGAAACGCCCTGCTGCAAACTTTTCGGATCTCCCAAACCGTCCCTCGGTTCTCACCAGAACCATGAAGACCCGCACTAAGAGAACTTCCACCTATTTCCGCAGTTCATGCACTCACAGAACGTCGTCATAGGTTCATCAGCACTCCTCGTCTGCGCCTGACTGTACGAGACCATCTTCTGCTTGCACTTTCCGCACTGGAACTCCTTGGAGATACTCTTCTCAACCTGCGCAACCATGGCCTGGTTCATGTTCTCCTTCTCCAGCTTCTCGTCTTCGGCGCGGCGCTCTTCCGACTTCATCTCGTCGTGTGTCATGACTACGAATTTCCTCGGTGTAACGTCGCCAGAGAGAACGCGTTTCCGCAGTGCAGGGTTGGATTTCGCTTTCAGGTTCTGGAAAAGGGAACGCATTTTGCCCTTGTAGGCGTCGTTTACGCTGCCAGCGTTTGCGTAGGCGGCGGCTTCGATTTGCTTTGCGATTGGGAGGATTGTATCAGGCACTGTTGTACGTTAGCGTACTCCCAGATAGTGAGTTGGAGCATCTTGACTTACGCTCGGTGCTCATATGCGCCAGACCGTCGTACATGAGGCGTACCGACATGTCTCGCGCATCATCTCCAGTGACCTCATAGTTGACCTTGTCTGTCTTATGGTTGCGCTTCGTAGGGTCCACAGTGTGTTTCTGCTTGCTCTGGCTAGGCGCAGGTGAAGCTGCAGCTGATGATGCTGGCGCAGGTGAGGCGCTGCCGTTTGTTGCTGAAGCAACCTTCGCTGGTGTACCCTTCTTGGGTTGCTTCTTGACCTCATCCCTCCACTTCGAGACTAGTTCTGTTGCAAGCTTTTGGACCGCGGGGTCCTTGTGCGTGCGCAGGCGGTTGATGGTTACACCGATCCTGGTGGATCGCAGGATATCCTCGGTCGCGTGGACGCCGGTCTTCAGGTCGTTCAACAGTTTGATGACTGAAGCGCTAGGCTCATTCTCTTGAATGGCCTTGCCAATCGCCTTTCCCCGCAGCTCAATTTCCTTGGCGTCCATAGCCATCTTTGTCTCGGTTGGTCGTGTGAAAGTTGGGGATGCGGTCCCTGTATTGAAGCTTCAGGCGGAAGGTTTCGCAGAAGTGCACGCGATGTGGTTCGTGTTCAAGATCTAAGCTCGGCGCAGGTTCGGCGATCGCTCTTGCGGGTGGTGGTGTCGCAGACGATGTGGCGTGAAGTGGGCGACGACAGACAGCGGGTTGATAGAGTATCAGTTGGTGGTTGGGTGAGAGAAGGCTTTCAAGGCGGGAAGTTGCTCTCTGCGAAGGTCTCGGCCTTGGCGACGCTAGCGCTAGCACAGGCAAGCTGGGGTTCACTGACATTCGAGAACGTTTGCGAAACAACGACCTATGTGGAGCGACAACGACGACCACGACAACGACAACAAAAATTTCACCTACACGCTTTGTACCCTAAATCGCACACGTAAAGCCACAACAATGACCGAGAATGCGCCTCCAGGAAGCGCCAATGCGGCCTCAGATGCTGCCTCGCGCGGCATGCCCTACTACGAGCGACTACGACGCGACCTGCGCGAATCACTGCAGAAGAAGCGCATTCTAGACAACAATCTGGTGCGTACAAAGGGCAACGTGATATGACGCGTTGCGCTTACTCTGTGCGTAGCAACAACTCGAAGACAACATCTTGCGAGTCGAGACACAATATCTTGAAGAGACCAGCGCTGGAAATATCATAAAGGGCTTCGACAACTACATCAAGGGTGCAGCGACCACCACAACGACAAGCGGAGCGGGCACCGCGACGCGGCGCAAGGCGCAGGTCAGCGACGTAGACAGGATATTCAGTCGAAGCTCGTCCAGTTTCCTGAGGGTGCGTTGATGATACAGCAGACTGACATGCAGTCTGCATTGCGGGACTTGTGCTGACTATGCATACATAGGAGGCGTCGACTCCGGCTTCTGCAGGAACAACCCCTTCACACGCGGCTACACCAGTTTCGTCGTTTCCCACCCGCGAATCGAGCCAGCCCACAACGAATGGCGCAAGAGGGGGAAGTAAAAAGAAGAAGGCAGGAGACGACGATGACACGGATGGGCCGTCCGTGAAGAGGAACAAGATTTCGTATGGAAGGGAGTGAAGGACGCGGCATGAACCCACATCATGCTACACCTACGATATGGTGATGCCATGCGCCATGGCAATCAAAAGAATACGATGGGGCATTTGCAAGGCTGTTGCATTGCGTGTCCTATGGATATCAGAGTGGAGAGCGCAAAGGAGCTTCCATCAGAATAGGAAGGTTCGAAGAGTTGGTCAGAAGATTGCGCGCGTGCTCAGTGGGTCGACTCTGAAATACACTTGCATCGCGGGGTACGGGACGGCGTCGCAGCTTTCTCGATTTGAGGTGGGTCACTGCTGTGACCTTCACCGTTGGAAAATCATGCGCTCGCTTCTGCGTCGTTGGTAGAGATTAGTCCTCACGGCTCCTTGCCTCCTACTGGCGGAGAGGAGCATAGAGTCCACTTGGCACCTGCCTTCTCAGTCATGAATGGCTGGGGAGCATGGGATTTGTCGTCCAGGGTCCACTGGAGGTTCGCCGAACCTTGAAGATGGGAACTGCCGTTGACTTGAGGGGCAGCTGTGGAGTGTTCAAGTCAATTCAAGTCTTGAGTTTATTGCTTCTGCCCTGTCGGTACCTCCAATTAATTGCTCTCACCGGTAGGCAGTGTCAACGGCTTTAAGGATTGCTTTCCTATTTGTCGTTAGCAGAGCGACTGGCTACATCCACGCTGCTATACCGCTCCCGTCGACATCTGTCTCTAAGAGACGCCACAGGACAGACGAAGCCGAAGTAGATGCTAGTGCAAAGCACACACAGGTCAGGTCTGCAACAAGGTTGGAATGTGAAAAGCCCGGTGGGGCTGTGGGGCTGTGGGGCAGGCGGATGGCGTTCGCCAATCACACATGTGCCCTGCATGATGAGATGCCTAGCGAATAGTGAGGGGACAAGCGAATTCGACATGGCTGACAGCAGCTGCTCGCGAGTGGTTGAGTTTTACCACTGCAGGACAGCCCGGAGCGGAGAGCAGAGCGGAGTGCAGAGCGGTGAGGAAGGCTAAGTTGGTGACGATTTGCCACCTGCCGCCTCGTGCATCGTGCATCGTGAATTGTGACGGCAAGAGCACTGCATGTTCGTCGCGCATGCAGCGCGTGGTTGGCCCTGGTCATCCTCGTGATGGTGTGGAGTCCTATCGACTTGCTGTACAACCAAATTGATCTCTCCACACCTTTGACCGCTTCGCTTTTGATGACCTATGAGCGTCCGTGCACGACGCTATATGACGACACTCGTAAGTGCACAATCTGGTCTAAACCAGAAAAGTCAGCAAACACAACTCTGCACGCCTTGGCCACCATTACCGTTCATTAATTGCAGCTAGCAGCCGCCCGCTACCATGACAGGTCACCGAACACGGGCTTGAGAATCGAGTTGAGCCAGCAAAGGTTCGAACGGTCGCGGAGTTCAAGGCCGCGTTATTGGCGGGAATACACAGACCTGAGTCAGCCCTCCGACAACTGACGGTGTTTTGCTAAGGAGCTGACACTGATTGTCGTGCTTGACTGGAGCCAAGCTCACACTGCAAAGGGCTAAGGGACTGAGTGCCTTTACGGGGCGGACTGCACTGTCGCGAGGGCGGAATGCTGTTCGAAGCAGGTACAGCGACTCTAGCTGGCATTTGCCGTCCTTGAGTGGACGGGCTGACAGGTCCCGAAATTATCGTTGGTTGTCTCCACCTCCAGGATCCACCCTTGAGCCAAGCGACCTGTATTGCAGCAAAAGGAATATGGACGGCGATCAAACGCTTGACCAGTGCTTAACCAGCACAGGCACTGCCTCAGGGGAGACTAATTTCGTCTTGGGCACGGTGAGAGGCCCCGCGCTCAACGGATAGTGTGAGAGTAGGCAGCGGAGCCAGCACTAAGGAGACTGAGGGGAGTTTTGAGAGGTTACATCTACGCAACGACGTGGAGAAGGGTACGCGGTTAGCGGTCCGAATGCCTCCCCTGTCAGGTTTCCGACGTGTGGATGACCTGCCCCTTTTTTCTTGCTCTGTTTGCTGTTGCTGTTGCGCAACCTTTGTTACTGTAGCAGCGACAGGTGTGAACACCCTCAAAAGCAACACGCAGGATGTTATCAGATCCTCAACAAGGAAATAACCACTTCCACCGCCACCAGTTGCATGGCAGCGCAGCGGGAAGTTGCCATCTGGACTAGCGTCCACTGCTCAGTACCAAAGCGGCAGCATGGGATTCGAGTGAAGGCTAAGGCTGCATTGGGTATGCCTGACAACCCTGGCTTTTTCTCTTTTGCCGCCACAAAAGCCATCTCGTCTCCAAGCTGTGCTGATTCGCGCGGACCCAAGCTATGATGCGTTAATGCTAGCAGCTCGGTGCACCATCGGACACTTCCACGGCTGCACTGAGAGCCGTGATATAGGCTGAGTTTAGTGGCCTTAATAGCGGGAGGCTTGTTGCGCTCCAAATCGGCCAAACAAACTCCAAAGGCGCGGGAAGGAGCAAGACCGGGGTTCAATTCACTGTCTAACTAAGAACCCCACCAGCCTCGAATTAGCGCGCTTTTGGACCCCTGCGCTCATGTCGTAGGTGCACCGGGATTGAGCCAACCTGCTGTGTCCTTTGCTTGGCCCACAGCCTATGATGAATGTGCTAGGATTGCGAAAGACAGAATTTAACTCCCCATTGATGCCCGCTGATCAGCACTCTTCATACCTCAAAGCTTCCCTTGGTTTTGCATCGTCTCTGACTACAACACGCATTACAGTCAATCATCTCCTCATACGTCCTTACGCTCAGCACATCTTTTCTTCTTTGTCACTGGTTTGCTGCCGTCAACCTGAACGCGTTAGCGGCCGGCCACACCTTCACCACCGCGACACGCAAGCTTACACTCTTGCGGTCCGCCCCTGTGCCCGCTGGACAGCTACCTTCTCCACACTCAGCGCTTGAAACGCTCGAGCATAAGTCAGTTGTGTCCGCCAGGGCCCAACCTCTAATCTCGCAAGACCTCTGCTACGGCTCCTGCCTAGGACAGGTCAACTGATCGACATACCGAGGGGTTTATCATTACTCGTCTTGGCAAACCACACCGCGGGTGTCCCCAGTGTCAGACTCGAATTCAAAAGGCTCGCAGATCCCACCACTACCTGCCATTGATCGTCTCTATTCCCACGTTTACCGACCTTCGAACCACCTGTTTCAGCCTCTGGATTAACAAGAGTTGCGTACACTCCTTGCAGCACTCTTCTTTGTTCACCTGTACCCTTTCACTCCCGTCTACTACCTCATCACCTCTCCCTTATTTCCGCAATGGCTATGGCCATCGACAACCGTCAACAAACCCAGCTTGCTGGCATGGGTTACGATACTTTGCGTTACCCAGCAGCACCGCACTTCACCAACCCGTGGGTGTCGGCGCCTGGTGCTACACAGCAACTGTACTCGACCTCCCTCACACCCAACGCCCCGGCCGGACTTGAGCAATCTCAGCCTCGCCCTACTAGCATTGCGATTCCGTATCATGGCATCCCAGTGACGGCCGCCCCTCTCGGACAAGGTATTGCCCTCCCGGAAGGTCCATTCGTGACAGAAGACTTACTAGATGCGTCGCAAGATCTCATGTCAAGGAGCTATACAGGCGGATATGCTACATCTGCTTCTCCAAACAACCAAACGTATGCACCCACTTCGGCTCCTTATTCTCAGGTGGAATATGCCACACAAGATCGGGTTTCCTACACATATCAGGATGCTGCCCGTCGCTCTTCACACCCGTCAGTCCCCTCATTAGCGCTCTATGATTACTCCATGGACACCCAGCGACAACGCCAAAGTTCACTTGTTGACTTTAGCAGAATGAACGCGCCACAGCAAGCCCCACGTAACAGCTTCAGCGATGCGCTTGACGCTAGCCGCGGTATGGTCTCTTTGAGCCAGTCTGATATCACACCGAGGAATATCTATGGCACTCAGGGATCCGGCCGCAGCTCGACCGACTCATATGGCTTCCCCTCGACACATTCAGCACATTCGTCGATCTCGTCCGCCAGCTATGGCGCCAACGGTTACTACGGCGGCGAGGGATCCGTTACCGACTACAGCTCTGCCTCCGAGTCTGTTGATCTCACCAACTCGAGGACCCTGCCCCGGCCCAGCGCCCTTTTGGGAGCATCCATGCCTCCTGCCCCGCAGTCAATGATGGGCCAGTTCAGCTCCAAAGTCTCGTCAAGCTCGCAGAAGAAGCACAAGTGCAAGATTTGCGACAAGCGCTTCACCCGCCCCAGCTCCCTCCAGACACACATGTACAGCCATACCGGCGAGAAGCGTATGTCGAACTAAGTTACAAAGCATTGGATTCCACTAACATATGACAGCATTCGCATGCGAAGTCGAGGGTTGCGGCCGCCACTTCTCTGTCGTTTCCAACCTCAGGAGGCATCGCAAAGTACACAAGAACGACGGTGCCCAGGATCATCCATCGCCAGACGACGCATGAAGTGTCGATCATTCAATGATCGACACCTTTACTTGGACTTCACTTTATCGTTTCATGTATCTCTTTTTGATACCTTTGTTTGAGATATCCACTGTCGCGTTTTCGCAGCACAGCGAGTTCCGGATGGGATTAGACGAATCTCTAGCTACACTACGGTGTTGAGTACCTCTCGGCTACCTCACGTTACGAGGAGCCATCATGGCGTTTTCCGGCGTTCGCATCGATTACGAGTACCCCCTTTCCTGGGCGAGTCAACATCCCCACCTGTATCAGTACGAGCTCTTCCGATGTTAGGATTTGCTACTTGTTCATCACATTTTCCGACCGTCTGTGGTCCATGGATAGACACCCATGTCGCATAGAGCACGACTATCGCTATACCCTATTTAATATTTTAGACACCCTCTTTAACAACATGGTCGACCCAAGAGGGTCGCATGTTTGCATGACGTTTGTACAGTAGCTTGGGAGAGTACAGTAGTACCCGGAATGGTTGCACTTGTTTCAAACGAGCTTGCGAGTGACGCATTCTGCCACCGCGGAATGTAACAATCAAAGATTCCCATTATTTACTCCGTACCGCTTCCCGCTTCTCACCTCTGTAGTGACGACAGTGCGACGCCATTAACTCTCAATCTTACTCGTCCGCGATTCGCGCTGTCATTTGACCTCTCTTTGACTGGCGCAGCCGGGTTTACGAAAACATCGCTGCTCCGCAGTGACGACAAGGCAACTGAGGATGGCTGCTTTCAAGCGCCTTGGCATACATCATCGAGCGTTTGATCCTTGCTAGCGTTGCTAGCGTAGACCCTGAGAGAAGACACGACACCGGCAGGGCATCCAACTGCTTAATGTTGTGAACTGGGGCCGCAGCGGCGATGGCTGTTCAGAGCTGTGCTTCGCTGAATTTCCCGGGCCTCTGGTCATGATTCGGCAGGCGGTTACAACGACGAATCGCCGGGGCACCCAACACGAGCCCGTTTCACATGTTGTGGCCGCTGGCGCAGCACGCTGAGGTCGGATGTCCTTCTCAGTCTGTCGTGTTGGATGCAGTTTTGCCTTCACTATCTCCCAATCGCAATGCCGGCTGGCTGTTGGGACTTAAAGTCGGACCGACCAGGCATGAGATAAGATCGCGTTGTGCCTGAGACTTGTTACCAACTGTAAAGAAGATCTTCAAGGGACGCGACGACGCGCATGACACGAAACACAAGGCTGAATCGCTGAATACCAACTGACGAGCCTCGCTTCGTAGGTGGTGGTGAGTATCAGCCAGTCATGTTGGGGTTGTACACTGCACATCAACACTCCCTTCATGTCGCTACCAAAGCCTTCGGGGACTGCGAAACTTTACTGTACACAGCCGTCAGCCACGCGGGCGTTCTACTATTCAGTCCCCCCTTACAAAGTTGACGAACACCTCTTCAAGCAGCAGTTTGGAGGCGTTCAAGCATTCGCAGTTGGTTTATGGTTGGCTACGGGCAAGCCACATGCTGTAGGATGCGCAGATTGGAGCCCACAGACTTTACACACAGATACCTTCGGAGGACAACGCCGGCACGCTACGTCTCAGGTTTGATGAAGCGAAAGCTCAACATAGGCTCTCTTGGCTGACGGCGGCGTTTGCACCTTTCTCGAAATGCACCACAAATATGTTTGATGACCTTGCATTGGTTCTTATGGAAGAACATGCCTGTTGCAGCGGCTCACGGCAAAGAGCAACCTAAATTAATCCGACTCTTTATTCAAACTTCTTAACGACCTTGAATATATACCTAGCAGGTATTCACAATGCTATCAATCGACGATGAAGCACAACCTCAAGACGCGCTTGGATATCGCCGATTCAACATGCGCTGCTGAGGCATGAACCCGCGTGCAGCAAGCTGCCAGATCAACACCAGTTAGCACGTCTGCCCAAGTGCCCACTGCGTTCAAACTTTGAACAAGTCCGCGGCGGCATCCAAGGGCTGCCAAGTTTTTGGTGTCTCGTTAAGCTCTTGGTCCCTTTTCTTTCCGCAATCCTGGGTGGCTGTGAAAGGATTCAGCACACCGTCGCAAAAACACTGGAGAACGCAGAATGTCACTTGTGCAACTAGATGCCATCATCTGTGTGATCGTCTTACACATATTCCTCACATGGAATCGTGTCTGATCTCATCCCACATAGCACGAACCAGACGCGCGGCTCTCTAAGATCCAAGATCACACAAGTGTCGAAGCTCGTGGGTCTTCCTTCGTGTTCATGAAATCAACAATGGGTTTGTTGACAATGGTGATGACTGGGCATACGAGACTTGCCAGATCTGTCATAACCTGCAAGACATTCCGCAATTGTTTCTGCGCCTGTTTTGCGCTGCTATCTCTAAGCTTTGATTCCTGTGCCTTACCGTCTTGCGGCTGTCCCTCTATCCGGAAGCAAACCGGCCTACACCATCTCCACCCTACCACTGGTGAGATGCTTCCCCTCCGCGCCATCCCTCCACCCCAAACAACCTTGAACCAACGTCTAGCAACACCAGTTCTAATCACGCAAGAGTAGTAACTCTGAGTGCCAGGCCGAGTCAAGCCGGTGAGGCATGTGAATACCTCCACCATCTCATGTGATGGTGCTCGAATCATTTCTCTCGCCATCTCTCACCTCGGCGAGGTAGAAAGCAACAGTAGCTTGTTCCCAGCGCAGCGGTATATTACTCTGTTAGCGTTTGGGCAGTAAAACCTTCGAGGGGTACTGTAGACGTCTAGAGAGCTTTTTTGCCAGCTCGGCCAATGGCACACCCGCGCCCAGCAACATTCGCACTCATCGGTCGCACGTCGGCCATAACTCATGTTCAAAGCGCGATGTAACACCCTGAAATGAGGCGCCGTTACCAGATGTCAACTTGTCAGACTGTGGTGGCTTTGCACTTGCGTGTGCACAGAGTTTGCCATTGAAACCAGGCCAACGCATCTTGGATGTCTTTGGGGTCATGGGTAAGCATTGATGGCTACCAGTAAGTTGAGTCTCTAGGTTGTCACCCACGTGCCGTGCGACGATCCTGTCCATCTCCCTTTACGATTGTGAAGAAGATCACCACCTGCAACACCCAACACTTTGGTTTGAATCCCCATTTGAGGTCCCATTTGAGAGGCACACATTCTCGAAACAGCGAAGTGCATATGGCAACATGGTCGATCGCTAATTCCACTATTCCAGCACCCACAGCTACCTCCAGAATGCAGCATGCCGGTCATGCGATCCAATCAACTATCTGACCATGTACTGAAATCTAGGCACGAAGGACACGAAGGATCCAAACTACCCGTCGACGGTGTGAGAAGTGGGAAGCTGATTGTGGGGACAAGTTCTGAGTCTAATTCGATGTCGCGACAAGATCCCGTGATGGTTCCTGAGAATCTCAGGGGCCAAGTCTCGTATGGAGGGACCCGTTGCGCCGCTCCCGCATCTGCTGTTTCCCTCTTCCGATAAACTTCTTGCTGGATGCGGAGACGGCACAGTTACTGGCCATGTCTGAAAGCGCAGGTGCGCTAATCCGCGAAAAATCACCGTGCCAATAAAGTGAGGCTATGGTCGCCGACTCACCAACAATTGATCTCGTGACATCGTCCCTGGTCATCGATGAGCCGCAAGATCCCAATGACCAAATGATCGTGATTGAATTTATTCCCAGTCCATATAGTGCTAGCCAAGGTGGAGTGAATCATGGCGCTGCGAATTGCGCTGGTTTTTATTCGATCTTGTGCTTGCGCCGGCTTCGGGGTGCAGCGGGCGTCGGCAGAATGCAAAGAGACGCATGCTTCCAAACAGAGCAGGACTATTCATGCTTCCTTGTCGTGCTGTACTTCAAGTTCCCCTCAACATGACTCCAGAAGTTTCTTGGAGCACTTCGAAGTACGCAAGCGCACTCAGCCAACCTTCAAGGTGTCCTGAAGGCAGTGGGTTTCAACGAAACCCTCCACGGCCTCCTCGATCCAAACTAGGGTGAGGCGTGGTCATTTTGGAGACAGAGCCTTGGGAGTGATTGTTTGCTGGCTTGGCGCAGATGACTCTGAGAGTGACAGTCGAGGCGCAAGGTGCTCTGCTCTGCTTTGCGTCCGGCTATGCGGCTGGTTGACAACATCTGATCCGGCTTCTGGAGACTCTGTTGGCCTGCGTGGGATGGCACCGCCATCTTGGACATGGGTGAATCTCTCCATGTTCTCCTCTGTAAGCGGCATAGTAGACTCATTCTCCCGCCCCTGAGCGGTGCCATGGCAGTGAAGCTGCGGTCCCGTGAGTGATAGCAATTTGTCGTCGCGCAGCTTCGTATCTCTCTCCTCAGCTTGGATTCGCCTCAAAGCCCTCTCCGCTTCATTCTCCGATGTCCTTGCGAGCGCTGCATCGCTTTGATAATGCAGCCGGTCTAGTTGAGTGGTCGGTGCTGAAGCCGTTGTTTCAGGTCGGTCCGGTTGGCTTGCGGTTTGCGAACGATCTTTTGCGCTAACGCTATCCATGGCCGAGGAGGCCAAAGTGGATAAGTTCCCATGTCGATCAGGTGCGTTTACGGATGGCTTTGCTTTGGCCGTTTTTCGCCGTCCCTCGATCGCCCACTTGACAAGCATCTGGCACGAGTCAGTTCATATCCACCATGGGGTTGGATAGGCTTACCTTTTCAAGGAGTTTGCCTTTGACTGGTTTGGCCAAGTAGTCCTGTAGAGCATCAGTTCCCACTTCTTCGATATAGGGGGATGTCCCATGAGCACTCACATCCATTCCTGCCAGCGTGCACTTTTCTTTGTCTCCTTGGATGGCGCTGGCTGTCATTGCGACGATAGGAACGCCTCGAATCTCCGGTTTGTCCCTCCAAGGTGATTCAGTTCTGATAGCATGTGTGGCAGAGTAACCATCTCTGATAGGCATCTGCGTGTCAATTGTAAATGATAGGATCAGCAGAGTCGTGCTTCTTCACTTACTTGAACATCCATCAAGATGATATCGGGACGTGGATGAGAAGGAGTGAAATCCTTTGCCAGATAGTTCAAGACCTCCTGTCCGTTCCAGACCGCATTCACTGAGAAGTTCAGCTTTTTGATTGTCTTCAGCGCAATCTGCTGGTTAATATGGCTGGAATATGCTGTTAATTGCCATCTTCAAGACATGATCATCGATGTAGCAAACTTACTTGTCTTCTACAACCAAAACATGGGTGTTCTTCCTTTCGGATTCCGGTATACTGGTAAGATGATCCGACAGCTTGCCTCCGATCGGGAACGATTGCATTCTCGAATGCCCGTTTACCGAGTCTCTGGGTGCTAACGGCGGGGTGTGATCATCAGAGCTCCCAACAGACACCGACATATCACTCTGTAGTCTATCAGGGATCGACGCAAGATCAACCAACGGCGAGTCGTCGTTGGAATAGGAGGCTCTTGCAAAAGGAATCCAGAACGTAGCTGTGGTGCCCTGACCCAACTTCGAATCCAGCCAAATCTGACCCTTCATAAGCTCCACAAGGTTCTTACTGATCGTCAACCCCAGACCAGTTCCACCAAAGCGGCGAGCCGTGGAAGAATCCGCTTGACTGAAAGGCTGGAACAGGTGCTTGCGAACCTCCTCTTCGATGCCGATGCCGGTATCTTGTACTACGAAGTTTACCGTGGCCGAATCTTTCGATCTTGAGGTGATTGCGACGTTGAGCTTAACGGATCCGTCCGATGTAAACTTGATACTGTTCGTCAACAAGTTCGTCAAAATCTGACGAAGTCGTCCAGGGTCACCAATGACTCTCAAATCTTGTTCCACTTCGGGCTCAATGAAGCTGTGATACACCAATCCTTTCCGTTGTGCCGCGAAGGACATCATCTTGTTGACGTCTCGAAGAACCACGCTGAGACTAAATTGTACTTCTTCAACATCGAGTCGGCCACTTTCGACCTTCGAGAAATCAAGGATGTCATTGATGACAGTCAGAAGACTGTTAGCTGACCGATGGATGTTTTCTGCGCACTCTTTCTGCTCCTCGTTGAGATCCATGTCGAAAAGAAGCTCGCTCATGCCTATTACTCCAGCGATCGGTGTCCGGATTTCATGCGACATATTGGCCAGAAACTGGCTCTTCATCCTACTCGCCTCCCTAGCAGCCGCAGCATTAGCCAAGAGTCTGGAGTTCTCCTTTTCCTGCTCTTTCAGTTGATCCTCTCTTTCACGCAGTTCCGTTATATCCATCGAAACACCGATGACTCCATCGATGAATGCCTCGCCTTCAACGCCACCCGTTCTTGTTGAGTTCCACCGTGGCACAAGACGTGTTCGGTAGTAGCGTTCTGAGGATATGTATCGTTCCACCATCTCATCCTGCGCTTTGCCATTGAGAATCTCTTGGATTGGCTGTCTCCAGCGCTCTCGATCTGGAGCGTTCATGGCGAACTGATCAAACATGTCTTTGCCGAGGATGTCCTTCCTATCCTTATCTGGAACCCTGTCGCCTTCCATCAAAACCACCTTGTTTTGTCGATCAACAGCCCACAGCATAATTTTGGCATGTTCGATGACCTTCTGAAGTTGTTCACGCGTTTGTCTTGCTTCTTGACGAGCCATGACTAGGTCATGAATGTCGGTACAGGTACCGAACCACCTAACGATCTTCCCAGCATCATCAAGGAAGGGTATGGCTCGCCCAAGCATCCAGCGCCATTCCCCGTCGTATCTCTGACATCGATATTCCGTATTGTATTCGTCACCTGTGGCGAGGCAATGGAACCATGTGTCCGTAGTTGTACTCATATCATCAGGATGGAAAGGCAGTTTCCAGCCCTCGCCTAGACTTTGGGTTTCGGTAAGACCTGTATAGTCGTACCAACGTTGCGAAAACCAGTCATGGAGACCGTCAGGGGTTGTTGTCCAGACCATGACCGGCATGAAGTTGGCGATGTACTCGAACTGTTTCTCGTTCTCTTCGACGCGCGCTGCTATTGCTTTGGTGTACTCTGTAACGTCCTTGAAGATCACGATGCCACCCAAGAAATCACTGGTTTCCGGATGCACGACTGGTTCTCCAATGACCTCAAATACGATGCCCCTGCCGGTACCTGGCTGTCGCATACCAAGTCGCACCTTCTCCACACGCTGCTGTGTCCTACACACCTGCACAATTGGGAACTCGTCGATGTCAAGTGGTCGCTGGAAATCCTCAGTCCAAACTTTGAAAAGAGCTAAGAACGCCCGCTGATCGCCTGGAGCGTAGGTTGCATCCTTGGGTAGGAGTCGTAGAAGCGCATTATTTGGTATACCGAACCCCTCGTCTTTCCACATGGCGTATGCTGGCATATTGATTGAGTTGAGTAGGGCATCCTTCAGCTGCGTGGCCTTCTGGAAAATCGAGGTCGTGGAGGTGTCCAACCCAGCCAACAGAGGTGGGCCGCGAGGCGGGAAACTTGGCTGTTGCATCGTAGGTGTGACCGTTTTCGATACGTTGGTTGAGCTGCTTCCTGAACGGCGACCAGAAGATGAGCTCGATCCAGACCTACGCGACTTATTCAGATGAGGCCCTGTATGGGTGCGATTGACCACTCGACTCGAGGGGCGCGCAGTGGCCACTGATTGCGTAGATGTGGCGCTGGTGAAGGTCAATGTGAAGTACTGAGTGTCCTCTATTCTCCATATTGAGATAATACAAGTGGCTTGGAAGGCACCATGTTGCGAGTGTTTCTTGTCTTTCTTCTCCACAACTCCGCTAGGGCCACGCGAAAGTGGCGATACAACCACCTCCACCGAGACATCATGCACAGTAGTCCGCGCTAGGTTCGTGCTGCTCAAAGGAGGCAACGGAGGGTTTGTTGGAGAGGTTGTCCGGTCGTTCGTCGAGTGGGCAATAGGTGTAGCACTACTGCCCCCCAGTTGGTCGTCTTCTTCATCCGTACTATTTGTCTGGGCGTCGTCGATGACACAATCTAGAAAATCCTTTTGTCATGTTAGCAGTCATACGATAATTTCACCATGCATTCTGACGCACCTCCCATGACACTAACAGCGGTGAACCGTTCTGTAGAATATCAATTCCAAGCTCTCCTATGGTTTTGTCCTGTAGGACCTCAGATATCGAAAAGTCATGGTAAGCGGTGCTCTCGAAGTCGATTCCAAGTAGACGCCCCATGGCCTCGTTCGCAATCACCACAGTTTTATTTGAAGAGAGAACCAGAAGGGGCACTGGAAGATATTGCAGTGCGGTCAAGGACACCACCATGGCGGATGGCTGAGACGAGTGTATTGACATGGAATCGCTGCTGTGTATCGAGCTTGGAGACTTGGGTCGGTCGCTGATCGGGAAATACCCGCTCTCAGCGTCCTCCATTTCTTCAGCCACTATGATTAAGAGTTGGAGTGCGCAGGGCCGTAAGCTTCGTATACTATAAAATGTACTCTGAACGAAGGGCGGCCAAAAGTCCGGAGCCCTGATTGCCCGATGATTGTTGGTGAAGCAGAGCAGACCAGGACTCCACTAGACCAACCGAGAGCACTCGAACAAGCGGCGCAATGCAAACATAGAGGGTATCGAATGCGGTGGTAGTCGCTGGAGGTGCAGAAGAGAAAGAGAGGTCCTCAAGGGGCGGAAAACTGCCTGTAGAACGTGTGTTGATGCACAACGCGGCGGGGAGATGCGGCTGTTCTAGATTCGGATGCTGGTGGGAGATCAGTGGCTCGGCGCTGTTCTAGGCCATCCAGGAGGTCTTTCACGATGCGCATGCAGTGGTCTTGGGATCTTCTGCTGCAACTGCACCGGACGGCCGTGAGGTTGGCAGGAACAACTCACGCGGGAAGGCACAACGCGGATGTCAAACTCTCGGTTATTGTTATAGTGCAGAGGGCTCTTCTCCAAAGTAGTTCTAGAACGTCACATTTTCGGGTCTGCCAGACAGCAATGACGTCTTCGCGTTGGAAAAGACATGTTGAAAGGGCCTGTGGGTCAGGAAAGACATCCGCCACTCACGATTCGAATACAGAGGTACTTGCTGAAGGGTGAAACTGGGGACGCTACATTAAACGTGCGCAAGGCCCACCGATCCGCGCCGATCATTTTGATGCTTTTCAGGATTTGTGGATTTTGTGCTCAAGAGAAGCGCGAAAGGTGTACTCGACAGACATCAATCTGTTCGCGCCGGTCTGGAGAATTTCATCGTGTAGCTTTTGCGCTTCTCACGATCTTTTGACGGCCGTCAGGACACAGATACCTTTCCTTGGCAAGGATGGCTGTATCCCTGCCGCCTGTGAACCATACGATGCATCGGCCTCATCCGACCTCGCATGACAGCCTTGCACAAGTCATGTTTGTTTGCGAGACTACATTCGATGAACCATGCATATACAGTCTAGAGCGCCTCTCCCTGCAGTCCTCCCAAGGCTGAAGTCCAACAGTGCGACCCTGCACCAGACTCTCAGGTACCTACCATTTTTCACGTTGGCACGTGATCATGACGACCCTGAGTCTTGGCATTTGACATGCAACTCGACAACAGCTGTCTTTCTTGATAGGCAACATCATTGAGGCCACATCAACCACAAAGGTTTCCAAAACACTTTCAGCTCCGCTCGTCCTCCAGTAATAGTTTATTCCGCTTATTCAGAATGTTCACATTCGGCCTTGGTGGCCTCTTCTACGGTAGGATATCAAAACCAGAATATACTTGGGTAGTCACTAACTTCACACGCAGTCGCCGTTCTCCTTATCAATGCGATAGCCATTCTCTCAGAAGATCGATTCCTTGCACGCAGTACGTCGAAACCCCGCGCATGCCGCTACAAACCCCCGCTACCCCTCCTATCGTTTTTAAACAACGCAAATATGGCTATACGCTGGACGCCGTAGTCCTATAATCGTACGAAGTGTTGTACGACCATATAATGCTGACAAGATGTCACAGTTGGCTGGACAGCTGGCGCAGCAGAACCTGGCTTTGGGCAACGCGACGATGCGAGCGTAAAGGCACGATTGATAAACCTGGTTTCCTCGGTACGAACACTCATGAGAAGTACGTCAGCGCCTCGTTCGAGCATAGACGAAGTCCCAGTATACTGGATTGCAATACGCCAGGGACACATTGAGTCAACATACTGACTTGATACTAGTACCGCTTATGTTCATCAACACGCTCATGATAGTCTACCTCCTCGTCCTCGGGTGAGCACCGCGCATATATATGAAAACATTTGAGCATGGCGTTATGGATAGAGCATCAGCGTAGCAAGAATTAAGGGCTCATCGGGACAAGATGTTGGAGGAAGTCAAGACGTCCGCTTCGCTGCTAGACGCAATCGCAGGGACATCAGAGAGCCAACGAACAGCACACTGCCAGAAGGTTCTGGGCCTGTTCGAGACGATCAACTAAGACCTGGAGCTGCACCAACGCGCCAAATTGGGATCAGGGGCAAGTAGGGGCATGGGTACATGAATACATTGGCAGACAGCACCATATCCCCGTAAGGCAAACCGGTAGTAAAAGTCTATGGATACTACAACAATATACCCAATTGTGGATCAAGCATATCGTTATACGCTGCAGCCAAAATTTACTAGCCATAAGACATAGTCTACGGAGAGGCTCTGTTTCAGAACGCTACCTTTAAAGTCGAGCCAGTAAGTCCATGTGCACCCTTGGCAACAATTGCAGTTTTCTACGAGACCATTTGCAGATGTTTGAAGCCTACAGGAATCGTACGATCCTAGAGCGTTGTGGGCTGTCCATATTCTATGCCGGTGATCTTCTAAATCAAGTGTACTGTCCTGCCGCCATCCCCGGTAGCAAACTCACCGCACATTATCTGACGTGGTCAAAGTCCATCAGCTGGTAGGTAAATACTTCAACTCTCTGTTCTGTGACTTTCATCTTTATTGATGTCGGTCTCGAAGTGTGGTGATTTTTGCGTGAATCGGTGTACGCCAGCACTCAAGAAACACGTCCACGACCAGAATAACCAAGAGGAACATTCCCATGGGCTTAGCGTTATGAAAAATAAATAATCGTCAATACGGTACAGAGCCATATCGAATCGAGGACTAGAACATCAAGTTCTTCAACTTCGAAGAACAAGACGTGTGCACTCACGGGTGCTGCTGTTCGTTTGAAGCCTGCCAGGATAGAACGGCTAGTACATCACAAGCTTGATGGTTGCATAGTTCACGGGATCAGACTTCACTGTGTTCGCTAACGGATGCATTCCCAGACTCGGACGATACTTATGCCCCACAAGCGTGCCTCGAATACAGCTGTGAACGCCTCGACGCAGCTTTTCACCAAACCAAAGTAGATCATACTGATGCAGTAGAAATAACGCTCCATTCTCTGGAGCGGCGCTCCAAGTCTGATATGCACAAATATCTTGCTGGGATATACAACCCTATCGGCATCTCTACGTCACTCGTCCTCCCAACCCCCCTTCATTCCCACCAAAGTCAATCCTGTTGCGATGCGATGCCTGCTCAGAACTTGAACACGCTCTTCTTTCTACCCAATCCATGACCCTTCGGATCCTCTCCATTCCCAGCCGCCTCATCGCCATTACCATCCCCCTTATCCTTGCTCCCCCAGAACTTGGGCTTGCCCTTGAGACTCATGCTGCTATGTCTGAATCTACTAAGTCCAGATGCCTTGCTCAAGCTGCCGACGCCGTTGGCGTCTCTTGGTGTACCCGGAGCAGCGGACGTGTCCTCGGTGCCGCGCTTCTTGTTCTCTTCAGCTGCAGTCTCTTTACTTGCTGCGAGCGCGGCCTGCAATTCTTCTTCCTGCCTCTTATAGTTGTTGCGCCGTTGTTGTTCCATTTCTTTCCGTTTTTGCTTGGCTTGTGCTTCCAGCTCCTTTTCGGCGGCTTTGCGCTCTTTCTCTTCGGCTTTGTTCTTCTTGCCGAACAGACCCAATCCTGCGTTGCTCTTCTTTGCGCCGAGGACAGGGATGTTGGTGCTGACGTGTTCGACGGGGTGGGCGTGTTCGTTTGGATTGAGTGCAGGCGCGGTTGCAGCGTGGTTGAGGCTTGCAAACTGATCTTCCTCTTCTATCGTCGGCGTCTGTGCTGTTGACAGATGATGTGCGTGACCGACGCCGTTCATTGCGCCATTCGTCTTCGGTGTTGTGGCGCCGACGGCGACAGCTTCGGGGTTGAGTTCTGAGGCTTGCTTCGCAGCCGCTTCGCGGGCGTCGGCCTCCTGCTCTTTCATCATGGCTTCCTCAGTTGTCTCCTGGTAGAAGAGGACGTAAGCACATGCAAGGGCGTTTTCGCCACCGAAGAAGTTCCGTACGTAGGCTTTATCGACAGGTTCGACCATTTCGTCGTCGAAGAGGAGCCAGCCACGGTCTTGAGTCTTGATGATCGAAACATAGTGGCCGTGGTAGGGACCGCCACCAATGTGGACAACGACGGCGTACAGCTCGTATAACCTGTCAGGGTCTTCTGCGTCGTCTGTGGTGTTGAATAATCGGAGATAGTACGGGTATACGACGCGGTGGAAGAGCTTCTGTAGGCGTTGCAGATCCTCCGTATACTTGAAACGTTTTAAGTGCAACGCTAAGATCTTCGGTAACCGTTTGATCTTCATCCTCTTTTCTGCTTCTTGCAAGCCTCCGCAGTTGTCACAGTGGAACTTGTTGCGCTCGCACAACATCTCTTCCTCAGAAAACTTCCGTAAGCAACTGGTTACTGATGAGTGCTGCTCAAGATCAACGGACAAATCCAGGAACGCCTCGTCTCGTTGGGAGGTGTTCTCGCACGTCAGACATCGTGTCTCAGATGTTAGCGTACCCTCGAAGAGTTCGTGTACCCAGCCAGTGTTGGTGTTGTTGTTTGTTGCTGGTGCAACTACGCCATTCTGCTCTGTCCCACCGACTTCTGTTATCCGTGACTTGGAGAATGTCTCTACGTTCTCCACGACTTCGTTCAGCAGCAGGTTCAGGAACTCGTGCGCGTCCTGGTGCATCGGCGTACGGAACATCTCGTTGTCGCGGCGCAGAATCTCGAGGAATTTGTGTGGACTGACCACGCCCATGCGTGACCTGTTCGCGATTACCGCCTCGAATATGTCCTTTAATGATGTGAATAGCGACTCTGACATGCCGTACGACTTGGAGTTCTCGTAGTCCATGGTCAGCACGGGCCCTGCAGCCAGCGCCTGCTTCTTCTTGTACTCGGGTGAGTCCTTGTTATCTTCAGGCTTAGGGGGTTGCCCGGGGGCGCCGGGTGTGGTGGCTGGCTTCCCTGGTGTCCTCACAGTGGGACTCGACAGCGAGTTCCGCCCTGTTGGCGAGAGTGCTGACTGTGGGCCATTCTGGAGGTTTGTGTTGATGCGTGGGAGAGACTGGGGGCGTTCGAGGGTTTCGGGGGCGGAGCGGGCGGGGAAGTTGATGACTTGTTCTCGAAAGGGCACCGAGTAGTAGAGACACTGCACGACTGAGTTGCAGTAGCTGAAGGGGATTGTCAGTGGTTGTGGTGGTAGCGGGGGCTGACGTATGGTGCATACCAGGTACTTCCAAACTGTAGGCACGGCCGTATTAGCATGCATCATCCCATCATCCCAACATCCCCACTCTACAGGCGCACTCACATTCTCGAAGCCGAAGAACTTGTCGCTGCCGTCGCCGCGCAGAGGCCCGGCGTTCGCCAAGAGCTTCTCCAGCGGCGTGGGCTCTGGCGCGTTGGGGTCCTTCTTTGCAACCGGGTGGCCAGTTGCTGGGCTGGCTGGGGCCTGCAGCGGCGTCAGTATGTGCCATTGTCTACACTGCACCGCTCGGGGGCACTCACAGCGCCCGACTTAAGGCGACCGAAGAACGAGCTCATGGTGGCAGCTCGCAGCGACGGGCGCGCAGAACAGTGCGAGGCAGACGAGGCGGACGAGGCGGACGAGGCGGACGGAGTGGTCGTTCAGGCGGCGCAGGGCATATGCGGCGCGGGCTTATGCCGTTATAGCGCGAGCGACGAATGCTGGGGTAAAGAGGCCCGGGTGACGTGAACGTGCGGAGGGCAGCATGGGGGAAGGAGCGATGCAGCAGTGGACAAGATGAGCACACGCACGGCACAATTCAGCAGCCCAGCGCACACGAGACGAGAGTCGGCCGGTGGTCTTGAATCAACCCGAGAGCCACGAGGCTTGGAGGAGCTAGAGACGGCCTGCTTCCTAGCTCACGCGAACTCCGAGAGCCCGGTCTCCCCCACAACTGGACCCCACCGTGGCCATGCACCAACCCTGCAGCCCACAGTGAATGTTCCAGTGATCGACGGTGTCACTGTGATACAACGGCTGCTGGGCTGCCAGAAAAAGCAACTGGTGTTCGGGAACCACATGGCTTGTGGCCTCTAGGCGTCCAAGCACTGCAAGCTGGCTGTTGGCAGCGTGCTTGGCCCTCGTGTCTTAGCTTACCCGTACCATGGTCACGTCAGTTGATTCCAAACCATATCTCTTAGCCGGTCGGCGGCTAATGCTGCGAACACACGCTGATCCTTCTAGAAGGCACTCCATAAGCAGCACACCTCCAGGATGAGTGTTCACACGTCTATTATTGTCTTACTCGCGAGCAGTGCCGGCCAAATAGGCGTTGGTTTTTGAACGGGCATTGTTCCTCCGCCTGCTCAGCTGTTGGACGCCACAAACACAAAATGGCGCAAATGAACTAACCCTCCCACAAGCCATCCGACCATTTAGCCGCCTGGCTTCGATCCCCAGATCCTCAGACGAGCTTGCCTCAGGCTTGGAGCTCCCGCGAACGCCCTTGAAATGCTAGTGCCGCGCAGTCGAATGCAAATACATGTACATGTTGATACAACAGAAAGTAAAATGGAAGATAGGGGCTGTTTTACATCCGTCGAAGTCGCTTACTGGCCCCGAGCTCAATGGCCGTACGACTGTTGAGTATCAAATCCTCGTTGCCGCCAGGCGGAGGGTTGTTCTGAATGTACTCTTGTCGTATGCGCGCAGCCTCGCTGTCCCAGTGGGCAACCCGTTCCTTGAAACTTGCTGCATTTGAGGTCGCGCTCTCTCGTGCATTGTCAGCCTGATCTTGGTATGGCTTCTTGGTACCTTCGCCTGCTGTCCGCCACTTAAGACCGATAGCAATCCGAACCTCCTGCTTGGAGGCCTTCGCTTCTGAGTTTCCGGTAGCGGCTACACGGGCGTCGTCGCACTCTTTCTTGACAATGTACCAGTAGTCCTTGGTGAACAGCAAGAACGGGTTCACTCCTGAGCGTCCTGGTTTTATCGGTCGCTCGCCGATCTCCTCCAGGATAGCGCCAATAATGGCAGCCTCATAGTCCTCGTCTCGTTGAGCTCGTGCTGTCTTGGTTGTCTGAGTCGGCACCACTGCAGGTGCAAATCCTGGTTTGAAGTCCGCCAAAGAGGGGGTTGCAGGATGCTCGAGCTTAATCTTCTTCTCCACCAATGGACTGGGAATCTCGATAGGTCCAGTCATTGTCTCGTATACTTCGGCGGCAACTCGGAGGCCTGACAAATATGCGCCGTGGACTGTGGCAGGGTGAGTTCCGCAAGTCGCTTCTCCTGCGAAGTGCAGTGGGCCGTGAGGTCGAGCCATGACATCGTAATCGCCTGTTTGTGTCTTTGCGCCAACGTACGAATAGCTGCCGCGAGCGAAAGGATCCTTGCTCCATCTCGTGACAATGGTCTCGGTGGGTAGTGGGACGGGGTTCGGCGCGAACATCGAGTCGAGTCGATCTGTGACTTCTTTGACCAGCTGGTCGTTTGACGTTGCCTCAGCGTAGTGAGCAGCATCGCCGGCCATCAGTGCAACGAGCGTTGGCTTGCCGCTGGTCTTGATACAGTTCCAGAATAGATAGAACCGTCCTCGCCGTGCGTTGTAGTCTTCAGGTCGAAGGCTGGCTTGGTGCTCGGCTTCATTCAAGAGGCCAAACATATCGCGGTCGGGTTCCCAGAAGGCTTTCTCGTAGACCAAGATAATCTGTCCGCACTATTAGTAGACAGCTGTGGAAAAGAGCTTGAGCGCTTGCCTTGTTGAGTAATCCGAAGCCCATGCGCTCAATCACACCCTGTTTCCAGTCTGGAAGTGGCGGTTGAAATGTTATGGACCCCGACTTCAACACCCCTAAAGGTGTTGTCAAGATAACTCGGTCAGCCTCGAAGGACTGTCCGTTCGAACATTCGATGATGACAGCTTTCCCGGTCTGTTGTTCCTCGGTGTTGTAGCAGACTAACTTGATCGGCGTATTGAAACGAACGTCCAGTTGGCTCGGACACTTCCACAGCCCTCGTGGCACCTGCTGGTAACCTCCGATGACCTCTGAATGCTCACCTTCGAACTCATTGCCCATGTCTTGATCCCAGCCACTCAGACTGAGTTTGTTGACACTGACTGCATTGGCGTATTCGAGGTTGGCATGGTGCCAGCTCAGCAAGCGCATGTCTCTGGGTTTCATGTCGACAATCGCTTGGTATTGCTTGATGCCCTCGTCCATAGTCTGACCCAGTGTGGGAAACTCTGACGTCTTTGCAATTGCGTCCAAATCGACAGTCTGCGACATTGACACTCCTGTTTCGACCTTCCAACCCAGAGTCTGTATCGCCTCGGCCGCTGTGATATTTGGGTTGAAACCAGCGCTAAGCTGGTAGGCTCTGCCAGCTAATTTCTCCACTCCAGTTGTGGGCTTCTCTTCAGTTGTCGATGCCGTGCTCTTCGCGTTCACAGACAAAGGCGTATCCGAATTTTCCAACTCCGCAATCGTTGGTCCCCCATTATCGTTGGCATCACGCCCGAATAGTATAAGATTTCGGTCACCCTCTACGATGCGTTGTGCTGCTGCCTTGTTTCGATAGACGCTTGCTCGCTCCAAGACGTCATTGTACAGCTTTTCAACCAGCATATCCTGACCTCTGTCTACGACTGTGCCGTCGTAATCGTAGAGTATTGTGTTGTCGCGAAGACCGTGGTAAGGTATACCGAGCTGCCCGCGAATGATGGCATTCAGAGGGTTGCCATGTTCGAACCCTGTGACAATCTGTGCGCCCATTTCAGCTGTACAGCGGTGCCCCGGAGGGAGGGTGGAGTTAGTTTGGTTGAGAAAAGGGTGAGAGTAGACTCTACCACCAACGCGTGGGCGAGCTTCGAGAATGATTATTTTCGGTGGTCGTTCTTCGCTGTTGGTGGGTTGGTCTGCCAACTGTGCGAACAGCGCTTGCAGTTGCCGGGCACAACCAAGGCCTGACATTCCAGCACCGACCACGACAATCGTGCGCTGTGGGGTATCCTTTGCTTTCCTCCTCGCTATCGCTGGTGCCGTGTCAGGTACTTCAATACAACCGAAGTTGATGTACCCATTTCTGAGGAGCCACAGATATGCCACCTTTGCCAGACCAAAGAAGCGCTTATCTCGAGTGCAGCCTGCAGCTTCATCGAATGAAACATAGACCAAAGGGTTGCGATGCCATAGTCTCAAGATTGCGTTGCGGATATTGAGGTAGATGGTGACCTGTGCATGATTGATGTGATTCCGTAGCAGTCTGTACTCCGCTGGGTGCAAAGCAAATGGGTTGAGTCTGCTACTTTCTGCTGCCAGAATGCATTGTCTCCCAAATTCTGGCCACGAGAGTTCTGCGGGTATGCTTGAGTTCGCTTTCAGCTCGGTTGTCTTGCCTTTCAGCTTGCTAGCTAGTCGCTGCTTCGTAGGGCGCTCGTAGGATTGCAGGAGCTCAGGTGTCGATGATGGTTGAGATTCGCGGCTCAAGCTTTGTGGCGTTCTGGTCATGAAGTTGTGCTTGAGAGAAGCATCTTTCAGTTTTGACAAACCATCTCGCTGAGAGACGTTTTCATCGCTAGCTTTGAAGATTGCATTGCCATTTTGATTCGAGTTAACTCCGTTGACGCCGTGTGACCCATTCTCCACCGTTGAGTGTGGCGTATTTGGATATGGTAGTGGCGAAGGTGTGAGATTGAGGCCATATGTGTTCATGAAAGCACCAGGCGTAGAGTCTTCTCTCTCGTCTCTGCCGCTTTGATGATTGACCTCCAATGTGTCGTTGGCGTCGCCATAGTGCACGGACGATGTCGCCGATTCTCTGCCATAGCCAATGTTACTAAGCCCAGGCATGGGAGCGATGCCACCCTTCAGATGTACGCTTTCATGCGATATTGGTAGCGACAGAAAGTCATTGTGAGACTGGTCGAACATATCGGAGTCGTCATCGAGTGTATTTGTGTCTGTCGTAGACGCGAAGGCGGAAAACATGATGATGGCCTCCACCCGTGAGGGATGGAAATCGACTGACCAGCTGATATGGCCGAATGAGGGCTAGAGGTCGCGGTTTTCCATGCGACAAGATGTAAAGGAGAATCGAAATAGGTAACGAATGTTTTTAGACTTTGCAAGCATGGAGAATTCGATTGTTGTAAAGATGTTAGATCTCATGCGCCGCGGGCGTCGAGTGAAGAGGTTGAGCACGGGAAGCTAGCCACACTGGTGGCCATTCCTTCTTCGGCAGCCGCGTTTAGAGCCATCCCTGCGCAACTCCAACGCCCATCCCTCTTCGTCACCTTCAGCCCACTTCACGCCTCGCTTCTGGCTGAGACCTGCACCTCAAGACATGCGTGCAGTTAACGGCCGCCTTGGCTAATCAGGCCGGGATCTAGAGAGCATCGCTCGTCTCAAAGCGCTGGCCCACTCTTCTGGAAGCGAGACGTATTGCAACACCGCACTTCGTCCGGCATCTGCGTACCATTGCACCTACGAAACAACAAACAATGCATCGAGGTACATGAATCAGGGATTTGTTGTGTCCACATCGGCGTTCGACGTGAATCTTTGAAGGATGTCTTAATGTAAGTGGCGAAAGGTACGCAGGACCGATATATGCGGCACGGAAGACGTCAAGGTGAACGACAAACACTTAAAGAACGAATCCTAAGCTTGTAAGGTGTTTGACGCTACAGATACAACCTCATCATAGCATACCTGACCTAGCTAACAGTGCGCATATCACTGCCATCGAAACGATAGCCAACTTATATCCGACAACTTTCACAACACTATCCTGCGGTCGGATTCATTGTCGATAAGAGCCACTGTACTCTGGTAAACCCCAGACGACGATCTTCCATACCACCATGAAAGCCCCAAACCTTCCGGCGTAAACAGATACGCGGCAACCGAGCGGAGAACAAGATGAGAGTTATAATTACAACATTGTCAATGTCAGTCCGCAAGGACGTAGTTGAACCGAGAATCATAGTCCACGGATGAGGCTAGAGGTGTGTGCAGCCTGGCGATGTTGCCTGGAGTAGGCCACTAAGGAGCTCTGCAAAGCTTGAGGGTACCGAGGCAGTAGTCTGCTACAGTCCTGTGATTGTAACGCAAAATATAGCAGGCCATAGCCAGCAGCTTGTACTCGCTGTCGAATCCAGAAAATGCTGTGGTTGATGTTCACAAACGTATCATGTACATGCCCTGTTCGGCCTGTAAATTCATTACAACCACACTGTATCAGTAGCCTTGTTAATGAGCTACCTCTATCGATTTTCTCCAGTCTGTGAGGGTGTGAGAAGTGGTATCGATCCATCACGTGGGGCGGGAAGCGCACGGCCGGCATCGTATCTCGATTGACGTAACTGCGGATCCCCGAGCAACGATGTTTACCAGCAACAACACTCCACGCAGAACGAACAATGCGATGGCCTTGGTCGGGCGACGAAGATGAGCAGAGGAAGACCAGACTCGCAGCATGGACCGAACCGTACGACTCGAATGATTGGGCGACGACTCTCCTTGAGCCAAGGTCCCTGATCCCATCTGTTGCGCTCACAGTATCCACCGTCGCTGGTATTCGTCTGTACAAATCCTACTTACGAAGGATACCCACTATCAACCACATCAAACCCGACTACTTTCGACGCAGAAGTCTGTTTGGTCAGGTCACAAGCGTTGGAGATGCGGACAATTTCAGGTTGTATCATACACCTGGCGGACGACTAGCAGGATGGGGCTGGTTGCCATGGAAAACTGTACCGACAAAAAGAGACCAACTTATGAAGCAGACAGTAAGCACGCCCTCTAACAGATATAGACAACATTCCTCTGCTTCGTGCGTCTTGAGACTGACAACACGTAAAGCTTCACATACGAATCGCTGGAGTTGATGCGCCAGAGCTTGCGCATTGGGGCCGAGAGGCTCAACCATACTCGAAAGAAGCACTTGAGATGCTCACCGATCTCATCCACAACCGTCGAGTTCGTGCACAACTATACAGACGTGACCAATACGACAGAGTTGTAGCACAGGTCTACGTGCGCAAGTGGTTCTTCAAGAAAGATGTGGGGTTGGAGATGTTGAAGGCAGGCTTAGCAACCGTTTACGAAGCTAAATCTGGAGCCGAGTTTGGGTCCTCTGAAGAGAAGTACCGCGCTGCTGAAGAGCAGGCCAAAGAACGCAAGGTTGGGATGTGGTCCAGGCCAGGGCTGATACAGAGACTGGCTGGCGCAACGACGAAGGCTCCAGAGAGCCCACGAGAGTACAAGACCAGACACACAGCAGCAGAGAAGCAAAAGAAGACATGAACATTTAACGTCACTATACATGAACTGTTGCCGAGGGGAGCTATTTGGTGTTCGTGGAAGACTGCATGGCAGCTTGGAGCATATACCGCACAATTGTATAGACTTCCTCAAGGTATCGACATACGACCTGCACTCCTCATCACATATCAGTCGATGCGATTTCTTCGATACAGCGACAGTCACACATAGGTCGGGAGAGGTACCGAGAATTCTGACTCTTCGATCTGAGGAATTTGTTCAGAAGCTATGCAATCGCTCAGCCATGCCAATCACAATGATCAGCGCTACTAGCGCGCACAGTCCATGCCCAGGACAATAAAGTAGGAAATCCGCTCTTTACTTTGACGCGGCCGCAGGCCGGTTAGAGTCGCAAATGACTCCTTTCAAGGCTGTATGACCCATAAGTTATGGATAAGGTCCGTGAGCACTGCGGGTGACGGCAGCCCGCAAAACTGCTTCAAAATTTCTTCTCGCCAGTGCCATGCCATTGTTAGTGTTCGGCGCCGATTATCGGCCCTGATCCGAATAGTCCTTGTGTGAAGAGCAGCGTTGGCTGAGCGAAGAGAGGCACAACGAGTGACGTTGACCAAATACATGGGTTGATAGTAACAGCAATCGCGTTGAATAGTCAATTGATCGTATCCTGCAACAAAAAAGCATAAACCCCTTGGTTGCGTTGACTCAAGCGGGCACTGCGCACTGAACCACGGGTCTTATCGCAATCGGATGGAGCTAAAATCGCCGATAGAAAGTTTGGCAAGCTTCACATCTTCCCCACGATTCAATAATTCTTATAGAGTCACATTCCCTCTGCTCTGTTGAGCTCGAGCTCTAGCACCCTCCAATTGCCCCCACTAGCCCTCGAGCGACTTACTCTCGCGCGTTCGTTGCCCTTTCCCGTCCTCACTGGGTGTTCTTAGAGCTCGGTAGCTCAGCAGCTGCTTGACCGCCTGCAATATGGCTCTCTGCGGGCGTCTGACACGTCGCGTACCTACCACGACAGGCCAATTCCGCAGCATTGCACCTTCTGTGTCTGCGCGAAGCTTCACAACCCGCACAGCTCGTCCCTTGACCTCCCTCCGCGCGAAGGGTGAGTCAACTGCGACATACCGCCAGCTGCGCGCTTTCACCAAGATCTCTGCCACATTCAACCAGACACAAGAGGCACCAAATGCGCAGGCCTACCTCAATAGCGGCGCCATTGCTGGTGCCCGCGATCTGGTCGATGTAAAGAAGGTTTTGGTCATTGGCAGTGGAGGTCTCAGCATTGGACAGGCCGGCGAGTTCGACTACTCAGGTATGAAAGAGCATGTTCTTGGCGCGTACCAAAAAGTCACCGCATACTAAGCCGTAATGCAGGTTCCCAGGCACTGAAGGCTCTCAAGGAGGCTGGCGTAAAGTCGGTCCTTATCAACCCTAACATTGCGACTATCCAGACATCGCACGTGCTCGCCGATGAAATCTACTACCTGCCTGTAACCCCCGAATACGTCGAATATGTTATCCAGAAGGAGAAGCCTGACGGCATTTTCCTGTCCTTCGGTGGACAAACTGCCCTGAACCTGGGTGTCCAAATGAACAGGAAGGGCCTCTTCGAGAAGTACGGTGTTAAGGTTCTTGGAACAAGCGTCAAGACACTCGAGACCTCTGAGGATCGCAATCTGTTCGCGAGGGCTCTGGACGAGATCGATATTCCCATCGCCAAGTCGATTGCTGTCAACACTGTCGACGAGGCTCTAGAAGCTGCTGAGAAGGTCGGATACCCCATCATCGTCCGTGCTGCGTATGCGCTCGGTGGTCTTGGATCTGGTTTCGCGAACAACCCTGAGGAGCTCAGGAACTTGTCTGCCCGATCGCTCACCCTCTCTCCCCAAATCTTGGTCGAGAAGTCGCTGAAGGGCTGGAAGGAGGCCGAGTACGAGGTCGTTCGTGATGCGGCTGATAACTGCATCACAGTCTGCAACATGGAGAACTTTGACCCTCTCGGTGTGCACACCGGTGACAGTATCGTCGTGTCGCCCAGTCAGACTTTCAGCGACGAGGAGTACCACATGCTCCGTTCCGCATCAATCAAGATCGTGCGACACTTGGGTGTTGTTGGGGAGTGCAACGTCCAGTACTGCCTCCAGCCCGATGGTCTCGACTACAGGGTCATCGAAGTCAATGCCCGTCTGTCTCGTTCTTCCGCTTTGGCCTCGAAGGCTACCGGTTACCCCTTGGCCTACACTGCCGCGAAGATCGGTCTTGGACACACTCTGCCTGAGCTGCCCAACGCCGTCACTAAGACTACCACTGCTAACTTTGAACCTTCCCTCGATTATGTCGTCACAAAGATGCCCCGATGGGATCTGAGCAAGTTCCAGAACGTTAAGCGCGACATCGGCAGTTCCATGAAGTCCGTCGGCGAGGTCATGGCTATTGGTCGTACATTCGAGGAGTCCTTCCAGAAAGCCTGCCGACAGGTCGACCCCAAGTTCCTCGGTTTCCAGGCTGAGAAGTACGGCAAGGACCTCGACTACGAGCTCGCAAACCCCACAGATCGCCGATGGCTCGCCGTTGGTCAGGCCATGTACCACGAAGGCTACACCGTCGATAGGCTGCACGAGCTCACCAAGATCGACAAGTGGTTCTTGCACAAGCTCCAGAACATCGTCGACTGCACAAAGGAGCTCGAGGAGATTGGCAGCCTTTTCGGCCTCAAGAAGGAGATTATCCTCAAGGCCAAGAAGCTCGGTTTCTCTGACAAGCAGATCGCTAAGGCTGTCAACAGCTCTGAAGACGAGGTTCGCGCTCGCAGGAAGAGCTTCGGCATCAGGCCCTGGGTCAAGAAGATTGACACATTGGCTGCTGAGTTCCCTGCCGATACGAGTGAGGAAGTTTCATTTACACATTGCATCTCTTGCTGACTTCTCATAGACTACCTTTACACCACCTACAACGCCTCTTCCCACGATGTCTCGTTCGACGACCACGGTGTTCTCGTCCTTGGTAGCGGTGTCTACCGCATCGGTAGCTCTGTCGAATTCGATTGGTGTGCTGTCAACGCTACCATGTCGCTCAACAAGCTCGGCAAGAAGACTGTCATGATCAACTACGTGAGTACCTCCAGGCTATCATTTCACAACTTTTGAATCTATACTAACGAAGGAAAAGAACCCCGAGACTTACAGCACTGATTTCGATGTTGCTGACAGGCTCTACTTCGAAGAGCTGAGCTACGAGCGTGTTATGGACATCTACGAGTTGGAGACCGCCCAGGGTGTTGTCGTCTCTGTTGGTGGCCAGCTTCCTCAGAACATTGCCTTGAAGCTCCAGGAGTCTGGAAAGGCTAAGGTTCTCGGAACTGATCCCCACGACATTGACAAGGCCGAGGATCGCCATAAGTTCTCTTCCATCCTCGACTCCATCGGTGTTGACCAGCCAGCGTGGAAGGAGCTGACTTCGTACGAAGACGCGAAGAAGTTCGCTAACAACGTCCAATACCCCGTCCTTGTCCGCCCATCCTACGTCCTCTCCGGTGCTGCCATGACCGTCATTCGCAGCGAGGATGAGCTTCAGGAGAAGCTGCTCGCCGCCTCTTCTGTCTCCCCAGACCACCCCGTCGTCATCACAAAGTTCATTGATGGCGCTCAGGAGATCGACTGCGACGCTGTTGCCTCCAATGGAACGGTCCTCGTTCACGCTGTCAGTGAGCACATTGAGAACGCTGGTGTCCACTCCGGTGATGCCACACTCGTCCTGCCTCCTGTCAACCTCGACGCCAGGATCCAGGAGCGTGTCAAGGAGATCGCCGATAAGGTCGCCAAGGCATGGAACATCACCGGTCCCTTCAACATGCAGATTATCAAGGAGGAAGTCGAGGGTGCTGAGCCCAATCTCAAGGTCATCGAGTGCAACCTTCGTGCATCTCGTTCATTCCCCTTCGTCAGCAAGGTCCTTGGTACCAACTTCATCGATGTTGCCACCAGGGCTCTTGTCGGCCGTGAGGTTCCTGAGCCCACTGACCTCATGAAGGTCGACCGCGACTATGTCGCCACCAAGGTTCCCCAGTTCTCTTGGACCAGGTTGGCTGGTGCCGATCCTTACCTCGGTGTCGAGATGTCCTCCACTGGTGAGATGGCTTGCTTCGGTAAGGACCTCATTGAGGCCTACTGGGCATCCGCTCAGTCGCAGATGAACTTTCGTCTGCCTCAGCCTGGTGAGAGTCTCCTCTTCGGTGGTGATGTCACAACTGGATCTCTCCACTCCAACTCCCTGATCCAGATCGCCAAGTACATTCAGACTCTTGGCTACAAGTTCCTCGCCGCCAACGAGGACGTTAAGGCTCTGCTCGAGAAGAATGTCGAGGGTGTCAAGGTCGAGGTCATTGCTTTCCCCAAGGAGGACAAGCGTGCTCTCCGTGAAGTCTTCGAGAAGAACGACATCCGTGGTTGCTTCAACTTGGCCAAGTTCAGGGCCAACGGCCTGCTTGACGAGGATTACGTCATGCGTAGGAACGCAGTCGACTTCGGTGTTCCTCTGTTCATGGAGCCCAAGGTAAGTTTGAACAATACCTCATCCATACATGGCACATGCTAACAACTTGACAGACTGCTGTTCTCTTCGCTCAGTGCATGAGCGAGAAGCTGCCCAAGAAGGAGGGCATCCCCAGCGAAGTCCGCACATGGAGCGAGTTCGTCGGTGGACGACCACTGTAGATGAACCCATCATCCTGCTATGCGGCAGAGTAACATGGGAAGAGTAGAGGAGTCATATACCCGACCGGGGTGAAGTAGGATAGATCTATGAGGCGGAAGAGATGGATCGTCTTCGGAGATATTTTGTGGTCTTGTTCATACAGCGTTCTCGGCTCATCTGCAAGGCAGTTTTAGAGGAGTTTGGGAATGCTTTGGCATGCACTTTGTGTGAAATAAGGCTCTTCTCTCCGGTTTGTACGCTAGTAATTCATTCGAGATAAACATCAAATACTTTCAGAGGCACGAATAGCTCGGTTGAGTACTAACTTTCAGGCACTTCGTCTATTGTCTCATTACTTCCCAAAGCTCACCAAATTCACTCCCAAGCAAGTGTACCCTTCCGAACTATGAAGTGATGAGATGGCGCTTCCTCAATGGCCGGCATAGCTGTAACAGTCCTGGCCAACTTAGACGGAGTGACCTTGGTTGGTTCTTCCTCGGAATTGTTTTGGGGCTCAAGTCGAGCTGTGTTTGCCATCAGCTGCGCGCTCGGCCCTGGCCACGCGGTGCCTCGACGGCTATTCGTCTCGATCTGTATCGAGGTGTGATGAATCGCTCGGTGGTATCGTTGCTCCACGTAATACATGAAATTAGTGTTGTAGACCATCAATCTCTGGGGGCCATCTTTCATCGAATCAACAAGCCACCCTCTGGTCGCTTCCACGATCTCTTCACCACTCCGCAGAGTGGGGTTCTCAGGCCCTCGCAACTGGTCTAGCAGGTCTTCGATCGACTCTCCATTGTCATATCGCGCGACAGCAGCAATTGCTCTCAGCGCAATGTCCCGCTGACTCTCGATTTGTTCCTCAATACGCCTGAGCCCCAAGTCGAACAAAGCAACGATAGTTGCCGGAAGTTGGTCTTTCCTCGCTTGAAGACTATCAACTGATTCCATCTCATGGACGAGATCCAACCTTGCCCTTGCTATCCCGATGTTTTCATACGAGTACGCCGTGACATCGTCCACAAGCGTCTGGATGGGTCTTGAAGCCTGGTTGGACAGCAGCTTTTCGCCCAAAGGCGATAGAGGGGGTTTTCGAGCTGAGCTGTCAAGTCCTAGATCACCGTGTTCACGTTCGAGATCCCACGCAACAAAATTTGCCATCGCTTCACGAGGAACGCGTATCCTGATGTTGACGTGGTCGTACGGCTCGTACAGGCTGCCATCAACGTTGCTAGCGATCGTCAATTAAGCCATAGCTTTGGCGCAACAGAGACCTACCAACGATCACATATTCTTTGCGCGTCTTTGCAAGGGAAGCACATTGCAAACCCTCTGCAGCCATTGCGACATTGCATGTACAAGTCCAGCGCATTATCAGCCACATCCTCGTGACGCTTGTGCGAACACAGAGCTTCTGTCTGCTCGAAAACAGCAAAACGAGAGGTCAATAGAATTTTCGTCCTCTTCTCTTGCAGCTCCGCGAGCTCTGACTCCAGCATGTAACGTATCGTAGAGCCACATCTGTCGAGACCATCGAGGACCAGGAATGTGTGGGGGTCATCGGTCGCCTCGAGTTGAGCGTGAACAGCCTTACGGAGGAGTCTTAGGCGCTCTCTCCTTCGAGCGCCTTCCGGGATCTCTTCACACCACCGGAGATAGGCGTTGTAGAAGTCATAAGCCTCATCGCTTTGGTGTTGTGGATGGTCTTCCAGATTCTGATACACTGCATTCAGAAGGTCTTCGACAATATCGATCTGATGGTCTGCGACATCCTCGTCGATGTGCAAGGAGATGACTGGGTGGCCTTGATGTTCAGGGTGGTCTTCAAGGTGTTGTGATATCAATGTTGCCAGTGTAGACTGTCATCAAGTTAGTAAGCCTGATGTCCACAAAACGTCTCTGAGTCTTCGATAAATCGCTCGTGTACTTATGAGGCTATCGAAAATCGTGACATGTATGCAGTGATGAGCTTAGTTGGATCAATGGTGTGACGAACCGGCTGTGATACAGTATACAAGTATGTTTCCTATGATACTTGGTACACCTACCTGTGCAGACGTTGCTCTTCAAGGATTGTAGGAAAGGGTGCTAGGCTTACTTTTCCAGATCCAGGCCCCCCAACACAATGTAACTGCCAACCCCCACTGCTGAGATGCCATCTTTTGAAAACATCCTGATCGAATACCCAATCGAACACACCAGGAAAGATATCTGAGGAGGGCTTCCTGGTATACGCCTGCAAAGCTGCATCGTTCATCTTCGGAGAATGTCAATGCTGCCTTGTTGCTGGCTATTCCTGTCCACGCCTTCAGGTGAACATGGGCAGCTTGATATTAAGTGCGCATGACCTACGGCCGGTGAGTGGAGCAGCGACGCCAACAATCGGCACTTAGTCTCAATGTGGACAGGGCTGAAGCCCAAATCATTTCCTCGAAGTGGCACATGGAGGCGTACAGCTTCGCGCGGGTGCCTGAACGGCTGAAATGGCCCCCAAAATCAATATGTTGCTAAATCAAGCATGGTGTGAGCGCCAACTGCAGCCACAAGGAGTTGCTTATATAGATGAAGGTACCTGCCTTCCGAATGGATGTCGCCAATTGATAGCTCTTTGACAAAGGTCGTCGTGTGTCGAAAGCATGCTGTGCCAAACCTTACTGTTGCTCGGTTCCGCAGTCTGCGGCCTCGCCCGTTCGGTACCACACAGGATCGCGCGGCAGGAACCGTCCACTACCGCAAGCGCCCCTGCCCAGTCGACAATCTGTGGGGACATCATCGAAGCTGTGAACGAAGGTGCGTTCTACAGGGCTTTCCTCGCTTCGAGCACCTCCACCTCAACGCCTCTCTTTCAAGTGTCTGATTATGAACAGGCTATCAACTCTTCGCGGCCAGCGATGCCTACGAGTGTCTCACAAGCGTCCCATTCAATGGCGCAGTTGCATCGCGGTTTATCAAATACTGGAACGAAACACTCCAGTTCCAGAGCACTCTAGCGTATCTCAAGAGCCCTCCTGAAGGATATCAGCAGCCAGCGATCGACTTCGTAACAGAACTTGGGAAGATACAACAACGGGTTGATGCAGGCGAATACCAAAACCAGTATGACTTCGAAGCAGACATTCAGCTTCTCATTTATGCAATGAAAGACGGTCATGTCACGCTGACTGCCGGTGTATTGGCTGCTTTCTCCTTTGCAAGCCCCTATGAGGTTATCTCTGCTTCAATCGATGGCAAACAACCGCCAAAGATATATATCACAGATGACCTCCTTCCAGAGGTGGTATCGGAGCCATGGACACCTTCGCCGATTGCCACAATCAACGGAACGGAGGTCAACAGATTTCTAACAACCTATGCTTCGCTCAACTCGTGGGGCTATGTTGAGCCGCATGCTGAATGGAATGACTTGATGTCGCATCCTACACTCGACATCCAAGGCGGTCTCACCACGTTTTCCGGCTCAGGCACGTTCTACCCTGGGGGCAACCTTACCTTTGCTTTCGAGAATGGCACGACTCTTGACACCATCTGGGTCGCAGTCTATAACGAACCTGCCAACACAACTGGGCCTCTGACCACAGGCGGCGACTTCTACAACTACTTCGTACTCGGTCTTTTACCGGCTTCCTATGAGCCCACAGCATCCGAAAGCTCGGGAGATTCTGACACCGTTCAGGCTGCCCCCGGAAACTGGTCAGAGGCGAGTTACGGCGCTTTTCCTGAAAAGCCTGACATCGTGCAAGACGATCTTGGTGTATACCACAGCGGCCTCGTCACCGGATACTTCTACAATGACATCTCTACTGGTGTGTTGAGCCTGCCGAGTTTCGATGCGATCCCTGAGTCGATAGGAGATTGGGCAGATGCTGTCACGTTCTTCATCGGAAACGCTTCTCGCGCAGGTGTCAAAAAGGTTGTGATCGATCTTCAACGCAACTCTGGAGGTACTCCTTTCCTTGCCTACACAACCTTCAAAGCATTCTTCCCAGACCTGACGCCTTTTGCTGGGAGTAGGCGACGCAGCTTCGACTTGGCCAATGTACTAGGCTCAGCAACGACCGAGTGGTGGAACTCACTGAGTGAAGACAATGAGACGGAGCGGTACAGCAAATATGATGCCGCAGCTAACGAATGGGTCATCACTGACCGACTCAGTGCTGCCACTGGAAACAACTTCAGTAGCTGGCAGGAGTATCAAGGACCAATCGCTGCCAAAGACGATACGTTCTCACTTGTCGAACGATATGACCTAGCAAATCCAACTTTCGACACAGTAAGTCCGAGTCCCACTGCTGCTGGAGTAATTCAGTCAATCTCGAGTCATACTAATACCTTCACTAGGCAGCGTTCGACCAATGGTACCCTGTGATGTACCTACCTGACAAGTCCGAGTGGGCTTTTACGGAGCGTACATTCAACCCTGATCAGATTGTCCTGCTTACTGACGGCCTTTGCGCGTCCGCATGTTCGCTCTTTGTTGAGATGATGACCCAGGCAGGAGTCAAGACCGTCGTAGCCGGAGGTCGCCCAGCGACCGGCCCAATGCAGGCTGCGAGCGGCAATCGCGGCGCCAGGTCTTACGACACTTACACCCTGGACACTGATATGGCGACTGCCCGACAGCTCGACGAGCAGGTCAGCACAAACGTTAACGCAACGGTTCCTGAAGTGAGGGAACCTTCCATCTTCATCAAATATGCCCAGTTCAATCTCCGCGATCAAATTAGGAAGGACGAGTCAACTCCGTTGCAATTCAAGTACGAGGCCGCCGACTGCCGCATATACTACACTGTCGCAAACGTGTACAACATGACGCGTCTCTGGCACGACGTCTCCGCTGCGGCCTTCCAAGACTCCTCTCTGTGTGTAGAGGGCTCGACAGGATTCTCAAAGCTTAACAACACCAACCCCAACGCACCGCCAAACCCGGCCTCACAGACGCCAATACTCAGTTTGAACACCTCTACAGTCGCGCAGGCGAAGTGGGACGAGGACCCGGACGACGGACTACACAGCGACGTTGGAAGAGTCGGTACAAGGGGCGCTACACCGTTTCCGCGCTGCATAAAGACAAGTGGCGGTCTTGGGTGTCAAGAAGCAGGGTCGATCTGCAAGAACATAGAAGTGTACTGTTCGCGCGAAGGCAAGACTATCCACGTCGACAGGTGTCTTCCAGGATGTACGAATAGGAAGGGAAGTACTACCTGCTTTGGGTCGTGTCAGCTCGACTTCCCTAGTGGGGAGACGAAGCCCATTTTTCAGAATGCGGCGGGGACCCAGTATCGAGAGAAGCTTTCATCCGGGTACTGTCATCCTACGACGGGGACGAGGGCGCTGGGGTGCGCGTATGATCCTGTGGCTCCTAAATTGTAGAGTAGCTGCGCGAGATGATGATGATGATGCAGAAGAAATCCAGTTGGTGACACTAAATCCAGTTGGCGACACTGCAAGTCGGACTGGGGCATCGATACACCCATTTGTGCATTCTCTTTGCTCATTTTCATCTGCGTAGTACAGTACATGTCACCCCCCCCCCCCCCCTCTCTCTCTCTCTCTCTCTCTCTCTCTCTCTCTCTTAAGGCTTTGTGAGTTTACAACAACGACAGGTTCTCAATCCACTTGGTCGCCTCTTCAACACCCTGGTCCACCTTATCCGCATTCGTGCCCTGTCCGATCGCAGTCGGCGCACCAGGCTTGCCTCCCGCCTTACCGCCGATGATAGGTGTCACGGCACCAGCCCACTTGGGACCGTCACCGCCCTTGGCCTTGAAAGGCTGCGTACACGTTAGCATTGATCCTCCAACGTTTGTGTGCTCTCCTCCAGCGAAGCGGGCAGAACGGCTAGAACATACCTCAGAAACATAGCACCCATGCACGACCTTCCCATCCTCGGGACTCGCGGCAAAAAGATACAAACTCCTATCCTTGAGCGCGCTCTTGGGGCCAGAAATCGTCTTGACGACATCGCTGATTGTTTTGCTGACGTTGCTCGAGTACTCGACCTTCTGGACGAGGAACTTCTTGCTCTCGTCCTCAAAGTACTTGGTCACCTGGTCGAGAACCTTCTTCTGCTCTGCCTTGGCCGCAGCCTTCTGCTCGTCCAGGATGCTCTTCGAGATCTTGGTCATGCGGTCGCGGAAGCGGTTCTTGGTCAGTGCGGAGATGGTGAGGTTGTTCAGGTCGACTTGGGTGCGTTTCGCGTCGTTTTCTTTCTGGGGGCCGAACGGCAGTTTCTCGAGCGTGTCGAGGCGCGAGGAGAAGTCGGACGCGATGCGCTGCACGTCGTAGGCTTCTTGGCCGGTTACGGCGATGACGCGACGGATGCCCTTTGCGATCCCGGATTCCTCGAGGATGACGAGCTCTTTGATCTCGCCGGTTTTCAGGACGTGGGTGCCACCGCAGAATTCGATGGAGAGCTTGCTCCAGGCTTCCTTCTTGGGGTCGGCGATTAGGTCGTCGACGGGGACGCCGACGGAGACGACGCGGACGGGGTCGGGGTAGGTCTCGCCGAAGACGGCGCGGAGGCCGTTGATTTCGCGGGCGGTTGCGAGAGGGACTTCTTTGGCGTAGACTTGCGAGTCTTGTTTGATGTAGTCTGAGGAGATCTTCTCGACCTTCTCGAGCTCGACGTCGGAGAGACCGGCCTTGTGGGAGAAATCGAAACGAAGCTTCTCGGGCGCGACGAGCGAGCCCTTCTGGTCGACTTCGCTACCGAGCACTTCGCGGAGGGCGTAGTTGAGAACGTGGGTTCCAGTGTGGTTGTTGCGGATAGGATTTCTTCGGAGCTCGTCGAACTCGGCGATGACTTCGCTGCCAACACTCAGCTCGCCTTCGCCAAGGTAGCCAGTGTGCAGGACGTAGCCGGCGTATACCTGGACATCGTCTACTGTGAAGTCGGCCTCGCCGTCGATGACGAGCTTTCCGTAGTCGGCTTCCTGACCACCCTGCTCGGCGTAGAAGTTGGTCTTATCGAGCAGAATACCGAAACGCTCTCCCCGAGGAAGGTCCTTTGTGGTCTTGAGGAACTGCTTGTTGTGGTAGATAGCCTTGATGGTGGCGGTGATGTTCTCACGCCCGTACTTGGCATTGTCGTCGGTCTTGGGCACCTCCGCCATGTTCTCGAGGGCGCCCAGGTCGTGGACATCAAGCTTGACGACAGCACCAGCGGCCTTCTTGTCGCCCTTGCTAGCCTCACGCGCCTTCTCTTGCGCCTCCTCGACCTCCTTGTCGTTGATGTTGAGTCCGCGCTCTTCAGCCATGAGCTTGGTGAGGTCGACGGGGAAGCCGTAGGTGTCGTACAACCGCCAGACATCGTCTCCGGGCAGGTCATTCGAGCCCTTGGCCTTGGCCTTTTGTGCGTACTTCTCAAAGATGACTTCACCGCGATCCAACGACTTTGCGAAAGCCTTCTCTTCCTCGTCGAGAATCTCGATGATGTCCTGCTGCTTCTTCTTGATCTCCGGGAACATGTCGCCCATCTGCTCGACCAGTGTAGGGACGATCTGGGAGAAGAAGCCGCCGATATCCGTCTCGAAGTACTTGCGAGCATAGCGGGCGCCTCGTCGCAGGACTCGTCGCACAACGTATCCGCGGCCGACGTTGTTGGGCACGCCACCGTCGGCGATGGCGAAGGACATCATGCGGACGTGATCGGCGACGACTCGGTAGGCGGTATCGATGCCGTCTGGGTCCTCCTTGCCAAACTTGGCCTTGTACGGCCGGGCACCAGTGACTTCCTGTATCCTCTTGAACAGCGGGGTGAAGACGTCTGTGTCGTAGTTGGACATCTTCTTCTGCAGCAAGCAGACCAATCGCTCGAAGCCCATGCCGGTGTCGATGTGCTTGTTCGGCAGCGGTCGCAGCGACCGGTCGGACTCGCGGTTGTACTGCATGAAGACGTTGTTCCAGATCTCGATGACCTCGGCGTCGTCTGCGTTGACCAGCTCAGCCGCGTTCCTGTACGCGCCATTGACGGGCTCCCTCAGGTCGTAGTGGACCTCTGAGCAAGGTCCACAGGGGCCCTGGTCGCCCATTTCCCAAAAGTTGTCCTTCATGTTTCCCGGCAGGATGTGGTCCTCTGGCACGCCAACCCGCTTCCAGAGCTCGAGCGCCTCCAGGTCTGGCTCGAGCCCGCCGGCGGCGTCGCCTTCGAAGTACGTGACGTACAGCCGGTTGGGGTCGATGCCGTAGACCTGAGTGAGCAGCTCCCAGGTGAAGCCAATGGCCTCCTTCTTGAAGTAGTCGCCGAACGACCAGTTGCCGAGCATCTCGAAGAAGGTGTGGTGGTAGCTGTCCTTGCCGACATCGTCGAGGTCGTTGTGCTTGCCGCCGGCGCGGATGCACTTCTGGGAGTTGACGGCGCGCTTGAGCTGTGCAAAGTCGGAGGAGGGGTCGACGGTGCCTTGGAAGATGGTCTTGTACTGGTTCATGCCCGCATTGGTGAAGAGCAGGGTGGGGTCGGAGAGCGGGACGACCGAGGACGAGGGCACTGCAGCGTGTCAGTCGAGCTCTGCTCTTAGCACGCACGCAGAGTCAATGCCTACCGAAGCTGTGGCCCTTTTGCTTGAAGTAGTCGAGGAAGGTCTGGCGCACTTTGGCGGCAGCCCAGTGCGGCTGTTGGGTCGCCATGTCTGCGGCCTGCGCGCGTGCGAAGAGGGGTATGGGTGGGGTGAAGCTCGCAGCGAGTGTGTGCTGCGGCGTGGGTGGGCGTCGGGGGCGAGGGCTGCAGGGGCGGGTCTGTAGTCGTCCGCGTCGCAGTGCAGCGTGACTCAGATGCGAAGCTCTCAGGGCTGTGTGGAGCATCACCAAACCAGGACGGCGGGCGCCGCCGCGGGGCAGCGTGCAGATGAATGGAAGCGCGTCGACGCTGGTTCTGGAATCGCCCAGAAGTGCGCCCGTCAACATAAACACCGGCCAGAGCCCCTGGGCAGCAACACCGATCGCCTATCGCCTATCGCCTACCGCCTACCGCCTACCGCCTATCGCCTACATGCAAAGACTGTCTATCGTCAACCCGCAAACGGCAGCAAGCAGAGACTCTGTTGTGGAACAGGAAGAGACGCAGGCTGTGATGGATGGCGGCAGTCATAGCTCCCGACAGCCTAGACCAACACCACAATGCGCCGCCAGCCATGAGCGCACCGCATGGGAAGAAGCGGGCGGCTAACAGCTCTCTCGACGGCGAGCAGCGTCTGAGCAAGCGCTTCAACCTGCTGAACCTGGGCATGTCTCCACGCACACCTCCTACATGGCACGTGAGCGCTAACAGCCGCAGACAACACCAACAGCGCCGCACGCCTCTACATCCCCGTACCCAGCTCCACGGACGCAGCCGCAGCAGCAGCAACACCCCCCGCAGCAACACCGCACCCTCTCGCCCCCAATGCCCCAGCCCCCAGGCGCCAACGGGCCCCCCGGCCCCCCGCCAACGACGATTCCATGCACGTCGAAGACACCGCGCACCGCGTGTACATCCACGACCTAGCCGCCGAGCTGAGCGACACCGACTCGGACTCCGAGAACCCCATCTTCCTGTCCGACATCGAGAAGCACCTGTCCAAGATCCCGCGACACGTGCTCTTAGGGCCCCCGCCCGGGTCGGCCGAGCATAAGCAGGTGGTGCTGTATAGTGTGCCTGCGAGCTTGAGCGTGCCCGAGGAGCAGGACAACGTGCGGAAGGCGATTGTGGAAGCGAGGCAGAGGATGAGAGAGAGGCAGGCTGGTGGGGTCGCGGAGCCTGAGCGGGTGCCTGAGCGCTCCGGGCGTGCGAGCACAGCATTGGCAGAGCGGGAGGAAGAGGAAGCGCGAGAGGAAGATGCGGATGCCATGGACCTGGACTGACACGAGACCACGTGTCGGTTCTGAGGCTGGCTTGCCCAAGGCCACACTGCCGCTGTGTGCCTGTTCCAGAGGTAAAGGTACTGATAGTCAAGATTGGTCCAATCGAGTTCCTCCACCTCCACTTCCATTTCTGTTCCGACTGCTCATGTACTCCAGACTTCTCCAGCCCTCCCCCTCTCGCTATAAACCCGCTCAGGTACTGACTCTCCATCTCAAGGGTATGTCGTCGTATCCGACGTTTTTGCCCATTCGTTGCCTTTCACCACTTGTCAATCCATTGTCATGTCAATTGGTACATCATATTTATACAGTGCATGATCCAGTCACACTTCACCCCCCCCCCTCCCCTCCTACTTCCTAAACCGATCCGTAAACCCCTTCAACACCGCCTTCGCCTTCTGCGGCGGCCTAGGCGGTAGCGCCTGACTGCCCCCCTGTTCAACATCTCCCCCATTACCACCATTACCACCGACAACACCATTCTGCTGCGGCCCCTGCGCCACCGGCGCTCCATACTGCGGCATCTCCATCTGCTGGCCGCTTTGATTGGGGTTCACTTTCGTGGCGCCCGGCGGCGCGAAGTACTGCGGTGGCGCATCGCCGCCGTTGTACATGGGCGGTGGCTCGGGCCAGGAGCCGTCCTGGCGTTGCTGGTAGGGCGGCCGGGTCTGATAGGGATTTTGGGTTGCGTAGAAGGTGAAGTGGTTTTGGGGGGTTTGGCCGTAGCGTTTGCGCTCTTGCCAGGAGACGAGGAACTATTCGGTTGTTAGAATGACGAGGGTATGAGGTTTGGGAAGAACATGGGGCTTACGCGGTGGTATGCGAGTAGAGGCTTGCCGGCTTTTAGACGCCGCTTTGCGTGGATGTAGCCGCCGATGAACCAGAGCATGAAGAAGGCGAAGAGACTGCCTAGGATGGCCCATTTGATTATCATGCCTTTCTGTCTTCAAGTCAGTCTCAGTCATATGGTAGAGTATTGGGCGAACATACCTCAGTGTACCAAAACCCCCCATCGCGAAAACACTCAATCGTCCCATCAACATACTCGACACAATATCTCTTGGCCAAAACCATGTCAATATACTGAGCAGTTCTTCAACTGTGAAAAGAGCGACCAGATTCGATGATATGTTCAGTAAATAGGAGCTGACTGAGTCGCACAAGGCGCAAGCTAGGGCGGGCGAAGGGATATGGTTCTCAGGATCCAGTACACGCAGGTGGCGTGGCTGTGCCAATTGCTGTCGTTCGGCGATCCTTCAGTCCGGATGTGAGGTGTGTCGCAGCCCAGCGGTTTCCCACGCTCTTCGTTTCGGTGGTGTCGAGGTAGTTTCAAGTTCGCAGATGCAGGGGGTCGGAAGACCGGAATAATAGTGAACGACAAGACTTCTTTAAAGGCTGTGGCGATTTGGATGTAGAAGCGAAAGAAACGAAATTGAACGAACGACTGCAAGGAAAGTACTCAAGACACGGACGATGAAATGTGGCTGGAGAGGTCTGAGGTTGGCCACGAAGCCGAGAAAGTGGTTGGGGCCTGTCGATCTGCAACGCTTGCGCGCCATTAGCGCGCCACAGAGAGGAACCTTGTCAACATCAGCCTAGCCTTGCCGTGCCATCCCAAGCGTCCCGAGGTCGATTCAGACAAGTGTGGCGCTGAAAGAACGAGAAGCAGCACCTGATCGCTCCTGCAACAACAGTGGAGCCTCAGCCAAGCACATCCAAGTCTTGCGAAGTGATGTTTGTGTATTGGTGACTTCTTCTATGGCGATACGAGAGCACGATACATCTTCGTACCGATGTCCAAGTGTCTTGCGACACGCCCTCAGCGGTTCCTGGCAGGCTCCTGTCCAGCGTCCGCTAAGCAAAACAACCAAAAACGAAGTGAAGAAACGTGTGGTATCGTGCCACCGACTCCCTTGCAGTACCCAATAAAGATTCAATGCAGTACACCCAAGCTCTGTGTGTTCCAGCCGCGCCACAAAGGGCTACACTCCGCTCAATGTTGAAAATGCTAAATGGGCAGCGACAACTCCGGTTCAATGAGCCCAAGGTATCGTAAAAGTACAAAACGTTAAGAAGTAAAGGAAAGAGCTAATGCAACAAATTACGAAGCGAAGGACTGGCGCTAGCTCCTGTGTTGGCACGTTCTGTAGGAGCAGAAATGACCAAGGGAGCGTCTCGCATGACTGTATCCCGTGGCGTTTCTGGTCGACCTGGCGCGGGACTACCGTGATGAAGGGTATACTGTGGGATGGAAGGTGGAGGGGCAGCGAACGGGCTCTCGGTGGAACGAGAAGAATGGTACTCGTGAGGATGTGTTGGTGAATAGGGCATGTTATGCGGTGAGTGCATGCCATTAGCCATTATCGCACCGTTGTTGAGATGTAAGGGTGGAGGCGGACCAGTTGACGGTGGGGCGTATGGACCACGCATAGGCGCCGGTGGCATCTGCGGATGTACTGGCGCGCCTGTGTGCGAAGGATATCCGTTGGAAGGAGGATATGGTGTATGGAATGGCGCATGATGGCCGACAGGAGCGTGTGGCGGTGGATACCCGATTCCATTTGGAAGATGGTGTGGAGGGGGGTGTGACGTTGCTGGTGGCCCAGGAGGTCCAGCACTATGCCATGCCGGCAACGGCGGAGGCTGATTTGATGGTAGAGCTGGAGGACCGCCCGGAACGCCCCAAGGTGTGAGTGCTGCGGGTGGTGGTGGTGGTGGTGGTGGTGGTGGTGCAACAAATGCTTGTACAGGAGAGAGGAGAGGCAGTTGTTGCGGCTCTGGGAGAACAGACTTCGATCGCTCTCTGTCTTCGTCCTCGTCAATACCCTGCTCCTTCTTCCAGTGACACTTTTGACACAAGTACGAGATAGAGGAGGTAGTTGCGATGTCGGTGTCTAGGTGTAAATGACCGGGACCTGTCGATGCTGTAGTACAGGACGCATCGCCCATTGGATGATCAGCAACCCCGTTGGCGATTTGTCCGTTCTCAACGCTTGGTTTCTGCTCCATAACCAGGTGTCCATTGGATTCTACACCGTTCGGTCTCCACGGACCATCCACAACGGACGTACATGATGGTGCATCTTCGATCTTCCACCACCGTGGGCTAGAATCGATCTTACACCGAGCGCAGTTACGCTCTGATCTAGGCATTGAAGGTTCTGTAGGCTCCTCCTTGATTGGCAACCCAGCAATTGAATTGCGACCCCGAGCTGAAGTAGGCGTCTGAGCTGTGACAGCAGAGGCACGACGGTTGATCGTCGTTGCTACAGGCTGTGAGGTTGTCCGGGTTGACTGGTCAACCAGGTTGGCTTTGCGTGCTGTGCCCGTAAGGGTCAGATCCGCCTGTTTGAACTCGCGGGCGAAGAGCTGCAAGGCGACGATGTCTGAGCCTTCCACTTGCTCGTTGATAGGGTGTACTGGCGTCTTCGGTGTATGCTCCTTGCACCAGATAGCCGCTGCCATTGTGCCTGTGTCTCCGTTGAGAGTTACTGTAGGTACTGCGTCTCTTCGAGTGGCCTTGACAGGTGTCATGTCGAACCCAAAAGTATAGCCTCGCTCATGCGCACAGCCGACATGGAAGTTCGCGTGGCACTGCAAGCACGATACGCAAGCACCATTGTTGGTCTTGCAAAGCTTGCAGATCTGGTCGTACCGGAGAGTGCTTGCGCCAACTCCTTCTACCATGTCGAGGCGATTGGCGTTGCTAAACTTGACCTCCGCATGCCAGAGCGCGCAGTACACATGGACCCAGTTGTTATCTGCGGTACGCTTGAGTGGCTCTCGAGGAACGATCGGTCGGCCCTTCTCCTGCTGTCGGATGCGGTATTCCTCTTTGGCGATGTCAATAAGCTCTTTCTCTATGCGCCCCTTTTCCCTATCCCTGTCGCTCTTCTTCTTGTGTGTAACTTTAGGCTGCTCGTAAAAGTCCTGTTCCGTAACTTTGTGAGGACACAACACGCACTCGTATGTCTACAAATGGTTAGATCAAAGAAGAGACTGTTCGCGCAGACAACTTACATAGGACACACTCTCCTTTTTGTCATTCCTGCATGTGTCACAATACCACTTGTTGGCCTGTCGAACATCCTCGACGCCGTAGCAGGCTTTGTGCACAGTCAAACGACAAGCGGCGCATTCCAAGCGCGCTCCGTCTACTGATCGACAGACAGCGCAAGGCAACGCCCTGAGCCGTGGTTGTGCAGGAACTGGCGGAGGGGTTGGAGCTTTAGGTGGCGGCGCGGGCTTCTCTTTCTCTTTCTTCTTCATAGCGGTGGACTCATTGTTAGGGGTTGACGTACCACTGTCTCCGTTGCCAAGAGCACTCGTTTTCTGCTTCTTCTTCGCAGGCTCGCCAATGGCTTGCGCCGCCGCAGCAGGAAGATCTACGTACTCTGGTGCGCTGACCACAGGAGTAGGATCTGCCTGCGCAGCATAGACTTCTCGAAGCAGTTCTTCATCAATCCTCCTCTTCCAAGCTTTGCCACCACCTTGGGCCACCTTCTTAGCAATCTCCTCGACGTTCTCCCACTTAACTGCATACTTGCGCCACAGATTGGCACAGCGCAGGCAAAGTGCCACGACAAAGCCTGACTTGTCTTTGGAGCGACCGTCTGCAGGTATCATCTGACCGGGTGAAACGCCAGGGGCGCGTCTCCATTGCCGGGAATGGCGAACAGTACAGAACTTGCATTGAAAGTTGCGCTTTTGCTGCACAGCCTTCTCGTTGTCGAATGCCGAGTCGTCTTGGTTATCGGCAACATCGTCCAACAGTCGACTTTGCGCGTCTGGCTCAACCTTCTTGCTCCGGCCTTTTCGGTTGCTGTAAGAGCCCCAAATTTCTTTGCCTTTGGGGGTCTTCTTCCACATATAGTAGTACCGTACGGCATCTCCATAGAACATGTTTTTGCTGGTATGCAGTCGAACGTTCCTGATCTCAGAACCATATCTGGCGACTCCCTCATTCCACTTCTTCTCCTCCTCTTTCGTTAGCTCCGGCTCCTTCAAATCTTTGCGCTTGTCGAGCTTCTTAACCTGTTTCAAGGCTGCGTCAGCATCGTATTGATGTTTTGTGAACAACGCCAGCGCCTTTGTGAGGAAGTTGGTGTTGTAAGACTCAACCCCGACGTGCTTTGCTAGAGCTTTCGCGCGCTCCATGTAAGCTTTGACTTGCTCTTCGGTGACTGTCGGTGCGTCATCCTCACCACGCGTTGAATGCACACCCAGGGGAGGCATCTTGAAAACCAGTTCCGCGGTCCATTTCGAGTCCTTGTTCGGCAGATCTTCACCACGGCGGATGTAACCCACGGGTTCATCCATAACCCACTTAGGGCGTTTGGCCTTCTCCGCCTTGTCGGCTTCAATAGCTGCAACAGTCTCTTTCGTCAGCTTGCCTTCCTTCTTGTTGTTTGTCGACTTGACATAGCGTTTCTTGATATCTGCCGGCTTGACGAATTCAACTGGCTGTCCATGCCATACGTTCACGTTTGCTTGATGTCGGGGCCCCAATCGAGAGCTGGCGCGTGGATAGATAGCCCTATCATCATATTGCAAAGCGTCTTCCACTCGACAGTGAATACCTAGATATCGCATAGGCCACATCTTTGCAAGTGCAATCTCAGCCTGGGTACCCGGATGAAGGTCGACTTGGCTCTCAGGGTCGGGAGTCGCGGCGCTGTCGCTGCCAACTTCCTCTTCTTCCTCATCAACGATCTCTTCTTCTTCCCCATCTTCGTTTGTGGCACCAATGAGTGGAGTTCGTCGAGCTTCAAGCTTCTTCTCTTGTGCCCTACTGCATGGTCCACAAGCCCAAGCAAAACCACGCGACGGCTTTTTCAGTAGTGGCGGACGAACACAGTTCATGTGATATGTGTTGTGGCACACAGCGCATTCTACGGAGTCGTTCCTGAACAGTTTAGCGGATTTTAACGGAGACATAACGAAAACTTACGATGCACAGTAGCCAACACAGCGCTTACAAGACTTCACTGCGCTAGTCAATTCCTTCACCCTGCTCGTTTCCAAGCAAATGTATTTCCAGCGCTCGTCCAAGGCCTTCTTCACCTTCACCGGGACATTGATGACCTGGGAGGTGGGAATGACATCGTACCAGCGATGGATGAAGCGGTCAAAGACCTGGTTGAACCAGAAGCTATCTTTTCCTTTGCGATATTCGTCGAGGTCACCAATCTCGCTCCTGTGCAAGATATTACACTTTCCTCGCAAAGAGGCTATAGGGCACAAGTCGGAGTGCATCGTTGCGTACACCAGACGAGTGTCATTGTTGTAGCGACCAACATCTCGTGGTCGATAGAACCAATTAACTCTGAGTGATTCTACTCGCAAACTTGGGTTGTTGTCTTTGTGGATAAACTCCATGATGCGACATAGATAGTAGGGTTCTCCAGGTGGCTCACACACGAGGTACACTTGGTCTAGACGCCGCATTAGAAATCGCAAGCTAAGCCGCAAGACGTGGCTGGCGCAACAACACAGCTGTCAGCCGCGGCAAAAGGAAGGTCAAAACTTACCATTAACGGATACAATTTGCCCATCGTCTGCTTGCAGGTGACCATCTTTCGATTTGGCGCCGCTGAATTCGAATGTCATCATGTTGGATTCTCGCGTGTAGGGGGCGGCTGCTTGGGCCTGGACTTGGGCTTGGGCACCGCGCTTCGAGGTCTGGCTTGGCGCGGCTGCACTTGCTTGAGTACCATTTGTGGCATCTTTGGCAGCATTTTTTCGTCGTTTTGTTGTGGCTTGCGCTGTGTTGGTCTGAGTTGCTGGTGTGGTTGCCGACGAGCCCGAAATACTGAGGTTTGCTTGGTTGTCTTTTGGATTGGGTCCGGAATTACCCCACGGCGCACTACCCTGTCCAGCACCTGCACCCTTCTTCCCACTCACACCTGAAGGTTGACCACTTTCGGCAGCCACAGAACTTCGCGATGGCGGATCGGACGCGTTTCCGTTCGTCGATGCAGGTGCTGTCATCTCAAAATCAATTTCAGTATCTTCGGCGTAATTGATGCGCGACCTGCCCGGACGGTTACGCGATCGCGTTCCATACGGCGCTGCAGCAGCCTCCTCTGAGTCCTTTCTTGAAGGCTGCACTGAATCAGAGTCGTTGTTTTTGGCATCCTGCTGTTGCTGATCCACGTCCATGGCGGTAGTCGCGTCAGTGGAAGCTTGTGGCGGAGGTTGATTTTCTGAAGTGGATACTGCAGGCGTTGAATTTCTGGTAGATGAGGCCTGGCTGGTAGCTTTTGAAGGGGTGGCACCTTCTGTGGCGTTGGTGTCATTCACTTCACCATCATGCGCGTCGCCTTTGCAGTGCACTGAATCTGCATTGGCCGGACTCCCGGTTTTGGACGTTTGAACATCGCCATCTTCGTTCTGTGCATCCATTTTGACGGCTTACTGCCGTGAAGGGCAGTCTGGGTTGCGAAATGCGTCAGATGGCCTTGGTAGCGAGCTTAGGCGGGTGAGATGTTGAAAAGTTGCCCCGTGAAGAGCGACTGTCGAGGTCGCATGGAAGGACCAATGGCGTAGAACGCGGGACCGCGAACTTTGAAACCAAAAGTGGCAATGTTGAGGTTGAACCGACTGTTGGAGAAGTTCAGCAGACCGTGAGAGTTGGTATCAATCCAGAGAAAGGCGCCAAAGCGCGTCGGGATGGATCCTGAAGATGGGGGTGTGAGGAAGTGTCGAGGAAGAAGCATGGGAGAGGACCGCGGACCCATTCACGTAGACCGTGCACGGACTCGAAATCCGCCGCGTTATATCTCCTCTGACGCACGCCCATCAGACTGCCGTTCCTATCGGGAGGCACCGCATTTCTTCTTGCTGCGTCGCAGGCGCACCTGCTGGGGATTAAGTGTGAGCACACTATATGGTTCTTCATTTTACACGACGTCTTACTTTTGAAATTCACACATCACCGTCGCATACATCGTGTTTACGAGTGCCTCAACCATCATTTTTGAAAAGCATAACGAGCGAAGCCAAGGTGAGACAAATTCTCCCTTACCGAAAGCCGTGAGGTTCGTAAGATGCTGATCCCTCTTGACAGTCGTCAGAGGCGATGCTGCGCAACGACTGACCGCAATGTGGAAACAACATCTCATTCGGCCCAAACAATATCGAGGAATTTCGTGCAACAATTGCGCGAGTCCAAGTTGTTCGTGTCACGGGTTGCGATTGGACTGCCTTGTGGTTTCGCTAGTAAATCCACGAGCATCGTTGGCGACCGACCTCCAGAACTCTAGAAGTGTCAATGTCTTGTTAGTCTAGTGCGGCCTAGGCGACTGCAGGGGTGGTGAGGCACTGAAGGGATCGTTCGGGGTGACAAAGAACAGGAACGCGGCCACCAACGCTCCCACCCATTTCTTGTCACACATCAGGATGGTAGCCTGATGCAGCTATCACCAGCTCAGCGGTGCAGGCGCGAACAACCCTGTCGTCCGAGTGATCGTAACTGAGATGGCTTCGCAACACCTGAATCTTACCATGTTCCGCGATCAACACGAGTGACAAGGCGGCCCATCCCATAATGTTCGTTCTACTCTCAGACGCCCTTCTTGCGTGGCAGTTGGCTCAATGATGCATGCGACAAAGTCTGCACCGTCACCCAGCAGGGGCAGACCCATTACCACGACTGAGGCCGGTGTCGAAACTTCAGCCGTGCGCTAACCAGTTCTGCCGGGCGCCATGCAACCATCAGCCACAACTTGCTAGACGCGAAGTGATCTGATTGGACGATCGGACGCGGCCCTGGACCTCATCTCTTCGGCCACGTTCGCAATTGGCGTCTATCAGCTCCTCCAACTGTAAGCAGGCAGGCAATTGAAAGCGAGAGACCTCCATCTGCGCGCGTAGAGAACATGTTTGAGTACAAAGCAAATGAAAATATCTCAGATCGAAGAGATGTTGATGGCGGCGGTTGAAATGTCTTAGAGATCAAGGGCATAGCTCGATCTCGGCAAACTTCCAGGTGCGTTACAAGAAGTTCGACGTCTTGTCAAGTTTGGCACCCTCACGTCATAAGCAAAGGACATCTCATACCTTTTACCTCATGAGTTATCTGGCAATGCTCTTGTCATTCAGGGTACTTAGGTACAGATTTTCTCAAACACGAACCTTTCCACCATGATCGAACGTTGTGTTCGGTCCACTCCCAGTACGATGTGCGCAAGCCCGACAGCAGTTCGCGTACGCGAGTCGCACATTGAACAATCAGACCAGCCCGGACATCGAGGTCAAATATCACCCTTGTATCTCCCCCCTAGTTGGCATGCGCATATTAGTATGAGCTGAACTATGCGCAAAGCAGAAATTTCAATGACTAGAAGTCCCATGTCTGTGAAATAGCCACGACGCATCAGCTACTCATCCTGGCCAAGCAGTCCCGGAGATTGTGAAGAAGTCTTAAATAACACATCAAAATCAGCCTAGATGACTTGTAGCCGTCTGGCTGCCTATATGCTAGCAAACACCAGAAAGACCTAGCTTAACTGTTTGTTTTGATTTGGACGCGCTTACTAGTGATCCTGCAACATACATGAGAGCCGGCCAAGTATGGAGGTCTCTCGCGATCAAATGGGTTGGATAGCATCAGGCTGGACAACGTCGACTCACCGATCAGCAAGACGGCGAGCATGAGCACACGATCAACCTAGACTACAATCACAGCTTTGTCATTGCTGAAGAAGACATTGAGCCCTTTTCGTACGCGTATTGAGACAACATCGATTCAGCCTCGATAAGCAAGCAGTCACGCAGCTGTGATGCGTCCCAAAGACCAGCGATGTTTAACGGGTCTTCCCATAATCGACTTCCTGCGCAGCCTATCACCATCGCTATCGAAACTGACAACGTCCGCTTGGCATTGCTTTGCATTAATCTTGTCCATATGTGAAAGCAGTGCCGTCAATTCTTGCAAATTTACGTCTAAGGAGAAAGAAGAAGCTCCTTCGCATGTCTAAGCCTCGCCCAAGCATGGGCACCACGATCGTCAGAGCGTTTCGAACTTATACATCGGGAAGCATCGTGGCTGCTATGTGGAACGACGTGCTTAGAGTTGCCATCGTGTACTAATGTCACACGAAGCTGTAAATCATGTCACGGCGAAAAAAGAGGTGATTTTCGGCAAATTCTTGCGGCACGAGAGCGCGGCCTTGTCAACCGTCTTCGAAATGCGTCCTTGCTTCTTCAGTGCGTCATCCGCGGGCCGCACGCCTGACCTGCAGCATCAGCCAAAACCCACGCCACCTCATTAGCTGGTCATTCACGTGTCGGTCTCATCGACGGCGGGTCATCCACACACGTCCTTGCCATCAAAAATATCGTTTTCAATAAGAGCAAGAAAACTGTCAAAGACAGGGTAAGGCACGGCATACAAACGTTATGCTATTGGTTCATTACTGTCACAACCATGCAACACAACGCGCGCTGTCGCGCATTTACCCCTCACCTGTACTACCATATCGATGCATCAATCGAACGTGCAATCCCCCAATCCACCCTGGACCCCGTGTTTTGATTGTTTATAGCTAGCAGAACTGTTGCTCGCTGGGTACCTTCAGGCACTGAATCTACAAGGCGAAGGCAGCGAGGAGACCAGCGAGGCCAACACCACCAATCTGAGCAGAGATGAAGTTGGCAGCACCAGTAGCCTGGGGAGAAGCAGAGCCGGAGCCAGTCTGGCTGGCAGTGGAACCAGCGGATGCACCTGCATTAACATTAGTCTAAAATAACTGCTACAAACGGATTGAACATACCGGTCGAAGCGGTAGGGTTGGTGGGGTTGGCGCCAGAGCGAGTGGCAGCAGCGGAAGAAGCAGCAGCGCCACCGGGAATCTGAGAGCCAGTCTGGGACGAGGGGAAGAGGCTGGCAATGCAGCTCTGGACGCAGTCGGAGTACTTCTGGGTGGCCTCAGCGGAGCCGTCACCCTGATCGCACTTGGCGGCGCACTCGGTGGTCTCTACAGCCTGGGAAGAGTTGGGGCGCGCAATGCCCAAGCACGAGGCCTGGCAAGTACTGCGGTTGTGTGAGCGCGCGCAACGAAACGAGGCGCAATTGATTCTTACACGTCACCAGGAGTGCAAGCGGAAACGCAGCTGATGGCGGGGGAAACCTCAGGGACAGAGGTAGTCGCAGGAGCGGTGGTCACAGCGGAGGACTGGGCAAGAGCGCCGGCAGCGAAGGCGAGGAGAGCAGTGGTGTACTTCATTTTGGATGTTGGGTCGCGTGATGCAATTGAATTTGTAGAAGACGAAGGTAGGCTTGAATTAGTATGAGTATTGGTAAATCAGAGCGAGTGAGTGTAATGCAACTGAAGAAGTGAATCTGTGCAAAGAACGAGTGTACAGAAAAGTGTTGGATCGACGACCCGAATTTCTGGGGAAAAGCCAGCTTTATTGACCGTTGCAAAGGGGCGATGGGCCCACAGGCGAATGAACATTCGCAGGGACCTATTTTGCGAACACACCAAACCAATAGAGGCTTGGTTGCCAGCGGGCTCGGCGGTCATTTCATGCAGGTCGGGAGCAAAGCGCAGGGTTCCTTCTCCGCTTGATCGGCAAGAAACGCGCTAGACGAAACAACAACGCGTGAACTTTAGGCTCCATCGCCACTGTTGAAACAGCCATTGCCAACGCTGTGCGACACCATGTCGGACAGTGATGACTACGGTGACGGATACGACGATACCGAGTTCTTCAACGTGGCGACGCAGGCTGAGAAGGAAAACACACCTGCATTCCAGCCATCGCCACGACCGACCAAGCGCCGGAAGGTCAGCCAAGCACGTGAAAAGGCTAAGTCCATTCCAACAAGAAAAACGCCAAATCGACGACGGCAACCTTTCACAGGATCATCTGACGAGGACGACTCTGATCCTGTAGCTGAAGACGGTGGCGGGTCTTTTGGCACAGGTGGCAAAGATGATTCGCCTGCGACCAGTGAAGAGCCACAGGAAAAGCGACTATCAACTCGCAAGAAGAGAGCTGCACCAAAACAGCACGACGAGGTTGGTGGAGACGATGATGCATCACCTACAAGAGCGACCGTCGCTCAGAAGCGGCGAGAGCGCATACACATCCCAACAGCAGAAATAGACATGACAGATGTCTTCTTCACCCAACCGCCACGAGAGCATTCTCCGCCATGGAAGCCCCGAGGCGCCATTTGGGCGAAGCCGACCAGCATTGGAGTGCATCGACCATCTGTGGAGCCTACGAAGTGGACTGGACTGGATGCAATGAAGACTATGGCTTTACCCAGTAGACAATCGATCTCATCGCGTCCGAAAGCACCAGCTCCCGTCGCCGTAGACGAATCCAACTCCGCTATCGAGGATGATAAACCTCCCCAGTCGCCCGTGGTGACTAGTGCGCCAACGGCCTATGACTACACGCAAGACCTCGCTGATCTACCATCTGATGCGTTCTCATCTTCAACAGCATCACCGCAAAAGCAGGGCGCTGACGACGACGTCATTATGCAGTCAGCAACTCGCAAAAGTATTGTAGCACCTCAAGCCGACTTGCGGCAAACCACGTTGTTCGGACGACAGGGTGCTAATGGCCAGATACCACCATCACAAGTGAACAAGCGCTACAACTTTGTTGTTGATCAGAAGCAAGAGCCTCCGACTCATCACAAGCTCGATCATGAAGCTCTGAAGACGTGGGTATACCCGACGAACTTGGGAACAATTCGGGATTACCAGTTCAATATCGTGCAGAGAGGCTTGTTCCACAATCTTCTCGTTGCTCTGCCCACTGGTCTTGGAAAGACCTTCATCGCAGCGACGATCATGTTGAACTGGTATCGGTGGACGATCGAATCACAGATCGTGTTCGTTGCGCCGACGAAGCCGCTCGTTTCCCAGCAAGTCGGTGCTTGCTTCGGTATTGCTGGCATACCACGTTCAGCTACGACCATGCTCACAGGAGGCGTCCAGCCAGGGCTCAGATCAGAGGAATGGAAGAGCAAACGAGTGTTCTTCATGACCCCTCAGACATTGTTAAATGACTTGAAAAATGGATACGCAGATCCAAAGAAAATTGTCTTGCTGGTGGTCGACGAGGCACATCGAGCGACTGGATCTTATGCATACGTGGAGGTAGTAAGCTTCCTGCGACGCTTTAATCAGAGCTTCCGTGTTTTGGCTCTCACAGCTACTCCGGGTGCCGACGTCGAGGCAGTTCAGAAGGTCATCGACGGGCTCGATATTTCAAGAGTTGAAATTCGAACGGAGAACTCAATGGACATATGCAACTATGTGCACCAGCGCAGGATCGAAAAGCGGGTCTTCCAGAACAGCGACGAGATGGAGATGTGTATGGATCTATACAGCCAAGCCCTACAACCACTGGTCAATCAGGTGGCGGGGATGGGCGCATACTGGAGCAATGATCCCCGAACTTTGACGCCCTACGGTTGCACGCAAGCGGCGAACAAGTGGGTGAACGAAGCCGGACGCCATGCGAATGCCGGTGTGAAGAACATGGTCCGCACCATCCTGACACTACTCGCTTCCATCGCCCACGGCATGGATCTACTCAAGTTTCACGGCATGGCTCCATTCTACACCAAGCTGAAGGACTTCAGAGATGACAGTCAGAAAACGAAGTCAAAGTATAAGAAGCAGATCCTTGACAGCGATGCATTCAAGAAGCTCATGACACGACTGGACACCTGGGTTAACGACGAGAACTTTGCCGGTCACCCGAAACTGGAGTACGTGCAGGAGTGCATCCTAGAGCACTTTGTCAACGCAGGGGAAGGGCCGAACGCTTCGCAGACCAGGATCATGGTCTTTGCTCACTTCCGTGACAGCGCTGAACAAATTGTTCGCATACTGAAGAAACATGAGCCAATGATCCGGCCCCGTGTGTTCGTTGGTCAAGCAACAGCAAAGAACTCGGAAGGTATGAACCAAAGAGAGCAATTGGAAGTCATCGATGAGTTCAAGGCGGGCAAACACAACACACTTATCGCCACCTCCATCGGTGAGGAAGGTCTCGACATTGGTGAAGTCGATCTCATCATTTGTTACGACTCAAAAGCATCGCCAGTCCGCATGTTGCAGAGAATGGGACGTACCGGTCGCAAGCGTGAAGGAAAGATCATCATGCTTCAAATGCAGGGCAAAGAGGAGAACGACGCCAACAAAGCGAAAGACAGCTATGAGAAGATGCAAGAGCTCATTGCGAACGGGTCACACTTCACTTTCCACACCGAGATATCTCGACGGATTGTACCGTCTGATGTCAAGCCTGTTGTCGACCGCCGCACCGTCGATATACCTCCGGAAAACTCGCAGCAAGACTGGCTTCCTGAGCCGAAGAAGAATGGCCGAACGAAGAAGCCGCCGAAGAAGTTCCATATGCCCGATGGTGTGCTGACTGGCTTTGTTACTGCTGGGCGGATGGATGAGATTGTTCCAAAAGGGCGTGGCAAGAAGCCCCCTGTCATCACGTATCCAAGCGAGGAGGTGTCCGAGGTACCGTCCTTCGAATCGGTTTTGCTAGACGAAGCAGCAACGAACGATCTAGAAAGGCGCTTTCAAACTGTATACGACGATGAGGATGCCCCGATGGTCAGCGCCTTGGATCTCAGTCAACACGCCGATCACCAGCGGACCTTGACCAAGACACACCTTCTATCCAAACCCGGGCGGAAGACGCGGAATTTTGTCGCCACTATGCAGCGAATACACGACATGGATACCGACCGTGTAGAGTCATTCAAACAGAACCTTCACCATTCGGACTACGAGTCAGATGGTGTAGATGACGAAATTCTCGTCGCAGACACAGAGTCGCGGCCGGTAATACGCGAGGATATGTGGGCTGACGATGATCCTGCATCACAAGAACTCATCAAGGCTAAAGCAAAACCTAAAGCTAAAGCGAAGGCAGCGCCTAGGCCGAAGGCTAAACCAGCGTCTGAACCGAAGGCGAAGGCACCAAAGACTCCAGCCCCTCGTGGCCGCCCACGCAAGGAAATGGCTACGGTGGCTGCTGCTGAAACACCGATTCGACCATCCAAAGTAAAGAGTCAGACACCAAGAACGGAGACACCCAACTGGAGGGTCTCAGCTCTAGCGGGAGAGGGCGAAGAGTCGTCTCCACCACCTACGGACCCTCGGTTCCGCGTAGCCTCTCAGGCTGATACGATAGGCTCCGAGGACACTCTGGCTGATGGAGAGGTGGAGGATCCATCGCTCTGGAAGCTGGACTCCGACCTCAACAGCTTCATTGTCGACGGTACAATTGTTGAGGAGGAAGTTCCAGCGTCAAGTCTCCCTGGCCTTGACTTCAATGGTCTCGGAAAGGCTACTCAGGCAATGATCAGGTCTGCTACGAAGCCGAAGAGGCCTGTGAGAGCCGATAAGCTCTTCACTAGCGATATCACAGACAACGATGCGGTGGTCAGCAGTGACAGCGATGACGATGCGCCACTGGTCAAACCAGGTAGAGGTGCAAGTAAGAAGCCGACCTACGTTATAGATTCTGCCTCAGAGGAGGTGTCTTCGCCTGTTCTACAAAGGAAGAGAGTTCGCCGGGTGATTGATGACGATGAATGAGCCTCACATGCATATAGACAAAGATAGGCCTCGATAGCGTTGCTAGCTTCACAGCAATGTATTGTCCAAAGAAGAGTCTTTTGATTTACTTTCCCTCTAGAAACGCTCATTCAAACTGTTTCCAGTACTCAGGTTCGAAGCCCTCCATTTGCTGCGTGTACGACTCTCCAGCTTTGACCCAACCTTTGATGCCACCACCAAGTGTCAAAGACTGTATCTGATCATCGCTCTTCTCGGCGATGTAGTCTGCGAACCAGCCTGAGCAGCGCGGACCTCTGCCATTTGACGAACCTGTCCAGTTTCAGCCACCGTGCAGTCAGTTGGGCAAAGCGCACTGTTGTAACGTGATACTGGGCTCGCACCATCTACACACCACGATGCTGACGACACGAGAACTATGAGTGGAACTTCATTGCTTACCACAGTAGAAAGCCACCTTCTTCACGCCTGCCCGCTTGCACAAATCGAACAACACTGCTCTGTTCATGTAAAAGCTGTGTGCAGGCAAATTCAAGCTGCCCTTGATAGTGCCTCCCTCAAAGTCCGTTCGGCGCACATCCACAAGGAGCAGATCACCAGAACTGAGGTTTGGTAGGACCTCCTCGCGTGTGATGATGGGTGCTGTGGTACGAGGCGCGGGGAAGGCATCATGCCAGTTGGGCTTGGAGGCGTCTGCCATTGCGAGGTGTTACTGTACAAAGTTTCAAAATCTGATGCCGATGCTCAAATGTCGCAATTGCCCTCTTCAGGAGATACCCAAGGATGTTGATCCACCCGTTTCGCCCCGTTGGCTGTTGAGGTTGAGGCTCTGGCTCAGCCCTACGCCCCCGCTAGTGGCACCTGTCAGGCTTTCCCCTTACACCGCCACAGCGAATGGCCACCGTTGCGAGTTCCGCAAATGGTCCGATGAACGTGTGATTACATTGCCGGACCGGCAGAGTTATTAATTCAATCTGCAGTCTGTCCTTTCAGCAGCTGGTTGCCTGCCGCTTTGTTCCTGCGCTTCATATACCCACGCCTTGTCCTTCATTTACGCAGATCATCCGTTTCGACTTAGATTTCCTATTGAGACCACCACCGCCTTGGCCAGCGCTCCTGCCGTTCGTGACTACGTTTCAATGCACTCTGGCCTTTTGTCATACCCCACACCAATATCCGGCTGCTAATCTTCCGGCGACTCTTTAATTGTGAGTGTACCCAGCGTCGCGAGTCGCCAAGTTCCCGCCGCTTTGGAGACTCGCATCGCAGACGTTTGCTGACCGGAGGACTGCAGTAGCACGCTTTGAGCCATAGAACAAGATGCGCACAGCATCGCAGGTGTTCTACCTGGCAGTTTTCTCGCTGCTGGGTAGCTCGCACGCTATCAACCATTCCGCGCCTACAAAGTCCAAACCTCCGCCTCCAAATGTCTGCAATGTAAGCAAGAAAGCGTCTTCGCCTTCCACACACATATACCACGACGGCACTAAAACCACCTTTCAGTTGGAACCCGGCGCGATTGTATCAGACGCCTGCGCAAGCTACAGCACCCTCGAACAGCTGAACGAAGCCGTACACCCTTATCTACACTCGATTACACAAGACACCGACTTCTTCTCGCACTACCGCCTGAGCTTATACAGCAAGAAATGCCCGTTCTGGGACGACGAGAATGGGATATGCGGGAACGTGGCATGTGCGGTGAACACACTGGACAACGAGGACGACATACCCCTGGTCTGGCGCGCAAAGGAATTGGGAAGGCTAGAAGGGCCCACAGCACATCACCCTGGCAAGAAGGAGCAGGAAGAAGACAGGAAGAGGCCGTTACATGGAAGTTTGGGCGAAAACGTTGACGAGAGCTGCGTGGTCGAGTACGATGACGAGTGCGACGAGCGCGACTACTGCGTACCAGACGATGCGTTCGCCCCGGCGAAGGGAGACTATGTGTCGCTCGTGGATAACCCAGAGCGCTTCACCGGATACGCCGGTGTTGGTGCCCAGCAGGTCTGGGAAGCCATCTACCGCGAGAACTGCTTCAGCAAGCCGCCAAAGGTTGCTCCTGGGCAGTCCAATGGCCAATCTGCGCCGCTTGGGGCTTCGCCGTTTGGTGGCTTTGGAAATCAGCAACAGATGCTGGCGGCAAATCAGTTGCGAAATGTCATGAAAGAGGGAGGTGTGCAACAGAAGGTCCAGTCTGCCATCGCCCATGGAACAGCTGTAGCACGTCTCGACCCTGTCGAATTCGACGATACCTGCTTGGAGAAGCGTGTATTCCACCGCGTCATCTCTGGCATGCACGCGTCTATCTCCACGCATCTGTGCTGGGACTACCTGAACCAGACGACAGGTCAATGGGGCCCCAATCTTGCCTGCTACGAACAACGACTCCACAACTACCCGGAACGCATCTCTAACATCTACTTCAACTATGCGCTCGTTATGCGCGCGGTCGGAAAGATAAAGCAACACATCCAGGACTACTCGTTCTGTTCTGAGGACCCCGAGCAGGATCTCCGTACGAAGAACTCTGTTCTGCGTCTTGCTTCTGCGCTCCCTTCAGGCCCCGAGATCTTCGACGAAACAGTCATGTTCCAGGACCCGGATACCGTCGTGTTGAAGGAGGACTTTCGCAACCGCTTCAGGAACGTCAGCAGGATCATGGACTGCGTTGGGTGCGATAAGTGCCGCCTTTGGGGCAAGTTGCAGACCAACGGCTACGGCACAGCTCTCAAGGTACTATTCGAATTTGACGAGAATGACTCCTCCAAGGACCCACCGCTGCGCCGCACCGAGCTCGTTGCGCTGATCAACACCATGGATCGTCTTTCGCACTCGCTATCAGCGATCAAGGAGTTCCGACGCATGGTCGATGAGCGTGAAGGTGTCCCCAAGGCCGTTGTACCTGCACCGCAAGAGTCATCCCAGGGCGTCCTCAAGACGAAGCTAGCACTTGAAGAAAAGAAGAAACCAGACATCAAGTATAGAGACGACGGTCTTCCTGACTTCAGCCGCGACTGGGACGCAAGCAAGATGACGGTCTGGGAAGAGATGGTGGCGGAGTATCAGCTGGTGATGCGCGTCTTTAGATACGTATTGTCTCAGTGGTATCATATGCCGATGAAATTGTAAGCCATGCGCTCCATGTCGAGTTGCCATGAGAATCAAAGCTAACATGGGCACAGTGGCAAAATCGCTGTCCTCGAGGCGAAGCGCCTGTACGATTGGTGGTTGGGCATGGTGCCCAGCGAGAGGAGTTGGGAGATCCGGATCCCTAGACGTGACGAGATCTGAGGCATCAGCTATCGATTCACACACCGCTTCATTGACTTGGTTTCGGTGTTCATTTGGCATAGCATAGGCGTTTGAATTGGGAGCATAGGCATTAGATTGCGCTTTTGATACATGTTGGACCACTTCGACTTCAATACCATATATACATGGCACTCATGCACCGCTGTCTACATCATGCATAGTTTGTGATATACACTCTGCATCTACCAGTCGCTCTCGCACTTCGTGGTGTTGCGCCCTCATACGTCACCACGCACGCCCGTGCCCGCGCCCGCCCGTGCTCACACGCTCATTCCTCGGCCGAACCCGTGTTGAAGCTTTTCCTTTATCCACGCCAGTTGCGCCGTCGCAAAATTGGCATGCAGCTTGCAGCTCTAACAGCTTTTTTGCAGAGTTTTATTCCCGTTACCGCTTCCCCATTCGCTTTGTAAGAAACAAGACTTTTGTTAAGCTCAGCGCCTGGTTTCTACGGTTGCTGCTTTGGGAAGGAAGAGTGCTTCCAAGCATGGCGTCTGCTTTCGATGGTTGCCCTTTGAGGCAATTCACATATTAGCGTACCAAGAGTGCTGTGGGGAGGGTTGGAGCCGTCTTGCTGTAGGGTTACGTATGGAGGTCTTGTGTGTTAAGCTCAATGCCTGTGTTCGATGGTTGCTAGTTTGGGTAGGAATATGTCCACCAGTAGGGCATGTTTGAAAGTATTGGAGGTGATGTCGTGATTGTCTGGATAAAGCTATCTGCTTCGGTGCGTACGTATTCAGCATGGCAGGGTCATTATTGGATACGGTTGCGAGAAAGCTGAGCGCTGTCTTGAGGGGGTCTGTCAACGCGAGACTATAGACTGTCGTAGCTTATAAGTTGTTAAGATGCTTCAGCGATTCCTGCAGTTTTCCCAACATGTCTTCTTGCAACCAGGGATCCACCGAACGATGTTCTTCAGGGTTTGGAGGTTGGACAGCAAATGCTTCGTTGGGCTACTTGCATTTACAGCCGAATCAAAAGTGTGAATCAGTCAAACAATCATCAATGTGAATGATACTTGATGCATCAGCAGCTGCTCCTGTCCATCTGCGCTGAGACAAGCTGAGTCGGCCGAGGTGGTTAAGGTTAAAGTTAGAGTTGTAAGGAAGCTCAACGCCTGTGTTTGATGGTTGCTGCATTAGGGAGTTTGGAAGGTTACAAGCTCGACGCCTACATTCAACAGAAATCCAGCCACTTGCCCTATACGGTAGTTCGTTCGAGGGACGTGACGGCAAGTGTGGTGCAGCATGGCCGTTTGCGGCTGTTGTGGACAGAAAGACGGTCGCCGTTGGCTGCTTCCTTTGTCCTTCGACGAGACAGACGGGCGTGAGCGGGATGGTTCCGTGAGGGCGCGGAGTGCTCGGAAGGGTGTCGCAGTTGCATCCTAAACATCATCTCCACGACTCCACGAAATTATTCTGCTCGGGATACATTCTATGAGACCACAAGGTCCTGAATTGTCCTCGCTATTGTCCAATGCTCAGTGTGTCCGTCATCACCCCAGCTTCGAGCTGGCGTTCAGATAATGGCTGTAAGCATTCGGTTTTGGCCCCCACGAGCTGAGCGTTTCATGCATGCAATAAAGTGCACTGTCTAGGGACCATGTACACTTCTCACATTGCATGTGGTCCTCTCGGCTCATTGTAATATCGCATAGCCTCCACCAAACCAGCTTTTGACGTCGACCGATCATGAAGCTGTGCGACTACTGCATCACAAACGTTCTTGGGAGCAAGGAGTCGTGGGACTACCACAATCACTCCTACGATGCTCTCACTCCATCGTCAAAAAACCGATGCCTCTTCTGTTCGACACTCCGGAAGGATCTTAGACGAGTTGCACCATGGTTGAAGGAGTCTGATTATGCGGAGTCCTGGCCTGTCTACCGCTGGAGCATCAGGAGCCTGACCAAGATACGAGAAAGTCCGGAGACGGTGGTTGTGACATTTCGATATGTGCCACCGAAGAAGAGGCCGGGCATAGAAGCAAACGAAGAGCAAGACAGAATTGACCTCCCGACGAGGACTTTCTTTCTGTTCCCAGACAAAGGTCTCTGTTCGACCCCGGCACTGCTGTGTCTCATACAAAGCCATTTTGCTTTTCGGTGCAGGACTGACTTTCAACAGATCTGCAGCCGCTGCCAACGTTAGAACAACTTGGTCGATCAACAAATCCAAACGTGAACGGTGGTCACCAGATTCGTGCATGGGTCGAAAAGTGCGATCAAAAGCACACAGACTGCATGAGACAAAGAAAGGCTACCCCAATAGCATCTCGCTTCATCCCCACCCGTCTGCTAGACATCAGCGGCCCACTCGAGACCCCTATTCGGGTTATCGAGACAGCGACAACAACCGTCCAAGGTCCATACTGTTCCCTCTCACACTGCTGGGGCAAGCCCGACTTTGTTCAGTTGCATGATAACAACAAAAAGTCATACATGACTGATGGTGTGCCATGGAACCTCTTCACCAACAACTTTAAACAGGCTGTTGAGATTGCTCGCTTTCTCAATGTGGGGTACATCTGGATTGACAGCTTGTGCATTATCCAGGGCAGTGCAGATGACTGGGTGCGCGAAGCAAGTCGAATGCACCTGGTGTATAGGAACAGCTACTGTAATATAGCGATCGCGGACTCGATCGGTCAGTATGGAGGTGCTTTCCGTAGTCGTGAGCCCACGGATGTTTCGCCAGTGGTGTATCAGTCCAGGGAGGATTCACCAATGTTTGGTAGGCAGAAGTGGAGGGCCGTATCTGAGGACTTGTGGGCCCGCGAGTTACTTCAGTCAAGTCTATATACACGCGGATGGGTATTTCAGGGTATGTTACAAGTTGCAAGTGACATTGAAATGCTGACATGATGATAGAACGAATGCTCGCTCCGCGAATTCTCCACTTTGCGAGGAACCAAGTGTTCTGGGACTGTCCATCCTTGAGCGCATGTGAGGCGCTGCCAGCCGGCTTGCCACGGCCAATGGACACTATATCGGGACCTGACAGGCACTGGAGAGGCAGATTGCAGGAGCCTGGAGGAAGCCGCGATCTCGCTGGACCAAACGATCAACCGCTATCAGTCTACTGGCAGACCGCTGTTCGAAACTACACAAGTTGTAACCTGACACAACGCTCCGACAAGCTCATTGCCATATGGGGCATTGCAAAGCTAATCAAGGACGCCATGGGTGTCGAGTACGGCGAGGGCCTTTGGGCAGACAATCTCGAAGACCAACTGACCTGGCGGGTTGCAGAGTGCGAACTCAAAGAACGCCCCGTTACCAAGAAGCGCACCTTCCCATCCTGGTCATGGGCCTCAATGGACGGCGAGATCATCATTGCGGACAGACTCTCTGATAAGAAACACTGGACGGTGTGTGATCACAACGGCCGCCGCCTCGAACTCGATCTCATCGGCGTCAAGCGCTACGCACACGCATTGCAACCACGATCAACGCAACCACGATCTGCCGAGCCCACACCTTTCCTACAGAATCGGGCGCAGAGTGACAGTGTGCTGGAAGTCAAAGCCCTGAAACAAAACCAGAGAAACGCACCTGGCCACCAGATCAACAACCCTCCCAGCAAGGACCACAGTCCCCAGAAAATCAACGAAGACGCCGAGCCTATGCTCCACAACAGATCGATCCCCATCCAGGGCCACATCAACTGCGGCATGCTTTCCTTCGACGCCGTAAAGAAAGCCTGGCTCCTCCATCTCCACAACGCGCGCGATCTCGACATCGAAGCGTATCCCGACACCATCCCCGGGCCCAAGGACCTGCAACACCACTGCAGTTTTGTAGTCCTATCAGCCAAAAAGGTGGTCCAGCCCAAATCCGAGGTCATCAGCACGCAGACGGGGCACCACACTGCTGAAGATATTGAGATTGAGGGGCGCGGTGTTCTGCTAGAAGCTGTCAGGAAACCTCGTAAGGATGGCCAGGATCACTTTCGGAGAACGGGGGCGTTGAGGTTCCGGGTTGAGAACGAGGAGGCTTTTCGCAAGCTGTTGTGCACGAAGGGGTGGGAAAAACTGCCGGCTGAGAAGTATAGCGCGAAGAGGGGGAGGAAGTTTTGGTTGGACTGAGGTCTTTGCCCGCAGCTTCTAGGTGCTGAGTTGTGCCTACGTGTCTTCGTTGTGGTGTGCAAAATCGCATGGCGCTGATGTTGCAAGAATGTTCGGGCACAGCAACTAAGGTTCCTTGCTTGAGACGGCGAAGCATGAGCCATGATTCTGGGCTCACCGATCGATGCGTTGAATGTGATATTTGGTGGGTTAGAAACGTATATATACAAGATCTCCATCCTAAACACCGATGCTCTTATGCACAAAACTACATCTACCCATGCCAAATCAACCAGAAGTACCAACCCAACCCACAAATCATAACCTTGCCCAGACTGCTCTTCAGCTCTTGCCTGAACAGCGCGAAGCCTTTCTTCCTCGCCTTGCTCTTCGTGCTCACGCTCCCATATGTCTTAACATCCTTCTTGCTATCCTCATCGCCATAGTATCCTGCATGCTGGACAAGAGGATGCGAGTACGTCGTATTCTGCTGATGGGGCATGGGCATTGGCAGCCCGTACCCGTTCGCGGGTGAAGCAGTGCGAGTACGTGCCTGCGCATTGCGGACCTGCAGATTGCCGTTCGCGTTCGAAGATGTGCTCGAGTTGCTCGAATGCGTATAGTCATCGGCGCCAAAGCGCTGCTGCGCGAGTGCCGACTTCTCTGCTTCGGCGCCGGAGGGAATGTTCGCCATGGGCAAGATCGGATCCTCGCTCGTCAGCGGCTGCTGCGGCAGGGCATTGCCCGCGACGAGCGCGGCGCGTCCGCTCAGCAGAACGAGTGTGAGCGCGAATAGTCCGGCGTAGCGGAAGAAAACCCCCAGCTGATCAGGCAAAAGACACAGATGCGTCTGCACCGTCCTGCCCATGTCGCCCTTGACTGGCTTCCCATGCGCATCCACGGGGTTCCACAGAGAAACCATCACGAACCCTGGATGCCTGACCCCCATCGCCCAACTGATACTCTTCACAGTAACCTCCCTGATGCCGCCGCCGCCGCTCGCGTACCCCCGGTGCACCAGCTCGCAGTAATCGTGGTCGTCGCCGGAGAACGCATACCGGATGTCGCCGATCTTTGAAGCAATGTCGGCGCTGATCTCTTTGTTCAAAACGTTCTGGTACTGGTACCCGCCGCTGACGGAAATCGCGTTCCGCTCGTCGTGCTCGAGGGGGGAGGGTTGGCCCGCGGGAGGAGGCGAGGGGGGCCAGTGTTCGCGCAGCGGGCCGCAGGGGGTGCCCGGGGCGCGGTACAGGGGAACGTGGGTGAGGAGGATGGTGGGGAATTCTGTTACCTCGTCGTCTGCGTGCGGGAGGGTGGCTTTGGGGAAGTCCTGCGATTCGATCTCGTAGTGGGGAAAGCCGGGGTAGGGTCTGAGGCCGCGTTGGACGCGGAGCTCGCGCTGGATTAGCTTGCGCTTTTGCTGTTTTGCGCCGGAGAGGAAGTCGACTGTTGGGCGCCACACCTCTTCGAGTTCTTGGGACGAGGGCACTCCTAGGGCGCTGAGGGAGACGCTGTCTATGGACACGAATGTGTGGTTCCCCAGCACGTCGATTCTGTTGCCGTCTCCGAAATATGCGTGGAATCTGTCTCGCACTCCGATCTGGACTCCCTTTGCGAAACCTAGATCGTGGTTCCCGGGCAAGCTGCTTACGAACTTCCTCCCAGGCTGTCCCGGACGTGGTTGCAGCCCGCCATCGCCCCAGTGGTCAAGGAATATGCTGCCGAAACGCCGGTACTCGTTCATCCAGTAGCTATCACCGTACTGCTGGTATTGCTTTTCGGGCGACTTGGTCGTGCGCGTCGACCACTCACGGCCACCGTCGAACAAATCACCGAGGAAGAAGACAGTGTCAGGGTAGAGTTCGGTCTGTATACGAGAGTAGGCGCGACGCATGTACTGATCGGTGTACTTCATGGTAAGCGGGTTGAGAGGCCATGGCCGGCCAGGGTAGGTGTGCGGGTCAACGAGTTGCGGGTCGGCGACGAAGACGAGTCTGTGAGGGCTGGCTCCTTCTTCCTAGTCTAAGTCAGCGCTGCTTGTGCATGATGTTGGCGCTTGAGACCTACCCAGTTCTCCCAGGCGTCCCAATTGCAGCTCCCTACTGCGCCGTTGAAAGCACCCCTCTCGCCCCAATACACCACCACCCACCAGATCGCCACCAGCGCATTCGCCAGGCTGAACAGCCTCTTCCATCGTCCCTGTGTCACTCTCTTCTCCACGAATGGCCTGACGCTGTAAATAAGGAAAGCGCGCGCTGTGCGGTACGTCTGGCCGGTGAAGCTGTCCGGCTCCTGGTATGCACCAACGGGGACACCATAGTCGTCGTACTCGGTCATCGTCGAAGTGGAGAATGGAGGCAGTGCCAGCGCGGCATTTTCGCAGTCGTCAGGGTCGACGCTATGCGGTGGGGTGCGTTGTGTGAGAAATTGTGAGCTTGCGCGGCCGCTGAAGCTCCGAGGTCTGGGGAAAGGTGCGGCCAGGGTCTCATTCCGATCGACGGCTAGCCACTTCTGCGAATCTCGTTCTCTTTCTTTTTCTCTCTCTTTCTCTTTCTTTTTCTTTTTCTCTTTCTCTTTCACATGCACATGCACATGCACACGCACATGCATTCGGGCTGCCCCAGTTCTGTGGTTGGTTTGGTCGTCACTGTCCTCACATGTGTGGCATTCAATGTCGAATCATGAGTTGAACGTGCAGAGGATATCATTCAGGAACATGCTAGAAGTACATTACACACAACGCCATCTCCCCCTAGTACTCGAGTGTCACCTCCTGGCCCTTGACCTTGCCAATGACAATTTCGGGTGCGTACTTGGGGATGACCTCGTCGTCGTGGAGCATCTCAAACTCCTCCGACGCGTCCTTGCCCATGTGGCTGAACAGCGCCTGAGGACCGCCGGGGTGCTCATCTGTCCAGTTGGTGACGTCCATAACGATGCCCTTTACTGCAATCCACAGGTCGTCCTTCTTGTTGTGCTTGGCAATCTCCTCGAGGGTGAACTCCTTGTCGGGGATGGAGAACTTGGCTGGCTGGTTGGGCTTGGAGACCTTGCCAGGGTCCTGCGAGTCGGCATCACTCTTCAACACAGGTGCTGCTGACTGCTGTGACTGCTGTGCTACCTTGTCGCCGCCAGGTACCTGTGCCTGAGCACCGCCCTGGACCCTGCTGCCCCACTCCACTGAGATCTTTCCTGGTGTGCTGGGGTCGATGTGAAGGGAGATCTGGCCAAGACGGGAAACTGCTGACCCGCCAGCGTTGTTGAGTGCCTGCTGGAAGAGGTACTTCGACGCCGAGTCACCAGCAACACGACCGTAAACGACACAGCCAAGCAGCGACGAACCACCGAGACGGTTGGCACCGTGGACACCACCAGCCAGCTCACCGCAGACGAACAGACCATCGAATGGCTTGCCCTGGTCGTTCAAGCACTGTGCCTGGTCGTTGATCTCGATACCACCCATGGTGAAGTGGAGAACGGGCTCCATCAACGCGACGTGAAATGTGTCGTTGATGTCGAAGGGCAGGTTGTGGAAGTACTTCTTGCCCCATGTGTCCTTCTTCTCGCCCTTGGCAATGGCGTTGTAGCTTGTGAACTCCTCTTGAAGCTGCTCGGGGCTGACGCCGATCTCCTTAGCAAGCTCCTTACCGGAGATCTTCTTCATCAGGCCACGGCCGGAGTAATGCCTTGTGTGGAAGTCGAGGACGTTGGAGGCCTTGGAGTTGAGGACGAGACGGATGGGCCATTGGCCCTTCTCCTTCTCCTCCCACATCTTGCCGGAGACGTAGTCACGGTGACCAAGGTCATCGCAGAAACGCTGGCCCTTGTTGTTGATAAGGATACCACCCTCGCCACGGAGAGCCTCAGCAGCCAGGAACTTGGTCTTAGCAGTAGGGTCCTTGGGGTCAACAAGACCTGTGGGGTGAACCTGGACCTTGTCCATATCAATACCCTGGGCACCGATCTTCATCAACATCTTGTGTCCGTCACCAGTGGCGTGAGCACCGTTGGTGGTTGACAAGTCGAATGTGTCTGGTCTCCACTTCTTCAGCAGAGAGTCCTCTGTGAAATCGGCAGCGTAACCACCGGTTGCGAGAATGACGGGGCCCTCGATTGTTGTCTCCTCGCCGCCGAATGTGTAGGTAACACCAGTGGCGCGGTTGCCCTCGGTGTTAACCTTGGTGACCTTAGCCTTCTTGACAAGCTGGACGCGCTCGGGCTCAGCCTCGGCCAACTCCTCGAATCGCTGCATCAGAGCGTATGTGATGGCCATACCGGGGAACTTGGCATCGTGACCACGATGGGTACGGGGGAATGAGTGACCACTGATTTTGTCAGTATGCTCCCAAGAATACACTTTTCGGATGGAACTCACCCGAGACGAGAAACGAGAGTCAAGTCAAGGTTGAACACATCCATCAGCCACTCGACGGCGGCGGCGGACTTGTATGTCAGAACCTTGATCAGGTCCGGCCTCGCCTTATCTCGCGCAGATTTCAATGTGTCATCGTAGAACTGCTTGACGCTGTCGCCAATCTGGTGGTCAACTTGCGTCCTTGTGAGGGCACCGTTGATACCAGATGTGGCCTTGGTGGAGTTGCCTCCCATGAAGTCTGATATCGAGTCAGCATTCGCATTTTCGGTGTTTGCATCATTTGGGACTCACTGTTCTTGTCGAGCAGAACAACATTGCCGCCAGCCAGATAGATGGTGTGAGCAGCGCTCAAGCCGGACACTGTGAGCAACGTTAGTTGTGCGCATGATGGTGTGTTATCTGTAAGATGCTTACAGCCAGCGCCAACAACAATAACCTTCGCGGCCATTTTGATAGATACAAATGCAAAGAAGGGAAGGGAAGAGAAAGTCTAGAGGACGCAAATGCGGGTAGAAAAGTGCGGAGATCGTAGCCTTTGTATGGGCGGTGGCAGTTCCCTGCACCCTCTCGGTGCCGAGGCTATGTGGAGAAGGTCTGGGAATGCGCTACTGTCAGCGCAAGCGGGTCTCCCCAGTGCAAGCGTGGCCAGCAGCCAGTGAAATGCGAGCTGTTTGTAGGCTGGGGTCCGGCAAGCCGACTGTTGTCTCCAGATCCCCGTGATGCGCTCGAGGGTTTCAGACACGCAGCGCTCTTGTCATAGCATGTGAAGATGCAAGACTCGGTCGTCGACCACATGACGACTGATTTGCGACTCTGTGGTTGGCCCGAGATACCTCAGACGGACGCTGACATCTGACCTTAACGAGGCGCCGAGAAATCCGGGGTGAAGTCACGCGTGGTTCTTGCTGGCGGCTCTTGACATGTGAACCCGAACATGGCAACCACGTATTAGACATCATCACGTCTCGACAATTGCGACCGCAAACGCTTCGCTGTTCGTCCTCTATTTTGCTACACAATTGCAGGATATCGCAGCAATCGCTGACTTTGGCAACTTCACCCGCAATACGTCGCTCGCACTTCAATAGCCGACCGGCGTTTGCTCCACCAGAACCTGGCACGCGCACAGCGTCGTGCGGGCTGCATTGCCTCTTTTGCACCCTGAGTCAATTGTCTTCACTGAGACTCGGGGCGCATAGATTGTCAACACGAATCTAATGCGCAATCTCGCAGATGAATCTTCGCCGAATTTCATGTTCACCAACGCTTTGCACAGACGGTTCTCGAGTACCTGGGGAAACTCGGGGCAGTTCACACCGAGTGTCAATGCTCCTGCAGTTGCTCGGGTCCACTTGAGGCGACCTGGATTCACGTCGACTCGATGGCGTAGAGTCCATCGGCGCTGCAGATATACCAACGGTTGCAACTTGCTATGAAAACTAATCGTTGTATTCCCCAGATACCCCAACGCCAAATTGCTACACCAGACCGTCGATCGCACGTTCCTCACACCACCACATGCTGGATACTGAAGGAAATGGTAGCTATCGGAGAGAACACCGCGCAAGCACGAATTGTTGACATGCATCGTCTGGACCTGTCCTGCAAGCTGCATCTTGAGATCTCCTCAAGATGCTTACAATATTGAGCACGCTCGCTGTATGCTAGTGGCAAGCAGCCGACTTCGTAGGGCTCGAGTTGGCAAAGAGCAAGTAACCGACGAAAGCTCCAACAGCAACAGCAAGCATGATCCAGCCATTGTATGTCATGAACAACAACCTACAGCCATCAATTCCGGAATCACGCATCTCAAAGCCCTGGGACCACTTACATGATGAAAAACGAATAGAACACCTGCACAGCATACAGCGCAGCCTTCACAAGCTTCGCCTGCTGCTCAGCATTGCCTCCCGCGTTTCTCCCTGAGTGAAGCAATGAGCTCGATTCATCGGTCGTGTGCACATCTTTCGCGCGCTGGACTCAGCTGTCGTTCTTCAAGTGAAGATAGGACCAAAGAAAGCCTCATCCACCCAACCAGTCCACTCGACCGAGTAGAAGCTTGAATGGTTTCCGCCCATGATCTTTCCACCAGCACAGGGATGTAGGAGAAGACTCACCTCTCAGATCATCACCACCGCGCCTCCCTTCAAGCACTTTGTTCGAATAAGCCTCGTACCGCCGAGACGCCTCGCGCACAGCCTCGTAGCCGGCGGTGAGCAGGATGATGCCGACGAGCGCGACAATCAGCGAGAACGTGCCGCTGATGTGCCAGCTGCGGAAGACGATGCAGAGGTCCGTCGTGTCCCAGGTGAACAGCATCTGCGTCGGTGTCAGCCCTAGAGCCCTATAGTCTGAAGCCCTTCGGTCTGAAGCTCTACGGTTGAGGATGCGCGGTGCAGCGTACGTTCATGTTGCATTTGTGGCCGGGGTCCATGCCGGGCATGTTGTGGTCCATGTGGCCGTGATCCATGTGTGAGTGATCCATGTTCTCGTTGTATTCTCTTTCTGCTGCTGTGGGAAGTGGTGTTGTGGTGCACTGGGTCGCTGCGAAGGGGAAACAGGACGCAACGCGCGCGTCTCACCATGCCTGCGCGGGTGACCCCGCGTGCATGAGCATGTTTCGCACCGCAAAGGGTCCAGTAGCTATCGATGACATTTGCGATCTGCTTACAATTCCATGACAAGCGCTACACGACACAATAGTCTTTACAGTACCTCTTTGACATCCTGAAATGCGATTATAATCACTGCCATGACAACCATGCGATCCCTCCGCCCTGCTGCGCGGTGCTTCCAAAGCTCAGCGCCACGCCCGCTCTTGCGGACCCCCGGAGCTATTACTCCACAGCGACACTTTTCCCTTACAGCACCAGCACGCCTTCTCGCACCGCCATTGAACGTGCCAAAATGGTACTACCCTCCTCCCTCCTCCCACCTCCCAACCAACGCTGACAAGCCCAGGGTATCCGAGAACTCGCACATGCTGAAGCCCCCGATTAACAACTACTGCGTCTACAATGACAGCGTAACCGTCATGATCGTCGGCGGCCCCAACGAGCGCACCGACTACCACATCAACGAGACCGCCGAGTGGTTCTACCAACACAAAGGCTCCATGCTGCTCAAGGTCGTCGACGACAATGAGTTCCGCGACATCCACATCCACGAGGGCGATATGTTTCTGTTGCCGCCGAATACGCCGCATAACCCTGTCAGGTTCAAGAATACTGTTGGTATAGTGCTGGAGCAGCACAGGCCGGAGGGAAGTGTAGATCGCTTGAGGTGGTATTGCCAGAGCTGTGGGGAAAAGGTGCATGAAGCTGCGTTTCATTGTACGGATCTGGGGACGCAGATCAAGGATGCTGTGAATGCGTTTAAGGCGGATACCAAGGCGAGGACGTGTGGTAATTGCGGAACGATATGTGATACTGCTCCCTCGAAATCAGGCGAGAACCCCTCGAAACCCTCGAGACCAGACAAGACAACGAAGAACAAGTTGGAAGAAGAGGCGAAGGACGATGTGGCAGAGGAGAGGGGAAAGAGCGCAGAGAAAGCGGAGGCAAGCGCGAAGACGAGTACAGGCAACAAGGTGCCTTTCCAGCCGTCGTAGACGCAGCCGAAGTCGCGGACTGAGTAACAAGTCTGGCGTTTGTATTTTTAGGTGTCCGTATACAAGACCTTATAGACCCTTCCACATGACCTTGGCGACATGGTCGGTCTTCTTCTTGGTCGGTCTAAGAAGACCCAGGTATCTGAGCTCCGCAAGAGCTCGCTGGAAAAGCGCCCTAAGAATTTCAGCATAGCCTCGTAACATTTGCATATAGACACTTACATGGTCTTCGACTCGTCGCCATCGTCTTCGTCCCCAGCGATTGCTTTGAATGCTGACCACAAATCGGTCACGTTGACTAAAGCTCCCGACTCGAGGTACATCTGGTAAACAATCGCAGTCGCTGGCTGCCTAGCACCAAGGGCCGACTCCTTTCCATCGACTGCACTACAGCAATCGCAGTTGAGGTAGTCATGGGGGGAGGCCATGGCACGCTCAACGGAGAATCGTGGCTTAGGCTGGAAGACCTCGAGGTGGGGCGATTTGAGGTCATATGTAAAGACCTCAGAGTATGGCAATATCTGCAGATCGATAAGGGCTATCTTGAAAAATGATTCCAGCTGGTTGTGTAGGCGCGTGACTAGATCAGAATAAGCTTGATCTTGCTTTGAGAGTGCTGCTTTGTGCTTGCTTAGAAGCACTTTCTGCGCAACAACTGTTGCGCGAACGCTATCGCTGCGGACGTCGTGTTCCGTGCGGAGAGGAGTAGAAGCGTCTTGCTGTTTGAGAATGCTGTCGAACTCTTTCTTGATCCCGCTCACGTCCATGGAATCACGGCCTTGCTTGCTTCCTTTATCATACATCATATCCTTTTTATCCGACAAGTTACTCAAGGTCGATAGCAATTTCGCAAACTTGTCAGACGGAGTCTTTTTGAGAGTTAGCATTGTTTCGCGGAGAAGGGGTGAGTCCAGGAGGTCTGCAGACGCTGCCCGTATCCATATTATAGAAGCTTTGACTCTTGGTGTCATCTGAAGGGCTTCCCGGATGCTGAAGAGTACCTGTGCTGCGTGGTTCAAGACTGACAACTCCTCTTGAGCTGAAGTAGTCGAATATTGGAGCTCTTTGAATACTACTTGGTCTGCCTCAAGCAATTCGCGGACCAACTGGCGGGAAAAAGAGTCTTGTTCATGTAGGTTTTCGATATGCCGACGGAAAGATGGTAGGTTCCGCACTGCTTCAATAGCATCGGCTTGTAGGTCCTCGAACCTCAGTTTATGATTCAAGAAGATGCTTGGAACGCTGGCGTAGAAATGTGACATGTACGCATATTTGAGGCCATCACAAAAGTCCTGCACATTCTGCACATAGTCTTTCTGCCGGTCTAGCATGCGCCGGCACAGCTGTGGACCGATGAACAAGCGATTGTCGAGGCTCGCGACGGTTGCGCTGAATAGCTTCTCGACAATGTCGTCGGACTGCGTGACGTCGAATCTTTCGCCTTCCAGATTTCGAAGAGATTGCCCAGCCAAGCGGTCTTCGAAGCTGTCTGCAGAAGTAGCGATACCAAACAGGAGCACGAATGGGATGCGATCCAGCCAAGAGCTGTTAAGGGTCAGCTTTGCCTAAAAAAGCTCTTGCGTTGCACTTACTGAAGCAGATCAATCAGATCTATCAGCAACCCAGCATCGAACGCTTCGCTGTCTTGTATGGTAACAACAACGCTCGACACTCGATTCTTCTTCCGCCAATCCTGGATGTGCCGAAGGTCGTAGTTTAGCAGCTTTGGACCATGTCTCGAAGGTCTACTTGATTGCTCCAAATCATCGTCGTCTTCATCCTCGATGCGTGATGTCGCCTTCTTGATGAGGTTCTTGAGCAGTGTTTTTAGATTGGGACATTCACCGGAACTCAGCAGAATGTATGCGCTCTCCGTATCAGATCTGATCTTTCGCCCCAATCGCTCAAAATAGGGTCCATGAGATGCGATACTTGGTCCTGCGACAACAAGACCTGTCGGTATGGCAAACTTGGGCTCATCTAGTGATGATCCTGATGCTGAGACGAAATCAACAATTTGCTCCTGCGTGGCGCTGTCTGCTTCTTCGAGAGTGGTCTGTCGTCATCAGTCAAGGGTTTTCGATGGGGTCAGGTAGCTGGTACTTGAATGCGTTGTTCTTGCTCAGCCCACAGGTCGCGATAGATTTGTAACCGTTCTTTCAGCTGTGGTTGAAACAGGGATTTATCGACACGTTGACGCTTGGGTGCCCTCTCTTCAGTCTCGGGTGGCTGATATACGTAACACCGCTCATGTTCCATTGTCGTATTTGTTGATGTTCGTGAACACTGGGTGTTGTTGAAGATGGATTGGCAGGGGTCCACAGGAGAGCAGACGCGATGGCGCCAAGCGCGTGGGCACGGGAACACGTGAAACATTGCTGCTTGCTTTCACTTTTGGACTATTCTGGATGAAGCCCTTGGTTATACTGTACAATTCTCTATTCTAAGCTGAAGGTACATACTGTCTTGCAAAATTCCATTGGGTAGCTACGAATGTTCCAGACCAGCCGTCACCGCCGGCAAGCCCCTCAATGAGGCACGTACTTGATGCGTAAGGTATCAGGCGTTGTCCGTAGTAGTAGCGCTCCAATCTCTGATGAGTATCACATGAGCACAATTCCTCTCGGAAATGCTAGGTGTCCTCGATCTACGTATTGCCTCCGACACTTACTGGTCGATTGTCTATATGACGATGATTGCAATCGCAAACGCAGGGATGGCCCGGAATCAATGTGCAGTAGGTCAATCATGATCGTCCTCAGTCACTCCTGGACAGCCTTCCAGTTCCGCATCAAGATACTGGTACCCACAATAGAGGCAGTAGTGGAAGTTTTCCCGCAGGTAGAGCAATACCTTTTGGAGTCGCTCCGTCACTGGCAATACCTCGAACTCGGCCAGCTCAGGATCCTCTGCTTCGAGGTCGTTCTCGAGCGTAGTATAGAATGGCTTCAGATCCTGGCCTAATGCGACCTTCGTGTCGTTGTCGACATCCCCTTCGTCAGCTAACGTGGGCAGCCGCGAGGCAAGGCTGTTATCCAGCTCACGCCGTTGCTGCTTGTTCTGCTGCATCTCCACCCTCCTTCTAGCGCGGCTGCGCCAGAGCACGTTGATGTCCTTAAGAGGCTTGTCGCCGGGCTCCAGTGTGCCTTTTTCTTCAGCGTCCTTCTCGAACAATCGCTCAGCTGTGCGCTGTGCATTATCGAGATCTCTCTCAGCCTTCTTCTCTTTCTGCTCCTGTCGGCGGATCTCGAGATAATCGCCTTCTTCCTGTTTTGAGCGCTTGGCCAATCGCTCTGCCTCCTCCCATTGTTCTCTGAACTTGCGCTTCTTCTCTGACTCGAGTCCAACGCCTCCTCTGTCTGCCTTAATATCGACTGCGATCGGTGCTTTGCGCGCATCTTCGGATTTTCCTAGTGTGTCGCCCTGCTTGAAGCCGAATTTAGCCATCATTTTGAATCCCTTGTTGGTCTCTGGCAGGGCGGTCGCAAGTGCTTCCTCTCGCGCTGCATCAGCGTCTGCTTCCTTCTCTGCCTTGGTCTTCTGCCGCGCTCTTGCTTCACCCTATACACATGTTAGCTTACGCGCGCGCATGGGTCTCTGAGTATGTGTGCGTACCTCTTTGCGCTTGCGCGCGGCGCGCTGCAGAGATGTTTCGAACTTAGGGCCCTTTGGCGCATCCTCGAACACCATGTTCATGTAGTCATCTTCCTCGTCTGATTGCGACATCTTGTCGCTATGGCTCTTGTGAGTGTTACGTGATCACGAATCACAACTTCCAAGAAGTCTTCCTGCGCGGCCCACATAGCGTCATGCTTGGCCCCCGCGTTCCTGACAGCGATCGCTGCTTCCCCAGACTCTTCTCTCAACGACATCTCTCACCTGCAGTCTTGTCATGTATCGTACAACCGATGATCACACAAATTGTGAATATCTCTCGGCATCTTTGTGCCTTGCGCGATATGACCCATGAAAATCAAAGGATACAGATGGCATCGAGACCTCGAACAGACAATATTGGCCCTTACCACGACAGTGGTTTTGTACGGCCTTAGCCCGTCGAATACGATGAAATCCTGCTCACGCGACATGCGCCGCATCTTCGCATTCTCTCATCTTTCTGCCCTTCAGTACGATATACTTGAGTGCAGCCCTAGTGAATACGCGAGACAGCTGCCACCTCCACAAATGAGTCTTGCACTCGGTTCTTGTTACTCAAGCAGGCGCTGGTTGTCCGCTCTCTGGCAGCTTGTTGAGACGGTGAGGCCCTCCTATCCAACATTTGGCGCTCCTTCATGTGAAAATTTTGAGCCGCGGGTCCAGTTTCCTCGCTGCATCAACATTATTGAGTCCTAGCTCACATGCTCCTTCGACGACCTGTTATGCAAGAGAAAGGTCTTTTGGCTCAAAACAGGTGAGCTGCCGGTCAGCGATGCTTCGGATTGGCCGTCGACCAGGATCCTTCCCCACAGCGGGAGCGTCTGAACGCCTTCGTTCCACTAATTCCGGGGAGCGTTGCAGGGCTCTACGCTCGGTCGTCATCCGGACCAGACCTCCCCTGTTCCTTCATCAGTCCTGCTGCCAATAGTTATGGACATGCCACGCCTCCCGATCAGGTCGGAAGCACCGAGGGGAAGTTGAAGAGATGACTTAGGATCTTAGCTTCCGAGCATTAAGCCACTCAGCGTATTGTAGTACCATACGTTACACGATACTGCTACAGTTTCGGTAACAACAAGGAACATGTGTCAGTCGATCTTCTCAATCAAACAAAGCTCGCGCCTCGGCTTCATACCATTCGCGAAGAGATGGTGGCAATCATCTCGGGGCTCTGCCATATTCAGCTCTGGTGGCTAAGTGCCATTCGTTGCGCATACCCTGTCAGTTACCGCGCCTCTATCGACGTCCGTTTCTACCTTCGGCAGCGTGCCTGTATACGATTTGGTCCGTGAGGATCTTCGTCAAGATGTTCATGTGCTTCGATCTTCAACTCTTGAATCTCATAAGGGTCCTTTCCCCGCAAGTCTCCACTTGGTCTTCGGCTCTGGGGTAATTTGTATTTCAGTGTGTGCTGTTCACCCCTCGTTTAACGATCTTTGAGTGAAACTCCGGCACGAGCACTCGCCTCAAACCTTTGTCAGCAAGGAACGGTCCAAGCAGAAGCCAACAGTAGCACAGCAACTCACCATCATGGACGTAGGTTCGAAGACAGAGCGGCGCGTCAGCGAAGAGGAGGTGTACACCACGCCGCGGAAAGGAGGCATCATGAACAAACTGTATCCTCCTGGGCCGAGGCCAGGTGCTGGCGGACGAGTCAAGAACCATTGCAGGAAGTTCTGGTGGTGTGGTGAGTTATATTTATCTACTGTACTTCACACACATGCTGACTGCAAGCAGACTGTCTTGTCCTCATCATCCTCGTACTGGTCATTGTACTGCCTCTGATCTTCGTTGGCCTGCCAAAGAAAGCACAGAAGGAGATCAATGCCTCCACGCTTGAGGTCACAAATATGGAGGTTACGAACCCAACCCCCGACAGTGTGCACCTCAAGATCGACAACACCATCAGAAGCGACAGCAGCTACCACCCCAGGATCGAGGCCTTCCGTGCGGGGCTATCTCTCGAAGGCCAAGATCCCTTTATCTACATCAACATCCCTGAGGCAAAGTCTGAAGGAGAGACTCTCATCACTGTAGAGCAGGACGTGACCTTTGAATCTGCCGATCGCTTCACTGCGTAAGTGTAATAAAAGCTCATATTCTCAGCATCCCTCCTAAAACACAATAGGTACACCAAAGCCGTTATCTCCAGCGAAGAGCTTACAATCGACCTCAACGGCAAGACCACAATCCACATCTCGGGCCTCCCCGCCACAAAGGTTGACTACAACAAGAAAATCACCATGAAAGGTAAGTATCCCCCTTCCTCTCTAATATTTCATGAACCATCCCATCTAACTCCTATCATAGGCCTAAACCACCTCTCCGGCCTCAACATCTCCGACGTCAAAATCCTCTCCGGTCAGAAAGAAATCCTCTCTGACGGCTCGAACATGATAGGCACAGTCCACATCCCCAACCCGTCCGTCATGACGCTCGATCTCGGCAACATAACCATGAACCTCGGCGTCGCCGGCAAGGCAATCGGGTACAGCCTGCTCCCGAACCTCGTCCTCAAGCCGGGCGAGAACAATGTGCCGATGCAGGCGCGCGTTGACCAGGCCACGATCATATCCATGATCCTCAGCACTTACAAAAATGGAGTTCTGCCACTGGAAATCGTAGGAAATAGCAGTGTGAAGGGAGACAAGCATCTGAGCTACTACGAGGAGGCGATCAAGGCGAACACGATCAAGTTAGATTTGGATGCTGGGCCGGCGCTCAAGGCTATTGGCATCAATGTTACAGATCACTCATAAGTGCGGACGTGTCGATGAACTGCTGGAAAGTGGAGCGCTGAGTGGCTACGCAAGCATGGAGATAGCTGTGTGTGATACCTGACAGCTAGACTGATAGTTGCTAGCTTGCTGTGATACCGTAATTCATTGTTTTTTTAGTGGTGAAGCATTCTCGATGATGCCGTCTCATCGTATGTAACCACTGGGATACACCGGGCACCTCCCACATCACAACCTCGCCCCACCCCTATCATCCAGTCACGCAACATTCTTCTCCAACCACTCCTCCCACTGCTTCTCTGTCCAACTACTCGAGATATCGTTATTCACAACCCCATCAAACACTACCGTCGGCGTAACATGCACGCCCTGCAACCTATTCTGCTTCGTCTGCACCTTAACAAAATCCGTAACCCCATTCCCCGTATTCAACCCGCCATCCTTATCCGGCTTATCACTAATCTCCAGCAACCCATACACCTCGTTCTCACTCACGCCCACACTCCCCGCAATCTTCGCCAGTCGCTTATACGTATCGTTCCTTGTCTCATTCACCACGCTGGCATCAAAGAAGTCCTTCTGCTGCTCAAACAGCTTCTCGCTGAAGTCGTAGAACTTGTCTGGCTGGACTTTGAGTACGGCGAAGCCGGCTTCATGCACAAGGGTTGAGGAGGGGTGCCAGGGCTGGATTTGCTGCCGGAAGAGGGTAACGACACGATCTGAGTATTTCTCGAGGAGGGTCTTGCGTAGGGGCGTGCTGTAGATGGTTTTGAAGAGCTTGGCGCTGAAGGGGCAGACGTAGTCGAGGTCTTTACTGATGTTAGAATGTCTGATCGGCATGTAAGAGTTCAGCTTGGAGGCATACAGATCTCGATGGTGTGGACGGCTTTGGGCTGGATGGCGGTTGAAGCGAGCTTCTGGCCGGCGAACTTGGGTGCGAGAGCCATTGTTGACGTAGGTGAGAATTTGATCAAAGAGTGATGTGTTCAACTGAGCTTTCAATAGTTTACATACAGAAGAGAGGAGCGGAATGAGGTTCAGAAAGCACGCAAGATCACGCTGGAGGGGTAGCTTCGGAAGCTCTGGAAGCTCATGTATGACGTTGACGATCGACAGTGTCTGGAATCAAATATTCACTCGATCTTGATTGTATTCTACAGGAGTATTAGTATAATACCCAAGAGCTCAAAATACAAGTAGCCACGAAGACTTGAAGTGAGGGCAAATTGCATCGCGGGCAATGCTTGGGTCGAGCTGTCTAGAGCCCCACATCAGCTCCATCTCCCCGTACCGTGTCTGTGCGCGTGCCGACCGGATTCGCGTGCCGACCGCGGAAACACAAGCAGATACAAGCTGATCAAGAGACCAAGAACGCCAGCCAGCGGAAGCTGACTCCATAACAGGAGGACGAGCTTGTCAAGTATATAGAAGAGCTTACTGCTCGTTACCTACAAGGGAAATGATAGCAAGTTTTGCATCGTCAAAAGCCACAGAGCCTGTGAGGCATACAGCTCAGCCCGCTGCGCTACACTGACCAAAAAGGTACAGTGCTGCTGTAGATAGCAGGTACTGGGAGCTGAACAGTATATATCCGTGACAAAGCCATTCAGCAAGAGCTGGGTTACCCGCTTCATCAACAACCACTCGTTCCGTCTGATCTCTCAATACTCAACGGGTATGGACAGCAATCGCCACAACGCCAATTGGTACACCAGGTACAAGCTCTATTTTAACCTGTTGCAGTCCAAAATCACCCAATATGACGTTGACGCTGAGCACACATACAATATGGATGAAAAGGGCTTCATGATTGAAGACACCACTAGGACCAAACACGTTGTTGAAGTCGTACTTTAAGCAAAGCTCGTAAGCACTATTCTATTGGTTCTCGGGGATGAATACGGTAACAGGATTCCGATGGGGGTTGGTTGCAATGAGGAGTACAGATGTGATCTGTCTGTCTCGAAAGCAGGGGTGACAATAAGTAGTACAGAGTAGATTGTCTAGCTTGAAGGTCGGTTGAGATCCAAAGACATACTTGATTGACTAGGTTGAACACGAACCATAAGGGTTGTGTTCCTACTTGCTTATATACTGTCCACCAGATCCTGCTCGTTGACAAGCCGGTTTGGCCCTGGCCTATCCGGATGGAGTGTGCCTCGTTGATGAGCATTGCGCCATGCTCGTTGACGAGCGAACCCGTTAGGCGCTGGCCGGGCGGCCTTGTCGTGCTGCGCCTTCTCCCAGGTCTCCATGTTTGGTTGGTGGTTACTTATTTCCCCGTCGTCCTATTATGGGACGTAGGATCGTAACACACGTCTTCAGTAAACGCATGTGGGAGAAGAAGGAGGTTACAGCAACTACTCAAGATGGCAATCGTGCCTGGGTGACGCTTATAGTGTGTGTGTGTGTGTGTGGTGATGGATCGGCACTGCCCCCAGGCCTCTTATACGAGTCTACCGACAACACCGTACAGTCAAGCCGGGTGGAGGGAATCAAGCCAGGGGTACACTCTGTATTTGTCTCCTCGTCACCTTCAGGCTGGACAAACAACAAGGTAGCCCTCGCTTGGCTCAGACAGGTGTTTGATCGCTACACCAAGAAGAAAGCATGAAGAAAGTACCGTCTATCGATACTGGACAGCCATGAATCTCATGTGACAGTGGATTTTATCAACTACTGCGATCAGAACAAGGTACTCCTGGCCATACTTCCTCCTCATTCAACCCACACGCTCCAACCGCTCAATATGGTGATGTTCAAGCCTCTCTCAACAGCATACTCGAAGGAGCTCTGTGAGGTCACTGTAGACAGTGGACTGGATATGGGACGAAAGGGTATATTGTAGTAAGTAGATAGACGAATCCTTAAGGGGTCAGCCTTGGGGATTCAAGGTGGCTATATACTCTCGGTCTCTGTTGAAGTGAGTGGATTGTGTTGGTTGATCTTGGGAGCTATTGGCTAGAATCGATCGAGACTATATAGTAGAAGGGGATAGCAGTGAAGTGCAGCGGGCCGTTAGCAAACACTGCAACGGACCGCTAGCAAACAGATGGCGATCGGTGGATACCTTCACTCCCTCCGACAGTCTCGGAGGTTACCCTCTGAGGTCCCGGTGGTGGCCCGTATGGGTCCCGATATATAACCATAGGTCAGAACATCCGTGACAAGCTCACAACACACCTTCATCATGGCCAAGGACTGTCGGTTATCAAGAAAAGCGACTTCTTCCACCTGTTCTGGAAGGCGTGGATGAGTACGTTTACTCAGGGGCTGATACTCAGGTCCTTTGAGGCAACAGGTATAGCACCCCTGAGGCTCCAATAGCAACAAAAGCTCTTCTTCAGTCTACAGCGGCAAGGATTGGCTCAATACAGAGACTCTGTTGCGTAAAGTCGCCAAGGACAAAGGCAGTAGGGAGCTGAAAAAGATCAGGCGCTCACTCCACCACATCTCAGTTCAAAACCCAGTCCTCCACCACGAGATTGTAGGCCTCAAAGAGGCTCTTAAGACCCAGAAGAAGCACAAGAAGAAGAGCAAGCCTCTTGAGCTTCAGCATCACAAGGACTACCACGGTGGAGCTGAGTTTTACTCTCCTAGTAGAGTAGAGAAAGCACGCTCACGTGAGAGGGCAAAACAACAAGAGCAAAAGGCACTGAACTGAGGCACGCCAATAAGCTGTACAAGGAGAAGATCGTGCAGGAGAGGCGTGAGCAGAAGTTGAGGGAGAAAGAAGCGCGTGACCGACTGAAGGCTGAGAAGGCTAAGGAAGTCGCCAAACGCAAGGCCAAAAGAGAGCGTCAACAGAATAAGCGCAACACCAAAAAACCCTATACAATTATCCCAAAGAGGCAAGCGCAAGGCCTCAGAGGTTGTAGCACCCAGAAAGAAGCAGAAATGTGGTAGTGCAGCTGCCCGTAGTCGTGCTGCTGCCGCGCCTCGCTCCCCATCCCCTCTGGTAACATATAACAGCCGCGGCCGCCCAATCAGAGCGCCACAAAAATTTGAGTGAAAAGCCTGTTCATATAGGTCTATAGACTAATCCACCGAAAATTCTCATAATAATAACCATTGTGTGTGGCTCTACAGCCTCATTTTGTATGAGCGTCAAGGTGGTGATCGCGGTCGGCATGCGAATCCGGTCGACACGCGCACAGACACGGTACACCTCCGAGCCCTTGAACATGCAACACCACATCTTCCCGCCATAGCGGCTTAGGCCTTCCCAGACCTGTGTCACAATGTCCGGTCCCTGCTCCGTGGATGACGACCTCCTTGCTCGCCTGAATGCGCTCAAGAAGTCTAGCGTCAGCCTCGATCCTACATATAGCTCTTCCATAGCTTCCACACGGTCCCCGAAGCCTACAGATGACCTCGCCTCCCGGTTTGCACGCCTAGGCTCCGCATCACCTTCCAGCTCACCGCAGCCCTCACGAACAACATCCACAAACAATGTCATAGCTCCTGGAGCGCCGAGCTACCTGGAAGGTGTGGCACAGGGCGTGGGAGGTGGGACGGTCGAGTTCAATGAGGAGGACGAAAAGAGTCTGGAAGAACTGCTCGGGGAGCTGAATGGAGCTGTGGAGGACAGGAAAGAGTGGGACATGAGTCGAAAAGAGAAGGGTGATGTTGGGAAGCTGCTCAAGGACATGAGGACGATACTACCGGAATTGCAGAACGATCGGGCTCATGATGTTAGGCAGCAGAAGCAAGCCGGCCGCGAAGGCAAGGGTGAAGCGCTCACAGACTGGGAGAACGTCGAGTTTGATGTCGGCAGTGGCTCGGTGGGACCAAAGCGTGACGAAGAAGACGGTGATAGCGACGAGGACGGAGACGGCGGAAACAAAAAACAGACAGAGGAAGAGGAAGCAGACGACGTAATAGCACGCATCATGGCCGAACTCGAGATCAGCAAGAAATACGACCCTCCATCTCCACATCCACTGTACTCCGATCATGACGCAGAGCAATCGAACATGAATAAGTCAACCGAAGACAACGCAGACGACACCTCCCTATCCCTCCCTTCCGCACCGACCACCCTCAAAGAACCCACAGACTCCTTCCATGCAACCCAAGCTCTCGAAGATGCCTTCACCGCCCGTCTCGCCGCCCTGGCAGGCCCCAAAACAGACTCTCTCGGCCTTCCTTCTGCGCCCTCGTTCGCGCCCTCCGCAAAACCACCCAAAGTGCAGTCCAGCTTGCAGGAGAAACTTGACGAGGAAATCGATACCTGGTGCATCATCTGCCAGGACGATGCAACGCTGAAGTGTCTTAGCTGTGACGGCGACTTGTATTGTAGGAATTGCTGGATGGAGGGCCATAGAGGGGAGAGTGCGGGGCTCGAGGAGAGAAGGCACAGAGCGGTTGAGTTTGTCAAGGGTGGGGATAAGAAGAAGAATTTGGCTGCTGCGGGATGAAGATGGATACGGGGGAACACCAACAATGAAGCTCAGCGGGGATGCTTAGACAGACTCTCACCGTTGAGATTGCTTCTTCCCCCGAGCATGCACGACGCCGGCGTGGGTGCTGTCCCGGTCTTCCGTTGACCTTGGCGGTTGCGCCTGACTCTCAGGCTGGTATTCTGTGCATACCGCGTTGCCGCGTAAGGCGGATTTGCGGAGCACTGGCATGAAGAGCAAGTGCGTAGCCACCAAAGTCAAGGTGACGCCTGGCACAGCATCGGACGCAGCGACAGAGTACGGGCGAGGATGCAGGCTCCCTTGGCCATCGATATATCCGAGAAACACCACCATGTCCGACTCTCTTGGGACACCCGCTCCAGGAGACGATGTGTCGTACAACTCTCCGGCGTCAGGCCTGCGCAGACAGTCCTCTTGCCTCGCCCACTGCGTGCTGGGAGTAAGGCAGTCAAGTCGACAGGAATTGATAGCGGTCTCCAATCCGCTTCAGAAGCAAGTGCTGAGGGCGGTAATTGTGCCAACCCAACAGGAAACAATTGAGCAGCAGTAGGCAAGAATTTTTGCAAGCCTACGCGGTAATAGCTTTGAGTACGACATACACAGACACTATGATTAACGAGTACAATGCGTTGTTCTGTGGTATATGTTACGCCGTAAAAGTCAACGCCAACTTATGCATGCTAAAACCCTCTCTCACGCTCGCGCATCCTCCCAGGCCAACATGGCTGCCATAGCTCGTTCGTATGTCCACATGGTTACCGCACTCGCGGGTGCGGCCTTAAGCAAGCTGACCGTCAAGCCGCGGTACATCCCACGTCTACCCTCGTGCTTCCAAATCCGCAGCACTGTGCTCATCACACCTCTGTATTCCGGAATATTGCCGTGAACGTAGCGCGTCAACATTGGTCCTTGGACCTGCAGACGCTTCCGCGTAGTATCGAGAGGATAGACGGCGGTCTTCGACAAGACACTGGCGATCACGCCAGCAGCGGCGTCGGATGTGCCAAGCGGTAGCGGTATCGGCGACTCTGCGACTAGTGGCTTCAGTCCTTCGTAGCTTGCGAAGAACAGCCCCATGTAGGGCACGATCTGGCTCACACCAGCTCCAAGCCCGCGGAAGAAGCCCATGGGTCCCTCCTGCTGCGCGATCTGCTTTATCGACGCCGCAATAGAGCTGTATACGCGGTCATTGCCCTGGGCAGCGAAGCGCGTGCGCAGCAGATCCAGCGGGTAGGTAGCTGTCGTCGCAGCAGCACCCGCAGCAGCGCCGCTTATGAAGTTGACGGCGGAGCCAGGGAGGTGCAATGGCAGAGCTGGGTGCTCGAGGAGGGAGGATACGTATGTGTAGGCGGAGAATTGGATGCTGCCATACGCTAGGTACATCAGCTCAGCCGGGATGTTGCCCTTCCATAGCCCTGTCAGGCCTTCTTGTTGCAGGATCTGCTTAAGGGTGCCCAGGGTGCCTTTGTAGACAGGGCCATTGATCCCGCGGACGCTGAGAGGGTCGGAGAGCGAGTGGATCTGGAGTTGTAGGCGGATCTTGATGACATCGAGGGGAGCTATGACGAAGCTGCAGCACGTCAGTATATTCGTTGGACCTCGAGGGGGATATGTGAATGATCATACCGCGACACAAGGCCTGCGACAGCGCCAGCTACTACTACCTGTCGCTGAGAACCCTAGAATAAACTATTAGCTTACATCACACGAGCAGCTAGCCGGCGCGTACCTCATGCTTGAGCTGTGCTACTCCCTCAGACATGCGCCCGGCAGCTCAATCGCGGACAGTAGCGCACACGTGCCGCGAACACGCGATGCTACCTGCCGGCGTGGAATGAACTGTGGGAGTTTCCGGAGAAAAGGCACAATTTAGTAAGTGCGCGGTCGAGAAGGAACTCGCGCCTCGGTCGTCGGACGGAATTGTTGCGTTCGGCGTATGAAATATCACCATGGAGGTCCCCAGGTCCCTGCCAACATCGAGGTCCCGCGAGCATCATGTCATTGAACGTCACCACCAAGTTGCCTGCGCTGAGGACAGTGCGGCAAATTGCCCCGAGAAATCGATCAGCAACTTCGGTGCAGAGGCGGTGTTTTTCATTTAGGTCGTTCTGGAGCAAGTCTGCAAGTTCCGCAGAGCAGGCGGAATGGAGCCCCGCGATTGACGGCCCTCATCGGCGGAGCAAGCTGCAGGTCAGAGAGCAACAAGAGAAGGCACTCGCAGAGAAGGCAGCACAAGAATACCCAGTTCCGGAAGAATCAGAAGTTGGTCAGGTCGACGGTGCACCAGCTAAACATATTTCTGTGGAAATTGACGGAAATGCTCGAGTCTTTGATACCGCGTTCCTGCGGGACAGCTGCTCGTGCTTGCAGTGCAAAGACCCACACAGCAAGCAGAAAGTCTTTCAAACTTCAGACATTCCGGAAGATCTAGAAGGGAGCCATAAACTTGTCGAAGATGAGGAGAAGGGCCCTTCGATCGAAGTCCAGTGGAAGAATGACGTAAAGGGATATGGACCAGACCACCGCACACGGCACTCGATTGACTGGCTGCGAAGAGCAATTCACCAAGAGGTCGAGCTAAGAGGTGGCGTACGGCACGATGAACGAGTGCTTTGGGACAAGCAAAGAATCACAAGAGACAACAAGTGGCTCGACTACAACGACTACATGTCTCAGGACGAGGTTCTCTACGACGCCCTCACCCACCTGCACAAGTATGGCCTGCTCTTCATCAAGAACGTACCTGAGTCCGAAGAGTCAGTAGTAAAGCTCTCAGAGCGCATCGGTAACCTCAAGGACACGTTCTACGGCCGCACCTGGGACGTCCGCTCCAAAGCCAAAGCCGAGAACATCGCCTACACGCCCCAATTCCTCGGACTCCACATGGACCTCCTCTACACCTCCAACCCACCACACCTGCAGCTTCTCCACTCCCTTCGCGCTCGAACTCCTGGCGGCGAATCGTTCTTCAGCGACGCCTTCAACGCCGTCCACCAACTGCAGCGCTACTCAGCATTCCACTTCCGCACCCTCTGTACCTTCCCCGTAACATACCACTACCACCACCCAACCCACCACTACCACTTCACCCGGCCAATAATCGAGCTCTTTCCCTACCCAAAATACAGCGAGCCTACGAATCTCGCCATCCGTCGCGTAAACTGGTCACCACCTTTCCAAGCCCCCTTCGAAGCCCGCATCGGCAGCAACAACCAGACATCTTTCCGCTCATTCATCGCTGCGTCCCACGCGTATGAGAGGCTGCTCAGTGCGGAGGAGAATCTGTATGAGTACAGGCTGAATGAGGGCGAGTGTGTGATTTTTGATAATAGGAGGGTGCTCCATGCCAGGAAGGCGTTTGATGCGACGAAGGGGGAGAGGTGGCTCAAGGGCGCGTATGTGGATGATGATGTGTTCTTTAGCAAGTTGAGGGTGTTACAGGAGAGGTATGAGGGGAGTTGGAATGCGGAGGGGACGGTGAGGTATGCTGTCAAGGGAGAGTAGGGCGAAGAGGTTTTAGAGGGAGGGTTGCGTTGTATAGTGTTGGGGTGTTGTATGGGATGTGTACATAGCGTATGGGTGTGAAACAGTCTATACATACTACAGGCCCTTGACGGGTGTTTCTTTTGTTCACAAAGTCAGAGCGTTCGTACCGAATACTGAAGTGAGCGATAGTACCCACTTCGTACAAAGGAAGAGACGATGCGCAGCGAGATACTGTGTACATGGATATCGACTATTCGCATTAACTGAACAGGCGCGTTGAGTGCACGGGCACGGCATGGTTGCCGGGGCAACGGCGGGCTTCTTCGAGAACGAGTTTAGCATCGCAACACCAGGAAATCATGATATAGGTCAATTTACAGTTTCAAGAACCACCCCAAGGGTCTCATGTGGGGTCAATATCTCATTTGTATAAGGATTTGCTGGTAAGAAGATATGGTCGTCATCCAAGGCCTTGCCCCGCACGCTAATCGGATGCCCATAGCAAGCGGTCCTCGACGCGACCGTCATTTCGTATGTATCTCTTTCACGGCGCATGACAACCCCACGTTTTCGCCCCCCAACCGCAGGGGTGGCATCACGCGCTTACCTTCGCTTGCATACAGCCACAGCTGATCTCGGGATGCTGCATGCACCACACTGGTCAATCGCGCACAGTCTGTGCTGTAGATGCAGCATGTGCCCCGCGGCTGTGTGCTTACATACATCACCGTTGCTGTCTCTGCTGTCTCTGCTGCCTCCTCCATCCTGCCGGTATTGTCAGTGCCCCCGATGCACGTTACCTTTCCACGCTCCTTGAATGCCCATATGGAGCTAAAAACAACGTCACAGATCTATCTCCTGCTCTTGCCACGTATGATCTCCAAAGACCGCGTTTGCTATAAGGCTGAAGCGTTTTAGGGCTCAGCAAACGAATCCGAAAGCAACAACAACATAGCCGCTGGCCTGGACATATATGCCGTCATTAGCTGTGAAAACCCTTTACCCCGAGATAACGAATGGTTAGACGGAGTAATTTACCTATGCAAGATGGGGGCCTACAACCACGCAATCGAACATCAACTGGGGCCACCCCATGACAGAAACACCGGACCATCGGATCGACCGTGTGGTAGCACATTCCAACCGCCAGAAGGCCGTTTCGACACTTATACGGCCAGCGTCCCGAACATTACCGCTTTTGACCCCAGCGATAACCAGGGTAACGTTTCGTCATGTGTTTCAAATGTAAAGAACAACATCGCTTTTAGCATGCCCCAGGCTTCTGTAGCGGCCAAATCAAGCCTCGCAAACTGTGCTGCATCGCCACACCTGGCCCCAGCTAGATCTCTGACCGCTTCTCCGTCACGTGGAGATGCGGTCAGAGCCAGAGAGAAGGACGCCACAGACCAAAGTATCATGGCAGAACCTAGTCCTGGATCCTTCGAGTGGATGGTCCAAGCAGTCATTCAGTGTGTTGCAGACTCTGTTCCTTCGCATCACATGAGATTCCGATGTGAGACGTGGGGAACTCGAGCTGCAGTCCGACTACGATTGTTACCGTTGGGTAACCCTCTACCTTCAGATCGCTCTCAAGTAGTTGGGTCTCTTGAAACAGTCGTAGATGACGTGTTGGACGAGCTTGAAACCCGTTTGTACGACTGTCGGGACGACGAGACGGAGCTTGTCTGGCCAGCGAGCCCTCGAGAAGATATCCTTCTGGCAGTTCGCATATTTGCTTCTGGTAGGCCGTGGCTTCGACATATGGTACCTGAAGGCTTAAGTCTTGACTGGTCTCGAACTGTGGCCTCAAATTACGAGAAAATGAGCAACCAAACTTCCATTAGCGAGTGGGTGTCTTATTCAAATCCCCACCGGATCCCGGCGAATGCGCCCCAAGTTTCTGGAAACAATGGCGAAAATCTCGGAACCGAGCAAGACAACATCGACGCTTCAGAGCCTTTCGTAGGAATCGAGGATTGGCATCCTGATACTGTTGCGATCTCTAATCAAGCGCCTCAAACTCCAAGAAACGGTCAAGAGCGTTGGCCTTCCAACGTCGTCCCTAGTGAAGTTGACCTTGCTGTCACATCCACTCGCAATAGCCTTGCAGGTGCACAAACCTTTAGAACAGCGCATTCGAGCGTTGCGAGCTACGCCACAGCGCCGAGTGGGCCGCGTATCACACCAAGATTTCGAACAAGAATCTTCAATGGAACGAGGTCTATCGCCGGACATGCATCAGCAGATCCCCTTTCAGGGTTCAGTTCGCTGATCACTAGCGTCGTGCGCGAGGTTGCGGTGTGTAGCTCCCTCAGTACGGACGTTTCCGCTGAATCATTTCGAGCCACAATTTACAGCTGCCTCTATCCACTGAGTACTCGAAACGCTACCGTATCGTTCGAGACGCTGCTCGATGAAACAATGATAGAAGTCCAGAGGATGGTAATATTTCCCCATTCAGATGGCGATATTGCCCAACTAAGATCGAGATTGAGCGAACAAATCTACCTATATGCAATCGAACAGCCACATCTCCAGGACCTGATTGCGCAATTCCCTTTAAACATGCACGAGATATTCAGTAGTCAGTGGCTAGCCTACTTGAAAGCTCGGGGCATTATTCTCAGCCCAGCTGAAGAGCTTGACTGGTCTGGTCGTGGACAGCACGTAGAGTACCAGCCAGGGGAAGAGCCCATGATACCGCTCCAAGCGCACGGTAATTTGGGGCATGGTGCATCGGGCGTTGTCGATAAGGTTAGGTGTCGCAGAATCGACCTTGCACGTAAGACGATTCGATGTAACCGGAGGCTAACAAAAGAGGAGGCTGTCACTGAAGTTGAGCACCTACAACGTCTGCAGCACCGCCATATAGTCCGACTAGTTGGGACATACACACTAAAGAAAGATCTTACAATCTTGTTGTATCCGGCGGCCAAATGGAACCTGGAGGAGTATATGGATGAACTACTCGACAACAAGTCACAGATCTCGGAGAATGCTGTAAACACCCTATGCACCTTCGTTGCGTGCCTTTCGAGTGCAATTCGATACATGCACGGCAACAACGTAAAACACATGGACATTAAACCAAAGAATCTCCTGGTTCGTGACGTTGGATTCCGGCCAGACATATATGTCGCTGATTTTGGCATTGCACGAGCATACAAGTGCGCCAAAGACTCTTATACTGGTTCACCCACGCCTTTTACCAGACTATATGCTGCACCAGAGGTTGTAGTACAGGAACCTAGAGGGTTTCCGGCAGATATTTTCTCACTTGGTTGCGTGTTCATGGAGATATTTGCGACCATCATGACAACGTCAGTGCGCGACGAACGGGAAGAGCTTAGGAAAGCCTGCAACCAAACAGCAGACAGTACCTACCATGCAAACGTGGAAGCCGTGATCCAATGGCACAATAGAGCGAGCGATCCAAAAAAGCTGCGTGTTCGAGGTGGTCCAGGCGTCTACGAAGCTCAAAAGGTCATCATATGGGATCGGAGTCGCTGTTCTTCTATCGTTCCTTCTGCAATGCTGCACGAGATACCAGGGAAACGTCCTACAGCGGAGACGTTAAGATCGAGCACGGTGAAATGGAGCTGTGGGAAATGTGGTACTGGTCCTCAACCATTTGAAGCGGCTTGAATGGTCCTGCGTATTCAAAAGATGTCTTTTTTTTCGCTTCGAGCGCAGACTACAGGGCTGCGAACTCAAGCAAAACACCCTTGCACGACTATAACACGTCCCTGTGTCTCTTGCAGAATGAGAGTTGGATACTTGTTTGTTAGCGATACTTGTGCGACTAGCAGGTCGGAAACACCTCCACTCGGCTAGCGTGTCCGCCGCCTTAGGCCTACAAAGAAGTCCCAGTGAGAAAGTTTGTTGCATAGGTTAGTAGATCAATCCAACAAAACCTTTCGTGGTAACAGCTATTGTGTGTGGCTCTACAGCTTCATCTTTGGTTGACCTGTTGAAGTGGTTGGCATGCATGACGCGCACGGACACGGTAAACCCAGATTCTCGATTAGAAACAGTGCAGAGCCAAGTCTAAGGAACGTCGATAGTTCCATTCCGAGTTCTGATTACCGGAAGACATCTTATGCAAGTTTCGGAGCGCTTAAGGACATGAACGGACTTAGTGGTGGCAGAGAATCGCTGTTCGAGACCTTGAATGGACCCCACTAGCCCAATTCAGATCAGATGAAAGACCTCAAGCTTGTTCCTGTCATAGAGCTCGCCTTGCATTACGCCGTGAATGTATGCATCGCCAATAAACGTGAAAAGTCGAGGTTGTGGCTTACGATTATCACTAGCACTGTCATCGTCCACTCCAGCTGCTGCTGAGGTTTGCTTTTCCACGGCCCGTAGCACGTAGGGCACTTTTCCTCCACTAAGTAGCACCACTATGTCACCCTTCTGTACTTCTTTTGGAGCCCAGCCCATGTAACCATTCTCCGTGACTGTAAATTTTCTCAAGGCAGATGCCATGTCAACCGCACGCTGAAAGCCGTACAACTTGTTTTGGCCTGAGCTCTGCGGGGGCTCTGTGTCGACGGCGTCTTGCCAGGATTGGTAAAGCGGGAAGTTGGATCCTTGCACACTCCGAAACCCAGGGTTGTCTTCCTGTGAGTCGCTGTCCCAGATAAGCCCGCCGCATAGGGTATTCCAAAATGCTGTAGCTTTGTCTACATACATCATTTTGGTGTCGTTATCAACCTCTGCTAGTTTGCGACAAGCAACAAGCATCGGCTTCCAGTCGTCCAGATCCGCAACAATTGCAACGGTGTCTACATAGACGCCTGGACTTGTGGCTTCGCCTGGCACTGCGCTGGACAATTTCGCAAGACTATCATCGCTTGCATCGAAATGTCTGATCTCTTGCTCTCTGGTTCGAAGAATGCCGTGCCATCGATAGTCCACGTGGGTAGTCCAGTCTGGTACGAAAGTTGGAATGGTCAAGTCTTGCGTCCGCTCTCCATATACGAAGCTTAGCATGTTAAGGGACTTGTTCGAAGCGACGATCGCTAGCGCTAAGCCCGTGTACACTTCCCTAGGTGAGCAGGTATAGTCAGGTCGAACTAGATCACGAACGCTTCTATCCAGAAGACCGAGGATGCCATATATCTTATCCAAGGGGTTGAAGCATTTTCGGTGCCTGAAGTCAGATATAACTCTTAGATGGTGTGGATACCTAGTCCGACGGTAGACCGAGAGCAAGTCTAGCCTCTGAATGCACTCGATGACGCTCACTGCTCCATCTGCAGGCTTCTGGAGGTCCTCAAATCCTCGGCAGCAGACGGCTCGATGACCCCAGTAGTTGTCCAAGCAACTCTTGACCGTTTTGTTTGAGATAAGGCGGTCTCCATATCGGAAATAGACTTTCCGTGCGACACAGTACTCCTGTACAGTCCATACACGGTGCCACCATGGTACGGAAAAGAACCTCGCAAGGTATCCTTGCATGAGCTGAGAGCTTGCATCTAGCCCATGAGATTTGACATGCGAAGAGTGAGACGGGTCCCAGTGTACTGTCTCGTCTTGGGCACCGGCTTCGATAAAGTCGATTACGGCGTCGCAACCCTCTTCGTGTTCGCCGAGACTGACGAGAACATACGCGGCACACCGAAAGATAGTCCGCATCAGAGCGACTTGACGGCTGCGCTCGTGTATGTCTGCTTGGTTGATACACAATGCATCGACCCAAATCCATACATCTTCGTCTCTTTTGCTCAGATAAACGAGTGCGTTGTACAGGTTTTCGGTCGTTTGAAAGGTGCTTCCATCCAAGACAATTGCAGAGACCCTTGTAGCATCGCCCCAGACGTATGAGAGCGCTGTGTAGCGAGGCGCTGTCTTTATGGGCGTATGGCTAAGACTGCATCGAATCATATCGTCCTCCAAACCATTGCGTCCTCCTTTGCTGTGAAGTAGAAGCAGTCGTATTTCTTTATTGGTTTCGTTGAGCGACGAGTAGGAGTGGTTTGATTGACGTTCTGCCGTACGAGGGGTGCCCCACGAAGTGTCACAAGATCCGCTCATGACGTGATTTCACCAGAGTGGACTCTATAATAACGAGCTTCGAGGCGGTGTATGAAGAAAATAAAGAGCTACAATCATGCTGAGGTGAAGTGAGGAGATTTGTGCCTAGCTGACCAAGCCGCGTTAGCGTAGAGCGGCTGAACAATCTTGGCTGAGCCACAACAGTCTCTCACACAAGCCGTAATGTTGCAAGGCTAGTGTAACTGCGTAGACACCTCGTTGCCTTAGTCTGCTGTCTTGCATAACTGTCTATGTTTGCGAGCGATGTCAATGTCCCGTTCTTGCCCTCGAGACTCACGCTGGTCGACTTCGCAATATCATACATAGCCTTTTCGCTGGCTAGATGAGCATTCCCTTCGATCCTGTGGTCCTCTCGCAAAACAAGGTCGCCAACACAGAGCTTTTCCACAGCCTTTCGCGGTCTACTCCACGGTTTTCAATGATCACAAGCACAAGGGGGACCCTGCTAAGACTCATCATAACGGCCGGAAAGGAGACCCATCTCCAATCAACCCTGATGCACGTCGTTGCAGTCCACATGTCTCCCTTCAGATCTTTATCTGGACCTTCTGTATTATAAGTGCAAATGATCCTGGTCATGGCGGAGGTAACATTGCGCATGACATTATCCATCCTTTGTTTGTTGATCGAGCGTACCGTTGTTGTACCATTGCAGCAGATAGACTGGCCCTTTCCCGCGCGGTGTCCCGAATTAAGTCCTGTCGATGCTGAACGCATCCCTGAAGGTGGTGGCGTTTTGATTCCACTACAGTTTCCTTTGGTCATATAATTCGGTGGAGTATGTGAAGATGCCACCGGTAGGCGATCTACTGAAACTTCAAACGCAATCACTGGGATAGTGTCTGGTCGTGGTGACATTGTGTTCGTCGATGTCGATGATCTCCTTAACATACGGATCTGGACCATTGGTCTTACGGCAGTCTTCCCAGACACCATTTCGCAATGTGCGTCCGTGATCAATCTGTGTGAGTCTGCCATATACTGTCGCAAGACTTGACATCTTGTGAGGATTTGGGTGCTCTCAATCGAAGTCTCGTTCATGACCGAGTTAGTGATATTGACAGCATATGTGTTGACTTGAGGCAGTATTGAGCAGTTCACGGCCTGCCATTTGCTGCTGTTTGTACCCAAGTGATAGAGGACGTAGACGGTTACCAGCGAATCTGAGCCGTTGTTGGGAGCAATCTCAGCACCCGTAGCAATCACGATGTTGGAGTCGTTGCACTTGGGGCACGCTTCCATATGGTTACCATTGAAAGTGGGAATCGAAATCACCGTCGAATTTTTGGTTGTTGGCTTTCGCGGATCTCTGTAGTCATGTTTTCGCACGTGTAGCCTACAGCTACAGTCGAGGATGAGATCCCATTGTCCGATGGGAAGGTGCAATTCCCACTGACACAGCCATGTAATACTGCATTTGTGTGGTCCGGAATTGGCTATACTAGATCAGAATTGATAGCAACGAGCATGGACGGGTAGGCATTGTAGTAGGAGAATCCACTGCCCCAGTATCCGGCCTTGGCATAGTTGGTTTTCGATATGCGTACCGTCGCAGCTGGGATTTGTTTCAAGCAATCTTGAAACACAACAAGCTGCTAGAGGAAGAATTCGGTCAGTGCCGCAAGAATTGAGACCACGGCACCCAAAACGACTATAAATCTGACATCATTAGCAATGTTGTCAAAAAAAAGGGGGGGGGGGGAGCATGAGCCGCACCTACGATAGCCCTTCGGGTTTAGTGTTAAATAACAATGTGAATGCTCCCCATGCGCCACGGCTTGCCGCGTCGAACCGTTCCATGTCATTCAACTTGCGTACCTTACGGAACCATTGCCACTTAGACTGACTTATGCCTGCACACATCAGCTAGTGTTTGGATGGAATGAAGCTACCAACGCACCTCCTGCTAAGACCAACCCAATACCAGCCCCCATAAGCAAGGAGAAGAGAGAGATAATGGAGTTGATAGTGATCAGTTGTGGCCATTCAGGAAGAGGCTTGTGTTGATGAGCCAAGAGTGTTGTGACGAGACCAAAAAGCGACAGTACTGCGAATGCGTAACTGTAGGTTTCCGCTGTCTATCGTTTGTGTCAGCTATCTGGGATGCTCAGGCACCCTACGTTTCAGGACTGCTTATGTAATAGAAGGATATACATTCACTCACTTTGATAGATCTATCAATCAACCAACTACTTCCCCAATTTCCTCTCATATTGCCGACACTTTGCCAGTTGTTATGAGCTGCAAACGTTCGTGGTTGTGTCCCATATCCAGCTTGCCCAGGAGTCCAGTCGAAAGGCAAGATGATGTCGCTTTCGAGAGGGGTTGTTTCCAAAAGAATCATTGGCGTAATTAGACGGAGGTTCCGAGGTACTGACCTCTAGCGAAACTCTGTAGAAAGAGGAATCATCTTTAGCCTCGAGGATCGTCTCGGGGCTCGCATTGAGCAGTGAGCGCTCCGAGATATCGTACTCCTCCATGGTGATGAGACGGGGACAGTGCCTACAACATCGCGGGGAGCCATGATGCATACAAGGAAGAAAAGAAGCCTCTTGCACAGCACCTCACGGCGCGCAGCCGCAGGTTTGTTGAGTTTGTGTCCTTTGCGGTCCAGACTGGGTGTGAGGAAAGAGGAGTTCAGCTGAGTGCTCATGTTGGTGAGCTCCGCGGGACGCCTGACATGCAGCTTGCGATGGCAAATGCGTTCTTGCGTGTCGCATACGAGCGATGGAATGTGAGTGCGATCCTAATTCGAGCCGTGTCGCAAGACGGACGGTGATGGGGCTGTGCGTCGAGAGGCACAAGGAACGCAGCTCTGCTCGCAACGTCATCACAACAACACCCTCAATGCCCATCAGTCCGGCCCTCGACAACAACGTGCTGCAAAATCTTCTCGATCTGCACTAAATATTTTGGAGTATGTTTCCATGTAGAAAATTGGCATTGAACTTCAGATGGACTTCCATGAGGTCGTGTGGCATCAATGTGCGATCAGCCGCAGCGCCCCGCGGTTCTTTCCTTCGAGGCTCACACTTGTGAACTTAGCAATTGCCTTCATCTCCGCCTTCCCAATCGGTTTGTTTTACACCTCAGCCTTGCAGAACAGTGCGGCGAGAATTCAATCAGGATGGCGGGGAAGGTGATCCACGGCCATCGTATGTACATACAAGTCGTGTTGATCCATACATCTCCTTTATCATAGCCAGACAAGCCCTCTGCGCCATTCGTTCGGATCACGGCCGTCATTGACGTTGCTAGGCTCTTCATCTGCTGATTCAGAGTATCCAGCGTGACATTGCCATCATACCACAGTTGGTGTAGGTGGACCGGTCTGCTCGCGAGCCTCGTCGTCGTTAGGATCAAGCAGAGTACGAGTCGACATCGTAACTGTGCCGTAGCGAAAGCGAAAGTATAGTAGGGACGTAGATTACACGGGCAGTGTGAACTGGACTTCAGGAACTAGAAACGAGGAGACGCCTCGGAAACAGGATGAAAAGATGACAAGGCTGAGCGACCTAAGTTTATGATCCGGTGACTGCATCGTAAGTTCTCCCGAGATGGCAGATCATAAGTCAGACACAGCTGCAGCCCCTTGCGAACACATATTATTTGTGTAGTGGGGGCGGCTCCTTTACAAGGGCTGACCAGCCAACTCGTGGAGCTACGATTCGATGATGCGATGTGCCACGTTCAGAAGGCATGCTGTGTATCCTACACTGAGTGGCAAGGTTTGTCAGCGGAAGCGTGCTGTGTGATGTCGCAATGAGTGGATCGCAGGTGTTTGACTGTATCGCTGCCTAAATCGAAGCGTGGTGAGGTGACAAACGAAGGTACGATTTTTGTTGCAGTGCAAAGCGGGTATGAAACATATTGTTCGGAGTGCGCACTTTCGAAGCAGCAAGGCTGGAAGAGGCGGAAAGAACGCGGCTCTGCACGCTAAGTCACACAACAACCGCCCGAATCATGGGCTCGTAATGAGGCACTGTGGATGCTTTCCCATCCTTATTAGCTGTGCTTGTACTCCGTTGAGATCAATGGCACTTATTCAATTGAAGGTTTCAGGAGCTCCTGCGGCATCAATGTGCGACCAACCTCAACGTCCCTCCGCTCTTCCCTTCGAGACTCATGCTTGTTGATTTAGCGGCCTCTCATCTGCACTTTCCCTATAGGTTTGTTCTCTTGCATATCAACCTCACAGAACAGAGTTGCAAGATTCGAACTCTTTTAAAGTCTCACTGTCAGATCCCCAGTTGTCAAATACAACAGGTACTGGGAAAACTCCCGTCAACCCGATTATGGCTACCGGAAACAAGATCCACTCCCATCGCACGTAGACACACGTGGCCATCGACCATGTGTCTCCTTTGGTGTGTCCAGTCAATCCGTCTTCGCCATGCGTCCGTACGAAGACCGGCATTGCCTTGGTCGTAATTTTGAAGGCTTCGTCAGTAGAGTCGAATGATATCCTGCCCACCAGAAGGTCCATATTGTATGGATCGTGCCGTTCTTCAGCTCTGAACAGTGCTCGTAATTTCATAGACCCAGTGGAGATGACTGGTGTCTGCGCAAGTACCTCTTGATTGTTAAAAGTAAGGCCGAGCTGACGTTCCATTACTCTCGTGGCGCCTCTCCCCATTGCCCATATACAATCTGGAGGGTAACACCAAAAGATACTGATCCTGTTCCGGAACCCCCTCGCATCGATAAAGTCGTTCGTAGTCTTCCAAAGTCTGATCCAATCAGGTGGGGGGTCTTTGGGTCCTGTACAAAGTTCTTTAACCCCATTTCGTAAAGTGTCGTTTGTGACCATCCTATACGAATAGAACCAGGTCGCATTATCTTCTTCTAGAGTCGTCGCGCCCTCAATCTCACCCGAGTAACTCACTTGAAGTGGGATGCTATCGACCAGGGTTTCTGTCGTAAGGGGATTCGTGATGTTGACGCTGTAAGTGTTTACTGATGAGTAAAGCGTGCAATTGACAGCTGAAAATATGGTAGATTGCACACTTGGCTCGAAAAGTAAGGTGATGAAAATAAGCATGCGCCAACACCCAAATCTTGACAAAACACTACTATCATACCCTTGGGCCAGGTCTCATTCACACAAAATGTCCCTATCCTCCCTCCTCAACCGGCTCCCTCCTCGCAATCCCCATGCTATCCTCCGGGTCCACATCTCTGAACCTAATCTTCCTCTCTTTGGCCTGGACAACCCTCGCAGCGACCTACTCGTCCCTCCAGTTGGAACTCTTTGGCACGTTTGCGCTGCGCTTAGCCCTCTACATCCTACCCTCCCTAATCTTCCTCGCCTTCGACATCAGCGTACCAAGCTTAGCCGTCGAATTCAAAGCGCAAGGCAAATGGGGGATCGCTACGAACCAGCACGGCGGGAAGAAGAGGCTTAGACGGGTGGTGGCGTGGAGTGTAGTGAATGTGGTCGGGTGTGTGGTGTTGCAGGCTGCGACTGAGTTTCTGGCGACGGATGTGCTGCGGCGGTTAAAGAGTTTGTTGTTGATTAAGGGGAGTCGGTGGGGGTTGAATGGTTTGCCGAATCCGTGGACGATGGTTAAGCATGCGCTTATTGGGGGTTTGGTGCGGAACATAAGTGATGAAAATGTATGTGGGTTTGGGTGAGCGGATGCTAACATCGTGCAGGTGCTGCAATACTACATTCACACCAACCTACTGCACTCGCCGAGTGGTGGCAGGCTGGCAGACTGGGATGCGGGTTGGCATCATAGCATCTAGGTGCCGTACTCGTTTGTTGCCAATTACGACTACCTAGTCTGCTATGCTCTGCACTTGTGGCTGCTATTGTACCTCCCTGCTATTGCGCTGCGCATGCATATTCTGACCTACCTTCTCCTGGTCGCCTTCTTCAGTCTTGAAGAGACATTCGTATACTCGGCTTTCATCGAGGCATGAGGGTCTGCCACCTTGAAATCGAGTGTGTGGCTCGCTGCAGGGTTTATAGGATACGAATAAATGGACGTAAAGATTGAGCTCATCTTACGGTAACGCGGATTCGGTTTGGACTGTGTTTGATCTTCGTGTTGTGCCTGGAGGATCGTCGAACAAAGGTCGTTGCAAGGTCCTTGGGCTTGCGGGTGGACCTTCACGTGCAAAAACGGCAAGAACAAGTGGCCGCGCCAATGACGCGCGCGGCCACAAACATTGATCCCTGTAGCGCGATCCAGTCCGGCAGGTCCCTTAGAAGTTTGACGTCCGCGATGGCTGCGTAGTTCCATCTGCCATTCCACACCGCAAGAGTTGGTTCTGTTGCAAGATTCCCCGCATCTGCATGGCCTGAAGTCGCACTTATATATGTTTCTCCGTCCCCGCCACACTTATGTCGCTTCCTCTCCCCGTTACCAGCCCCAAGATGCCGCCGAGCAAAGGTACCGCCTCCCTTACGCGCGTTCGCTCGCCAACGGAATTGTTTGCTAACAATCGCAGACGCTGCAAAGCACGAATGCGTTTCTGAGGATGCGCTCCAGCATCTGAAGACGTACAAATACTCGAGCGTCGACAAATCCTTCATCTCCCGCTACATCCTTAAACACTACGTACGACCCCAACAACGACGACTGCGATTGCACACGATCTGACATAGTACAGTGGAATGGCTTCGTGGAGCTGCTCCCCATGTGGATTGCGCCCAACTTGGTCACGTTACTAGGCTTCTTCTTCATCCTTGGGAACGTTGCGTTGCTAGAATTATACGTGCCGGATCTGGTCGGACCGGTCAGTCCGCAACAAAATGTCTTGCGATGTGCAGCAGGCTCATGAGTGATACAGGCACCATCATGGGTATACTACAGTTTCGCGTTCGGTATGTGGATGTACTCCACCATGGACAACGTCGACGGCAAGCAAGCGCGCCGCACCGGAACCTCGAGCCCGCTTGGAGAGCTCTTCGAGTACGTGACCTGAAGCCCGATGCGTCAACCCCCAGACTAACCTCGACGCAGCCATGGGATAGACTCTCTCAACTGCACACTCGCTAGTCTCTTGGAGACTGCAGCTGTTGGATATGGCTCAACCAAGATTGGCGCCTTCACTGCTCTTGTGCCGGTACTGCCTATGTTCCTGTCCACTTGGGAGACTTACCATACACATACGCTGTATCTTGGATATTTCAACGGTCCTACAGGTTTGTCATTTTACAGTCCTCTTGCGCGCAGATACTGACGCCTTGCAGAGGGATTGATCCTCGCGTGCACCTTCATCTGCATGTCCGGCTACTTTGGTCCTGAGATCTGGTCGACTCCTCTGGCACGCTACTTCCCATCCTACAAGGCAGAGATCGGCAATGTCACTCTAAAGGAGCTGTGGATTCCTATCATTTTGTTCGCGTTCTTCGTTGCCCACGTGCCAGCCTGTCTGGTGAACGTTGCGAAAGCACGCCGTTCCAGGAACCAGCCTTTCCTCCCGACTCTCTACGAGTGGACACCCTTGATTATTTTCACGGCATGCACTATGGCATGGCTTGGATCCCCATACTCGCACTTGCTCGAAGATAACCACCTGGTATTGTACTGTCTGACGATGTCCTTGGTCTTTGGGCGCATGACGACTAAGATCATCTTGGCCCATCTTACTCACCAACCGTTCCCATACTGGACGATCATGCTCGCACCCATGATTGGAGGCGCTTTGCTCGTCAACCACCCATACTTCACCATTCCTGGCACGACCTTCGGACCCTTGTCTGCGAGAACCGAGTTGTGGTACCTCCGCGCGTACTTCGTCTTTGCCGCTGTCGTGTACGGCCGCTGGGCTCATCTCGTTATTACAAGCATCTGCGACTACCTGGGCATCAACTGCTTGACCATCCCCAAGCAGACAAGAGAGAAGAATGCCAAAATCAACGGCGTTGCCAATGGTACCTACCCCGAGAAAGGTCGTACAGATTAAGCTCGGCCAATATGAAGCACTCTGAACGCAACAGCGCTCATCGCTTCTTCGAACATCGACTAGACATGACGGCGTAACCCGCCATTTCCTGCATGCATGCCTCGGCGCAATTTGGGTTCACGATAGACATTCACGCAACATACCACTTCGACACGGCTTTTGACCTATAATGATTTTTGCATTTCTGGATACATCCTATTTTTACATAATGTTTGGAGGAGAGATGCAGACTCCAACACCTGCGTTTGAGCCTGACACTAGTTGTAATATTGCATAGCATGATCGGAGGTACCTTTGTACAGTGGTATATTTTTACAGTACATATCGCACACCAGGTCAGACTCACATAGGACGTTAAACCAATCGATCAACCGTACACTAGCGGTGTCGGCGTTTGGAACATGTGCATGGAGCACAGCCTACGAAAGAGCCGAATCTGTAACAGCTGCAGGGCTCAGCCCCCGCACCCACCAATAAGAGCCTAGCTCCTGCACCTTTGCGCTCAATCGGTTCCAGATTCCTGGCTTTTGTTTCTAACTTTGTTGTGAATGGTTCACGCACCGCATCGCAGATCTTATCTTACAACAGGGAGGGATGCCTCGAAAGCGGTCCGGCGGAGTGACGCCCGCTCGCGACACAGCCCTGTTTGAGGTTCAAACTGAGGCTGACATGTTGGCGCAGGACCCGTCTGCGCAGCTCCGGCTCTTGGGTGTAGGAGCGGGCTGAGACTCACAACCTACACATAAAGCCTAACGAGCAAACATCGGCTGCGATCGGTTTCTGCGCCGTTCATGTACTGTCCACAACCTGCTCGAAGATCCAACAATCAAACACCAGCTACAATAAAGCTCCTCGCTGCGCACCAGCTCGTTGTTGCTTGAACATCAACCATGGGCTGGAGATTACTTGACTGTGCGGAGTCTACAGTCAACTGTACATTGAAGAGGACGAGTGTTCCCGCAGATCCAGATGTTGCTGGTATAGGCGTACGGACCTCTAGCTGAATCTAATGATTCTTGTTGACAACCTTCAGATCATTGTCGGTTTCCTATCCACAACATGTCTTGCGTTTCTGATTGCATTTACGGTCCTCTTTTTGGATCGATTTAACGACATCATCAACTTCTACAGGAAAACTTTCACGAACAACAAGACACCATACGAACAGAATCACGATGAAAAAGACCGCCAAAAGTACTGGCGCTCAGTAGTATTCTGGTCGCGCGTTCTCAGCAAGAATCTCCTTGCCTTTTCGGACACTCAGCTTCTCACCGGACTTGCTATTCAGTTTACTGCAATGATAAAACATTGCTCTATGTCTGTCTATCATTTCAGAATCGTTACTGACCTTGCTTTTCTCACCACAGTGACACACCTTCTCACCGTTGTGGCCCTACGGGACTATTTTGTCAGAAACAAATGGATCAACCTTCCGCGCATTTTCTTCATGCTGGCCAATCTCGCCTTATTGGGATACACGTCCTTCATCTCATATTCCTACGACATCGTCGATCTACATCTCTCTGACTCCCTGGCCTGCTTCTTCAAGGGCGACCGACCAGAATTCAAGGCAGCTTTTGGCGGCAAGTGGGCAGCGCTGCTAATTGGCGCGATTGGAGGGCATGTAGCCGTGATAGCAGCCATGTACTGGCTCCAGGACCCTAAAGAGAGTAACAAGAAAGGAACATGGTGGTGGTGGATCTGGTACGGTGGCGCTGTCTTCCGCACTTGGATCATTGCACCAGCCTACTCTATTTACGGTATCTACATGGCTGCCGACGGGCTCCAATACACTCAAGCTCTCGGTAACCCTCCAGAAGGCGTTTTGATTGAAGGGGATGAGAGTGCTTGGAATTTTGGCCAGTTTCTTCCGGTGCTGCTGCTCGCTCTACCGCTCTTCGCTGGGTGGGAGAGCTTCTGGGAGGAGAAGGACGAAGATCGCGAGACTCGATTCGGAGACCACCACGCAAGAAAATCGCGAAACACGCTGGGCATGAACTCCTTTGAGATGGCCCACCAGCAGCACAAAGCGAAATACCGCCACTCCAGAGATCCTTCGGTTGAAGAACATCACATCGAGAGCAACGGTCCAAGCCCTGCGAACACGCCGCGCATCAGCCCACAAGCTTCACCGCGTCTTCGCTCCACCTCTGAAGGTATCTCGACTTTGCATCATTCGCTCGGCTCCGACGTGCTGTTATCGATACCGTTGCCGGCAGCCAGTCCTGGCCTTGGACTCAATTTTAGTAGACCAACTCCACCAAGAACGCCTTCCAGGAGTCCATCGAGGCCTCATGATAGTACGACCTGAGCAGGCTGCGTCACTCCCGTCATGTATAGTCTGTTCATATCACAGCAGTCCGCGCCTTCCAATCTCGCCACGCAGCGTACATCAGCACCACGAACGCCTGACCCTCAGGGTTTGAACCGCTCAACGGTGTTCTTTGGCTTTCCCTGAGAGGATTGACGACGGGCGCAGCGATACCGGTCTCCACATCAATGCATCGACCTACTGTGTCCATCCTCAACAAAGCCCAATTTGTGTACTTGGTTCCGAAGATACCAGGCTCTAGTACAGCCATCCTGAACACAGTAGCAGTCAGCAGCGCCGTACCAGCTACTTCGCCCCACCACGTCTCGTCATCCACATAGTTGCGCAGAAGTCCCGAGTTATCCGTGTCGTGATCCATCGCACCACAAATAATATCTTCAACCAGCTTCACCAAGAAGCTCTGCTCCTCGTGCATCTGCCCCACAAACCTCGAGCCACGCACCGTAGCGAGCACTCTCGCCATCCCCGCAGCAGCCCACCCATTCGACGTATTCCACAACCCCTTGTCGTCTTCTTCACGCTCTCCAGGTGCACTGTCACCAACGTTCACGATATGCTTCCACAACCCCTTCTCCGTGCGCAACATCTTGTGATACAAACGACACTGTCGCACGGCTTCTCGCACCATCCCCTCGTCGTCTGTGTACATGCCATAGTAAGCAAGGAAGGGCGGCACCATGTAGATGAAATCTGCCCATGCTGATGCGATGGCTTCGCGGTGAGAGATAGCGCCGTTGGGCAGGCGGGGGACGCTAGTTAGGAGGTGATTGATTTGGCGTTGTGCGGCTGGGAGATAGGTGGAATTGGGATCGCTGAGGCTGAGGAAGAGCGCAGGGATGCCGAGGGAGGCTGGGTCGGCTGATGAGCCTGAAGGTGAATGTTAGATGAAATATAGATTCTTGTTAGAAGGAAATCATATGCTACCGTTGCCCTTGCAGAGTGTGGTGCTATCTGTTCGAATGAATGGTTTGATGTACTTCAGCACTTTGACGTCTCCATTGGAATCAGATAAGTGCTTTTTATGTTGTGATACGGGAGTGTGGAAGACGGTGAGTGAAGGGTTGTGGTATTCTAGCAGGGCTTCGAAGACAACGCCAAACTCCCAGCTGTGCGATGCTGTAGCTTGCGCTTGGGACAGGACTTTGTCGATTAGTGAAGTTGATACTGGCTCAGATATAGCTGGCTGAGACATCGTAATTCAGTTCATCGATGATGGCTTCTTGAGAACAACATCCAATGCCAAGCCTGTTTTGCTCGAAGGACATGTTGAGTTGATGGCAGCACCTTGGTGGGTATTGTTCAGACACCGGCTCCGGTTGTGTTATGACGTCTGACATGTGCATACATGCGTGCTTCTTGGCTTGCCGCGGACCCCGAACCTGGGCTCAGTCGGACCAAGACTCTTGTACGCGGAGTAATATTTCTCGGCGTATACAACCATTCCGCGCTGGACGCCGTAAGCGTTTCGCGTTTACTCAGTTGGGCGGTAACTGTAGATACCGTATCTCCAGCTAGTGGAGACCTTACTGATAAGCCAAGATAGGCTTGTGAGCTTGATCACGTCTTTACAGATACTTCATACCAATCAGAGTCCCCGTAAAAATCCTTCGAAGTGCTTCCTTTCGATCTTGTTGTTTCGTTCCCATGACCGGCTGCTTCCGGCTGCCGAGGAGCATCGCCGTTCCCCGCGTTCCCCAGGACCCATGAACACCTCAGAATTTGAACCCGTATCCCGCTATATGGATTGTGGACGACTTGTCGAAGGCTAGCAGGCTTCTCGAACGACATTTCCAACCATGTGGGTTGAGCCTCAAAGTCCCACACCGCGAAAAACCGAGCTTTGGACCCTCCGACATCGCGCACGGGTCAGGTCGCGCTTCGAGACCAGTATTCGCAAGCGTTTACTGCTCGCATAAACTCGGCCTTAGAAATCCACATGAACATCGCGCCATCAGGCATCTTCTCCCGCAATATCTGGGGTTGTACGTAACAATAATTGGCTGCAGTCTGAGGAATCTAAGCGCATGGTTGTAGCACCCCTGTCATGGTAACAATAGAAGCGACCTGCCTTTACCGATTCCAGGTGTGGGATGCGTGGTAGCCAAGATGCTGGCATATCAGCGTCTGATGCGCCGGGCTACCTGCTTGAAAATCTCTGCTTGAGCACCCTGGCGCAAGGAACGCGACGAGGGAAGATCATATAAGAGTATCCAGGTCGCCGCTGCCCGCGACAGAGTGCAGACTGGACTGGGAACGCCGATTAACCTCCCATCAGACTCTCACCTTACCTTGGCAGAGCTACACAGATTTGCCACAGTCTATCTTCAAGATGCCGAACCACCATGTTGTCGGTGCTGGAGAGGCTGAGAAGGGCTACGAAGCAACGCAATATGGTTACGACAAGCAGACAATTACCACTGAGGAGCCATTTGTGCACGGCGCTGCTACAGTTGGCGAAGCTACTGGGCGAGGAGGAGACACACATCGTGGACTGAAGAGTCGACACATCCAGTTCTTGTACGTTGTTTTTCTGTTGAACATTATCAGGTCAGTCACTAACGGCATGCAGAGCCCTTGGTGGTGCTATTGGAACAGGTCTCTTCGTTGGATCCGGTGCCATCCTTGCGTTGGTCGGCCCCGCGCCGCTGTTCATGGCTTACCTAGCCATGATGATCGTCGTCTGGAATGTCATGAACAACTTGGCTGAAATCGTCACTTACTTGCCTATGAAGGGTATCACCATCCCCTACTTTGTCAAGCGCTTTGTCGACCCTTCCCTCGCATTTGCAGTGGGATGGAACTACTGGTACGCGTACGCCATTCTTGTTGCCGCTGAAGCCACTGCTGGAGCCATCCTTTTGGATTACTGGGAGACGCCTGTTCACAGCGCCGTCTGGATCACTATCTTCCTCGTGATCATCTTGTTCCTGAACATCGTCGCAGTTGGTATTTTCGGTGAAGCAGAATTCTGGTTTGCTTCTATCAAGTTCATCACAATCATGGGTCTGATCATTGTCGGTTTCACGATCATGCTGGGTGGAAGCCCTAATAGCCAGGGCCGTCTGGGCTTCAGGTACTGGAATGAACCTGGGGCCTTCAAACCGTATCTCACCGGAGGAGGTGGTGGCAGATTTCTGGCATTTTGGACTGCGTTTGTCCGAGCCGGTTTCGCCTTCATCACTTCTCCGGAACTCATTGCGCTCAGTGCTGGTGAGACGATCGAACCTCGACGCAACATCCCCAAGGCTGCTGGTCGTTTCGTCTGGCGACTTGCAATCTTCTACGGGTTCGGATCCTTCATCATCGGTGTTATTGTTCCCTCGGACGATCCCCAACTCCTTAGCCCGAGCTCAAACGCTTCCGCGTCGCCTTTCGTCATTGGTATCCAGAGGGCTGGAATTGGTGGCTTGAACCATGCCATCAACGCAGCAGTGTTGACATCCGCCTGGTCGGCCGGTAACGCTTTCCTTTTCTCCGGATCGCGTGTGTTATACGGCATGGCACTGAACGGTGACGCTCCCAAGGTTTTCGGTAAGACGAACAGGAACGGTGTACCTTGGGTTGCAGTCCTCGCGACCTGGACCGTTGGTCTTCTCTCATACCTCAACATCTCCAGCACCGGTGCCCAAGTTTTCACCTGGTTCTCCAACATTTCCACCATCTCCGGGTTCATCGCTTGGATTGTTGTCATGATCACTTACATTCGCTTCCGCAAGGCCATGATTTACAACAACATGCTCGATCAGCTGCCCTACCGCACAAAGTTCCAGCCTTACGCTGTCTGGGTCGTTCTCGTTGTCGTTTCGCTATTGACCATCACAAATGGCTTTGGCGTCTTCGCGAACGGCAATTGGGATGTCTCTGATTTCCTCGCGGCCTACATCACGATTCCCATCTTCTTAGTCTTGTACATCGGCCACAAGATCTGGTTCCGGACTCCATTTTGCATTAAGATCCAAAACGTTGATGTTATGAGTGGCAAGAGGGAGATGGATGAGCTGTGTGCGAATGACATCTCTGGAGCACCTGTGCCGAAGAATGTGTTCCAGAAGATCTGGTTCTGGATCGCTTAGCTGTACCCACTCATTCCTGCATTGAAGCAGGTGAGTACGCCACAAATCTCTGACAAGGACAATTTAATCTGAAAAAGCTTTCTTGAACGCCGTATCGCCAACTCGCCATGTGAATTCTTCAACTATCGACCTCTGCATTCGCTGTAGTCCTGCAGCTACTGCATACACTTCCCCTTGTATAACCACCATTGTCACGTTCGCATGACCGACATTAGCAAGCTGACCTTCGCTTCCATAGACCACACCATATATCATACTTACCCACCGACTTTCCGATGAAGGAGGCCAATCCACACAATGCATTGTTCTCCTAGCTCAAGTTTGCGCCAGCCAAATCCCAGCTGAAGTTCACATTCGGCGTTAGCGCAGGGTCTATTGCCCAAAGCAGTTTAAGCACTGTCTAGTTTCGCAGTTACCGTGGCCCTGCGCCCCGAACCGTTCAGCACGTTCTCCCGAGCTGTGTCCAGAGTCCACGAACGCCCAATCTGGAGACATGGGAAATGAGACGGCTGCCAAGCTAACGAATGCGAAGACGGTGAACGTGCCATCTTGCAGCTTCTCAGCACGCTTCAGATGTGGTGGACAGCTGCGAGGCGCATTGGCTGCGGCTGGCCCATGACCGGGGTTGACGATGAGCTCAGCTTGGAGGACTTGGGATGGCTTGGGAGGTCCGCGGTGTGAGATTCAGGGACATAAAAGGTGAGATGGATCGCTGCCATCTTATCTACAAACTCTTATGAACCAATTGCCCTTCATACTTCGGCTCGCCCGTGCTTATCGACTGCGCGTCCGTGCAACTCGTCCTCTGTGGTGGAAGCCTGCTCAGAAGTCTTATAAGTATCCTGCGGCAGTCCTTCTGATATCTACAATCCCTTTCTTCTTGCCCAAGACCACTATGGCCGACGCCGAAAAGCCCTGGGGTCGACGCCTCATCGTCTGCTGCGACGGAACCTGGCAGTCTAGTGTCAGCGACAAGGAAAACGTACCTTCGAACGTCACCAAGCTCTGCCGTGTCTTAGCTCGTACAGGCAAAGACGACAAGAACAGAAACTGGCACCAGGTCGTCTACTATGATGGCGGGATAGGAACCGGCAATCTCAGTGGCACAGAGGCAGTCCGTCAGGGTGGAACAGGCGCTGGCCTAGCAGAGAATGTCATTGAGGCGTACAACTTCATCGTCCTGAACTATCAACCGGGAGACGAGATCTTCTGCTTCGGTTTCTCACGTGGCGCGTACACCGCGCGAGCGGTCGCGGGTTTGGTTGCGGATATCGGTGTCCTTCAACCGCTCGAGATGCAGTTCTTTCCCCAAGTGTATCGTGCTTACATGGGTATGAACAGCAACGACGGGACAAGCTTTGCCAAGAGCGATGCCTGGAAGATACTCACCGGCCAGAAGGCAGACGAATTCGGCAAGACGATCGCCTTGATCAAGAAACCGGTGGATATGGAGGACGATAAAACCAGAGAAATCAAGGTCATCGGTGTCTGGGACACGGTCGGTAGCTTGGGTGTACCAAACGTGGGTGGAATCGACCATGGACGGCTTCGCAAGAAGTTCGGGTTTCACAATGTCAAACTATCAAGCCGTGAGTCGCATCCAACCTTTTTGACCAGCAGATGATAACTGACAAGGGAAGGTATCAAACATGCATACCATGCCTTGGCTCTGGATGAGCGCCGGGAAGCTTTCCGCCCGACCCTTTGGTACATCGACACAAACAGCTATCTAAAAGGAGGTCAGAACGAGAAGAAGGAAAAGCCCGAATTAAAGCAGGTTTGGGTACGTACGCTCTCTGCTCCTCCCACAACATCGCCCTCTTTCAGCGCAAAACTCAGCTGACGCTATTGTGACAGTTTCCGGGAGTTCACATTAATTGCGGAGGTGGTTCCGATGATGGCTTCCTCGAGATGAAAGGCGACATGGAGAGTGGGTTTGATCCTGTCCTCTGTCCTCTGTGGATTCAACTAACGACCAGACTAGATATCTCTGTTGCGACATTGACGTGGATGCTTCAATGCATCGCACCTCATCTCGACGTCGACAGAACAGCTTTTCAAGAATACTTGAATCAGTACGAAGCTTGGCTCACAGATGTTCGCAAACACTGCACCTACCACCACATAAAAGACGAAGGCTACATAGAATGGGCGTGGAACAAAGTACCGGATGTCCCATACATCGGCCATGAACCCAGTCCTCTTGACCCTCCAAAAAGGGCAAAGACGCCTCATGAACACAAAGACTTCGACTTTGGTTGGGGAGTTGGTCCAATTGTAGACAGCTTTACAAAGATGTATCATCTCAACGGTACACGGCCACGACAACCAGGTCATGAAGAGATGGAGATCAATGGCGAGTGGGTGCCCATCGCGGGTATCAAGGGTAGCAAAGACCACCCTCCCACCGGTTACGAGACAAACGAGTACATTCATCCATTGGTTCAGCATCGCTTCGAAATTCGGGACTGGCAGAAGTACAGTTGGCCGTTCAGAACCACACCCCCTCTGGAAGGCTGGGAGCGTTGGTACGAAGTCGGGCTTGATAAACGCCAGCGCTACTGGTGGCAAAAAAACTCTGATAAGCCGAACAAGGAGGGTCGTTTCGGGAAGAAACTACCTGAATGGGCGATTCTGCCTCATCCATCGACCACAGAGAAAAATTTCGAGAGGATGTGGTATGAAGCTGCTCAGAGAATGGGGCATTCGCTCAGTCAAATCCATAAGAAGAGAGACGAGGGGAAGGAGGACTATCTGCAAGCACTGGACAAAAATATCGACTTCAAGCTTGGGGCGAAGGCACAGAATGAGTGACCATGAACGGAATCGTCGGTGTATTGTAGTATTGCCTATAGTCAAATTTGAAGTAAAATCGAGACCACTGGATCTATCTTGCCTCGTGTGACCAGAACCAAATCTTGGGGACTCAGAACAGAAATAACCTCTCACAAGATGGAAGAATTATGTGTCCGCCACATGCAGTATCGTGATTTATTGTGTTCTACGCTTCACCACATTCGGTCTACTCCTCGTTTGCGTCCTCTTCGTCATCATCCCCAAACTCAACACCGTACTCTGCGCACACGTCCCAGCGGTCGCCCCTTGCGCTCTTACTGACATACTTCGTGAACCTCAGCACACCCTTATCCCTCAACACAATCGCGAGGTTGTTCCAAGCAGCGGGCTGACTAAACAAGATACCATCATCTTCATCATCTCCTGCGCTCTTGTAGATTGCAGGATCAGCCTTTGCCTTGCGTCTCTGACCAGCACCTGTGCTTGTGGAGGGCTCGCCGGTCGGCGCATCATCCTCATCTTCACCAGCCATGTACATCTCATATCCACCGACCTCTTCCTCTTCTTGCTTCTGCTTAGGCTCAGACTTGCCGTTGGTCTTAGCTTTACCCTTGCCCTTACCCTTGCCCTTGCTACCGTTCTCCTTAGGCTCTTCCTCAGCCTCCTCCTCAGCCTCATCTTCATCACCCCAGCCCTTGGAGGGCGTAATACCGAGACAGACTTCTAGCTGAGGGTCTTCCTCCTCGTAGGCAGTGGCGAGCGTGTAGTCAAGACTACGGCGAAAGCGGCGCGCGAAGACATTGCTCTTTGTGAGGGTGGCACCGGTCACCAGCGAGATCCATTTTGTGAATGCTGGGTGCGGGAAGAGGTTGTCGACGAGTTCGTCGTAAGGCGTCATGCCGCTGTTCTCTGGGTAACCTTCTGATGGGATGGGTTGAACGGCTTGGCGGTACAGATAACGCTGCTTGTGTGGTGGGCGCGCAACACCAACCTTTGCGTCCTTGTTGTTGTGAGGGTTTGATGATAGACTTGGGTTGGCTTCGTGATCCTTGGACTCGAGGTACTCGCGCAGGCGCGCGGAGAACTTGGCTGACAAGAAGCCGGCAAGTCGTAGTGAAGACTCGTTCTGGAACAGTTCTGAGACTTCTTCGACGGTGTCAGGTGTGAGGTAGTTAGGGTTCATGTACTTGATAAGGAAATCGATCTCCGTCTCCGTGAGCTCAACATCGTCATCATCCTGCTTCGCCTGTTCTTCCCAATATGGGTTCTCCACCCAATGCGCCTGAGGCTCGTCGAAGACATCTGCTTTGCCGCCCTGCAGTTGTGCGAGCGAACTCTTCTCGGCGAGCTTCTCCTCGAGACCCTCCTCGTACCCCTCTTCACCCTCTTGTGGGATGTGGAACCAGCCACTGATCGCCATGCGCACTCGCCCGCCGTCATCCTCTTCCATCTCATCAAGGCCCCTCCTGTAGACCTCCTCGACATCGTGGAAGCTCTCTCCAGGCTGGACTGTGAAGAAAGACAGCTGATTCCAGGCAGGTGGTATGACAAGCGAGAACTCAGGTGATGGCACCTTAACCTCATCGCCGTCTGAAGTCTTCTTGTGCTCTGTGGGATACAACCGCAGCGCACCTCCATACTCAGGCTTCCATGGCTTATCAGGGTCCAAGAGGTATAGGATCCAGCTTACACGCCGACTACCAATGACATCGTCATGGCACAATAAATGGCATCCTGGTGTGTATACGTTCACAGCCATGTCTGTCTTCTTTCCACTCAATGGCCCAGACCCAGTGATCGAAGATAGGTATTTGCGGAAGGCGGATGAGTATAGCGAGTCGCGGAGGGTGAGTAGAGAAGGCAAGCGCTTGAGCGCTGAATCGTCCAGACCATCGAGGTTCGCTAGGTCGCCGGATTGGTGGATCTTGTAGATGTCGGTTTCCTTGGGCGTAAAGGAGATGTGTTCACGGATTTCTTCGCGCACTTTGCGCAGGAGCGAATCGTCGACGAGCTTGTTAATGACCGCATGCTTATAGCTACACCACTATTAGACGAGTACAGAAAACTGAGGGTATACACATACGGTTGCGACTCCGCGTAGTATTTGGTGTAGCCTGCGAGTCTCTTACTCTCGAATAGACCCTCGTCGAAGTTCTTGTGCGCCTCATCGTCCGAGATGGCTCTCTTTTTAGATTTTCCGTTAGCAAGCGCTTGGTTCTTGCGCTTTGGCATAGTGAAGGAGGGCAGTTGTCTTGGTGGTGAGGTGTAGACTGCGTCGCGCCGAGCTGGAGATAAATTTTGGTGGCCGGGAACTTTGAGATCAGCCTGCGTCACTCACACCACCATCGCTCCATCACTATCGATAAGATCTCTGCAAAGCATTTTTGGACTCTCAAAGACACAGGGACACTCAAGTGCAATTAACATTCATTGCAAACAACAGATAGACAATCATTAAGGCAACGTCATACGAACAACAAGGTGCCTCTATTTGATTGACGGGACATCCACATCATGTCTCACCAAGTTCACAGCACATGGATGGCATCAGAAAACTAAAGAAGATTGTGGTTGGCTACATGAATCTAAACAACCCCATCACGCAGCTTGAGCTGATCGTGACTATAACGAAAGACTTTTTACCCAGATTGCGCCGACCCATGAGATGAAAGCATATCCGTGCCTTGCAGCATTATCATCAACAGACAGCCGAAGCCCAGATCTATGAAGATCTTGCCACCTGTGGTATCATACACGACGACCCATTACTTACTCTTACGAGATGATCAAAGCAGGTATGTGAAATGTGAGGCAGAAGGACGAGACGCTTAGTCGAAGCTGACCTTGGAGCCCTTGAAGTCACCGAAGCCACCGCGGTTGAACGAACCACCACGGCCACCGCGAGCACCTCCACGACCGCCACGACCACCACGGTCACCGAAGCCACCGCGACCGCCACGACCGCCACCACGACCACCACGGTCGCCGAAGCCACCACGGCCACCACCGCGACCGCCACCGAAGCCGCCACGGCCACCACCGTTGCTGTCATCACGAGCAGCAGCGAAGTCAAGGCGGATGGCGCGACCAGCAATGTCAGCACCGTTGAGAGCCTCGAGAGCGGCAGTAGCCTCCTCAGTAGAGGAAAAGTCGACGTATCCGAAACCCTTGAGGGCACCGGTCTCGCGGTCAGTGGGGAGAGAGACACGAGAAACGTTGCCGTACTCCTGGAAGGTCTCCTGGACGATCTCGTTGGTGCAGTCGAAGGAGAGGTTACCGAGGAAGAGGGTGTTGCTGGGAGCAGAGCGCTTGTCACCGTACTTGTTGGCACGGTCGAAGGTCTTGTTGGCAGGCTTCTCACGGGGAGTAGAGAAGTCGACGTTGAGGGGACGGCCGTCAAGCTCGTATCCCATCATCTCCTTTTGAGCTGTGGCGGCAGCAGCAGCGTCCTCGAATTCGACGTAACCGAAACCCTTGGAGCGGCCGGTCTCACGGTCGCTGATGACACGGCAGCCGGTGATGGTACCGAAGTGCTCGAACTCGCGGCGGAGCCAGTCCTCATCGACGTTCCAGCTCAAGCTGCCAACGAAGAGGTTCTTGATACCCTCACCCCCGGCGGCGGGAGCATCCTCAGTCTTGGACTTCTTGACGGCAGGCTCGGTAGCCTCCTCAGCCTTGCGCTTCTTGGAAGGAGCCTTCTCCTCATCGCTGTCGGAGGAGTCGGACGAATCGGCGTCAGAATCGGAGTCAGAGTCGGAAGACTGGCATGATGTTAGTAGTTATTGATGAACTGGCGAGCATAGTGTACTTACAGCATCAGCCTTGGCGGCAGGCTTCTCCTCGGCCTCGCTGCTGTCAGAGTCGCTCTCGTTGTCAGAGTCGGACTCAGAGTCAGAGCTCTCAGCCTTAGCAGCAGCCTTGGTGGCACCGTTGGTCTTAGCAGCAGGCTTCTCCTCCTCGCTGTCGCTGTCGCTGCTGTCGGAGTCGGAAGATTCAGCCTCGGCGGCCTTGGTGGCGGGAGCATCAGGAACCTCAGAATCGGAGTCGCTGGAGTCGGCGGACTCGGCCTCGCTCTCAGACTCGCTGCTAGAAGGCTCGGGAGTGGGCTCCTTCTTGGCCTTCTTGGAAGACTTCTTCACCTCCTTCTCGACGGCCTTACCAGCAGACTTGCCGGTAGCCTTGCTCTTGGCCTTAGGGGTCTCGGTGGCCTTGGTGACTCGGCCAGCCTTGACGCTCGAAAGCTCAGACTTCTTCTCCTTCTTGTCGGCAACCTTGGTCTTTCCCATTTTGGCGGTGATGAACTAGATCTACAATGTATCAGTATGATGTAACGGGTAACGATGTGTGAAAAACAACAGAAGGAAAGAGAGGACGGGACGATGCTCGTATGCTCGCGCGCCGAATTCCGTAGGAATGTCATGCGCCGATAGCCGTTCAACTGGATGCCTCAAATTGCAAAAGCCCACTGGTATCTCTCGAGATCGCGCGAAGCGATATGCCCTCAAGCCCACGGAAGCCCACAAGATGCCCACAGAAGAATTGGCTTCAAGGCAGCGTGTTCCCACAAAAGCCGAGAAGACAAGACAAAAACCCTCATAGTAGCCATAAGCCCTCTGGTTTGATCTTGTCGTGCTCTTGCGAGCGACGAACAGTGCCCTCTAGATGTGTGTCAAAGGAAAAGCCGCAAATGCCCACTGACTTGAATAGTTTCTGGTAGATGTAGCCCTCAGTAGCCCACAGTAGAACCTCGTAAAGTTGATAAAGTGCCAAACGAAGTAGTTGACAGGTAAAAGTGTGGAAGAAGAGTGCAGAGAAAATACTGGGAGGCGCACAGCTTTAAGTTTCTCGAGAGGCCGGGAGAATTTGCCTAGGCAGAAAACCAAAATTCAGTGGACCCAACCGTAGAAGGAACGACCAGCGGCTGGGCGGTGTGGCCCCACTTTCCCGCTAGCGTAGTCCCTGCCACCTCGAAGAGTCCACGCAGCCGAGAACTGCAGTCGTCCAGTGAAGCTCCAGGACTCGCAATGGCATCATCAGCGGCACACAAGCCGCGCAGGAGGAGGAAGATTGAAGAGGGTTCCCTGGCGCATGTAACACACGGAACACTCGATTTCGACGAAAGCACCAATGCACGCAAGCCTGCATTTCCTCTGGTCGCGTTCCTCTGGCCAGCTAAGGGCACCGTGTCGCTATGGGTTACAATACCTCTCATCCTGATGGCCGTTGGCCTCTTTCGATGGACTGTCAGTTTATGGGGCTACTCTGGCTACCAATCACCACCTATGCATGGAGACTTTGAGGCTCAACGGCATTGGATGGAAATCACGAAACACTTGCCTGTGTCGCAGTGGTACTTCTACGATTTGCAATGGTGGGGTCTGGACTACCCTCCTCTCACAGCCTACCATAGCTGGCTGTTGGGTGTCATGTAGGTTACAATGTCGGGTCACAGCTACTAGTACTGATCTTTGCAGTGGTTCTGCCATTGACCCAGAATGGTTTGCTCTCGATGAATCGCGCGCCCTCGATGATCCCAACCTGAAGATATACATGCGAGCGACCGTCTTCGTCTCCGAATACCTTGCCTACGTTCCAGCACTCATTATCTTCCTTCGTCGATACGCGAAGCTAGAAGGTGTCAATGTCTGGGAGGGGTCGATCGCGTTGGTAGCTATACTACTGCAGCCTGGCACCATCTTGATCGACCATGGACACTTTCAGTACAACACCGTCATGCTCGGATTTGCCGTCGCAACATTGTCGAGCATGGTCGCTGGACGGCCACTGTGGGGCTGCGTCTTCTTCGTAGGCGCACTTGGATTTAAGCAAATGGCCCTCTTCTACGCTCCTGCGGTCTTCGCGTACCTGCTGGGAATATGCTTGTTCCCCAGGATCAATATCGTGCGATTTCTCTCCATCGCGTTGGTCACAGTTGCAGCTTTCGCTGTGCTATATCTGCCATTCTTGTTAGCTATTGCCTACGACATGTACAAGGGCGTTTCCGTTGAAGGGCTCCCAATGCCTCCGCTCATGGAGTCATTGCCAATCCGTCGGGACACTAACACCTGGTACTATCCGGTCGTCCTCCAGATGACCCAGTCGATCCACCGAATTTTCCCCTTCTCCCGTGGTCTATTCGAGGATAAAGTTGCCAACATCTGGTGTACAATTCACACATTCCACAAGCTTCACCGCTACCCTCAAGAGCTTCTCCAGCGCGCAGCTCTTCTCGCTACCTCCGCCGCTATCTTGCCGCCATGTCTTATTATCTTTCTTAAGCCAAAGAAGCAGCTTCTTCCTCTCACATTTGCAGCAGTCTCATGGGGTTTCTTCCTCTGCTCGTACCAGGTGCACGAGAAGAATGTGCTTCTTCCACTCATGCCCATGACCCTTCTGCTCGGCGGACGAGAGGGTCTGCTACCATCAACCCGCGCCTGGGTAGGACTTGCCAACATGCTCGGTATTTGGACGATGTTCCCTCTCCTGAAGAGGGACGAGCTTCGAGTCCCGTACTTTGTCATCACACTCCTCTGGGCATACTTGCTCGGTCTTCCGCCAGTCTCCTTCTCTGCATACCACGAGGGCAGCCGAAGTGGCGTGAACTTGCTCAGCAAGATCATCCACCTCAACATTTATATGGCCATGGTGGGCTGGCACGTTGTCGAAGCTTTCTACCCGCCACCAGCCGAAAAGCCAGATCTGTGGGTGGTCGCAAACGCCATCGTTGGCACCGGTGGATTCGGCATCTGCTACCTGTGGTGTCTGTGGCGACTGGTCACGAAGAGCGAAATCCTCGTAAAAGCGAAGAGAAAGACACAGTAGTCTGCTCCAGCCTCATTGCAGTCTTCAAAAATACCTGCGCATTTGGAGAGATGATTCAGGTTGTACATTGTATATATACAGCGAATGTAAAACACCCAAATCTAATGCTGAACGCCATCATGCTGTGTGTTGTACAGTGACTTTACATCTCCTCAATGGTACACCGGTATTGATCTCCTCAGATCTTGAATCCATAGCCAGCCATGCATGTCTTGTACTGGGAGACGAGGTCGGCGCACTCCTTCTGAGGATCGTTCGATGTCGAGAACAGCATGCACTCGTCGCGCTTTGCTTTCTGGTCGGTGCAAACGCAGCATGGCTGACGCCGTTAGTTGCATGTTCTCAACACTGCACAATTGAATGCGTACCTTGTACTTTGTCTGCGGCGCAGCTGTGTCCTTGAGGTCTGCGCCCATGTTGGCGGCGGTCGGTGGTGCTATTTCCCATCAGCCATCTGTGTCGCACCTGCCAGTCAATCACAGCGCCAACATACCTGATGCCATTGTATGTTGTGGTGGTGGTGGTGGTGGTGGTGTGAAGGAGCACTGCTTAGAAATCACCTCGGGAACGCGCGTGAACTTTTGGCGATGTCATCCCAGCCCGTCGATCTGCGTCTTGGCTTTCCCGCCCTCGCCGAGTGAACGCCTGGCCCTGGATCTCAAGGGTTTGCAGGGATGGCAGCCCACTTTGCCCTGTGCAAATACCCCACCAAGCCGCACCAAAACATTCTCCCCAAACAATCAACTCGCGCCACACCTGTCCTGTTTGTTCTTATTATTGCAGAAGACTTTTCTTGATCTCTATTACTTTTCTTTTGTAGCAAACATCATGTCGACGGACAAGCTTTTCTCCCTCGAGGGCAAGGGCCTCAAGCTCACCACTGCGGAGGACATTGAGCCGCATATCAAGGCCCTAAAGGAGAACAACGATGTCGAAGAAGTCAGGTTTCTGGGCAACACACTAGGCATCGAAGCTTGTGAGGCCTTGGCAAAGGTTCTGGAGACCAAGAAGAACCTGAAGGTATGTCTATACTCCTTTTCCCCCCTCAGTCGACATGCGCAAGATTGACACATGACCAGGTCGCAAACTTCGCCGACATCTTCACGGGCCGTCTCCTCTCTGAGATCCCAGCTGCGCTACAGCACCTCGTAAATGCTTTCCTCACATTACCAAACCTTCAAACCGTCGACCTTTGCGACAACGCCTTCGGTCTCAACACCGTTGCCCCTCTCGTCGACTTCCTCTCCGCACACACTCCCCTCCGTTTCCTCTACCTGAACAACAATGGCATGGGCCCAGCTGCTGGCGTGCTTCTCGCCGATGCCCTCACAGCCCTCGCAGGCAAGAAAGAAGCCGCGCGCAAAGAAGGCAAAGACGTCCCCGACCTCGAGCTCGTGATCTGCGGCCGCAACCGCCTCGAGAACGGCAGCATGCAAGCCTGGGCCAAAGCCTACGCCGCGAACAAGGGCGTCAAGACAATCAAAATGACGCAAAACGGCATCCGCCAAGAAGGCATCACCCACCTCCTCACACACGGCATCGCGCACCTCTCCAAGCTCGAAACCCTCGACCTGCAAGACAACACATTCACAGCTATGGGCGGTAAGGCGCTCAGCAACGTCGTTGGCAACTGGCCCGCCCTGCGCGAACTCGGCGTCGGCGACTGTTTGCTCTCCGGCCGCGGCGGTATTGCACTCGCGAATGCCCTGCAGAAGGGCAACAACAAGAACATTGAGGTTCTGCGCCTGCAATTCAACGAGATCAACGCAAAGGGGCTCGCGGGCCTGGCTACCGCCGCACCGAAACTTCCTGCTCTGCGCCGCGTGGAAATCAACGGGAATAAGTTCGATGAGGAGGATCCGAGCATCGAGAAGTTGCGCGAAATTCTCGATGCGAGGAAAGAGGAGAGTGGTGAGAGGGAAGACGATGAGGAGTACTGGGGCCTTGATGAGCTGGATGAGTTGGAGAGCGATGATGAGGATGAAGAGGAGGACAGCGATGATGAAGCGAAGAAGGGCAGTGATGATGAGGAGGAGGGTGTTGAGGTCGAGGAGCGCGCAGCGAGGCAGTTGGTTGAGGAGCAGAGGGCGGAAGACTCGACTGTGGCGCAGGACAAGGACAAGAAGGTCGATGATTTGGCTGATGTGCTGGCGAAGACTGAGATTAAGTAGGTGAGAAGGACGCTGCCCGTTGCCTGGAGCATGGCTTGACGCGCATGGAGGTTACTGCGGGTAGATCAGATGCATAACGAGGCGATACCATAGAATTCATGATTTTCATTTTTACAAGTCATAGCCATGCTCGTCCACATCATCTGCCCACACTGACTAGAAACAGATCTGGGTGGAGTCTGCACTAGCCAGTTTTATTACAGTAACGTTATTCATCTCATGTATGATAGTGCAGTACTGAACCCGTAGATACCCTTTTCGCCCGTCACCCCTCGCCACGACCGGCACATATGCATAATGCTTGTCCCTCTTGGGAGGAGCGTACAGCTCAGATGGCTGGATGACTGTTCTCACGCTTGTGCGTACGAGGCATGTTCTCAGAACCACCGCTGCCCATGTCGCCAGAACCGTACGTCTGGAGCTTGGCGAAAGCGGCATCGTGCCTACTGTCGCCGCGAGTAGTGTTTGTAGACTCGCTGAGTGACTGGTACCGCCTCATCGAAGCGTTCGATGGCAATACTCCACATTTTTCGGGAGAGCGCTGTTCTTTTGAATGTATGGCATCTGCCACAACCGCGCCATTCTGGACTCTCGAGTTCTCCACCTCAGCCTTGTGATGGTCCATCCCCGTGTCATGGTGAGACTGCTTGTGGGGTGTGAAGGTGCGGCTGTTGGCACGAGATCTGACATTGCTTGAGCCGCTGCTGATGGAAGCCTGTCGCTCACGCCTGGCAGCTACAGACTGAGCTATGGCAGTCAAGCCGCCCCTCTCTGTGTGGCCATGGGCGCGAGCTTCCAGAGAGTGCAAGTGGTCGGCCTCAGCCTTGGTGACAATGCCACGCTCGACTTTAGGTACAATCTTAGCGTACTCCTGCTGAAGCTCAGCCTCGAGTTCCGGGTGCGGCGCGTTGGTGTGGCCAATGGCTTTCTGCATTTCTACATTGAGCGTCAGCAAGTGTGGTGTTGTCGAGGTGAAGCATGTAACTCACTGCTGACGACGCTCTGTGTTGTCCTGAGGATCTCCGTGTTGACGTCCTCAGGGTTTGTCTCAACAGCCGCGTAGAGGTCTTTGACGACCGTAAGGAGGGATGGATGGGGGCTCTGTCCGAGGTTGGTGTCTTGACCGTAAATGTCGTTGTGGGCAGCGGCAAGAGACTCCACTGCAGAGACAAGGCGTGCTGAGCGCTCGTCTCTGGCTTCAATATTCTCGGAAAAGCGGCGAGCATCCTCTTCAGTGATGCTGCTTGGATCGCTGCGCAGTCTCTCTATGACATCTTGCGACACGTTGAGTGTAGACTGAGAGGCACGGTCGGCAGATCGACGGTGATCGTCGTTTGACGGTGCACTCTCTTCTTCATTGCGGATAGCGATGTCCGCGACAGCAGCGATGATGTTGGCCGTCCACTCGTCCCCATCTTCGGCGTTGTCAGCAAGGCTTCGAGCATCTTCTGTAGTGATGCTCTTAGCGTTGTGTTTTAACTTTCCGAGGATGAGCTCCATACCGTTCTGCAGCTTGCGGTGACGAGTCAGCCTCTCCTCCAGCTCCGAGGTGGCTTCTGACATGATGAAAGGTAGGAGCTTTGCAGAGATGCAGAGCTGTATTTACTTGGTGATGTGGTGTGTGTGGATGGAGTGACGGTGTGAGAGCAAAGACCTGGACGCGTGAAGAAGCAGGTGTGCATGCCACGATCGATGACGTCGTGTGTTCTGCGTGCTTGCTGTGTGGCAGGTGAAGGGAAAGAGCAAACGACGGCAGCTAGTCTCACCGTGACCGCTCCACGCAATCCGGTTAAGCACTTGAGAGGCAAACGCAAACAACGAAGCTGCGTCGCTCGACAATCACACGCCACCTTTTCAAGCCCTCTCATTTGGGACGTTTTAATTCCTGCCAGTAGTCGCGTAAAGTTTTCTTCTCCCTTCCTGATCGGTGTACAAAGCCTGATTGAGTCCCATGCGTGTGAGAATGTCAAAGATAGAACGTCCCTCTCCTTCCCACAACTTGTCAAAAGGCACTATCCGGAGTCCAGTCGTCAAGGAAGCGGGTATATCAGCTTGACGAAGATTGTCCCCTAGACAATTCAACTCAACAGTCACATCGGCTTGGGGGTTCAACCGCTTGGTTTGCATCTTCGCCTCCTGGAGGAATTCAATCTGCCCAATAAGCTCGTCCAATATTACTGCGTAAGATCGCATCTCTACAAGGATATGCTTCAACCCAGTCAACTCAGGGAAGGCCAGTCGTTGCAAAAACAGGCTGTTCATCGCGAGATTGTTTGCGCGAGTGTATCCGAAGTCGGTGACTGTGTCAAACAGCTCATCGGGTGCATTATAGAAGAAGCTGTCGAAGACGAAGTGTAACCTAGATATGGCACATAATTGATCTCTCGTGCGTCGTTTCATCCACTCCTGGAATTTGATGCGAGGGCCTGCTGTGATTGAATTCATCGAGTAAGGGAGGAGGTGCGTTTCCCGGTAGATCTGTCAATTGACGAACAGTAAACCGACGCGGTTGCGGCGATGTTGGACATAGGTTAGACCCCCGAAATATGTGAAGGCATCGCCTAGGTCGCCCAGGACATCCTCGTAGATCACATTGCGGAGCTCGGCCAGAAGACTGAAGAAGGGAGGTTGTCTCTTCTCCTGTCCACCGAATGTGGCGAGAGAGAGAGAGAGAGAGAGAGAGCTGCAGACTGCAATCGTCCGTCCAATATTGGTTGTGTAGTAAGCTGTCGATTTTTGAATGTGAACGGCTTATTGTAGGCTTCGTGTTGACGGAGTTGGGGAACAATCGCGCATTGTTAAGACGCGGATTTGAACAGGAGAGAAGCTCGATTTAAACAAATCCAGGTCACACTGTCTACTTGCGTATTGTACATACAGCAGATCGCACACAGCTGAGAGTATTCAGTCGACTGTAGTCTGGCAAAGGACTAAATGACACGGTTCCTTCGCGAATCCATGGGTACACAGAGTGCTTTCACGTGATGATGCTCACTATCGATAAGAAACATTTGCGGACAGGAGAATGCGCGTGTTGTGGCGCCGAAAGCTTTCACGGTCACATGTATTCTTGATTGGACCTTGTTTTTCTTCTGCTTTTCTCGGACCAGATGGGTTGTCCAGTCGTGGTTTCTGCTTCTTCCACTCTTTCCTTCCACAACACGACCCTCTGCTGCGCCTGCTGATGCTTGCGCTCCGTCGTTTACGATGCCTTCTCCACTCCATACCATCTTCGCAAACGCGCTGTTTGAGAACACAGCCGCGCGAGATACCTACCTATGCCAGAAGATGGGATCCAAGTCGACACGAACCGCTTCGTTCGACGAAAGCACCGAACGAACCTCGACGAAACACGCCTGAGCAAGATCCACGCAAGGATACCATAGATGCCCCACGCGAACCTATCGCCAGGCGATCCAGTACTGAGGATATTGTTATTAGATTCAACAGTCGCAATCCACAGATAGCCCACAACATCAGACGACTGCAATACCTGCTCAATCTTGCCAATCACAAGGACGATTTGAACTGGACCTTGCGAGCGCCCTTGTGGAGAGCTTATAGCCTAGCGAAAGAACACAAAGTGACAGTTACCACATATTTATCTCAAAGAGCATGGAATGTATTATGGAAGTCGCAGTATGCGGACTTCTTCAACGTGGATCGTCGTAAGGCTCACTTAGCTGAACTCGACCGCGATCTTCTCGTAGCGCGCGGTCTCCTTGCGGCGAAGATAGATCCAATTGCTGGGCAGGTCGCATATCACATCGAGGAAAAGTTCATGGCTGGGGAGGAGCAAGCGGCGCTCGAGGAGTGGGAGACCAGTCGCCATGAATTCCCGATGACGCCTGAGTATTTGGACGTAGGAGCAAGACTTTACGGGCTCGCAGGACTACCAGATCAGGCACGAGCTATAATGGATGATCTTCTCAAGTTGGATCCAAACTGGGATCTGTCTGTTATGATGGCAGTGTTCCGCGCCTATACCAGCTCGGAATTGAAGCAGCATCATAAAGAGGCGAAGGAGATTTACTATTCTATGAAAGCTAGAATCGGGTCCAATGGTGCCATCGAGACATATGACTCCTGCATGATTGGCTTTTTGGAAGCACGATCGTTGCCAGACGCGAAGGAAGTGTTTCGCGACATGGTCCGCGAAGGCTGCCTCGGAACTGAAGGCTCTGTGTCGCATGTCAGAGAGGTCCTTCGAAGGCTCAACCTACTCTACACATTGGGCACAGATATCTCGAGGATGACTAGCATTGCACTGGATGCCATCGCAGTATTGCCACCAGCATACCACGGCCACGTCTTCGGCGACTGGATGAAGTCCGCGGTTGTGGAGAACGCACCTCAGGCAGCCGCTCAAGTCTTCGATATGATGATCCAGCGAGGCTGCGAGCCTGAGACGTTCCATTTCAACTTACTGCTGAGAGCGCTTCTACGGACGAAAGAACCTGAAAACATCTTAAAGGCGGAAAACCTTGGTTGGAAGATGATTGAAGAAGCAAGAGAGTCGATGCGCAAGGAGCGACCTGCTCCACATAGCCGCGTAAAAGCCATCGACAGAAAACTGAAAGACGTCAGCGCACTAAATGCAAACCCTACGATAGCGGTGCCCGCAGCAACCGTGTCAACTTTCGCTCTGATCATGCGCCATCATGCCCAAAGCCTGCAGTGGGAGCATGTGGACTATCTTGCAAGACAGCTAAAGTTTGCTAGCGTTGAGCCAAATTGCACGATCATGAACGTCCTGATCGACAATAAATGTCGACAAGGGAAGTTCGTTGAGGCATTTCAGATCTACAAATCACTTACCGACAATCCGGACTCAAGTGCAACCGTGTTTCCCGATGGCCAAAGCATCCGGTGTCTGTGGAAGACTCTTCGCCTTGCACTCGCCGATCCCGTCAATCGAGAGGACCCCAACCTGCCAACACCACGCGAATTACTCCGTGAAACCACCAACTGGTGGACGCAATGTCGCAGTCGGTATGATGCCGACCGCTTCCTTCAAGGCTTGGCCGCAGCGGACCGGGGTGCCATCATGGGTCTGATCTTGCACTGCTTCAGCTACTTACGGGATCTGCCTGGCTCACTCATAGCTCTGCACGTTCTCCGCCTCAAGTTCGGTATCCGCCCCACGAAGAAGACTGCAGAGATTTTGCGACGGCAACTTGCATGGGTGGACATGCACGGAGAGATTGAGTCGGTCCGCATGCAGTTGGGACGCAGCAACAGCAATGCAAGGAACATGGAAAGGCTCAGTCACACATATGGTCAGTTGAAACAGCGCAGACTTCAGGACTTGAACATTACCCCGGATACTCTTGAGAAGTACAGCAAAGAGGACATGGGCGACATCGAACTCGACGTAATCAGCGAGTTCGTACGGCTTGTTCTGCTTGCAAACTACCCACCAGAGATTGTCGAGGCTATGATTGACGGCGCACGGAATGCTGTTGGACTACCGAACCTTCCAACTGGCCATGTGTTTGTCTAGGACTGATCTGATGCTCCTTGGGATCGATTACTCTGCGCCAACCAGTTTCATTGACGTCCTGTTCTTGGGATGTTTCCTCTCAGCAAAACCAGGTCCAACTGCGCTTGTCGTAATTGCATTGTACCATATATTTTCAAGATACCCCGTGAACTCCACAGACCTAGATTCCCATGTATCATATCAAATCGTATCTTACACCGTCTTCATCTATTCATCCCAATGCTTCTACAGCCCCAAAGGATTGCTGGCGCTCCCCTTCTTGACTGTGCTGCCCGTGACACCAGGTCTGGCAGCCATGCTCGCAGCGCCTCCAGCAACACCCGTCGACAAGCCCAGGGGGTTTCCCTTCGTAGTTGCCCGACTGCCCGCTGCGCCAGTCACATCCTTGATCGAGTTGCCGTACTCACGAACCATGTCGCCCCAGCCTCGCGATGTGTTTGCTATGCTAAGAAATGTCAGTAGCCAGCAGAGTTCACAGCTTGATGAATACCCACCTCGCACCAGCACCCTTTCCAGCTCCAGCAACACCATTCCCAGCAGCCGTCACAACCGCACCAGCAGCATTCCCCACCCCAGCCGCAGCAGCACTCGTCGCACTGCTAAGGCCCGTCGATGCAGCACTGATTGTCTTCGTGAGCCAGCTCTTGCTCTGCGGTGCTTGCTTTGCGACGTTCTTTGGTGCTGCTGGGACGGCCTTCTTAGCACCAATGGGCTGAGATCCAACTGGGTTCTTGACAGCAGGAGCACCGACTGGCTTCTTGGTCGCCGTTGCCCGCGTAATGGGCTTCTTTGCTGGGACGGCGGCGGGCTTCTTGTACGGGACCATTTTGGTCTGGGTGGATACGGGCTTCTTTGCTGGTCCAACGGCTTTGGGACCCGTGGGGTTGGGACCCGTGGGTTTGGGACCTGCGATGGCTTTCTTCGTGCCGATGGGCTGAGCGACCATCTTCGTAGTGTTCAATTGAGTTTGAGGGGTTTCAGATGTATTCGTAGTGTCTCGAGATGTTCTTCAGAGGCCAAGGCTAGACCTGTGAAGAAATGGCCCCCTTTGCATTCCACCTACCCCATATCAAGTTTCCCGTGGCGATCAGCGCGCCGAGAATGACGTCGGGAGCACAACGTCGAGGGCGGGCGCCATCTCGGGGCTAGACCGCATTGCGACAAGGCTGCACCTAGCGCGCTGTGCGGAAACATCGAGCCTCCAGTGGACACCGGTGTGGACCCTGGATGTCGTCTCGCATTCGAGGTCGCCGGACAGTATGTCGATGTCTCCTCCACGAACGCTCTTTGCGTGTGTAGTTTCTGTTGCGCCTTGTGCAACTGTACCGTGTTGCCCGCTTCTTTGCATCATATGGCCAGTACGCATTGACTGGTTGTGTTGACGGCCCTTTACCCCCCTGTGCTCCTTGGAGTCGTGTATGTCGACGAACATCCGCCCTGCACACCGCAACGACCGCACACGATGACTTGCTTTCACCTGCACCCGGGCCGACGCCAATAAACACACCACAACAACAACAACAACAATAACAACAACCGTGAGTGGCCTTTCGTTTCCATCATGCAACACCACCCACGCACGCGACCAGACAGCCTCAACTGGCGCAAACATGCTGGGTGAAGATACAATCCGCTCGCTGAAGCGCTCCAAGAGCGATATAGATGATCTCGTCCCTATGGGCGAGAGGACTCCGCCTCGTGGCAGCGCTTCCAGCACACCGCGAACAAGAAGCACGCGGGCTTTCTCTTTAACCAGATTATTTACTGACTCGACGAGGAGAAAAGGGCGATCAAGCTTGAGCCGCTCCAATTCCTCAATTGATAAAGACACCATCTCGAGTCCCATCACAGACCCGAGAAGTCCTTTGTGCCCTCCCACACCTACCGAGCCCTTCGCTGTATCGCCGCCGTCTTTGGTCTCAGCCAAATCCAGCCCAAGTCCTCGCAAGCACCCCACAGCCGCACACCCAGCTGTCAAGCACGCATACTCAGTCTCTGACCCCACAAACAACCACTCTCCGCCGACTCGCCCGCGCATTGCCGTACACGTACCGCCGCCCTTGCTATCTGCAGCGTCGAGCTTCAGCAGCGCAGACACTGTAGTGGGGAGCCCGCTCGAGCGCATAGCAGAGACTCCGTTCGACTGCGATCACCATAGTGAACAGCCGGATCTAGACCGAGTGAGCAGAAGACTGGCAAGCATGGAGACCGTACGAGCGTCGCTGCTGCCGCCGGCCATGGTGACCGGCACCAAGGCTCGCGCCATCCAGCAGGCGAAGGAGATGGAAACGTTGGTAGCAGAGAGGGCGAAGCGCAGTGGAGACGAGCCACCGCAATACGACTTCCACGAGCTCATTGGAAAGGGTGCTTATGGACGTGTGTTTAAAGGGTTAGTAAACTTTGTTTTACAAGGCGGACATGGCTAACGCTGTGACAGCAAGAGTCGCAGAACCGGCGGTCTTGTCGCAATCAAGATCATCGACATCGATACGGTCGATTACCAGGAGATGACCACGAAGAACCTGTCCGAGACACTGAAGGAGATTGATATCCTGCAGCAACTCAGGGACAGCAAAGCACAACCTTATGTGAACATCATCGAGGAAGCGAAGGCAGTCCACAATGAACTCTGGATCATCAGCGAGTACGCCAGCGGTGGCAGTGTGGCTACGCTGATGAAGCCCATGGCAATGCTCAAGGATCCCGGACCTGGCTTGCCAGAGAAGTTCATCATTCCTATTGCCCGCGAGCTAGCGCTTGGCTTGAAGTACATCCACGAAGCCGGTGTCCTGCATCGAGACATGAAGGCCAACAACGTCCTTATTCTGGAAGACGGTCGCGTACAGTTGTGCGATTTCGGCGTGTCTGGGACTCTCGAGCCGCAGAAGTCGAAACGCACAACAATCGTAGGAACGCCGTTCTGGATGGCTCCTGAGCTACAGCGGGAATGGATCAAGGACGCGGACCCACACAGCCTGGCAAAACCTAGAGAGATCCTGTATGGCTCTGAGGTCGATATTTGGGCATACGGCTGCACAGTTTACGAGATGGCTTGCGGCTTTCCACCACACCACAGGAGCGCGCCTTTCGATCTGCCGAATGCTGGTGTACCTGTGCTTGAGGGCGAGCGGTACTCGGATGAGCTCAAGGATTTCGTGTCCTTCTTGCTCCAGCCTGATCCTCAAGACCGTCCCACCCCGGACGAGATCCTTGAACACGCTTACCTCAAAGACACTACCAAAATGTACCCTACAGTCATTTTGGTCAAGCTGGTAGAAGACTACTATGTCTGGGAGCAACAAGGTGGTGCTCGCCAGTCATTGTTCAACATCTTTGGTGCACAAGCTCCCGATCCGCTCGCTCCAGAGACCGACGATGATGACGACGACGACTGGACTTTCAGTACCTCTGATGAGTTCGAGCAGGAGCATGCACCACAGTTTTCAGATCCATTCGTGGGCGGTGCTGCAGGACAACCGTTCACAGGCATGGGTCTACCTCCAGTGGCAGACATGGGCCGCTTTGAACAGCTGCAGGCTAGGTTCAAGGAAGAGTCGATCACAAGGGGACAGAAGCGTTTGAACAAGCTGTTCGACACACAGACCACACCGTACAGATACAGTATGGTCGACGATGACGATAGCGGCAAGGGACGACCGCCTTCGGATCTGGTCCTTCGCGACTTCAACCCCGGCGCGCCGAACAGGGAGACGGTCATTGACCTGGACTTCTCCCTCCCCTCCACCGACGACATGCCTAGCATCGACCTTGGCGAGGTACCGACCATCAAGGCAAACCGCATGAAGAGCTTGCTGCGCGAGATGGAGGAGGAAGACGCACGCGAGATTGCGCGCGAGAAAGAGCTGCGCGAGCAACGAGAGTTCGAGGAAGAGGATCAGCTCACGAAACGTGCGACGCGAGACTGGACATTCCCATCTGCACCAGACAATCGCAAGACACAAGAGTGGACATTCCCGTCGATGGAAGCGCCAGCAGAAGAGCCAGACAATCGAAAGACGATGGAATGGTCCTTCCCTGCGACCGACCCGCCGAACCGAAAGACTATGGAGTGGTCATTTCCAGCTGCTGAGCCACCAAAGCCAAATCGAAAGACAGTTGAGTGGACATTCGATGCGGCTATGGCGGAAGCACAGTACGACGTTCCAAAGAATCGCACATCCCGTCGTCGTGAGACGAAGGAGTACTCATTTCCAACGGCGACCGCCCCGATTGATGAGAACAGGAGTACTATGGACTTTTCGTTCCCGATGCGTAGTCCAAGTCCCAAGAGAGGGCAGAATGGCAGCGGAACTATGTTAGACTACTCATCACCGCCTGACTTAGGCCCTGGATTTCGACCAAGTCTGCAGCATGCTGCGACGGAGCCGCCATCTGACGACTTCCCGCGGGTGAGCTCAGATCCTAATTCACCTCTGCGTTCATCTATGATAGACCTGGATATGGCCACCATTGAAGACTATCGCCCGTCAACATCTGGCTCAGAGTCGACATATACTGGATCCATCTACACCGCAAACGATAACCCCTTCAACCTCGAAGACCAGGTTCAATTATCACAGAACAACCACCGCGCTTCCTTCCACATCAAGTCGCAATCTGAGCCCAACCATGCCGTCCCAGGCCTTCTCACACCCCAGCAATACGACGAGCAAGGTCTCCCAACAAACCAAGACCCGCACCACCCAAGCATGCACGCCCGCGGCGTATCCTCAGTATCGCAAATGCAAGCCCAAACCAAACCGCCCGCAACCTCCATCCCGCCCCTGACCACGCACCGCCCCAACCAACGCTCCCAGCAAATCTGGGACGGCTGGTCGCACACGCACGCCTACGGCCTGGGCTCGGACGACCAATCGCCCCCCATGAGCGTCACAACCGACACGTCCCTCGAGGAAGAAGACGTCGACGAGCTGTGGGACAATTTCGAGCGCCTCACCCTGCAAGCGCAGCGCAAATACCAGTCCTACGGCCCGCTCCGCTCAGCCCGCCGCTTCGAAAAGTCAAGCACAGACGAAACCCACGACCCGCGCATCGCTGGGCCCGGGCTCGGCTCCGGCGCAGGTCTCAGTGCGGGTGTAGGCAGCGACACAGACGACAACTACCCCTACACTTCCGACTCCTCATCCCCCCCCTACGCATACCAACGCCACAGTCGCGTCAGCGCGGGTCCGAATGGGCGGCCGCTGGTCGATTTCCCGGTGCCGCGGGGTCCGGATGTCGAGGCACTGCTGGGTGTGGAGAGCGATGCGAGGGTCATGCAGGATATGCTGCTGAAGAGTGCGATGGAGCTTAGGGATGGAACGAGGGCGAGTAGGGATTTGCTAAGGGCAATGAAGTTGAGTGAGGTTGAGGAGGAGGAGGTGGATCAGAATACTGTGAGGTTGCCGAGTCGGGGGAGGGAGTAGGTGGTCTTTATGGGGATTGGAAAAAGTACGTTGGCGTATTGGCGTTGACGTGGGAATGTGTTTGGTTCCGGACTTGGGACTTGGGTTGGGACGCTTCGGCGTTATGATCAGGATTTGTAGATGATAGGTATGACACGATTACTTGCAATGACAGTAATGCATGATATGTATCGACTTTTTGTGACATTCAGAGAATATGCTGCGGACCGCAGTCCGTCTCTTCCCCTGTAGCGCAGGAACATGAATCGTATCAGATCGTTGCCCAACCAGCGCCGAGCTATGCAAGATGGTGCCCAGTTCCATACCCTTAAAGTGCCCAGTTTCGTACCCTTAAACGCCGTGTAGATGATCAATCATGCAATCACAAGCTTGCTTCCGTACTCTGGTCATCGAGGTCTTCAGGTGTGTCCCCTACGACATCAGGCTCTGCCTCGGAATCCGACTCCTCGTCATCATCATCTTCTTCCTCTTCGTCAGACTCCTCCTCGTCCCTCTCCACCGGCATCCCCGGCACCGGTTTCCACTGCACATAATCATGCTCAATCCACCGCTTACTCCTCGGCAGCACATACGGATCGAACGGAAAATACGCGTCCAGCAAAAACATGTCATCGCCCCTCTTCTGACTCAGCGCCGTTTCCCTGCCCCCAATGCCACCCAAGTACCCGCCCGCCATACTCCTCGCCAGTCTGACTCGTTTGTTCGTCTCGATGAGTGGGTACACGTACAAAAAGCGCAGGTGGTGCGCCATGCGCGCAAACTGGCCGACAATGCTCGGCGCACAGATCCTCAAAGGGTTTAAGGCAGAGAATATGTTGCGCCGGATGATATCTTGGACGGAATTGTACCACGTGAAATCGCCTTCGTGGTAGATGATGTCTTCGTCTGTGGGTGTGTGCCCGTCAGGAGTGACGATCAGGTCGCGCCACCGGAAACAGAATGTGTACAGCAGCGCCTGCGAGATGGCGTAATATGTGCCGTACCGCCGCAGATCGGGCCCTTTGCAGCCGGGCTCTTGTTGTATACGCAGGCGTTCCAGGTGGTGGCATAGAAGGTCGAAGACGTCGCGGACGACGGCGCCGGAGACGTGGGCGCCGCGCGCGATGAAGGAGGCGAGGTATGCGGCAGCGGCGACACGGAGGATGTGGGGGCGTAGCTGGTCGAAGGCGAGGTGTGAACAGCAGCCTGCGAAGCGTTCGGTGAGGTCGGCGGAGGTCTGGCTGAAGTGGAAGAGCAGGAATTGGACGTGGCGCGAGCGGTAGGTGGGGAGGATGGTAGCGGCGAATTGGGAGAGGAGGGATTCAAAGAGCTCGTCGCTGTCGAAGAGGTCGTTTTTGGCGAAGACGGAGTCGTAGTGCGAGAAGAGGAGGTCCATTACTGCGTCGAGCTTGTTGACGTTTTCTTGGATTTGTCGTTTTCGGCGGTCCTCGGGCTCTAGGCTCTCTTCGCTTGAGACAGACTCGTTGTCGCTCATGTCCTCCTCTTCTGCGTCGTTGATCGCTCGCCCTACGAGCTCTTCCTCGTCGTCCTCCAGGTCGTCCATATCTACTTGGATCTGAACATCAATCTTGACGATCTTGTCGGTCACAAGTGACAAGATCTCTCCCTTCAACTCTGTGCAGTATTCTGAAACCTGCAGTATGTTCTTGATGTACCGTGTATGCACCTTCGCTGTGTCATCGGGGTAGGGGAATGTGCCACCGATGATCGGTGAGAGGTAGGTGCTCGCCATGGGGCTTTGTCGCAGGATAGACCTGAGGCATTCGTGTGTTCGTTGTGTAAGGCGCGACGGCTGAATGGCAGGATCGTCTTGTTGTCGTGCGGCGGTGGAAGGCGGTTTGAGGAACATTGAAACGAGCATTTGCAGGACTGTCGACATGTATGCAGGATGCACTGAGAGCAGCGACCGTAGCAGGCTGCGATATGTGCGCACAAAGTTCTCATTGCGGGCAATCCAGCTGCAATCGATTATTGCATGCACAAGCCCTTTACAGGTGTGGTCCAGCAGCGGCACCATATCTGTAAGCGCGATGACGTATTTCTGAAGAAGTGCAGAATGCACTGTGCCAGGCGCTGTCGGAGACTCTGAGAACAGACTCCGTAGCTGGTCGTATTCGCCCTTCTCGCCTATTGCATGCTTTTCGATTGCCCGCCGTACTTCTTCTGCCACCAGCTCCATACTCTTCTCCACATCCATTACTATCTGCACGTCGACATTGGGATCGAAGGTGACACGGCGGCGCTTTGCCTGGGCGAGGGTATCGTTCTCTGCGTCGGAGGAGGCGTCGCGTTGCTTGCGTTTCAGGCTGCTGCTGACGGTTGGAGCCATGAAGTTGTTTGCGGGTCTGCGGGTGGCAGCGAGAGAAACCATGTTGGGCTAAGAACCGTTTGCGAAGTCGTTACATTGGAAAAACAATGAGAAAAGGTAAAAATTACGGCCGCTTGGCAGGCGTTCGTGAAAGTGCGGTGGGATGGTGAACCCTTCACACGCGACATTGAACGGATAGCGGGGACTGGCGCCTGGGCGTTCAACTTTTCTGTGGGTACCCTCAAAAGGCTTCGGTCCACAACTCACCTCTGATAGGTCACACATGTAAAGCATTTACTTCAGGGATGAACTAGATGGAGCAGATGTTAGGTTTATAGAAGTTTGAGTTTGTGTACACTGGTTACTACATTGGTTTTGCAACTTCACATATCTTGCCACAGAGATCAAGGTCCTATTTAGAAGTAGCATCCAGGTATTTCTCAGCACGAGTTTTCCTCCAACACCGGCACCCTTCCTCTCCGGCCTGTGGCATGAGAGGAGTTAGTTACCCCAAAATACTTTTGATGCCGCAGTTGAAACTTCAAGCCCACTTTGGGACCGGGCTGTCCCAGGAGTGGGATTTGTGGCAAGGCAGCAACCTTTACTACCATGTTACCTTGTCTCGCCCGCAGAACTCTCGGATAAGACCCAGGAAAGAGAGATGCGAGTACTCCATATGTCGTTGACAGTCTGCTCTCGAATCTGTGCACTTACATCTCGCCGCACTGCGAGATCACGATGTCCTGCACTGGCCTTCCTTCCGGATTTGCGACTGTTCTTGTGTTCTCGATCTTTGTGACAACGTCCATGCCTTCGATGACATTGCCAAAGACGACATGCTTACCATCCAGGTGAGGCGTTCCGTGTTTTGCAGTGATGATGAAGAACTGGCAGCCATTTGTCTGTACCTTGTCAGCATCGCATCTGTTATGCTACTCGGAAACTCACATTCGGTCCACTGTTGGCCATTGACAGCAGTCCGGGCTTGTCATGTTTCAATGTGAAGTTCTCATCAGCAAACTTCTCAGTGCCGTAGATCGTCCTGGAACCGGTGCCATTGCCGTTGATGAAATCACCTCCCTGGATCATGAAGTTCTTGATCTATGTAAGAGTCAGTGTGAAGATCTATGCTTAAGACTAGAGGGCACCAAAAAGGCAATGTGATTGAAACAGCTTCCGAACGAACGTTGTACTTACCACACGGTGGAACTTGCAGCCCTTGTAGCCCTGTGGCTGACCGCGGTTGTTCTTGGTCTCTCCAGTGCAGAATTGACGGAAGTTCTCAGCTGTCTTTGGCACAATGTTTTTGTACAATTCCATCTGGATCCTCCCCAACTTCTCCCCTGCCAGCTTGTGTCAGTGATTCATCGGAAACGCTGGAACTAGATGCCGACAACGGTGACTACGAGTCTAGAACTAGAACTAAGAGAGACGTATAGTGGAGGATGGCGCGGGGTGAGGGGTGCTCACACCACCATCTGGAGAAAGCGGCACGTACCTCCTAAGGTGACATCGAAAAACACGATTGGATTTCTATCCTCGGCTGCTTCTGCCATGGCTGGGGCGGTGCACAATGACTGCAGCAGGGCTGATGGGAGGACAGGTCTAGATTGATGACGTTGGTTGTCTAGTGTGTTGAACAACAGCGCGGGGTTCTTACCGTCAAGCACACGAATTTGATCAAGACCAAATGCACCCCGGAGACGTCGCAAGCCGGAGCAAGTGCACACCGAAGATCTCTGGAGAGGGCGAAAAATCGTGCTGCAGCAGGAAACATTTGACCTGCTTCAAGTGATGCCCAAGGCAGGATAAAGTCACGAACCAAGCTCTAAACGGTTAGGTGCATGGGGTGAGGTTTGCACTTGAGCAAGGGTTGAACCTGTGCTGACGTCTTTGTGCAAGCCTACCTGCCTACTCGGGTGACAAAATAAGCCACACTCACGAAAAGCGTGCTTCAGCCAACTGAGATAATCGCACAACACCACACAATATAAACAATCTAAAAATATAGGATTGTAGAGGATATCTTATTCTACAATTCTGTGTTCTTCTAAGGATTAATCTCAAGTCGTTGTTGCGTGGTGTCGTGGCAAAGAGGGCAACCTTGTTGGTGTTCCTCGACTTTTGGCTGGTTTGGTGCAGCTTTTTCTGGTATCCGAGGTGCTGCCGCTTTGAGTGCCAGAGATAACCCGGAGCGTACGAGCAACCCAGGGCGTACGAGCCGTATATGAAGTTTTGTAACAGCACCGGTGCTTCTTCTGCGACCGAGGATTCTGTATGCGCTGACCTGAGATTAATGTTGCTTGTTTCGAACCCTGAACGACGTACCACAACCGCTTTGGGCCTGAGCCCTCACCACCTCTTGTACCTTTCATTGAACTCAACCCTATGTAACTAAATCTTTGCATTACCAGAGGAGCTTCTGCCTCTCTCGTCTTCCATAGTCTTAGACTCAGATAGGACGTTAAACCAGTCAATCAATCAGACGTACCACAACCAAAGTCGAGATCTGGCGAGGGTTTAAGCAGTGCAACGTCAACAGTTCCAAACACCTGATTTCATGGTGATCTTTCAGCTTGACAGATATCCGTATCTGCGCAACTTGAGCATCTCAAATAACAGGCCATCGGCGCTATCATCCGTGAAGCGGCAATTGTCGAGAGTCGCTGATCCGGGCAAGGCTTCATTAGGTTCCGGTCATCTTGCTTGGCCGCATCTAGCGAGCGCGCTACGGCTGTGTCCTTTATCCTGTGCCCTGCCGCACCTTCCCCAACCCAGTTTCGGCATTCACCTCACCGTCGCACTCGACGTAACCAACAAACAGCGCCTGCAAACCGTCGAGAGCGCATGGCAAGCAACGCTATTGTGCCAACTCATATGCAACGGCCAATCGCAGTCGCAGTCGCAGCCGCAGCCTTTTAGTCAGCTCGTCGCCACTACGCAGCACTCGGAGTCGTTGCCGTCATCACCACCGTCTCCCGTCCCACCAGTTGGGCGAATCTAGGGCTCTACCTAAAAGTCGACTATATCACTGTGGCTGCAACACTCCAGTTCTTCGAAAGCATTGTCTTGTTCCAGCCTTTCGCGTTCCTGTTGTTGATTTCGTGTCGACCGAGCCTCGCCGTCCGTATCCGGCTTTCCGCTCGAACCTTAAGCCCAACGGCCCTTTCACAGGACTTGCCCTTCCTGTGTCAGAACGATAGCTTTATATAACCATATGAACCCGTAAATCCACGACACTCCACAATGTCGACCACAGTTACTTCGGCGCTCCCCAGCGCTACCGCAAACAGCCCAGTCAATACTTCAAACAATGGAAGTAACACCGGCGGTGGTCCAACAAGCTCGCCGCTGCTGTTTTTTGTTGCTCTGGGGTTTGGCGTTGTCTTCACAAACCTATGGTAAACACAGTGCCAGCGTCACATGTGAAGATTGGTCCGACTGACACTTCTCGCAGGATTATCGTCGGTGTGAAGTACTGTTTTAGGTACAACCGTCGCCGCGCGGCCGCTGCTGCTGGCGAGAATGGAGAACCGATCGATATGACAACCATGCCGCGGCCGCACAGGAGAAGAAGGGAGAAGAAGCTGATGACCATGGACGAGGTCAACGAGCAGTTCCCATTGATGAAATACAAGCAATGGAAGTCGAGTCGAGAGACCAAAGGTCTGCCAGCGAACGGTGGCATTGCAACAGCACCACAAAGCAGAGCCGCCAGCATGAAGGACGTCGAGGGTGTCATCCCCGCCAGGGAAGGTGCCGCAAGTCCTAGGCCTGGCACCGCACTGTCCATGGCCCGTGACGACATCCAAAACCCAGCAGCATCGCCCAGAGCTAGCATGTCACCAGCCGAGGCGAAGGAGACTGCCACAGCTTCGATTAAGCCTGAGGATGAGAAGTCACCGATGTCAAGGACCGAGACCGTTGACACGACAGGGAAAGATACAGACCCAGCACACATTCGCCGTGAAGACGATGACGAGTCTGATGATGAGGACGACCCTATCCGCACCGCTACTGCCCCTGAGATGTTGGCCGAGCCCGGGGATACCTGCGCCATCTGCTTGGATACGCTCGAGGACGATGACGATGTACGAGGACTCACTTGCGGCCACGCTTTCCACGCTAGCTGCGTCGACCCATGGCTGACAAGTCGTCGCGCCTGCTGTCCTCTTTGCAAGGCCGACTACTACGTCCCCAAGCCTCGTCCAGAAGGTGAGGCCGCTGATCAGGCAGGTGCAGGTCGTCACCCAGGAATGGGTATGCGATCGCCCTCATCACCTCAGGCAATATGGACCAGTTCTCGCAATAGTCTGTTCCGCTCTCGTGTGGTCATCATTGGCAACCCAGCGACTCAACATGTCCAACGGGCTGACCGCTTCGGCCGTCTGAGCCGACCCAGTCGACAGACCCGTTCTGCAACTGGGGCTGCGACGCAGCAACCGGAGACTACCGAGAACTCGGGGTGGATGTCAAGGCTCCGAGCGAACAGGACACAGGGACAGGGTCCTGCGTTCTCGAACTGGTTTGGTCGTAGTCGTAACGAGGCGCAACAAAACAGCACCACACAGCCCACACCCAGCCAGCTTGAAGCTGGTAACAGGTAGTCGTCATATGCCAGATACGAATTTATATTTTCTTCACGAATTCCACGCTTCCCACGATCATTCTTTTAGCAAAAAATCATGCGACAGATTTACACACAGGCGGTACGAGTTCTTGTATGGCTCGCTCACGATTCATCAGACCTAGTTCGAGCTGAAATGAATGTTCTGATCGACAACAACGGCAGCGGTGGTTCGTCAGAGTTAATGCCCGGCCTAAGAAAATATGCAACGGTGCATTACCGTTGGCAAGGGCAAGTAGTGGCTGGGCCTTGCGTGATTGTCAAAGGAATGTGTTATCTTACCTCTTTGGAGGCTTTGTTCCGCTGTCCCTAGTTCAACCAGCTGTAAATCGTTCAGGAGGTAGCGCTCGCAAGACGTGTAGAAATGTTCTGGGGGTTTTGCGAGCATCAACCTCAGTCTTGTCACGCACGCAGCCATGGAGCTCGACAGAAGATATCTCGAGAAGACCAACTTGATGCCTGGACTGCGCAGTCTTATCGACATAGGCAACATCCATTTTCAGCAGAACCTACCACTGTCGACTGGGGCTTAGGATTGTAAGTTTCTTGCACTTATTACAGCAAACTCGAAGGCTCAAAGCCACGGATCCAAGAGATAAGGTTTTCGGTATACTTGGACTGAGAACAAGTGATCAGAACCCGAGGCTCTTCTTTCGTCGAACCCAGTTTCGCTTTGACAAGTGCCGAGGTGTATGCTCTAACAGCAAGCAAGCTCTTACTTGAGCATGAACAACTGTTTCTACTCTCGCTGGTACAGCACGGCCCACAGATCCCTGTGAACTGGACGACTTGGGTACCCGATTGGCATCAAGAGAATGCCGTAGGCGAGGATTCCATCTGTTTGTGGGACGAAAAACGGAAGACAAGTTGCGACATGCTGCCCTATGTTCAGAAGTCACATCATCTGAGCTGCTCGATTTGTCAAAATAATAACACCATCCCCGTGCGTGGTATCGTAGTGGAGATAGTGCATGACTGCGACAACAACGTTTTTTATCCACCAGTGAGCATATGGGACACAGTCGCTCCGCAAACCCTTCAAGACATTATCATCAGACATCGAAAACATTATGAAGAATACCTTCTAGTCCATACGCTTCTTGCCGGTATTGATAGATTCGGCAAACCCATCGAAAACCGTTATTGGGATCCTGGAAGGCAGGTAGAGAGGCTCCGATACTTCCTTGAATGCGATGTTACCGATTTCCTCTCGATAGATGCCACCAGCCTGGTTGCTCCAACGCATTGGCATAACGATACCTCCCAAGAGGCTGAGTGGCCGAAGGCTTTTAGAAGGAGACCTGACCGAGCCTGATCATATCAACTCGCTTTTCCCCCGTCCCCCCGAGCTCACCAACAGACCATGTCGAAAGTTCGCGAGCTCCACATCCGGCATGTCCCAGGAATTTCAGAAGTTCTTTGCAGTGGATAATACAGGACTCTCGCGGACTCCGCTTTCAGGCACCAACGTCAAGCCGGAGCATCGCATTGACTATCTCATGCATACGTTCATCGTCCAGTTTATGACGGGCAAAAACTTGAAATCCCTTGCTAGACTGTTTGCACTGAGCATGGAGACGAGACTGAGAAACGCTAGCTGTGTTGACGGGAGCGAAGCGTATGAAAGTCTGTATGACTTCATCAAGGTCAACATATTCCATTCTTCTGTTACTGCCATGTTTGGCAAGCAACTTTTCGACATCGGCCCTAATATGTGCGACCGTTTTTGGAACTTTGAGGAAGGCATCCCCGAGGTCGCCAAAGGATTGCCGCGATTTATCTACCCGAAGCAATACAAAGTAAGAGATGTATGTCTCGAGACGTTCTGGAAATGGCAGCGAGATTTGGACGAGCGACGGCACCTAGATCCAGATACAGCTCATGAGCTAGCCAAGAAATACTTCAATGACTTCTTCGGCTCTGGCATAATCAAGAAACGGCATTCAGCTTTCGCAAAAATGGAGGTCATGGGAGCGGATGCTCGAGCATCGGAGGACCTCGCGCTTCTATGGGGCGCCAACTCGAAGGCTACGCGTGCTGCCTTCTGGATGAAATTGTCATGCGTGACGCTACGACTGAGAAGCGCTTTCTGGCAAAAATCAAACAAACAAGACTTCCCAGTATGGACAAGGATTTCGTCGTCCATGACATTGACATCCTTTGGTCGATACCGTTCCTCCAGTCAGTGTACGCCGAGACATTACGTCTATATGTGGCCAACATTGTCTTGCGCAGTCCAAGAAATGCCGATGTGCCAGTTGGAGACTGGTCCATCCGACAAGGCGAAATCGTCGCAATCATGAGTCATTCAATGTACCACGATGAAGCAAAGTTCAATACTGTGGTGGCGTGGGCCGCTTGTAGAATACGATGGAATACTGCGCTGAGTTGCTATATAGCTAAGTGAAGACAATATATACCTGTCCTGAAACATGCTAGTCCGAAATAGTCTGAGTAGCAGCTTGCAGGCCTCGTACGGACCGATTGATACCGCAACATATACTGGAACACCTGACAATCCACAACCTCTCTCAATTTTTTGGCTGATCTATGTCTAGTACCATATGCCTCAGGTGGAGTATTGCATGATCAAGGTGATGCCAAGTTCTCGCTTAAAGGCTGAAAAGGCGCTTGGCTACCCTATGGAGGAGGGAGCCAGGAATGTCCTGGGCATTTCTTTACGAAGCAAGAGAAGCTTCTCACTGCAGCTCTTCTGATTGGAATTCTCGAAACCTAGCTGCAAGGCGAGCTAGCCGAGCTTGATTGGTGATACTTTGGTACTGGTATACTAGGTGTGAAAGGCAGGCAATCGTTCCAGTTACGCCACAGGAAGAAAAGAGCGTCTGCGGAGCAGTACTGGCTTTGTGATGTTCCTTTCCATACGTCAAGAGTTTCTTCCTCCAACATGGAACCGTGCGGAACGTATCCCGAAATACTCATATCTCTGAGTTCGGTAGCACTTTGATACCCAGTCTATCGGAGATCACGTGCTCCTACTGTCCCGAGACAAGTACGAAGGGAGTCCATGAGTCGTTGAAGATAACTGGAAGCCGGTGGTAGAGGTTTGTTGTTACGCTTGGGTATGTAGAGTTCAATATTGTTGGGCTTTTCGCAACCCACTAGCTTGTGTCTGTCAAGGGTGGTAGTACGAAGAGATAAGACGAGTGGACATTGCGTTAATCCAACGAAGAAAACATGCTGTTGAAGTATTTACGGTTTCTTGTTTCCTGTTGCTATCGTATGAGATCAGTTCTACTCCCAGCGCAGACCCCTACTTGCTACCGGTGTCATGAATGGCATTCGGTACAGCACGTTCGATGCTCTCAGGTAGCTCCTCTTGGATCTTCTGCGGCACAATGGAGGCCTGACCTCCATCTTTGGCGTGGCTCCTGGCGGCCTCAGGATTGGGGTCGGCAGCGGTGTTGTCCGTCTGGGATTGTATCAGCAGAGCATGTAGGGATGCATTCTATCAGTGTATGAGCTTACGCTTTTCCCCTCAACGCCGGCAATGTGACCAGGAGCTCTCGCCTGTTTGTGACATTAGATGAGCTCAGACAATGGATCTACTGTAACATACATCTGCCATGTTCTCCTTCTTTCCCTGGGGCGCCTCCTGCTGAGCCTTATTTGGAATATCGGCGTCGGCAGTGTGGGATCCTGGCTGGCTGGACATTTTGACTGCGGTAGTTGTTATACTTTGAAGATGGTGGTGTATAAATTCGTAGAGATTAGACTTCAGTTGGGATTACTATCGAGAAGTTGAAACTCCTTGTCTTCAAGCATATCAGACAGAAGTCTTGACCATTGCGTCACAAGTCATCAGTATGTCTCCTGCGCGTACAGCCTCCACAGTGTGCGTGACATCTGCCCATACGTCATGACTTTTGACCTCAAGAATACGCATCAGAATCTGTGTCCTGGAATCAGTGACGATTGGTCGCCATACCTCACGAGACTCTTCTTTTCGGTATGCCGGTCAGAGGTGTGGCATGTCCTGTGCTTTGATTGAGGTGCAAAGCCCAAAAGTCGATGATGGCACTAGCGTTGGATGCTCCGCGGAGTGTGGTTAGATGAGCTGGTGATGAGAAGGTGCAACCCAAAAGTCGATACGAGCAATAAAGATCGGTTCATGCATTTGTGTATGGGTATCTATACCGTCCTTGTCACCTTGACTCTGGTCCTTTCTGCGATATCGTATATTGCGCCCACAACTCTATCAACATCTTTGCTCTTCAAAGGTATTCGATGCGCACCTTCCCACTCTACCAGCGTTGTGGAGTCCTGCGAACAGTATTCGTGCAATAGTTTTCTGTGCAGGTGTAATCCTGCATCAGCCATGCCATGCACATGCAGTGTTGGCATCCTCAGTATTGTGTCCTCGTCCACCTCTTTGCAGAACTGAAACCCTTCGGATAAGTCGCCTGCGCCCACCAATGCCGGACTCGTCAAAACCTCTGGGTTGAGATTGCTGAGCGGCGCTCTCCCTGCAAGCAATATTCCAAATCTCCAGTGTAGGTTTGGAATCCCCGTGAAACCAATATCGACGCTTCGCCGTTCTCTTCTCGCCTTTGCCTCTCTTGCCTGCTGCTCAAGCAATATACTCGCAGACAACTTCGCACCCTGACTGAAGCCCATCAAGCCTACCCATTCGCCTGTAGCGCCTTCGCTGTCATCGTTTTCCATCACAGTCCGTATAGCGTACCCAATCTCCTCAATACAGCTCTCGGCATCGATCTCGGCGTGCTCTGGTAGCCATCTTAGCCAGCGGCGAAAAGGCGCATATGAACCGTACACGTCAATGACGTCGGAATGCGGGTCGCAGAAGAAGGGCGCATCTGCCCATACGAGGCGGAAGGAATGCTGCAAGTGCCGAATGAGTGATCGTGATTGCGCCTCGAAGATGGTTGCATTGACGCCGCCGCCGTGTAGGCAGAGTATCCTTGGTAGGGGTCTTGTGTCCGGCTTCGTGGAAGGGATTTTGGAGACGGGTGGTATGTCTATCGAAGGCATTGTGAGGAACCGTTGACTAAAGCTGCCTCTTGACGTGGAAAGTTGTAAATAATGGCGACAGAAGTACTAGAATTGCGACGAAGATATAGATGGCTGCTTAGTAGGAAGAGAAATGTGAGAGTAAGAAAAGGCTCGAGAAACGAAACATGCGCGCACTGTCACCTAAGAATAGGAAGCCATTGTCGCATCCCCGATCTCACCGTTATTATCTTTCGGAGGTCCGAAGGTCACTCTTCGAGATGGTCATCGATCGCTCGTGCGACATCATGCTGCAGTCGGTACAAAGCTTCTAAGAATGGAATTTGGGATCTTCGCAAGGGAAACGCCTTGACACCGGTTCTTCATCTGTTGGCTCTCTGTTGGATGCAGTATACTCTGCTCTGATGGGAGGTTTGGTCTTTTGGTGAAAATTGTCGTCGAGCGTGGGGAGCCGATGAAACGATCAGCGTGAAACGGTAGTTTGAGAGCCTGAGCGTGCTGACTCAAGCATCGGTGGGTAACATCAAGCACAATACCCTTCCTACTGCGACTATTTCAGTAACAACGGTCAGAGGTGCGCTCGCGATGAAAGCGGCACGTAGAGAAGAAGAGGTGGTTGTCGAACATTGAAGGTTAAAGTAGATCTAATCTTATCAATCCAATCGTACCTCGGCAAATCAACCTCGCTCCTCACGACTCTCCAACTACAATGACAACTTGACCAACATGTAGTCTTCAACTCAACTTGAGCTCCGCTCCGTTTTAGTTCCACGTTCAGCCTGCAATACCGAACACTTGGCAACAATGGCGGAAGTACCAGTAGTCATCGGTGTGGGCGACGTTAAGAACCGCAACATCAACAACGTGAAAGAGCCGGCAACGCTTATGCTCGAAGCCATCGGCATCGCCCTCAAAGATGCTTCGTCAAGCTCTACATCGGATCTGAAGTCCGAAATAGACAGCATAGATGTCGTGAAGACATGGACATGGCCATACCCCGACCTGCCTGGCTTATTGTCTGAAAAGCTAGGCGTCCAGGACAGTGTCAAGTGGAAGAGGTATTCCGAGCACGGCGGCAATCAGCCAGGAAAGCTCTTCGACGAAGCTGCGAAACGAATCGCGAAAGGAGAGTGCAAAGTCGCGGTCATTACGGGTGGTGAAGCTCTAGCATCACGTGCGTCGTCATAGCACCTAGAACTCCTACAACAGCTGCTAACGAACCCAGTATCTGCGTGTGCGGCAGCTAAAAAGCTCCCTCCACCAGGGTGGACAACGCCTTCCTCGGCTGTGGATTCCGTCTTCACGCCCACCGGCCGAGACCTAGGAAACAGTACGATCTCAACTCTCTGGCAGCGTCTCTCAACTCACTCCCCTACAGACCTCGGCGCCATCCACAAGATCGGTGCGCCCATTCATGTTTACCCCTTGTATGAAAACGCATTTCGCGCACACCGAGGCCAAAGTCTGAAAGCCAATAACGAAGAGAGTGCAAAGCTGTACGCTGAGTTCAGCAAAGTCGCTTCCACCCAAGAGTTCGCCTGGAGTCAAGGCAAAAGCAATGACGAAAAGACAATCGGTACAGTGAGTGAGAAAAACAGGATGATATGCTACCCATGTACCTCTCCCGTTCCCACATCCCTACTCTGAGACTAATGGCCCTCAGATCCCCTCCTCATGAATGCATTCAACACCGTCAACCTCGCCTCCGCCATCATCCTAACCTCCGTCTCCCACGCCAAACACCTCTCCATCCCGCAGTCATCTTGGATCTACCCCCTCGGCGGCGCCGGCACCTCCGACTCATCCGAATTCTGGCACCGACCAAATTTCCACAGTTCCCCCTCGATAGAACGATCTCTCTCCACTGCCCTAGATGTCTCCAAGACTTCTGCGTCCGAGCTCGATTTCATTGACATATACTCCTGCTTCCCCATCGTCCCCAAACTCGCCGCCACCGCGCTCTCCCTCCCAATAGTTGGGGGCCCGAAACCGCTCACGCTGCTCGGAGGGCTGACGAGTTTCGGCGGTGCAGGGAACAACTATAGCATGCACGCGCTGACAGAGATGACTCGGCAACTACGTTCCGGCAAAGGAAAGAAAGGGCTAGTGTTATGTAACGGGGGCGTGTTGAGTTATCAGTACGTCATTGTTCTTGGAACGGAGCCGAGAGGGAGGAAGTATCAGGTGGAGGACGCGCTGCCGGAGGTTTTACATGATATCGAGGTGCCGGAGCTGGCAAAGGAGGCGCAGGGGAAGTGTGTTGTTGAGGTATGTTGTGCTGGCTTGGAAGTGGTCATTGGGAGTCTTACTGATATGATGCAGACGTATACTGTTGAGTTCAATCGTGATGGGAGTCCGTTGCGCGGTCATGTTGTTGGACGGCTGAAGAGCGATAATAAGCGGTTTCTTGCGAATCATGGGGATGAGAGTACGCTGGGGCAGATGGCGGAGGGGGCAGGAGAAATTGTGGGAAAGTCCGGGTGGGTTTGGCAAGATAAGAAGACGAAAGGGAAAGGGTTGTTCGCTTTTGACAAGCCAGCAAGGTTATAGTTGTGCAATCACAAACTACTTCAGCTTTGGCAAGCAAATCACATCGCTCACAAGTGGTTCAACGGCCGGTGGTATGTGTGAACGAACGGCGGAAACGCGCAAATTGTTTAATTGTTATAATGTACAGGTCGAAGAGAAATCCCCAAAACGCCAGAGAAATCAAGATCCTGCAATCTCACTAGGTCATGCGACAACAGTCGTGACAATGCTCGCTAACTTCATCATATCGTGCTATGCTGTGTTCGGCCGTATACATGCTCAAGCTCGTAGATTGACTCCACCAATGCTCTCAATGCATCCGCGGATATGCTTCATTAAACAGATAAGGACTCAAAGGAAAAACGAACGCTGCTGAATCAAAACAAATGACAGATCAAAATGGAAAAAATCTTGCCCAAGGCAAGACAACAGTTTGGACTCGATCCAAGAGCTAACGCTCGTTGACAGAAAACTGTGTGTTTGTCTCCAGACTGGAGAGCGTAGAGTTGGTATCCCAAGTCCCGTTGTCAGGGATAGTCTCAGCGATACTCTTCATACTCTTCTCACGTCGTAGCTCTCTCGAGCTTCTCTCAGATCTCTCCGGTCGTTCAGATCGCTCAGGTTTCTCAAACCGTTCGGATTTTTCGGACCTTCCATGCTTCTCAGGACTTTGCTTTCGCTGCTCCTTCAGCCACTTCTGGTGGCTATCGGCACGCATCGAGTCCTTTGAGCTTCTCTTGGCTTGCATGGCATCCTTGAAGGCTTTGCCGTTCTGCATCGACATCGGGCTGTTTGGGTACAATGCTTTGACTCCAGCGCTCCGGCTCTCGCACATATAGCGGGTCTTCAGGTCTGGTTTCTCAGTGCGTTCGGTGCGCTCAGATTTCCCAGATCGCTCGGTTCGCTCGCTGCGCTCGCTCTTCAGGGTTCGATTGCTCAATGCATAGCCACTAGTCCGCCGCAGGGTTTCTGGGCGGGGTATGATATCTGGAAGCTCATCTTCGGTGTTGCGGGTACGCGTGGAGCGGCGGCGCCTTAGTGACGGCTGAATGCGATGTGATTGCAGCGACTCGATCTCATCGAAGGCCTCGAACAGCGGAGAGGCAGGACGCGGCGGTGTACTGGAACGAGAGTGTGGTGGCGTTGGAGGTTCATGTTCTAAGAACACAGGCAACGTCTCGCTATCTTGTGGTGTGGGTTCAGGCAACTCTTCCATTGATTCAGGGATAGGCGCAGTCTCTGCAAGCAAGCGTCCTGTCTCCACGAACACCGAATCGGGCGGAGCCTTCGAGACCTTCGAGGGAGCCTGAGTAAATATGCTCTCGACGGGAGGCGGCATACCAATGATGTTGCGCGGGGTCGCAAAATCGATAGGTCCGGGTGGAGGACGTTGGTATGCACGCACAGGCCTAGGTGTAGGCTCATTGAGAGCAGCGATCGACGAGGGAGGCGGAGGTGGTGTCCTTCGTCTTCTAGGTGATTTATCAGATCCCTCAAGTGGAGATGGTGGTGGTGATTTGGTTCGTATCGATGTTGTCTTCTCAGACATAGCCGGTGTGGGTGGGAGAGGGTTTCTGGGTGGAGGAACCATAGGCGGCGGAAACTTCCCAAGTTCAGCATTCGTCGGAGAAGCAGTGGTGAAGGATGGCAAACCGGCTGATTTGAGCTCCTCCGCCCTTGTGACTACTGGCTCTGCGTCGTCGTACAGAGCCATACCGTGGTGGTAGATGCAACCTTCATCGTTCTTCTCGCCGTTCGCGTGGAAATTCTCATGTTTCGCTTCGCGGTAAATGACAGGAAATAGCCTCAACAGTAGTGTCGGCTGCGCGTCGGACGGGTGTGTGGTATCGACTAGGGAACCTATCAAAGTGCCATCAGGCTTGTGAGTGCTCTCGTAAGCATGCCAGTACTCGGCACCAGTGAACTGATGCTCTTCATCATAAAGAGCTGGCATGGTAGCCGTGATCATCTCGCGCTCAAGACGGGCAAAACGCCACGTCTCAGCAGCGAGTTTGACAATTCTCTTGACAGCGATTTTGATACCTTCTTCTTCCCTGGGATCAGCGAAGTGCTTGATCGCGTTCACGATCTCTTCGACGACTGTGCCAGCAGCAGTATTGATACGTTGCTTTGCTCCGCTGCTCGTGAATGCAGCCAGGAGTGTCTGTTGACGCCAGATAGCCTCTTTCCTGGTACTCTTATCGCGGATGTGGTTGCTCATAGACAGGAATAAGGAATCAGCCTTATCATAACGGCGGCCCAGGCTGAACAGGAAGGGTCCGAAGACACGATATGTGATCAGCTTTGAGACTGTGTGTGCGATGTATGCAGCACGAACTTGTCTGGAGGTCTCATGTCAGTGATGACTCAAATTGAAGAGTGTACTGTACGTACCTGGAGGCTGGAGTGTCGCCCAAGAAGGATGGAAGGTTGTGCGGCACCTGAGCCAGATCCTCGTGAGGTGGGCGTACGGGGAGGTGTTTGAAGTGGGTGGCGGCAAGGTCGATGATCTGCTTTTGCAGCTGCGAGAACGACACCAAGCTGATGGAATGGTCAGCGAATGTCCGAAAAAGTACAGAGCAGAGGCAGGGGATCAGGTGTGACGAAACAATTGCATTACAGAACACGAGGATAACTGTCTAGCTCTACGGTCGAGATACAGTCCAGGCTGCCTGCCTTGGATGCCACGTGCGCTTGCTGGTGGGCAGGCGCAAATGACCCAAGACATTTGGCCCTCCTCAACCCCACGAGATCCTCCAAATCAAATTTGAACAGTCCAAATGTACTTACTAGTATGTGTCGCCCTTGCTTTTGATCTCTGCAATGTCTCCATAGCATTCCATCATCTTCTCCAACCTAGCCTTCTCGGACTCGAGGTTGCTAGCGACGCTCTTGATGATCTCCTTCTCTTTCTGGCTCTCTGCCTTCAGCTCGTTGTACTTTCTGAGCAGGTCGTCCCTTTCACGGGCCAACTCATCAGCTCTTCTGTTCGCATCACTGTGAAGCTCGGCCCAAGCCCTGTCAGACTCTCCCTTGGCCTGCTGGTACTTAGCATCCAGGGCCTCGCGCTCTTCGCTCCAGCCACTTTGAAGACTGTCGCTGTGCTCCTGGTGACTTCTAATGAGGTTCTCGCGCTCAGCTAGCCAGTTCTCCCGGGCCTCTTCGTGGTCCCTCTGAGCAGCGCTGAGCTTTATCTCAAGCTCATCGCGCTCATTGTTGAAGCTGGCTTCACGCTCGTACTGCTGTCGCTCGTGCTCGGCTCTCAGCTCCTCCTTCTCAGCAGCAAGAGTGTCCACCTCTTCCTGCCTCCTTGTTTCGGCAAGCAGATCTGCTTCCTTCAGCTTCTTGTCATACTGAATGGCAAGCGCTATCTTCTCAGCATCATGCCTTGTGGTCGCAGCCGCTTTCCACTCATCGAACTCCTTCCTTGTCTGCGCTTTCTCGGCCGCATACATGGCCTCCAACTCTTTGACCTTGATCTCCCAAGACTTCGTTGATGCTTCCCACGCAAGCTTGGTATCTTCTGCCTCTCTCTTGTGTTTATGAGTCTCAGCGATCTGTTCCCGAAGCTCTTTTACTTGCTCCTTGGCCTCAGCTGAATGCTTGTTCTCGATGCTGATGATTCTCTCTTTCAGATCATATATCTCTTCGTCTTTAGCTCTGAGCTTCTGCGAGAGCTGACCATGTACTTCCTTCTGTCTTGCAAGCGAGGCGTGCAGGTCAGGAATGGCCTGGGATATACGAGAGAATATGTCAGCTGTTTCACCGTCAAATGGAGAACCGTTCTCTATAGCAGGCATGCCCATGCCATAGTCTCTAGATCCCGAGGTGTCATGATGTTGGTGTGAACTGCCATTGGGGGGATACCCTGGTGGGTACTGGTTCCAGGTTTCTTGATATGGGGAGGAAGAGTTGTGAGAAGAGGGGCCGTAGGGATTGGGATTTGAATATGCCGGCTGACTCATGCCATAGCTATGTTGGTTTGGGTAGTATGGTGGGGCACCTGGCTGGTATCCATACCTTGGATGATACCCTGGAGGAGGCGGTGGAGGATTTGGATAGTGCTCGACTGGCACGCGCGAGGCGAAGCCGCTAGCACGGGGATGATGCGCTGGCGCTGCGTGTTGTGGGTATCGGGACCCACTACTGTCACGTGAGGAAACCAAAGCCTCACCGCCTCGATTTTCTCGTCGATGTTGGACAAGGGCCGAATCGGAATCGTCATCATCGTCGAAAGCAGGCACATGTCGCGTGCGCGCTCTCTCCACAGGTGGGCTGGGGGCTGGTGGTCTATCGTCGACGACTTGACGAGCAGCTTTCGGAGGGGCTGGGGCTTCACGCAGTCGTGGGGCCTCCGGAGCTCTGGACTTCGTCATTGCTGTGACCACGGAATGAGGCGATTGCGGAGGCTGCTTTGATGCAGCAGGGATTGGTTGACAGGTGTCATATTCGGCGTTAGAAAGCCCGGGGTCTGCTGCAGCTGCGGGAGCTGCAGGAGGCTCTGACTCTGGTTCGGGACGAGGCGCAGGCGCTCGTGCGGTCTCAGCAACCGCTGGCTCAACCGCTGGCTCAGCCGCTGCCTGAGACTCGGCGACAGGCTCCTGGACGATCGATTCTGGCTCGGCCGCTGGTTCGGGTATTGCCCTGTCTTCTGCGATCGGTAGCTGATCAGCCTCCGGTGCTTCTAGTACCAATTCCTGGGGTGCTACAGTGGGTTCATCTGTTGAGATGTTAGTCCGATCTGGTAGTCAAGAGCGCAATGCATTGCATTAAGCTTACCTTTCTGCTCTTCAGCAGGTTGCTCAGCTACAGGCTCAACCTTGGTAGGTTCCGGAACCGAAAGTGGTTCAATAGCATCGTTCCCAGTATCAGAAGCAACGGCTTGCTTCTTCTTGTCTTTCCTGTTCTTCTTGCCCTTTTTCGGCAAGGCAGCCCATTCATCCTCTGCAACGGGTTCTTGAGGCTCAGCCACGACTGTCTCCGTGGGCACTTCTTGTGCAGTCTCGATAGGGACTTCTTCGGTCTGTTCTCCTGTTGGTTGTGGCTCTTCCAGTGACTCTTCCACTACTGGTAGCGGCTCTTCCACCACTGGCAGCGGCTCAGATGATGCTGCTACTGCGGGTTCCACGTGGCCATTGGCTTCATTATCTTGCGTAGTCTCCGGCGCTTCAGCATCTTGCTGTTCGGCTGCTAAGCTTTGCTCTGCTTCTGCTTGTGGCTCCGGCGCTGGGACTGGAAGTTCGTCGACTGGCGCACTGATGGCCTCGGTTTCACCTTCGGCTACAAGCTCAGTAATTGCCTCCGGCTCTACTGCGGCCGTGACCTCTTCAACTGGCTCTGAGGGCTCAATTGCTACCTCTTCAGGTTGCTCGACTAGCTCTGTTGTAAGCTCCGTTACCACCTCTTCCGGCTCATTTGTAGCACTTGAGTCGTTGACGGCGTCCATCGCAGAAGGAGCTTCTGTTTCTGTAACCGGTTCTGTGATTGGCTCTGTGGCTGCTTCATCTTTTGGTGAGCTTGATTCGGCCAGCTTCTGCTCTTCAGATGGAACCTCGAGATCAGTTGTTTCCTGAGTGGCTGGTTCGGATGTGGGTCCCTCTACCGCTTCGTCGGTCTTCGCCTCCAGAACTTCTGTCGTTGAATCTAGTTGTTCATCTGGTGTCGATTCGACAGCAGGTGTCTCTGATGCTAGCTGTAGAGTCTCGGTAACTTCAGGAACGGGCTCCTCGACAGCTGGTGTTGGCGCCGGCTTGGGGCTTCCTGGTGGGGATGTGACTTCGACCTGCTTCTGGGTGTTCTTCTTGCTCTTCTTCTTTGCCATAGTGGCAATTGGGATGGCCCCTGTGTCTGGGTGTGGGGAACCCCGAGCGCCGTGATCCTGGAGTCGTTATGTCTGCTCTGCACAAACTTGGTGGCAATCGTCACGACTGTGAGGCTATAGGACTGCTTGCGTGGCACACTGACGGGAGAACATGTAGATGGCCAGCGGATACGCGCATTAGGGGCTATATAAGAGATGATGCATGGTAAGGTTTCGTGAGCCGTGCATTGAAATGATCTGAGTTGGATACGCATGACCGTCCAATGGGGACAGTTGCAGGGAGAGTGAGCTGGCAGCGTAGTCCAAGCCGAGTAATCTATGCGCCCCAGTCGAAGCATATTCGGCGTCTGAGAACAGCATCACCAGCCTCGCAAGTGTGTGGGGCATGCTTTGCCGGGGTAGTCACTTCATGCCTCTTACAACAAGCCACGAAGACGCCAACAAAGGAGCTTCAGAGTGCTCTGCTCGAATTGAAGAGGCTGGGAGAGGATGCGGACGGCATTATGACTGATTCGAAGAGGAGAGAAGCAGATCGATGGGTATGTGCTGTCCGTGCTTGAGGTTGACATCGGGCCTCCTATGCATGCAGGACAATGGTGCGTATGTGGTGGCCTGCGACTGGTGCAACGTCAGCAGGCATGGGAACGAACCCGTTAGCCGCACCAGCCTCGAGAAGTTGCATCATTAGTGAGCCGAGAAGAGCGGGTACATGCAGAGCGGCGGAGATGCGGTGTGTGGATTTGGGATGCATCGCCAGCGAAGCATGCAGTCGAATTTTGCGCTATCGTGTCCGTGCGCGTAACGCGCCGAAATCCTCACCAAAATAGCCTATTTCTAGTACTCTTTAAGATAGTCCAGCTCTTTAGATAGACGAGATATTAAAAAAACTCTAATACTAAAGTCATAGTAGATGACTGGAACTATAACTTTTACATATAAATATTTTTTTTAAATATAGCTATTCTAGTTTTTCTACTTCAAAACTATAAAATTAAGGTCGATAGATTTGTCTAAGATTTTAATACAAGATAGAGTACTGTAAGTAGACTAGGCAGCCCAGAAGAGGCAGAAGGGGTCACCTTTCTTGACAGGGAGCAGACCTTTAGCATTGTGAAGGTGTTGAGTAAGCTCTTGTGAGTAGTTTGTTGACATTGGCTTGAACATGACTGTTACAAACACATGCAGAAGAGAAGGAACTATTGGACCTGGGGACAGCGGTTATTGAACGTAGGGAGAACGGCTGTCGGAGAGGCTGCGCCCATTGTACAAGCTACCCCATGGCCATGTGAGTACACTAGGACAATACAAGTAGTCTAGTGTCCTATGGGACGGAAGCAAGCAAGCCATGGGATTCCCTTGTAGTCTCACATATCCCATGGGACTTTGGGACGTCTCATAAGACAGTAAGATACTGTAGGACTGTCACGGTATCCTCTCCAGATCCCCTGACAATATCCGGATCCGCTCCGTACTGTCCCTGACCGTACGCACCAAATCCCCAGCGTCCTTATGTGCCTCCGAAGCAGACGTACAACCTCCGGTCACCTCCGGAGCGGGCCTGCAACCCCTGAAGCAGGAGTATGAGAATTCTGCAAGCCCCGCTCTGGGACTTGCAACCCCGATACCTATCCAACTCAGTTCCAATTATTAACTGGTAACCAAACGAACCCACATGTAAGTATATAGACTATTGCTGGTAGAGTTCTGTTCGGTACACAACGTCTTGTACCTACTTAGATACCGTACGTAGTAATTGATTTAGACTCCCAGCGAGTCCTAAAGGGCCTACTCGTAACATCTTTGTGACAAGGACTCTGTACACTCATTCAAGTATATATCATGTAGGAACACAACCCTTATGGTTTGTGTTCAACCTTGTCAATCAACTTTGTTATTGGAATCTCACCTGCACTCAAGCTAGATAGTCTACTCTATACTACTCATTGCACCCAGATGCCATGGTCTTTGACTAGACATCTAACCCCAATCACTCTGAGCTTTGCTTAAGTGATCAACCCCTTGTTCCTTCACGCTACACTTATCCCTGAGAACCAACCCAACTAGTGCCTACAAGCTTTGCTTAAGACACGACCTCAACATGATGATGTCAAAGTACTCCTTGTACTTAGCGTAGGACTCAGCCTCATGACATTCTGCAGTCATGGGGTCAGTCCACTTAGAGATGAGTTGGTTGTGTTGATGCTCAAGAAAGCATGTAACCTAGCTGTCAGAGATGGTGTTATGAGCAATCTCAGAGGCAAAGTTTGCAATCATTTGCCTTGTAGGAGGTAGGTGACGTTCTGTAAGACTTATTATGTACTTCACAAGCTCCTCCTCTTGTTTAGGGTTGAGTTTGCGCTGTGCAATAGTCCAGTCTTCCTGCGGGCGCTGTAACACTTACAACCAAAAGCGCCCCAACAGTGGTGTGATTCCTGCAGGTCTCAGCACACCGCTCCTTTTTGGTTGCAAACTGCATCCTTGTCACCTTGTGAGAGGGACCCAGCTGGGGATACCAACTGCTCTCTGAGATGGATGGATTGGTAGAAGGAGGGTTCAGCCTTGTTGAAGATAAGGGTGTAGAAGAGACTAAGTGTGGGGATACCACAAGTAGTGGGAAGTATAAATGATGAAGAAGGGATCAAGTGTGGGAATACCACAAAGGATCAGAGAGAAGTATAAAGGAGTGAAGAGTGAATGTGAAGTGATGAGGGAGTTGGATGATTGAAGGATTGAATTGCAAGCATGAGTAAGAGCTATCTAGAGGTGGGAAGAAGGGG